GAGAGATTAGAGCCTATAGAGGGGAAAAAGAGCAATATATATTCTTTTTTATCTATTCATGTTGCTCAAAACATTTCACATCCCGGGAGACCAAAATAAACCCAAAAAGAGGATGACTAGAGAGTATGGTATGAACATGATTAATCTCATATTTGATATTTCCGTATCTTAAATACCCTCCCTGTTTCTACTATCTTATCCTATAAAAGCTAAAGGAACAAAAAAAAATGCAACCTTTACGAACAGGTGACGAAGGAGACAGAGAGAGGGTAAGGGAAAGTGTTGGCGTAATGGAAAGAGAGTGTGGAGCCATAAGGCAAAGGCTTGCCGTTGTTGACGAGACAGTCATCGTAGTGAATACGCTTGAAGACTCTCGGGTTTATCAACTTAGCCGAGCTAAACCAACCGCAGCTGACGTGGATTCTAGAGATATTGCATCCAGACATACACTGGTTCGTTATCTCCACCGTGTAACCCGGTATTCCGTTCGGCATCGGCTCGGTTGCTGCCTGGTTCACCACTATATCCGACCTCTTGCACTTCTCTCCGATCCTATCCGGCTCTGCTCTCGTTTCTGCCTTTTTTCCTTTAAAACAAAAAACAGAGGAATTTGAGTTTTCATTGTTACATATACACGAGTACGAAGAAATGACGAATACGACAATAATGTTGAAAATTGACTCAATGCATCAAAAAAAAATTACTGATTGACAGCTGGATGAAGTATGAAGCTGTTTTGCCTTGGTAAAATTCTAAATTTGGGTCCACCAAAAAAAAGTATAACGAACAACGAAACAAAAGGGGAGCAAGAAAACACAGACGTGCAAAAGACTGACGACGCTGCTATGAAAAACAAAAAAAGGACGACGAACGCATCAGGAAGGTGTGTTTGTGATTTGCAGAGAGCCCAGAAAAGCCAACAAAAAAACCACAATTCACGAGGACTTTACGAAATTGGGAACCAGCACGATTAAGCAAAATCAACACGAAGAATAATCACTGATTTGGGTAATGAAGTAAACTCCAAAATTAAAATCCCCCTTACCAGGAGAGAGAAGAAGCATTTTCCGATGCGAAGAGGTCGATAACGTCGTCGTTTTAGTCAAATCCAGATTCTCACTAACAACCTCCACGCCTCCTGATTCAACCATGAGATTTCGTTTGTTAATACTCAGGTGTTAAGAAACAAGAGAATCAACATTTGATTTGAGAAAAAAAAAATTACCGACGGAGACGAAAGCCATTCCGTGAAGCAAGTATGAGAGAAAAACCGCCGATAACAAAATTCGCCGCCGGCTCATGAGCACAGACGTCGGAAATCTAAGCTTTGATTATGAAGCTGACTAGTCGTCTCTGGGTCTATGCACCGTAGCGTCGATGTGACTTACACCGGAAAATCTGGAGAAAATCAGAGGAAAGAGGACGAAGAAAACTTTTTCAGTATCAAATCACACGACTAGTATTGTTGATCCATCATATCAATGAACAGTTAAATAGACGAAAATCGAGATTTACGCGGCTCGAAGAACCTACGGCTGTTGCGAAATCTGAAAATCCTTGACCAAAATCAAAAGCTGTTGCGAATGTATAGACTAGAGAGCGAGAGTGGGGAGAGAAATAGAGAGATAAGCTTAAACCTAAAATCGGAGAAAACGACGGAGAGATGCAGTTTCTGGAAAACTTCATTTGCAGAAACAGGTAAAACAGAAAGTTGCAGAAGAAATTGAATATGCACAAACCAAATCAAGGAGACTAAGCGATTCAGCGACTGATAAATCACATCATAAGCGACGAAAATGGGAATAAAAAAAAGGAAAACTCGATCGACTTTCCTGGAAAATTTCTGACGGAAAACAAACAGAAAGCTGGAGCGTAGCGCAGAGCATGGATTGGATAATAGGAAAGAGAAAAAAATCCAGAAACAAAAAGCACCTTATGATAAATGAGAAATCGAGTATTGTGTATAATATTAAGCCCGTACAGTTTTGCAGAGAGTTTCTCACCTTTTCTCTCTTCGTCGACTTCTCCTACTAGTGGTGTCGCGAGGTAGAAGACGAAGGGATAAAGAGAGAATGTGAGAGAGAGTTATCCTCTGTGTATAAACACACCACAGAGAGACGTATTTATAGTCCAACAGAAGACTGTGACTTTTTTTCTCCTTTTCTTATGGCATTGTTAAGATTTTAGATTTGTTAAAAAGTCTACTAAAAATTAATATTTCGTTTGTATCTAACGAGGAACTAAATATTACAAAAATTAATTAGCTTCTCAAAAATAAAATGATTTAAGCATTTTTCCACTTTTGCGTAGCTAAACTGATACAACTTTGTATGTGTTATTAACAAGAATGCATGCTGATGTGTCATCATTAGAGCTTCTCATGTTATTTATAAAATAAGGATTAGTTTACTAGACTAATTACAAACATTGCATTCATATTTTTGGTTAGAGAATCAAATATGTATAGTTAGATTAATCATATATGAAATTATTAATAAAAGAATCATCATCTTTCCTTAATTGGCAATTACGAAAATTAGTAAATAAGGAAAATATGAGATTCAATTTAATGCTATCATTATATTTTTTTTAAATCATTCTATATCTCCTTTCATCTTTGTTTAACTTTATTTTATAAAATAAAAAATTGACACAATACAAAAAATCTAATAAATAAAATCTAAAACTTTTTCTATATATGCTATGATTTGAATTTTTAAAAACAAAATAATCACTAAAACTATTAAAATTCCCAATATGTTGTTGTGTGTAGGTGTAAAAATATATTATAAAAAATAGATGATATGCAACCATGTAAGTAGGAGAGTAGGTATCTAAATGTAATTTTTTTTAAAATATTTTATATGATTTTTTAGTTAAACTGTATAATGAAATCAAATAAAATAATATTTTTTATAAATGTATTTAATTTTGATCAAAAATTTGAATATTGCTCCATTTGTTTCAATTTTTCAGTACAAAATTACTTATACTTTTGTTATTTTGACAATTTGGATTTTGCAAGATTATCTTTTATTGGTTGGATTGTTTTGGAATTATAATAAAACATGTTTTAGTTTTAAAAGAAATAAAAAAAGTTAGTTCTAATCCGTGTAAACACCTAAAACTTCTTATCTTATAAAATACACTCATTTGAGTTTTATGTATTTTGCTGAAGTCTAGCATATTTAATCTATAGTCTAGCATATTTAATCTATGATCAATGTTTTAATTTGTTTATAATTTTTAAAATGTTTAATTTCCACATTATAAACGAAGATAAAAACCTTAACAAGGTAAAAAAATCTGTCACATAAAATTTTGAAATAGTTAAATATACATTTTTAATTAAAAAATACAAATTCAGAAACCATCTCCGTGCTGGGCGCGGGTCAAACTCTAATTTTATGATATTTCAAGATATCATGGGGTTAGAATTTGGAACTAGTAATTACTTCATCATCAATATTTTATTTGGTAAAATATATGTGAATCCCCACATGTATTGCTAGCAATCCTTTGAAGTTTGAACATTTAACTGAAGTAATAAAAAACCGTTATAAACTTTAGGAATTGGTTAGTGAGAATCCCACTCCTGTCCAAAGTCCAAAACCAAAACCAAAACCAAAAATGGGTTGGTACGTTTATTGAATTGGAAGTAGTTGGTAAAAATGCCAAAGAAAATCACAATATAAAACATTATCAGGGTAAGAATGTAATAAGCTAGCAAATCTAAAGTTTTGGATCGACCCTCGTGGCGGGTGTGAAGGAATGATTGGCTTGGATTACTTAATCTGTTAAAGAAGATTGGGCAATTATTATTTGAATGTATTAAATTGTCACATCCTCACGTGGGAGTATCAGAAGCACACGAGCCTCTTTTACACGCGCCTTTAATGGCCATTTATGATGGCGATGAGGATGTTTTTGTACCTATATTCTCCTCTTTTACACTCTCTCTTCCAATTTAGTTTGAATGAAGAATTTATAAGAAAAACCGACTTAATTTTGATCTTGAAGACTGAAGACAGGAAAAAGAAAACATTGAAATTCGATTCTATAAACGAAAGTAAGGCCAAACAAAAGCCAAAACCACCAGACAAGAGTTTGCCGAGAAAATGAAAATAGGTGTGGCGGTGAGGTTGCAAAATGACAGGTTGACTCTTTTGTTTCAGCTTTTATAATACATATATATATATATATATAAAGGAATCGCATATTTCAAATTTCAAAAGAATATGAGTTTGAGTATTTAAAATAAATCCTGTATTTTGTTATTGTTTGCAATTTCGTATGTTTTGTTTGGGAATGCAATAAATAGACTACAAAGAAGGCATTTTTCTTGCTTTTGACAGACAACACAATGTCTGTATGTCATCGATATAACAGAGTTTTGCAGAGCTTTTGTCTGCTTCTTAACCTTCCCACACCTTTCTCTACATTTATATTTTCATTGTCATTTTTGTTGTTGAATGATTCCTACTTCTTTATTTGACCTTATTAAAAGCACACGCGCTTCTCTTTTTTTCATCTTGAAAAAAAGAAACTAAACAAAAAATAGTAGCTTTGAAAGCTCCTGGGATCAAATCAAACAAACATAAATTGTTATACATAGTAATGGTATGGCAAATATATACTCCAAGTCTCCAAGAACCAAGTCAGCCCAAATTATTACTTGAATCTTATTGGTTTTGACATGACATATCGTTAGTTTTACAGAAATGGCAACAGCTAAAGGCTAAAGAATGGTAAGTTTGTAATAATAGTACATATAACCAAGTCAATGGCCAAACACATTTAGTAACGTTACTAAATTTTCCACCAATTACACTAATCTACAACATGGATCCAACCCGATGCAAGAAAGTGACTAAATCAGGTGGAGTCACAAATCAAATAGAGATGCTAGAGAACCCATATGAATCAAATGGGTTATATGACCTTAAATACCTTTTTTTTTCTTAACTTAACCTCTAGAGTCTAGATATATGCAAGCTTGTTTAACGTCTCCAGCTCGGGCCTTTAGATCCCTCCAGCGTTTTAATCTTATTCAACAGCTCATCGATGGTGTTGGACGCCTCCTGCAACGAAATGTTCAGCGTTGTTTAAGGTGAGCATGCAAATGATAATAATCAAACGAGTTAAATGGAGAAAGATTTGTTTATTGAATGAGGAACCTCTAGCTTATTTCTCAGACATTCTTCCTCTCCATCACGTCTGTCTCTTTCCTCTGCGAATAGCTCAATTAGATTATTTTTCTCTTTGGTCATCTCTTCTATTAGTTCCCTTGCTGAAATAACCTAATTCAGACGATGGAGGAATCCATCAGGTTATTTTTGCAAGCAAACGGTAGAGAAAAGCTAAACTGACAGAAAATAGGAACCATACCTCAGCTTCGAGTGCCTTGCTACGCTCTTTCTCACGTCGCAGCTCCTCTTGCAATGACTGAGAAATAAAATGAGAGATATGTTAAAATGGAAAGATCTTTCAGGATTTTCCTCCTTTTATGGTTTTGAGATTTTAGTGAGAGTAATTACCAGTGAACCATCTTTCCCTGATCCTGCATTGCTTCTGTCTCTTTCCTCTGCGAATAGCTCAATTAGATTATTTTTCTCTTTGGTCATCTCTTCTATTAGTTCCCTTGCTGAAATAACCTAATTCAGACGATGGAGGAATCCATCAGGTTATTTTTGCAAGCAAACGGTAGAGAAAAGCTAAACTGACAGAAAATAGGAACCATACCTCAGCTTCGAGTGCCTTGCTACGCTCTTTCTCACGTCGCAGCTCCTCTTGCAATGACTGAGAAATAAAATGAGAGATATGTTAAAATGGAAAGATCTTTCAGGATTTTCCTCCTTTTATGGTTTTGAGATTTTAGTGAGAGTAATTACCAGTGAACCATCTTTCCCTGATCCTGCATTGCTCCCGTTATAATTCGGATATGAGCTTGAATAGTACTTGTCAGAAGCTCGAGTTTTCATCCCTGATGGATCAGATCCGTCAGGGTCTGGTGATGATTCTACAGCAAGATAAAACATTTTTCAGATGATTGTTTCTAACAAGTTAAAATCTCAACGAAAAACTTGGCATGACGTTAGAAACCAGTAAAGACAGTGTACCTTTGTAACCATAACCGCTTCCACTTCCAGGCTTGTATCGCCTGGGTGCATAGCCAATTTTGTGACAGTTGGTGGTCCTGATCAAAAACGAGTGGAAACAACATGAGCCCTGAAACATCCAAGTCAAGCTTAAGAAAGCGTGGGTTTTGAAACATGAGAAGAGAAACAGACCAATAAAGCTTCTGCATTTGAACTAGCCGTGATTCGAGTCTAGAGAGAACTGCTCAAACCCTTGCTTATCATGAGCAGGCTCCACAAAATTAGCTTCAAGAACACCTGTTAGCAAAAAGAAACTGGCATTATTATCTTCACGTTAAGTAAATGAATCAAATATTACAACTTCCAGATTAAAAATACCTATGACCCCACGACCATCACTACCTGCTGCGTTCCATATCCTCCAAAATGGCTGATAAAACAAGATAAATAGTCATGTGAATATGAATTTCAACGTTTTTTCGAATATTAAAGGCCTAGTATGGAGTGTTGGCAAGCAAAAAACGCCATTAAAGCATAAGGAAACCTTGATGAGTCGATTTTTGTGGTAGACATTAAAGCCTTGAACATCAACATGATGTTTTGCGTCCTTCACAAATCCGATAACAACAACGGCAGACATCTGATTTAAAAAAAAGTAACCAGCCTTAAATTGCAAGTAGAAGATCCTGGCTTCAAAAATAGAATTATAAGAAAGCTGATGCAAGTTAAGTTGTTGAAACATACATCTGAATCCTTCGAATATGTGTCGACACCATACTGAGGTCGATATGTGATCTGCTCAGTCTGCATCATGTCATTCACTACGTTGTGGTGCTCAACATCTGTTCCTCGCAGTATGATACGAAACCCAGGTGGAATTCTTAGGTAGAGAATTGATACATAACTCTGAGAATATGTAAAGAAAGATGTGAGAAATGAAGATGTCAATTACTCAATTTAAACAAGATTCACAATCATTCTTATCCAAGCTTTTGATTTCCCCACAGGAAAATTTCATAATAGGTTTTAGTCGTAACTAGCTTGAGACTGACAAGTGATAATTTAGCTCAACAAAACGTCTTACTTGCTTTTGACTGCGACAAAAGATGAAATATAATGGGAAAGTAAATGTTTATACCCTTAGTGAGTGTTTGTACGTTAGGAAGTGCCTAGAATTAGGAAATTGAGAAGCCATTTTGATGCTTTTCTCATCCCGATTCACGCCTCTAAGTTGGATATCCTGCAGAGAAACAATATGTTATACATAAAGAGGTCAGCATCATCTCAGACAATAATCCACATACACTCAGCAATAAAGATACGTACATGCGGATCAGAGTCAAAATCAAGTTCCAACATCCCTTGGTCATCCTCCCACAGGTTATATATGATTATCCGTGTGCCACGATCGTTTATTAGATCAAACTACAACAAATGAAGCAACACATTAGTAAAAACATTTTTAAATAGAAACAGTAAAGGGGTAGTAAATATGAAAACCACATCAAATCAGTGATAGATAACAGATCCAGGTTCAAATAGCTCAAAATACACTATAATAATCATTATAATTGACTCTTCTTTTTGCCTTTCCCTGGTAATAAAAGCTTCCTTGGAAAGTTACAGACTATGAATAAGTGACTACGCAACTGCTTTGAACAAAGAGAAGATATTATTTACCTGACGAAGAAGATCTTCTTCGCTAGAGAATGGCGACCATTGAACTATTGTTTTCACATTTTTATCCCAATCACTAAGGGAAGACCTGCCTAATTTACTCCATTCAGAGTCTCTTCTTTCGTAGTCAAGCTGGTTATTTAAATAATATCACATGAATTAGAAAAATAAATGTATACAGTTTTCACCAAAACATAAAAAAATACATTCTGCAGACATAACACATCTTATATGGCAGCAGAGATGGGTGGACAGTTAAAAAACGAAGCTATGTCACATTGATGAACCAGCAATGATGAAAAAATTACACATTGAGATGCAAGCCGAGGTACTGAGAGAGAAGGAAACAACCATGAGTTTCTATATGCGTAACCGCTATGGCACAATATACTCAAGGAACAAATCATAGTTACAATATAAACTGATCTAGTAAGAATTTGCTAGCTTTCTTTGTAAATATCCATTCATTTAAAAAAAACGGAGTACATAAGCCACATTAGTGCCTAACACTCCCTCTAAGACAAAACAAAGATAGCCTTAAAAATTAAAATAATGTCTCGGTAATCTAACTAGTCCGTGCTACTGAATCACAGTCTAACAGAAAGATAGGAAGAATCACGTTGTGAGCCAAACGATTAAATGGAATTAAAAATTTCAGTATAGTAATTCGAATAGAGAAACCAAGTGTGAGACAATCGAGTTGTTGTTCTTAGCAATGCCACACAGTGAAACAAAGAAGAGGATTACCATGGGTACAACAATGTCCTCCTTTCCTGTGCTCCTCAGAAATGTATATGATAGGAGCCCGATACTCTGCGTAGAGCTAAAAACAACATCAAGTAACAGAAGATTATAACTTTAGCTATTGGTCACAATCTTCGGTGGTGAATATACAATCCAACCAGAATAATCAAAAACATGATCAAAAGCAAACTTCCAGGATTGGTAAATAAACGAACGAACCTCTTTCCATCTTTCCCAGGGCAACGCGAGAATACAATGACATCAGCTCCAAGTCTCATTGTACTAGTCTTAAATCCATTGCCATCTATAAGCAGGGAAAATGAATTAGGCCTCTTCCTACAAACGTTGTGATATAAATATCAATCGGGTGGACAAAGAATAATTACATTGCCCAATGGTGTTTGCAAGCTTGCTTTTTGCAGAGTATCCGAGAGACATGCACTGCCGCATTTTATCAGGACCCATCCCACCACCATTATCTGCATTATCAAATACAAGGATGCTCCTACATAAGTATAGACTAAAGATACTATGGGACAGGCCAAATAAATTGTATACCTTCAATTAGTAACATCCTGTTTCCTGCTTTCTTGTTTTCGAGCATGTCTACGTTAACATAAGTAGCTCCACTGGCAACCTGATATCAATGAGAATGAAACAATTACCACAAAGTATACGCTAAATCCACTTTAGTCTGTGTATTACTTTATTATATCACGTTAAGAAACTACACCCACCTCATCAAAAGCATTATCGAAAAGCTCTGCAAAAGCTACACAAGAGAAGATATAAAAGCAGATTAGCTAATGAAAGAAGAGGCAATTCTGTTGTAAATGTAAATAAAGAAGAAAGTACCTCCAAGAGCCCATTTGTGACTGGTTGCGTTAGAATGCAAGAACTTTGGATGGACTCTTACGTGATCAAGGCCACCTTGAGACACAAATATACAGTAAAATAGCCAATAGGTATCATCAATCTATGTCAAAACAATTGAACACAAATTGTTGTTTTGTAATCAACTTTCGAAACTTTATTTCCATGTCAAAGAGCCAAAATTAGCAATAAGAAATTTTGGATTGCCAAATTCAATAATTTCCGCTTTGGGGTTTTACCTGAAGTAATATCCCAATTGCCATCAGATACTCCTTCATAGTCTCCAGCTTTCCAGAACTGCTTACAACTGCCAGTCCTACTGGACGGCGGAGGCTGCGGCGGAGTAGGTCTGAAGACATTGCATGGATCCGCCGGAATAGCGTGGGTCCCATCAGCCGGCGGAATCGATTGGCCGGATCCTTCGGGCAATACGACTGCTAGCTCATCCACATTTAGCTTCTTCGCATGATTCGTGTCCACTTCCGATGAACCTCCAAACGCAGAATCTCTTGCTCTCTTCGCTCCGGTGGGATTTCCAGAATTATAGTTCGGGTAGGCGCTCCCTGAATCCTCGAATCGATCGGCGTTTTCCTCAACGTCGGAATCATCGCTGCTGCAGAGATCGATTACAGTGACAGTGTCTTCTCGGGGAAAGTAAGGCAGAGGAGTAGAAGTTTCAAAAATCTCTTCCTTCACTTCGTTGTTATCCATAAATATAAAAAGGAGAGGGACGATGAACGAATTGAAGTGACGAACTAAAGAGGAAGAAGAAAATTGTTTTTAAGGAAAAAAAAAAAGGATTAAACAAACAGTTAAGGAGCGAGGTTTTTCACTCTCGTGACGAAGCGGCGCCAATATAGAAAGGCAATATCGGAAGCGGAAGGTAAGGGTTTTTTACTTTATTTCACGTGTTCCTTTTACACGTTTAATTTCACCTTTTCAGGGGAATAAGGTTAAAAAATAGAGCCGACAATGACGGAGTGATGTCTTTTCACAGGTAAGCTGGTTACGTACAATAAGTCATGTCACTCTCAATAACAGACATAATCTGAAATAAAAGCTTAATAAAGAAAGGTCTCAAGATGGATTCAGTTCTTCTCAACAAGTAACATTGTAAATCTCAGGGGTCGATTCAAGCAAACATGTTACAGATGATAAAAAGAGAGATGGTTGGAAAGTGTTAATGTGTGCAAAATAAAATAAAATTAGCATCACTTGAGAGTGTGTCTAATTCAATCTCTGAGCAGCTTCCTTGGCGAGAACTCTCTCCTTCGCTTTAGTCTTAGCCTGAGATTTGGACCCCATAATGCCACCTCCCCACTTCTTCCGGTACTCATCGTATTTGTCGTTGAAGTTTGCCTACACCAATAATGGAAAAACGTTTGAGTTCATTGCAGAGAATCTTAAAATATGCATAGCAATTGGAAATGATGAACCTCGAGGATTTTGCTGAATTCCATCTTGTCCTCGTTCTTCACTGTGGTCAAACACAAGCAAGACGCTGTTTTCTGGTGGACAATCTGCAATAACCGAGATGACATCAGATTCAGTTACATCTTCCTAGAGATAATAAGTAATGGCCTCAAGAGTAAACAATCATATATCATTACCGCTCCTAATCTTGATTTCCCCTTGACAATGCAGTATGGAACTTCCATTTTCCGGCACAGTGCAGGCAACCAGACGACCAACTCAATTGGGTCCACATCATGAGCAATCACAACCAATTGCGCCTTGTTCTGAAATCAAACAAAGCAGACAGGTTTCAGTAAAGAGTTATCCAGTAAGCTTATTTCAGTTCCTAGAGAGTGACAATTGAATTAGTTGTGAAGGGACGAGACCTGCTCAATGAGGTAGGTCACATGGTTAAGACCGTACTTGACAACAACTGGCTTCTTCGATTCAGCAGGTTTTCCCTCAGCCTCAGACTGGGCCTTCTTCATAAGACGCTCCTTCTTGGCTGCTTTGTCCTCAGGCCTATACTTGAGGAGAATCTTGAACAGAGAAGTGGCTGCAATTATATACAAACACTGAGTAAAAGTAGATAGAGGGCAATCAAAACAGATAATATCCACACTAGTGTGATATATAGATAAATAGATAACAGAGCAAGAAAAGGAGAAGTGAGAAATACCCAAGTTCTTGTCAAGGGTCTTGGTGAACTGGTTAAGTGCTGGTGGGACCTTCAATCTCTGCTTCAAGATACGCTTCTGCCTCTGCAGACGGATCGACTTTGGCCATTTGATGTATCGAGTGAGATCCTTTTTCGGTGGCAATGCTCCTCCGATCCCAAACTGCTTTGGACGCCTCTCAAAGAGAGGGTTTGTCACTTTCTCCTGACACCAATAAATTTTCAAAAGCTTAAGTACATAGACACAAACAACTAAACTTAAAATGCTATCTTCAGAGAGAGAGAAATACAAAATCACATACCGGCTTCTTCTTGGTAGCCAATTTAACTCCTTTCTTTGGGGCCTACAACCAAATGAGATAGAGCTTTTAGCATAAAACAGTAGTTTAAACGGTGATTAACCACAGGATAAAGTTAAACGAGACATGAAGGATGATATGAAATAAACCAGTGACTACGAGTTTTTTTTTGGTATGACAGTGACTACGAGTTCTTATTGATTTGATGACTAAAGGGACAAGCTTCTGTAGCATGGATGAATTATAATATCACACGTATTGCTAGTACATCAGTCTATTTAAGGAGTGCCAATCAAATTGTCTATACAAAACTAAATTGGCTGCATTGCCAGATTCAATTACGGATTCCTAACCAATCACAGTGACAAGTATAAAATTTTTAAGAGCAGACTAATAACATAATTCACTGCTATTAGCTTAAATCTAAAAGAAACGAGCTAAAGCACAATAATTCCATTAACGCAGCAATTTCGAAAAATATAGCTAAATAGATGGAGAGTGATTCAATTTCTGTCTGCAGAAACTTTCACAGTTTTACTAGACAATCTAAGAAGAAAAAAATATAGAGAACAGACAATGGATTGACGAATGAACAATTACTAAAGCAACAGATCGAATTCGGAGCAAGAGATTACCATTTTCAGCTTTTTCACAGCTACTCAGTTATCCCGAGAGAGAAGAAGAAGAGACTGAAACCAAGAGAGTGACGAAAGAGATGATACACGAAAATTTTAGGGTTTTTTTAATTCCATAACGTGAGTTGTGTAGATGGGCCATCTCACCGGGTCCATTTTGGATTTCGTGGAAATCTAAATTATAAGCCCAACCATATTTTGATTTTCCTTCCGACTTTGTGTTACATTTTTGCAGATTAATGTTTATGGAAAAAAATGACTTTTGCTTATGATTTAAAGCTTGTATTTATGGCTTATGATTATGAGTGTGAATCTCTAGTCTTGTCATGATTTCGAATTTCTAATTACGATTGTGTAGGCGATATGAAAATAATTACATTTGTCTACAGTCGAGAGTGTTGCCGGACACGTAATTACCGCAATAATTACATTACACAGTTGTAAACTTGTAATGCCATTTAAAGTGGTTGGACGAAATAAAACTTGTGTTCTCATAAAAGTTGTAACATGGAGACTAGCAATAAAAACGGTTGAACAATAGCATTGACACTTTGTTCCCGAATGGAATTATTATATTCGTGGAAAGCTAACGCGATACAACAAGAAGATGCCATTTTCAAATTTAAAACGATTACACACACCTCACCAGTCATCAACATCATCATCATTCTCAAACTCATTAAGTTAAAGCAAAAGTAAGAATAAACTAGACACGACGGGACCACCACCAAACTCCATTACAATACTGGTCAGGCTTCTTCTGTCTACTCACTCCTCTTTCTCCATCAGTGAGAATGCGTCTCGTGTCCCTCCTATAAATAAAAGAACATTTTAAAATCAACTAACAAAAAATCAAAATAAAAATAATTTTAAAAAACCTAACCGAGTATTAAATTCAATTAATACACTTGTTACTACGTTAGAAAATCAGACACTCTACGTTTCCTAGGATTAAATATCATTAAATGCACAATCTAGAATTAATTTATTCCTTTTGACCGATTTCGAAATCTAGACGAAGTTACATTTTTTTACGTTTAAAGATTTTTTAAAAAAGTGAGAAAAAAGATTTACCCGGTGGGGGAAAATGGACTGGAGGATGTTAGGCTTGCCGTGCTTGGAGCTGGAGGAGGAGCCAAAGACGCCGTGTTTCTTGAACTGTTCTCTAACCAAACGGTTGTAGATGAAAGCTGCGCCTTGGAACTGCGGTAGAACCAACCAGGCGATGAACACAAGCTTCACCGTATACCAGATCGGAATCCACTCCAAAAGCGACTGCAGAATCATTTCCGTGAGTGTGAGGAACGAGTAGATGATCCAGTAGGCAAGCCACTGTTCATCGTCTACTTTCGTTGAACTCTCCATCGCCACCACCGATGCGTACCTATAACAATTTATGAAAACAAAAAATTCAGATTTTGTTCTTTCTTTAACAAAATAAGAGAAATTGAACAAGAGGATATAAAAACTTACAATGGATACATCAACATCACCACGGGCCTGCATAAACGAACAACCAAGTACGGTTTTTCAAAATTAGAAATCGAAATACAGAAAAAACTATAGTGGAGGAAAAAATGTTATGATGTAGGATTAGTAGATTACCCAGCGCCTGAATGAAGAGCAGTGAGGAAAGTCCATGACTTGCTGTTGTTGCTCATTTTTCTTCTTCTACTTTGTTAAGGACTGTGAGATTTTCAGAAGAGAGAGTGAGAGAGGGAGAGAGACAAGTGTGTGAGATTTTCGAGGCTCTTTTAATTTTCTCTGCAAAAACACGACAAGAGAAATGAAAGGAAGAGCTTAAATTTATAGAAAAGATCTTGGAGAAGAAATGTGTGGTTTGCAACAGTTGGTTCACACCCTTTTCATTGGATGGAAAATGGTACGGTTTAATAGGCAAAAATAAAAGAAGACAAAATTTGATTGACGTCGTGCCAAGGACATCGATGTCGGCCGATCATTCGGTTCAGTAAGTGAATCCGGTTTATGTCTGGTTCGATTCCATTCAGTTTGGTATTTGGTTCTAGGTTATCCCAAGGTTTGGGACACGTGGCGAGAGAACAGCGGGAGTACCAGATTCTAACGTGAGCTTGTCGACATGGCACCGACCTCAAAAGGAAGAGAGGTCGGTCGGTGAGTGCTTTCGTCACTGCTTTATTTTTTTTTAATCTTATACGGATGCTTTCTGTTTGTTTGATAATTAGATTTTAAGTATTTTAAATCTTATAAAAACTAATCGTGAAAACTCGTGTCATTCGGTAGAATTAATCAACTTTACGGATTTATGAAACTGATTGATTCGTCGGTAAGCATATACATGTGATTTAAATCAACTTTTCGCTATATGATTTTGATCATAAAGACATAAAATGCATGTTCAATCTTCTCCAAGAGTAACTCTGTAAAGCCAAATTCAGAATCAAGCAAAAATGCTACATATGATCTCTATATAGATAGATCCCAACAGCGAAAACAAATACATACTATGACATAGATTTAAAATTAGTATCCTCCAAAAAAAAGAAACACTTGAAAAGAGTCGTCTAATTCAATCTCTGAGCAGCTTCCTTGGCGAGAACTCTCTCCTTGGCTTTAGTCTTGGCCTGAGATTTGGATCCCATAATGCCACCTCCCCACTTCTTACGGTACTCATCATACTTGTCGTTGAAGTTTGCCTACATCAACAACAGAAAACGTATAAATTTATTGCAGAGAATCTGAAACATGTGAAGCAATTGGAAATGATGAACAAGCATCTCACCTTAATGGCCTCGAGGATTTTGCTGAATTCCATCTTGTCCTCGTTCTTCACTGTTGTCAAACACAAGCAAGACGCTGTCTTCTGGTGAACAATCTGCAATAAACGAGATTACAAGAGATTCAGTTACATATTTCTACAGATAAACGAGTAATGGCCTCAAGAGTAAACAATCATATATCATTACCGCTCCCAATCTTGATTTCCCCTTGACAATGCAGTAAGGAATTTCCATTTTCCTGCACAGTGCAGGCAACCAGACAACCAACTCAATAGGGTCCACATCATGAGCAATCACCACCAATTGCGCTTTGTTCTGCAATCAAACAAAACAGACAAGTTTCAGACAAGATCTCTGCCGCAAGCTTACAAAATCAGCCAATTATATGGTAGAGAGGGACAGTCAAACTAGTCATAAAGTGAAAGAGACCTGCTCAATGAGGTAGGTCACATGGTTAAGACCATACTTGACAACAATTGGCTTCTTCGACTCAGTAGGTTTGCCCTCAGCCTCAGACTGAGCCTTCTTGATAAGACGCTCCTTCTTGGCTGCTTTGTCCTCAGGCCTATACTTGAGGAAGAGCTTGAACAGAGAAGTCGCTGCAGTTATACAAACAATTAGACGATCACTGAGTAAAGTAGATAGAGGGTAATCAAAACAGATAACATCCACAATAGTGTGATGTGTAGAGGGCAAGAGAAGGAGAAGTGAGAAATACCCAAGTTCTTGTCAAGGGTCTTAGTGAACTGGTTAAGTGCTGGTGGGACCTTCAATCTCTGCTTCAGGATACGCTTCTGCCTCTGCAGACGGATCGACTTAGGCCATTTGATGTACCGAGTGAGATCCTTTTTCGGTGGCAATGCTCCTCCGATCCCAAACTGCTTTGGACGCCTCTCGAACAGAGGGTTTGTCACTTTCTCCTGAAACCAAGAAAATATTTACAGCAGTAAGAACAGATGCAGAGTTAAATAAATTAGATTTTGAGAGAGAGAGAGCGAGAGAGCAGAACAAATCACTTACAGGCTTCTTCTTGGCAGCCACTTTGACTCCTTTCTTTGGGGCCTAATAACAATTGAAATGCAGTTATTCGCGTAAGAAGACGAACGAGATAGGAAGAATGATAGTAATTAAACCAGTGACTACGAGTGTCTATTGATTAATGACCAAGTTATGAATTATATCATATCTATGCTTGCAACTAAATCGACTGAAGTGGTACAATCAATGTATCTTATACAAAATTGAGTTGGCTACATTGGAATACATAAGGCCAGATTCAATTACGGATTCTATCCAAACAAGAGGTGCAAAAACTCTATGATCAGACTAATGCAATTCATTACTATTAGCTTAATCTCAAAAGACAGAAAAAAGAAAAACAGAATCCAAAGAGGCCATTAATGCAGCATTTTCGAAAATCGAGCTATAGAGATTAAGAGTGAATGAGTTTTTTCTCAGCTGAAACCGATACAGCACTACACAATCTACAACGTAAAGTAGAGGGACCTAACAATCGAGTGAATAATGAATAACTTCGAGAACAATCGATCGAGTTCGAAGAAAAAGTTTTACCATTTTTCAGCTTCTCCGCAGCTACTGTTTTCCCAAAGACGAATGAAACCGAATCCCTCTAGAGACTAACAAAAGAGAAGACAACCGAAGTTTTAGGGTTTTTTGTTATATGAGTAATGGGCCTTTTGTTGGGATCCATTTTGGATTTCGTAATAAGCCCAATCATATTTATTTCACACAATAAAATACGTTAAACCTTGATGAGAGATTGGATTCATTGAACTGAAAAAAGGGAGGAGAGAGCCAGACGCAAACATTTTGCTTTATTGAATAGTTCGATGAACATTCTCAAAATAAAACAGAGAAAAGAAAGTCAAGTAGGAACCAAAGTATCGATATGTCTATCCATGAAGAGATGATCAAAGCCATTTATCAACACAACCAAAACTAATAACAAAAGCACCACCATTACAACACAAACAAGTCTTCCTCTTTGCTTCTTCTTCTTATTCTCTCTCACTCTCATCACATTCGAAGACAAACAAGACGAAGGAGTAAACTGAGCAAACGATGTCTCTTTACTCCCATCAAAATCTTCTCCGTCAGAATCAGAGTCGTGAAAGAGTTTTCTCCTAAAAGGTGATCTTAGTTGTATCATCTCTGCCTCTGGACTAGGCTGATCGTGTTGGAGAGAGAGCATCAGCTTTCTTGGAGAGTTTTCTACAAAGTCCAGAGCTCCTTCCACGGTGATCCATGACACTGCAGACGAGCTTTTGCCTGTTTTCATGGCGGTCCATTCTTGCTCAAGCTCACTCAACTTCTGCTTCAGTCGCTCGTGTGGATTTTCATATATTTCTTCCATTTTTCTTCCTTTTAAAGAATTGAATTAGGAACGATGAAAACAGCATTTGGTTTATAAAAGAGTGAAATCTTGTAAGATCTCACTAATAGCTAATTATTTCTCTTTAATTGATACATAAGATTTGAAATTTGAAATTCAATAATTCAAAATATCAATAACTGAAAATGGATTCTACAAAGGAAAATCATAACTGATCACATCTTTTACAATCTCTTATAAGAAAAAAATAAAACCACTAATAATCAGTTACGTTACTACCTTCATAATAAAAATTATGACTAATCAAATCTCTTATGGACTAAGAGGTTAAAGAGTTGGAAATGTCTTCCATTACACCTTTTCCATCTTGAGCATCAAAGTAGAAGAAGTTCTTTAATGGGTCTCCTTTGCCTGATACTGCTTTGATCACTTCCTGCAACATCAGAATCTCTCCTTGTCAAATTACAAGTTTCCGGTGAGAAAGATTCGAATGCGAAACGAGAGTGAAAAAGACAAACCTGTGCTAATATTCCTCCAACAATGGCACAAGCTGGTGGGAATTCGGTATTACCGGTGACAAGTCTCTCCAAGAGACTATCTGGTACATGGCTCTCGCTCACAGACTGTCACATATATTCAGTTTTTTATCAGTGAGACGAATGACAACAAGTAAATAGAATCACAAAACGTAAAAAAAAAAAATGCTTACGTTTGCCTCGCAGAGTTTCTTTTTTATTTCCAAGACTGTGGCAAGATCGAGCAGAGAGCATGCTCCAGGTTTACGCCCTTCACTCTCCTCAAACGCTTCTATTACTGCAAATTATCAAGAGAACACCAAAGATTAGTGAAGCAGTGTTTGCTGCATGTAATTATGTAATTAAGTATTTGCGTTGGGATCTCAATTTTCAGTGGTTTAAGGAATAATTAAAAACCAAGAGAACAATTATATAAGCTGTAGTAACTAGAAAACACCTCTCATAGCAAAGTAGAGCTTCACTGTTCTCCGCGGAGTCAGTTTCCAAGGTACTGAGATCGCTTCCTGTGGAAGTAAAACAACAACGAAAATTGGCGTTACTTCTCAATGTACATGCAAGGTCTTATTATAACAAAATAAGTGTTAAGACTGTACCTGAAAACTTGGAAAATTTAATTCACATTCCACAGTCTCTTCAAGATTTTTCTGTTGAACAACAATTTGCCAACACAAAAGAAGAATAAGTCACACTTAGAGAGAGGTCTTTACTCTTTACAGAGTTAAAAGTATCGGAATGACAAAAGAATAGTCAGAATCTAGAAATGCAACAAGAAACCATGTAAGCACCTTTGTGTACTTGTAATCTTGAAGGTCGACAAAGATTTCACCACACGAGTCTCTACAATCGACAGTATAGAATGCCACTCGTTTCGACAGCTTCCGACATTTTTCGTTGACAGCTTTCTGTAACAAATAAAAACAAACTGATCGCGTTAGGGAGTGATGTATGGAGCTATAGAAGATCAAAGCAAGTGAGCAATAGCAGTTGTTGTCAATACTTTGGTAGAACGAGAACCATAGCCTATAACCACCACATCAAACGTCTCAAAAAACTCAGTGTCACGTGTTGACAAATCACCTGAGAGATTTGGAAAAAAAAATGATGAGACAATAGTCTTCAGTGAATAAAAAAGGCTATGGGAGAGATGGTAAGAGTGAAACCTTTCTCAACAGAAACAAAGACCATAGGGTTAAAGTCTTTGAGTGAATCACAACATATCTCAGCCACTGTTTTGCCTCTGTAAGCACTTTCATCAGGCGGAATCAAGAAGTTTGCGTTCAAGGCCTCCTCTGTCACTAAACGATCATCCATTAAAGTCACACTACCAACTCCTGCCAACACTATGTTCTTGCAAAACTACCCACCAAATGCAAACAAAAGCCAAGTAAGATACATAATAAAAAAACATGACATCTCAGCACAAATTACAGAGTTGCAGCTACCTCAGTAACAGTCCCCTTAATTCCAGATACCAGAATGTGAGATTTGGTCAATCTGCAAGCAAAAACACCAAACTCACACTATATTCATATGTTGCCAAGCTTACACAGTAATTGCATCAATAAAACAAAAAGCAAAATTATGATGGATGAGTAACCTTGTAACGATTAATCAGCATCAAGTTAAAACCCAAAATCCAAACATCTCTACTAGAAACTAAGACTCCATCATCTCGGAACAACCTTATAGCTCAGAAGTTACCACTTCAGTAGTCGAGAACCAGAATCAAAACTCTATACTAACTCGTAATACGAATTGCAAAAAAGAATTCAACTTTAAGAGTCTTCGTACTCGAATTTGAAGCGAGTCGAAGCAAGTAGGGATCAATGCAACCTAAAAGCAGTAAGCTTTGAAAATTGAAAAACCTAGATTTTTTGCGTTTGGGTCAAAATAATATGAAATGAAGTACCTTCTTTGAGCATTAGCGCCCCAGACCCTAATCTGGCGGTCGTACAAGGCAGTCTCCTGCTCGGTGAGCTCTTCTCCGTCCATTCGCAAATTCAAGCTATCAAATCAGCAAAGCTTTGATATTAGAAACTGAAATTTGCACATATAATTTACCGAGTAATCAAGGAAAATTGAAGCTTGCGGAAAACCTAGTCTGACTGAAAGGTCGACTTTGGTCTAAGTTCTACGAGTGTGCGATAATTCAAGTGAACGGTTTGTTTTAGTTCCCTAATTAGTTTCAAGTAACTTTTTATTGCTGCTTAACAAAACTGATAATAGAAGCATAAATCAAATTTGTTCTTAATTTTGCTTTGTAGGGCTAGTTTTGTTGTTTTGTTATATTGTTATCCTATTATCCTGTGATTAGTCCTAATCCAGTGTTAAAAGAAAAGTTACAAACTTTTGAAAAATCCATACTGTGTTATTAGCTAGTAAAAAAAAATTGTAATCTGTGACCAATATCTATACTAATCTTTGACCAGTATCTATACATACTATAGTTACTAATGTTTCTTAATTATTTTCTGTAATGTACAGAAGCAGCAACTATTGAGAAATGAGATTAGTTAGACACCAACTCACTCTCGCTGACAGGCCTTTCCATGGCATCAAAGAGTCGGATTGTTAACAATAACAATATTTACTTTGGTTTAAAACAGATTAGTCTTTCTAATAACCCTGGCAGGCCTTAATCAAAACAATACATGTCCATGAAATGTGTATATATGTAAGAATATGTTCGTAGATTTATAACCAGTAGTCAGAGGCGTTTCTGGGAGCAAGCAGGGCAAGCAGGTGCTTGCGGTCCTGTTTCTAAATAAGAATTTAATCGGCAATATTTTGACAAAGTCTCCTATAGCTTAGTTGGTTATGCGTGCTGTTATGTTGGTTTAAGGTGCAGAGTTTGAATCTCCCCTCTGCATAATATGTTTTTCCTTTTAAAATTCTCTTTAATTTACTACTTCATCGGCCCAAAATTAAATTTGGCTTGCGACCCATATAAAGTCAGAGACGGCCGTGACATAGTTGATCCAAACAGAGTTTGTAGTTGTTTTCCCAGTGTAAAACATATTGATCTAGTAGCAGTATCTATATGTACAAAGCTATAAAAGAGCTTAGGTTCGAAGGAATACTTGAAGTTTCCATTGGATCAACAAGATAGGTACAAAGAGCTTAGGTTCGAAGGAATACTAAAAGTTTTACCTCTTTTGTTTGCATTTATCAAAATCTTGTGACATAAGTGACATAAAAAGTATGTAAACGTAGTCTTGATGAAAAAAGCATACCTGCTAAATCGTGAAAATATAAATTCCTTGTCCAATGGGATATTTTTCATCCTCTATTCCCTGCACAATTCTGTAGATGTTCAAAGAGTGCGTATGGAAAAACAGTATGACTTTTAACAACAAAAAAATCTTACACATATATAGTGAGATTAGAAAGAAAAAAACATTAATTCTTCAAGAGTCGAGACACTTGAACGTCTTTTGTATCGTTTGATTTCTCTGTCTCTCTGGAATTCGATTGGCTGGTAATTTTCCTAGTGCCAGTGAGTCAATCAGTACTTATTGAAGTCAAATTGATTTAATGAAACATTCAATGAAAGACATACTTTTATAGTTTAACAAATACGTATTTTATAGTTACTTTGAATTTTGTGGATTGCATTTTATTCGAATCTTGTAAATGGATGATGAAGATAAAATGAAAACTTTATTGAATATAGTTAAGAGAAAATTAGGAAAAATTGTAAAACAAATATCTCTCACCGGTCAGATTCTAGTACATAATATTTGCCATTTGGAGGAGAAGAGAGGAGTAACCATACTCAAAAAAGTACAAGATGAGTTTGGTCGGCAGTTTGCAACTCATCCTCCCGCCACGGCCGAGAAGCAGCAGCTACAACAGCACCAAGCTCTTGTGTTCATTGAAAAACCCAACAACACAACATCAACTCTCTTCTTCTTCTTCTTCTTCTTCAATCCCTCTCATATCAAACTTAGTCTCTATTGCCCTCGCTCTCACTCTTACCTCTTCCTCTTCACCTGCCTTAGCCATTCCTTCTCTCTCCTCTTCTCAGCCTCTCACTACTCCTTTCACCCAATCCAAGTTCGTGCAGACCGGTCTCCTCAATGGGTTTGTATCTGTTCCCTCTCTCACTCTCCCTCGCTATCTGATGCTAATTCTGGGTCTCCTGGTTTCAACAATCTGTGTAGCAAAATCAGGCCTTGCCCTTCCACGAACCCAGGATGTGTATCGACGAATCCGACCTCATCTTCCTTCTCATTTCCACTGACGATCCCAGAAACCGAGTCACAGGATCCCATTCAGGTCAATTACCTCTTTTTCACCATCTTCGTCTCTTTGGGTAGTCAGAATTGACACGAGATTCGACACTATTGCAGAAACTGAAGGAAGCAATAGCGAGAACCCAGAAAAATCCTAAATTTGTGGCTCTTGAAGATACCCCATACGGTAAACCATTTTGCCTATCAATCCTAATTACAAATTCAATCTTTGATTTTGAGTTAAGAAGCACAATTAAGTCGAATAGTTATGGAGAAAAATAAAGTTTTGAGTAAGGATCTTGCATAACACAACTAATGCAGGTCGATACTTGGAAGCGGAGGTAGAAGGAGGAGGATTTAGCAGAGATGTGATGGAGTTCTTGGTGAAGCAAGATGTGGTTGCTTATAGGTGTATGGCCACTAAGGTCACCTTTGTGTATCCCTTCACAACTGCTTTTGGAGACTCAAAGGGACAAGAAGAGAGGATGAAGAAGCTCATTGATGAGCTCGGTTGGTATGCTCCAACCTTTGAATCCATGCAGGAGGAACCCATGGAGGAACCATGAAATGTTCCAATAATTTTTTATACATCGCTTTTACAAACTCACCTGCCTGGATTTGTGCTATGAGAATCAAACAAAGCTATGATTTTGTTCAGTTGAGGAGCTAGATCATGTGCTTAACAACATTCAAATGTTATCTTGTACTAAGCAAATGGAAACTTCAGTGGAAAATTGAACTAACTTGTCTGGTTTTGCTGGTAAAGCAATAACATCAATTGCTTTAGTGGGCTTGGGCCAAAATAAATGCGAGCCCAATGTAAGTTTGACTTGTGCTGACATGGCATTTTCTCCACCAGGTCTCGGTCTGTGATTGGTTCTTCAATATCCATGTGACGTTTAACTCTCTCTCTCGCTCGCTCTATTTATTTATTTATTGAGCCTTTTTCTCCATATTAATCCGAAGACTCTCCCATTTGTTTCTCTTTGAACAAAGCAAATAAAAATCGAAAAACAAAAAAAAGTCGTAAAAAACGCGCCATGGACGCCATTGATTCTGTTGTCGATCCTCTTAGAGACTTTGCCAAGGACAGCATTCGCCTCGTTAAGCGTTGTCACAAGCCAGATCGCAAAGGTATTATCACCCTATTATTCTATCTTCCTGGGATTGAACTAGATCGGCAAATGGATTTGATAGTTTGAAATTCGTGTCTTAGATAGTTATGCATGAGCGATCTGTATGCTTTTATTGTATGATCAGCTGGATCTATCGTTTTTCTTTTGCGGATTGGAAGATCTGTATGATGAATGGAGAGATCCATGGTTTACATTATGAAGATTTTCTGATTCTTAATTTTTTGTTTGTTTGTAGAATTCACGAAAGTGGCAGTCCGTACAGCCATTGGGTTTGTAGTAATGGGATTCGTGGGCTTCTTTGTGAAGCTCATCTTTATTCCGATCAACAACATCATCGTCGGTGCCACTTAGGTACATGCTCTTCACAATTTTTTTCTTCTCTTAGATTTAAGATTCCCAGACATGCATGAGTTTAATTTCCGTCTAGTGGCTTAGGAGATATTGATGATTGATTGAGGATTGTCATACTTTTGAATTGATTAAGCTAATTCGTATAGTATAGATGCATATAAGATTTAATCACATATAAGTATTGAAAGCTGCTGTGTGGACATTTTAAGTGAATTTATTTGAATCTGCACATCTAAGAGGATTGTTTATGCGTATCCTGGCAATCTCACTGAATTGAAGTTAGTTTTGCATGCATTTTTCAATCCCCGCAACTGTTGGTTTGGTTCAAATATAGGTGATAGTCTTCCAAAATTCGGTTGTCAAAAGAAATTTGTTTCAAGAGCTTTTTGGTTTCTGTTATTTCATTGTCGAGTCAAGTAATCTAAGAGGTTTTTTTTTCTTCTGAACTGCTGATAGAGTCTGTGATTCGATCATGCACATTGCATTGGCATGTTAAGGGATTATGCATTATCGAATATATTTGGGCGATTATGCAACTCTTGTTTAGATATGAATGGGAAATTGCATAGTAAAAGTGACTTTACCTTGTCCTTGAAATTTGGGAACTGCTCTTAATAAAGTTTTGTTTGGTATGTTTGCAGATAACAAGGGAAGATGGAGAAGGGTACTTACAGCTTTTTTGTTGTATCAAGAAGACATTTCACAGTTTTTTTTGTTCAGTTACTCTAAAGAGGAAACTTTTGTGAACCAAAGTTAACCACACATTTGAGATCAGTCTCTAGTAATTGCATTCTGTTTAATACATTTCACTCTTTATATATTATCACTCTGTTAAAATTTGGTGAATGTGGACAAACACAACAAATCAAATCATAGATTGTCTGTCTGACTAAAAACAATATACTGTATGCGCATGAATCAAGTGAAAATTAAAGAATCTTTTGTTGTCTGTTTTATTTATCGTACAAGACTTCCGACTCCGATTCACCACCAAGATAATCCCCTCCAAAAGTTCCATGGCAACAATCAAAACAATAAACTTGTTAACCCGATCGCAATCACATTGATACACGTTTGTTTCTTTTGACCAATATCTTTGCCACTCCAATGACATGACAAAATATAATCATATTAATAATAATGATAATGCTATTAGGTAAACCCAAACTAACAAGCATATGACATGACAACAACAAGGAAAATTGAAAGAAAGAGAGAATCTTGGAACAGAAGCAATACGACCTTTCCTTGTTATTCACTCGAAGATGACACAAACACATAATTGCTGATCATTTAAAACCACAAAAGATGAGATACCATTAACAAAACTCTTTTGAGACCCTGATAATATTGAAAGCAAGGTGAGAATAGTAATAATGCCTCCACAACTTCATCAATCTTCCATTCCTATTCTCAATCCTCCTCTACTTAGATTCTCACCTCCTTCCTCTCCAGATAATCCCAAACACCAGAGGGAATCAAATATCACCATGCCAAAATTCACTGTGCGTAAACTCATACCTCTTCTTATCTTCGTTCTTTCAAGCCTCTCTGTGCTTCGACTCATCCGGATTTCATTCAAGTCTTCATCCTCTGCATCTCGGTCTTTCTCTTCAACCACATTCCGGTTGAGTCCGGCTGAGTCCAGTCAGCAGATCAGTGCCAAGACCGCTCTCACGGAAAAGGAACTCAAGCTCTTATCAGATACCATTACTCGTAGATCCCCTTGCAACGTTCTTGTTTTTGGATTTGCAGCTCAATACCTCATGTTATCTTCAATCAACACCAGAGGCATCACCGTCATTCTTGACGAAGAACCTGCAAAGATAATGACACCAAAAGCTGAAGTAAATCCCAACAACACAAGAATCCACAGCTTGAAATACCATCAGATGGAAGTCAAAAATGCTTACAATCTGCTTCGACTTGCTAGAGCTAATCCCGCATGCGCACCAAATATGAATAATCTACATCAAGGCTCATCAGACTGCAAACTGGAACTGCAGGACTTGCCACAGGAGGTACACAATATCAAATGGGATGTGATAGTTGTTGACGGGCCACATGGGAATGACTTGGAGGCACCAGGTAGGATGGGGAGTATATACACTGCAGCCGTGTTAGCTAGAAAAGGAAGTAGTAACTCGACTACGGATGTGTTCGTGCATGATGTGCACAGGACTGCTGAGAAGTGGCTCTCCTGGGAATTCTTGTGCCAGGAGAATCAGGTTTCAGCTAAAGGAAACTTCTGGAAGTTTAGGATCAAAGGTCAATCAAACGCAACCAGGTTTTGCTCACCAGAAAAAAGCCTTGTCAGATATTAGCAAAATTTTGTACATCTTATCAATAGCAACATTCTTGCTCCCTCAGTTTGAGACACTTCTGAAGTCTTTTTCTCATAACAATGCAGGTGAAACATATTTTCAAATAAGCCAGTCAATGTAGAGTAGCTATCAGAGTTTTGTATAAATGTTATCCCAAATATGTGTGTCCAACTAGAAAATGAATACAGCTAGTTGAAAATTTTATTACTGCATATAAGCTTCGTGAAAATTTTACCCTTTAAAATACCGTACGAAAACAAAAATGTAACCATATTTTTACACTAGTTCCAAGGAGTATCCAGGATCACATACCACTAAAATTCTTTCAGAGCTCGACATTATGAACAGGATACATAGGAGCAGCATCTCTAAGAAAAGAGGATTGTAAAATTCACACATGTGTGATCCGTACTCGTATTTTGAATGTCAGCCCAACCATCATTCATCACTCTTCTCTCTTCGCTGCAATCACAATAAAATGTATACACATAAGGCCACTGAGATGTACTTCTCGAAGTAAAATTAGGAACAGTAACCAGTCATTTGTAATTTAGTATTATAAAGGCAAAACCTACCACCCGTTTGCTAATGTACGGTTGTATTTGGACTGGTTCTGGTTCCGGTTCCGATTCCATAGAGATGCTTTCAGTTTTGACTAACTTCCGTTTCTCCTTCTCAAATTCTTTTCTAGATTCTTTTCGAGTGCCTGATTGCCAAACCCGACCAAAGTTGGGAAGCCAGTCTGCATCAGTGTTACTATTCGTTGCATGCCCCCTCTTCTCCATCTCCATCTCTATCTTTCTCCTTTCAGCCCATGCAGCGCCAACCCTGTTAGGGTTCAGCTTACAAGTCTTTACAGGTATCTTTTCCTGAAACCTGCTCATATCCGGTTGAACATTAGAGAGACTCCCGTCATTTGCATCAAGCCACGGTGGAGGAGCTCCAGAATGAACGTTTCCGCTAGCATCGCTGGAATGTGAGGAAGATATCATTCCCACCACACCTGATAAGAAAACAAAAGAAAAGAGAAAAAAAACTCATGCCATTTAAATTTAGTACATATCAGACTGGATACATCAATGCAATCATGGACCTAGACGATGAAGCACTAATCATGAAATTAAAACAACGCAGATCAAATTTAAATATCAAGCAGACACCTACCTGGAGAACTGCAACTGCCCTTAGTTTGTTTCTTATCCTTGCACATCTGATAATTCTAGATGAAGACAGCGTCAGTCGTAACCCAACATGAATCAGACAGCTTGTACTTACTCTATTATCCAACATGTATTAGAAAACATAACTAATCTTAGGGGTAAAACTTATAGTCCAATCAGGTTCAACCATCTTTCAGTTAATTTAGTTCCCAAGTCATTCTGAGAAGCAGATAAAACCTTATATAAGATGACTTTAAAAGCAGCAATATCAATGTTTCTATGACTGAAACTCACCTCTTGGGTGCAAAAATTACCATTGCCCGAGTAACTGCTGCTTCTAATGGAATGTTTGCCGACCCCGTTCCCTAAAGAATAGAAGTCATAAGAGACTATTATATACATCTTACTAGAAACTGATAAAGTACGGAGGTCGGAATCAAACAAAAAAATACCTTGTAGATGACTCAGCGGATCAGCAAAGAGAGGGAGATGAGATGCATCCGTGTTCAGATGTGAACCATAATGTGTAACTCCAGGAAGCTCTGAATGTGATATCTGATACTCATTCGTATTATACTGTAAAGGCATAACATCATTTATATGGTTTATAGGAAATTTTTCAATTATATCCATAGTTTCAGAGTCAAGTTTATTGTGGATATCATTAGATGTCCTGGAAAGCTGCCCGCAGGACACTTTACTAGCAGATGCATCTTCCTTTCTCAATGACTGACATTTCTTCCCCCACTACAGCCAACATAAAGTAGAATTTCATTAGAGAATTCAACGAATAAAACTAATAATCTCTTTTCTTGTCAAATGTTACACCAGAGAGCATAATCTTCAAGTAGATAGTGTATACCTTAGCTACATCAGCTTCTGAAATTCGGAAATCATCTATGCAATCCATTGCCGGGCCATGTTTCCATAGAAATTGCTTGATATTCTTAAGATGATCGGAACTAGCGAAGTGATTGATTGCCTTCGAACTGATTAAAAGCATACAAACAAAACATTATGTGCAGTCAAAAAAATTATACTGAAGAAGACGCTTCGGTTTTTCTCCGGCCATGAAAACTCTTTCATCAACAACAATTCTCTCCCGCATTCCGATTCCACATTCAATTCAAGTAACATAGGCACTATACTCACAAAATTACGATTCCAAATCGAACGAACATACTCAAATCCAGAGGCAAAAGGGAAAAGGGAATGCCATACCAAGCGAAGGAGCTACCGAGCTCAACAATGTCCTCATCGCAGAAGACACACCAAACACGGTTTTTCGATTCCTCCTGTGGCCGTAGAACGCTAGGGTTCCTCACGAAGAATCTGACATCAGCTAACTTCGATCGGAATCGGTCGAGAAAGGCAGAGAGGGAGTCTTTGTGGCGAGGGAAGTACTTGTGGCGCGGGCCATGGTCGTGATGCAATCGGCATACTTTGCAAAACTCGATTTCGCTCTTCTTCGACGGTTTCATCTTCCTCTTCTTCTCTTCCATCGAGCTCTTCCGTCTGACACAGAGCTGCGATTAAGAAACTTTTGTAGCTACGGTGTGGTACTCCACAGCCGATATATCTCACTCTTACCGAAGTGGTTTTTGTTTTAGTTGTTTAACCCGAACCGGTCTAGCCGGTCGAATCGGTAAACCAAAAAACTCTTGGCCTTTAAAAACTGTTTAAGTAGTTATTATCATTAACTGTCGGTTAAGATTTTTTTTTTTTAAAACAAATACTGTTACTTGAGAACAAAAGAAAAGCTGTTATTGTAAACTCAGAATATTCTTTCAAAAACGATTCCAATATATATCAAAAAGATATTTAGATAAATTCGAAATCGATAGAGATGAATCAATCTTGGAAGATTCTCAGATACTGTTATTGTTATAACTTATAAGTATCTTCTTATTCTGGGTTTTGTCTGCTTACGTTTCACAACAAAGCAATGATGGTGACTACTAGGGTTTTGCTCCTGCTTCTCTGTTTCATCGGACTGCTGAGCTCGACCTTATGTTTGAATCACGCCGATGGACGTGGAGATCAGCCACTGGCTCAGATTAACATTTACGAAACAAGTCTTGCTTTGGACACTTCCATCAACATTCACGCTTCTCCTCAAGTTCTTGGTTTACAGGTTCCATAACTAACTAAGTGCTTCATATCCAAATTTCTCTTCCTTGATGTTGTCTGATTCTAGTTTTCCTTGATCTACAGGGTGAAGATACTGAATGGGTACATGTTGCTATCTCAAACCCCAAGCCAACCTCAGACGACTGGGTCGGAGTTTTCTCGCCAGCAAAATTCGAGTAATTAATATTCTCATCTACAATAACAACAGTGTTTGTTTTGAATGGTGAAATATGAGCCACTGTGTTTTTTAATGCGTTATTATTATTTACTCTGTCTTTGTTGTTAGCGCATCTCCATGTTGGCAAACAGATGGCAAAGAGAAACAACCTTTCATTTGCTCATCTCCCATTAAGGTTTGTTTTTGTTTTTTTTTTTTCTTACACTTCATCTGTGATTTCTATATTTGATCTCCTGATAACATTAACTCCGTTTCTTCTTTTTGCCAGTACATGTTCGCGAAGAACTATCCAGAGTATATAAAGTCCGGGAACGTGATTATGAAGTTTCAGATCATAAACCAGAGAGATGATATCTCCTTTGCACTGTTTGCCGGAAACCTTTGGAGTGTACGTTCTCTCAGTTTAGTATATTGTATCTCTGCTATAGCTAGCAAGTGGACTTATTATTGATCTTTTTTTTGAATACCACAGCCAAAACTTCTCGGTGTTTCGAATACTGTAGCTTTCGTCAATCCTAAAGCACCTGTGTACCCTCGTCTTGCATTAGGGAAGAGTTGGGACGAAGTAAGTTTTGAGTCAAAGGCCTTATAAATGCGTTGCAGCTATTATTTTGATATCTTTTCACTAAAACATGTTTTTTTTTTGTTGGGATTCTTGATAAGATGACTGTGACATGGACGAGTGGGTACAACATAAACGAGGCTGTTCCGTTCATTGAATGGAGTTCGAAGGGATTTCCAGCCAAAAGATCACCAGCTGGAACCATAACCTTCAACAGAAACAGCATGTGTGGTATGTTCTGTTTTTGGTTTATTTCTCTTTAACTTTAACTGTGATTTGTGTGGCAACAATCATGGAATCTCTTGAATTTCTTCACAGGCAATCCTGCTCGTAGCGTTGGTTGGCGCGATCCGGGTTTCTTCCATACCGCTTTCTTGAAAGAACTTTGGCCAAACCGCGAGTACGACATCTGTAAATCTTGCCTCTTTCTCCATCTAAACCAAGACTACTAGTCTTGTTTTTTTAACTTTCAATCATTTGGTTTTCAGATATACGTACAGACTAGGCCATGACTTGGTCAATGGGTCGATGGTTTGGAGCAAGAACTACACTTTCGTTTCCTCCCCTTTTCCTGGACAAGACTCGCTACAACGGGTCATAATATTTGGTGACATGGGCAAGGTACTGTCTCGTTTAGGCCATTTCCTCTCGGACTATTATCTCAAAATGGTCACTTTTATGAAAATATGTTTCAGGGAGAGAGAGATGGCTCGAATGAATACAATGATTATCAGCCCGGTTCTATCAACACAACTGACCAACTCATCAAGGACTTGAAGAACATTGACATTGTTTTCCACATTGGAGATATCACTTATTCAAATGGGTATATCTCTCAGTGGGATCAGTTCACAGCTCAAGTTGAGCCCGTTGCTTCTAAGGTTCCTTACATGATTGCGAGGTTAGTCATTCATCAAGAAAAAAGGTTTTATCATTGTTCTTCTCCTCTACCTACTCTTGCAGTGGGTTTAAGTTCTTTCTTGTTTCACTGCAGTGGCAACCACGAGCGTGATTGGCCAGACACAGGATCTTTCTATGGAGGTAAAGACTCTGGAGGAGAATGTGGTGTTCCTGCAGAGACCATGTTCTACTTTCCTGCTGAGAACAGAGCTAAATTCTGGTAAAGTTGTTAAACCATTGACGTTTTTCTTGCGGGTTCTTAAAACAATATTCTTACAGATTTCGGTGTGTATGGAGCAGGTATCAGACTGATTACGGAATGTTCCGCTTCTGTATAGCAGACACTGAACACGACTGGAGAGAAGGCTCAGAGCAATATCAGTTCATCGAGCGTTGCCTTGCCACTGTTGACAGAAAGACTCAGCCTTGGCTCATCTTTATTGCTCATCGTGTCCTGGGTTATTCCTCCAATGAGTGGTATGGCAAAGAAGGAACCTTTGAAGAGCCTATGGGAAGAGAAAGCTTACAGAAACTGTGGCAGAAATATAAAGTAGACCTTGCTTTCTACGGCCATGTCCATAACTATGAGCGAACTTGCCCCATTTACGAGGTTCGATCCCATAATAAAATTACTCAATTTCCATCTCATCCATATGCCTTTGACTCTTACCCCATTCTTGTTTTGTATTGCAGAGCCAATGTGTGAACGGTGAGAAGGATCACTACTCAGGGACCTTCCAAGGAACCATTCACGTTGTTGTTGGTGGTGCAGGAAGTCACTTGTCTCCCTTTAGCTCACTGATACCCAAATGGAGTTTGGTCCGAGACTATGACTATGGGTTTGTGAAGTTGACTGCTTTCAATCACTCGTCGCTTCTCTTTGAGTACAAGAAGAGTAGCACTGGCCAATTGTTTGACTCCTTCAACATCTCTAGAGATTACAAAGATGTTTTGGCTTGCACTCACGATAGCTGCGAGCCCACCACATCAGCTTCATGATTTTTCTTTTAAGCACAACAGCTTTCCTGCAAAATTAATAAATAGCTTGTTGTTTTTCTTTATAGGTTTTAGTGTTTTACACAATTTTCTTTGACAGTGTTAGTTGATTTATTTAGTTGCAGAGTTTTACAATATAAGTTTATAGATTTGCTTCTCATTTCATCGAACAAATATCTTAATACAAACATAACCATTGTGTGTGAGAAGCCATAAGGTGTGCAAGTTTTTAAGAATTTGCCTCTCTGTTTGCAAAAAAAGACAACACAGTGACCAACCAGTACTCTTCGACCTTTCTCTTCAATCAGCCATCTCTACTTCAAGAGGTTTGTCTTGTTGGCTCTCATGTGAAATCATTGATGCGAGATCTTCAACTTTCAGGGGAGAACGTCGGGCCATATATTGAAACATGATCTGCAGGATGGATTATAAATGCTTAAGAAACATGGTTTCCGTAAAGTTTGGTATCCAATATGCAAAGAAAGAGAGTACTACTAACCTTGGAATAGCTATCAGCAAAAGCTCGGGCTCGATTTGACGCACTGATATACTGTAAATCCGCCTTCTCAAATCTACCATCCACACACATCAGCCCTCCATCTCCAATGGCAAAGCGAATAAGGCTTCCTGAAGACAATCCTGACTGTAATATCCAACATAGCACGAACAAAATTTAGAAAGCATCCTTCAGCTAATTTAAATTCAATCTCTCATAATGGATACACGGAGTCTTAAACGTATAACACAGTACTAAGCTAGATGGATGGATCTGTTGGTCCTCAAAACGAAGAAAATTACTAATCAGCAAATATTAACTAGAATACTTCATAGACCTTCCTAGCTCGTTTAAAAGGCTTATCAGGAAATAGATTCACTCGTTTTATCTTGAACATACCTGTTGTAAGAAATCTGCATTCAAGGAATTAAATGGTATTGGTGGATCATCTGATGTTACAAGCTTTCCATCATCTTGTAACTCCAAGACAATCTGAGCTTACAAGATACAGAGAGAATTAATGTTAAAACATTTGTTAGTTGGCCGCAAATGTATAATACTAAACACTTTGTATGACCAACCATGAGCTGTAAATATATGTCAAGTACTTACATATTGTTGCTCTGGAACTTGTCCATTGTTATCTGTATCGATGACATACTGACTACACTTCTCATCCTTCCATATCAACACCAGAGGAGTATTTCCAATATGATAATGTGCATGCCTGCAAGTATCACATGAACTTTAGCCGGGAAAGAGAGGAAATGTTGCCATATAACAGTTGAAGCAGCAAGTGGAGTTTAAACAATAAATGATACTGTAGACACCAGGAGAGATCAACTGAAGCAAAATAAATAGGAGAGATCAAATGATGCACTTACTTGTTATAGAACAACAATCCATCCTTGACATAAGGTAATGATCCTGTATAAGCTGAGTGAAGTCCGCTTTGGTCGCAGTTATAAAAAGGAACTGCACTGAACCTGAACTTGTGGTAAAAGGAAGGCGGATCACAAGCACCCGTCTCAGCAAGCTTTGATTGCATCCAAAAGAACCTGAACTCTGCCGTGCATTCATAGAGCGAGTAACCTCTCCAACACACCATATCAATCACGTAGTATGTCTGATCCGACTGCATAAGAAACAGTAACAAACCACCTCCTAGTAAGCTCAATAACGGAGATAAAGTGATAAACAGATAAAATCATAGAGAAAGAACAAAAAAGAAGAGTCTTTGACCTCGTGAAATATACAGTCTAGTATGGAATATGACTGTGCAGGGCCAGAAGTGCCTTTCTTCCTGGCGCCACCAGGCAACGCAGAAGGGAAATGGTGCAAGACGGATCCATTGCGTAGTCTACTAACGGTGGTTCCATCTGATGAAACTACGAAGCATCTTTTTCCAGCTGGTCTTGCTAACACATACCTAAAGCCAACCATTTTCTCATAATCAGATTCGAATTTAAGCAAACCGAACATTTCTCAATTTGAGAATGAGAAGAAGCAGTGAGGGTTTACCAATCTAGGCTCAGATTATCAGGGACGTCGATCATCCATTCGGGTAGCATAAGCTGCCTCGCGAACCACTTGCGTGCCTCGGGTCCTCTGAGCCTGGAAGCGTGGCGAACGTCAAAGCTACTCGATTCCGATTCTTCACCGGCATCGAGGTCTGGCTCGGCTTCAGATAGTACTTCCGGGTCGACATCGGGAGAGGTGGATTGGAGAGAGATGACGGAAGATGCGAGGTTTCGGGCTCGCTGCTGGGCGTCACTGCGATTCTGACACTGACGGAGAAGGGATAGCTCTCGGCGTTTCTGTTGATCGGAGATAGGTCGTCGCTTGAAAGGACGGCGGATATCATGCGGCGCCATTTTTGGATGAAGAAAAGTTGTATTGAAGCGGTAGCGAGTTCGAACAACAATGCTCTATTAGAGAGGATAGAAACAAAAATTCTCAAATGTTTGACCGGTTAAGTTTCCCAATTACGAAAGTTGGTCAACCGGTCCAGGTAGTTATTATCCTTACGTGTCATCATGATATAGTTTCTCCAATTTTCTTTTCTTTTTTTTTCTCCCACCGAGAAAAGCCGCATATATAGTCACACAAATTACACTCACACTCATTTTCTTGTTTCTTCCTTTCAAAATTCATCTCTCGCATTGATTCTTCAACCATCGGAGATTCTTCGGAAAGTCTACAATCGAAGAATCGGAACAGAGATTAGAAGCAGCGAAGAAGGAAGAGTCATGGGGTCAACGCCCCAGAGCGAAGACATCTCTGGCAACAATACCAACGCGTTGCCCAACGGAAGCAGCAAAAGATCTCCATCTTCATCGAATGATAAACCTTCTTCACCCGAGCGCGAAAAGGTTTCTGATCAGAGACCCTTCTTCTTCATCAATCGTCGAATACCCTTTCCGTGCCATCTGGAGGCTCTGGTTTGAATTTTAGGGGATTTTGGGGATTTCCCTTTCAATTTCAGCTGGAAAATGGCGGCGGGAGTACCGAGAATCCGGCGGCTGCAGCCGATGATCAGGAGCTCGCGGAGGAGACATCCAAGGATAAATGCACGATGTCTCCTGTAGATTCTGGTGAATGCGATGGCGCTCCAATCTCTGGAGACGCCAAGATTGAGGCCTCCGCGGCGGCGCCACCACCTGTTGCCGGAGGTGTGTCACTCTTACTCTCTTGAAAATCTCTCTGCACTTCGTCTCAATTTTTCCTTTTGGATATGCGAACCTCCTGAATCTGATCTTTTTTTCAATTCGTCTTTGTTCTTGGACTGAATGTCTTCGCTAGGCGCAACACCGATTTTGCCAGAGAAGCCAATAATGGGTTCGCTTCCCTCACGAAACTCTGAGAACCCGTGGTGTAAACTTCTATCACAGTCTGGAGAGGTTCGTTACTAGTTAGAAAAAAAAAAGATAATTCTGGGATTTATCTGTCTTTATCTTGTAATGCTCTTATGGAGGCCATATCCTGACATTTGAGCTACGTATGAGTTTCAGCAACCAAACGTTAGCATTGTTTTATCATGCTTCACCATTGGCTCTAGTGAAACCTGCAACTTGGTATTGAAAGACCTGGATGCCAGTGAAATACTGTGCAAGATCACAAGACAACAGGTTAATTTTTTTCCCCTTAAATGTTATGCTCAAGCATCTGCATTTCATATAAGAAATTGTTTGAGATTCGTCACAGTAGCACTGCTGGATTTTGAGATTTATTCTTGTTTCAGAGAACTCAGTTATGAACTGTTTGTGAACTTCTTAACTATGTACATGTTCAGCCTGGAAGCAGTGGTGTAGCTGTTCTAGAGGTCACAGGAAGCAAAGGACAAGTGATGCGTAATAGAATAGCTGTCACGAAGGATTCTACATGTCAGCTACACTCTGGTGACGAAGTGGTTTTTGGTTCACTCTGGAGCTCTGCTTTCGTATCCCATGTCTTTCCACTCTCTTTATTTTGTACCGAGTTAAGACGGAATATCTGAAGTTGTAGATACACAAAAGTTTTCCCCTTAATTTTTATCCAGATATTTCAGAAAATGTCTGAAGTTGCAGAAAAAGATGGTGGAGTTCAGAAGCCCGCAGGAGAATTTTCGCAGAGACACCTGATCCAGAGACTTCAGATAGATAGAGCCGTGCTCCAGGAACACCTGCAACTTTTGGAAGTGCTTTCAAGATTTAACGAGGACTTAAATCGTTTTTGGTTATCCAAGAAGATCCGCCAAGCGGCGGAGAAACCTGCTACTTCTGTGGTCCAAGATGACGCAGAGCTCGAAATTGACGGCATGGAAGTGAAATTTTCTGTTGATAATCAAAGTGATAAAGCTGCAGATAGTGGAGCAATTAGCAGTCAGAACCAAAATTCCAAAATGGAGGTAGTTACTCTATGTTTCCGTGCGTTGGCGTCATCAACAATATTGAGCATTATATTAACAAAGCTGGTTTCAGATGTTAGATGAGAAAAACGAGTCGGCGAGAAACTCACAACTAGCTTCAACATCAGGCGATGGTCTGCGATCTACAATCTTAAGAGAAGTCATTCAAGCTAGTATTGTTGAAGGAAAACGCTTGGAAGTTTCATTCGAAAATTTTCCCTACTATTTGAGGTGACCATTCATATTAATTTTGTTCGGTTACTAACTATCATGATTTTTAATTCCTTCCTGATATTTGAGTTGGAAAATATGAGAAGTCTATCTTCTTTTTTTCTTGTCTTTGGTATTTTAGGCTTTGCATGGGTACTGTTCTTTGTTTTCTGTATGCTGATCAAGGTCTTCTGTTTTCTATTTGCAGCGAGAATACAAAAAATATCTTAATAGCTGTTTCACATATACATCTGAAGCGAAAAGAATATGCCAAGTATGGCACCGACTTGACCACTTTGAATCCAAGGATCTTGCTTTCTAGTCCCTCAGGTTTGTGGTACCTTGCGTGTGTGTGTGGTTCCTATAGTTATTATAGGCGGCAACATCATTTTTTACTTTTTGGTTGGAGTTGTTTCAGGGTCCGAAATATATCAACAGATGTTAGCTAAAGCACTTGCCAATCACTTTGAGGCGAAATTGCTAATATTTGACAGCCTTCCAATTTTGGAGGTAAGGCATTAAGTTGTTTCCTCTGACGAGTAAATTGCTAATATTTTTAAATCTGAGAGTACCGCGAAAGTGATTTCTGGTGCATCCGTTCTTCAATGTCATGCAGGCTATGACTGCTAAGGAAATTGAGTCACTGAAAGGAGAATCGTCGCGTCTAAGGCAGTGTCTTGAGCTCATTGGTCGGAGGAACAGCTCGGATTTTTCAGCAGGTGAAGGAGATTCATGGAGCCCTTCTTCTTCTCTGGACTCACTGCCTAAGTGGGAGGCGGAGACTTTACCTCGTTCAGTTGGAACGCCAGTGTCTCATACTTTGAAGAAAGGCATGCCCTATTAATTTGTTTGCAACAGAAGATTCTTTTTCAGTTTTCTTGGATTTATGATTGATGATACTTCATTGCAAAAAAAAAAAAAAACACTTGCAGGTGACAGGGTAGAATTCATCGGTTCTAAGTTCTATGGGGAACTTTTAATTGGGCTTAAAGGGAAAGTTATGTTAGTATTTGATGAGAATCCTTCAGCTAAATTGGGTGTTAGATTTGATGAGCCCGTACCTGATGGAGTTGATCTTGGTGATCTGTGTGAAAAGGGACATGGGTTCTTCTGCCATGGTAACTTCTTGTTCGGTACTGCATTGCTTACTGGTCCTTTGCAGCTCTTGTCTCACGAACCGTTTCTTCTGTTTCTTTTCTATAGCTATTGATCTTCGGGTCGAAAGGTCGAGTTCTCGGGATCTAAGTAAACTACTTATTAACACGTTGTTTGAGGTACTTGTTCTCTCAGTTACAAAGTAATAAATTTGTTTTTGGTCATATCTTTTTCCATGTGCTCATTATCTTCATCTGTTTCCAGGTTGTCCATGCTGAGAGCGGAACTTCTCCGTTTATTCTCTTTTTGAAAGATGCGGAGAAGTTTGTTGCTGGAAATTACTCTGCGTTTGAAACAAGACTTGAATATCTCCCAGAAAACGTAATTGTGATCGCTTCACAGACACACTCTGATAATTACAAGGAGAAGGTAGTTACTGCCCAATGATTTTGCCCCAGTTGCATGCACTGAGCAAAAGTTAGAATGCTTTTATTATTAGCTTAACTAAAATCATGCGTTCACAGGCATTTTAATCAGTGCCAATCAGGCATTCTCCTTCTTTAATTCATAGGTTGAACCGTTGAAGTAGGCTTTAAATATTGTGAATTCACGATAGAAATTTGATTACTTTGCAACATGAGCACATTTATAGCATATTGGTTACTTGTAACTCTGGGATTTCTAATCCATAGCTAGCTCATTTCTTTTCATCCATTTTGCAGTCTCACCCTGGTGATTCTACCAGGTTCGGCAACAGCCAAACAGCTCTTCTCGACTTATCTTTGCGAGTAAATCAACGTTCCCTCTTTTCTTTGTTTGTTTCATAAGCAGGAAAATTTAACATCACAAGATTAAGTACAGTCATTCGTAAGGCAAATGACCATTTAATGCATGTTATCCGGTTTCTTCTGCTGTAAATCTCTATTATATTTATGTCTAGGACCATTGGGATTATTTCATGCTCATATATGCCTTACATGAACTGTCATCTGTTCTGTTCCTCGGAAACAAGCATATTTAATCCTGCGATTCTTATTTCAACTGGCTACTGTGAATCCGCAGAGTATTCCCTTCACTTCTGGAGTGGGTTTAATGTTACCTTTACTTTATATTCCGCAGAATTTTGAACGACTACGTGAGCCAGGCAAGGAAGTCCCAAAGGCAACGAAACTTCTAACGGAGCTCTTTGGGAATAAAGTTACTATTCAAATGCCACAGGTTTGTTACTATGGTCTTCCCTACATAAGCATGCTCGTCTGTTGTCTGTCAGACTTGATGGAGCTAGTTATTTCCAGGATGAGGATCTTTTTAGACTCTGGAACCATCAGTTGGATCGTGATGCTGAGACTCTGAAATTGGAGGCTAATTTCAATCAGTTGCGCTTGGTATGCTATTTAGCTGTTTTCTTGGATTTAATATGTAGAAAAAAAGTCATGGCAGCATTTTATGTCTGGACACAGTATACATTTTACATATCAGGTTCAAAATCCTTGGAGTGAATAATCTTTAATTTTCTTAGGTGTCCTTATCTGCATATCTAGCCTCATTAAATCTGTGGCATTTTTGCTATTCATTAAAGCCTTTACCTCTATCTGTCATCCTCTTTCAAAGCTTGATTGCTGGCATCTTAATGCAGGTGCTGGAACAATGTGGACTAGAATGTGAAGGAATTGAGACGCTGTCCATGAAGGATCTCACACTTCGAAGCGACAGTATGTTTTCCCTTAGTTCGGCATGATGACTGAAATTAATTGACAGTGGAATGGTTTTCCAAATCGTTGAATTTGACTTTCTGCTTTAGGTGCAGAAAAGATTATTGGATGGGCTCTGAGTGACCATCTAAGGCGTAATCCTGATGCTGATCCAGAAAAGTTTATCTTGTCTCTTGAAAGGTAACTGGCATTTGGCAGCTTGTCCCTGTGCATTTCTGCTCTAAAATATCTGTTTCAGTATTGATTGCAAACTTTGGATCGTTGCAGCATAGAATTTGGAATTGGACTTTTACAGGATCTTCTAAATGAATCTACGAGCTCAAAGAAGTCTCTCGAGGTTAGGAAATTGTCTTGGAATAAATTGAATTGTTTTGTTTACCGACTTTCATAATGGAAATGGCTCCTATCATGAAACAACTGTTTACTTTTCTCTGTTTCTTATAGGACACTGTGACAGAAAATGAGTTTGAGAAGCAGCTTTTAAGTGATTTTATTCCGCCCAGTGACATTGGCGTTAGATTTGATGACATTGGGGCACTTCGGAATGTCAAAGACACCTTGAAGGAATTGGTTATGCTTCCTTTACAACGGCCTGAACTTTTCTGCAAGGGGCAATTGACAAAGGTAGTTCTACTCTATGCCTTAGGTTTCAGAAAACCCAAATTTTTTTACGAGGTCCTGCCTGAATATATTATGAAGGGCTCACCTTTTATCTGAGTGTACATGATTTTTGTTGGGGTAATGATGATAAGTTATAGTAGCTGATAATTTGGTTTTCCTGAAAAGTCTTCTCTTTAGGTTTAGTTGTTACTTGTTAGGAAAGTATAAAATAATTGTGTTTTTGACATGTGCATTGGTGGCTTCCTAATCAGTCCGCTCCTGTACTTTTCTAAGCAGCCTTGTAAAGGAATTCTCTTATTTGGACCTCCTGGAACCGGAAAGACTATGCTTGCAAAGGCAGTGGCAAAAGAAGCTGGTGCTAACTTCATCAACACCTCAATGTCAAGCATCGGATCTAAGGTAACATAATACCTGAAAAGTTGTACTCGTTACAGGGACTCTGCTGTTCAAACTTGTCTTCTTTTCAAAACCTGTAGATGTTTGGTGAGGCTGAGAAGTATGTCAAAGCAGTCTTTTCATTGGCCAGCAAACTTTCCCCTAGCGTTATCTTTGTGGACGAGGTAATTTTTCATGGTGAAATTATTGAGTGAATGTTGCTTGTAAGCAAACCACTGACAGTCTTGGAATATATTAACTGTCTTGTAGGTGGACAGCATGCTAGGCCGAAGAGAAAACCCCGGGGAACATGAGACCATGCGGAATATGAAAAATGAGTTCATGATAAATTGGGACGGTCTAAGGACAAAGGAGAAGGAACGTGTTCTGGTTCTTGCAGCCACAAATCGGCCTTTTGACCTTGATGAAGCCGTCATTAGACGGTTACCCCGTAGGTAATTATTATATGGCTTCCTTGTTGGAGACTAAGCTTCTTCTTCTTTTGTCAACCTGACATGAGAGTATAGGTTGTGAGACGTTTGTGGTATTGACTACTGCAGGTTGATGGTGGGGCTACCAGATGCTCCGAACAGAGCAAAGATACTAAGGGTCATACTTGCGGAAGAAGACTTGTCCCCTGATATTGATCTTGATGGAGTTGCAAGGATGACTGATGGATATTCTGGAAGCGATCTCAAGGTTAGTAATTCTCTTATCCTTTGTTATGATCTGCCAAAATGAAAATAATTCTCATATATATACCTTGTTGTTTATCTTCTGGTGCGCGCAGAATCTATGTGTTGCTGCTGCCCACCGTCCAATCAAGGAGATATTGGAGCAGGAAAAAGTTGTGAGTTTTCTGTGTATTCAATCAGTGAGTTTTTTTTTTTGTATATTGTATGCATTTGCGTAAACATCTCTAAGATATGTTTTTTGGATCAATTATTATGGTAGGAGCGAGATGCTGCTCTGGCTGAAGGCAAAGCTCCTCCAGCTCTAAGGGGAAGTTGTGATATCCGAGCTTTAAACATGCAGGATTTCAGATACGCACATGAGCAGGTAAAGATTTGCTTATGCTGTATATTCTTGTTTGGTATCAGACTCAGGCTCAGCGAACTGTAACTATTGTCCTTGGTGTTGAATCAGGTGTGCGCGAGCATCTCGTCAGAGTCGGTGAACATGACAGCGCTTCAGCAGTGGAACGATCTCTACGGGGAAGGTGGATCTAGAAAGAAGACATCACTCAGCTACTTCATGTAAAGATTGAAACTAATTCATAGACCATAACTCTATTTTAGTCTGGAATAGAGCTCTCAGGTTGGAGGCAGAAAGTGTTTATGTAGTTAGTTCAGGGGAAATAGATAATACAGTTTGTGTTTGTATAGCTGCTAATGTAGATGTAGTGAGTTCCGACAGAATAACCGACTCTGGTTTTTGATACAGAAAAGAACAATTTGTTAATATGAAGTGTTTTCGATCAATCGCATGATCTTTGGTTTTATAGTTTAACTGAGGCTACGACCGGTTTAGTTGATTGGTAGAAAGACTCTTTTATAGCTTAACTTAACGTAGGATCTCTTAATAATTAAGATTCGAAATCTAAACCGACTCTGAGTCTGGGTTTTCCACGCCTTTAAAAGGGGGTCGACTTTTCCCTCTCTTAACTTTATCACAAGCTTCAGCCGTTCGCGCTCTTTTATGTGAGTTTGGTTTTAAATTCCGATTGTTTTCTTGTTAGGGTTTGGCTCGACTCATCTCGATTCGGCTACCGTCGTTTATCCTTACATGATTTTGCCGCTGGTCATGGAGGTACGTTCTTTTCTTTGCCTAGGGTTTCTCAAACTCGTTGATTTCTGTTTCTGGATTACTTGGTATTGATGTCTTTGTCGGAGACTTACTTTTCGGATTCATATTCCAGGGACAAAGCAGCGCGAGAGGGGAGACGCATATCTGATCAATTCTCGTTGATCTGATGGCTTTTCTTATTGCGTTATCTGTCTCTATAGATCAAACCATCGCATAGTTTTTGTTTGGGATTTCAAACTGAGAGAGAGAGAGAAAAAAAGAGGAGATGTGTATATGACCTTTGCCATGACAGGTGCGCTTGCTTGGCAGGTCAAAACCACTCTTCTTTCATATGCTGCTTGCATACCGGATCATATGCTTCTTGCATACCATACCACACACAAGAGTATCTTACTCTTTTCTATGCTGCTTGCATACTTTTTTATATGCTGCTTGCATACTCGTTTATGTGCTGCTTGCATACTGATTCACATGCTGCTTGCATACCACAAAGAGTATCTTACTCTTTTTATATGCTGCTTGCATATTCGTTTATATGCTGCTTGCATACTGTTTATATGCTTCTTGCATACTCGTTTTATATGCTTCTTGCATATTGTTTCATATGCTGCTTGCATATTGTTTTATATGCTGCTTTCATGCCACAAAGAGTATTTTACTCTTTTCTATGCTGCTTGCATACGTATTATATGCTGCTTGCATACTCGTTTATATGCTCTGCTTGCATACTCTTTTATATGCTGCTTGCATATTGTTTCATATGCTGCTTGCATACCACACACCAAAGAGTATCTTTCTCTTTTCTATGCTTCTTGCATACGTTTTATATGCTGCTTGCATACCACAAAGAGTATCTTGCTCTTTCATATGCTACTTGCATATATTAAACATGCTTCTTGCATACAACAAAGAGTAGGCATCACTTGTGCTCTCTAATATGCGTTATTAAGCTATCACTTGTGCAAACATGCAGGATTTCAGATACGCACATGAGCAGGTAAGATTTACTTATGCTGTATTATAATTATTCTTCTTTTTCATGTAAGACTCAGGCTCAGAGAACTGTAATTGCTGTCCTTGGTGTTGAATCAGGTGTGCGCCAGCATCTTGTCAGAACATGACAGGCTTCAACAATGGACCGATCTCTAGAGGGAAGGTGGATCTAGAAAGAAGACATCACTCGGCTACTTCATGTAAAGACTGAAACTACTTCAGAAACCATGACTCAGTTTTAGTCTTGAAAAGAGCTCTCAGGTTGGAGGCAGTATGTGTTGTACATGTAGTTTGTTCAGGGGAATATAGATAAAACAATGTCTTTGTATAGCCTGCTAATGTAGTGAGTTCGACAGAATAACCGGCGGGTTATTTATAAAGAAAAGAAACCGGTCAGGTTTAGTTAATAGTTTCAAACGACTTGTATACTTTGGGGGTGATGAGACTCGTGATCCAATGCTTTTGTTTTCGCGTAATAGGTAATACAAAGTGTTCTCTCCGAAAATATTCGATCAATCTTTTACAATAGCATCTTTGGTTTTATAGCTTAACTGAGACTACGAGCGGTTTAGTTGGTTGGTAGAAAGACTCTTGTACCATTGAGATCGGACAATCTTCTTTCATTTTCTCCAGCATGATTAGAGTTTCAACTAACTTAATGCAGTTTCTTCTGTAGCTTAAGACTTTTTTTATGTTGGGGGCTGGATAATCTGAATCCATAATCAAACCTCTTATGCTCATTCTCATTCAATTTCTTTAATGTAGCATAAACCCACTTCACCGGTTTCCAACTACTCTTAAGAAAAGACATCCCATGAAGTTCATCCATATGCTGTTGTAAACCAGATTAGCTTAAGATTTTATCATATATTGTACACGAGACCCAATACTAGTAAACCAAAGTGAGTATCTAGCAGTGTTTGTATATGCTTTTCTTGATGCTTTGCCAATTGTTTTTAAGACATTTAAGGAATGAAGTCTTGTGACATATATAGTTAGCAAACTTAAATATGTTTCTCTCAAAGTTCACTACCAGAATAATATTGGCTGCTCCAACATCTTTCATACTATCAAATTTAAAGTTTAGCATCCCTTAAAATGTATATAAGCATTTCTTTTAGAAATATTCAAGTTTGATGATATGGTTTGGTTATCAACAATAATTCGAACGACTTGAACCAAACCGAATTATAAACCTCCGGTTTGGTTGGATTGAGCAGGTGCCTCTGTCGACACGCAGTTCAGCTCTATAATGTGGATCCGGCAAGCGATCCACACAGATGTATAACTCCTCCGTCTCCGAGATCAACTCGAGCTTCCCGCACAGAGGAGAAGGAATCAGCGAATCGAAAATGTCAGATCTGGGCGCGACATTGCCGTCGCCGTCTTCAGCGCCGAGATCCGCCTCAGACTTCTTCTCCGATCCTTACGACTCGCATCCTCTATGGTTCAAGCCTTCACTCTTCCTTTCCCCTGGCTTCGACTCCGAGTCTTACATCTCAGAGCTCCGTACATTCGTTCCCTTCGACACTCTCCGATCTGAGCTCCGCTCCCACCTCGCATCACTCAACCGTGAACTTGTTGATCTCATCAATCGAGACTATGCGGATTTCGTGAATTTGAGCACTAAGCTCGTGGACATCGATGAGGCTGTAGTCCGCATGCGCGCACCGCTCCTTGCGCTCCGTGAGAAGATCACCGGATTTCGTGGATCCGTGGAGGCCGCACTTTTCTCACTGAGGAGTGGATTGCAGCAACGCTCCGATGCTGCTGCTGCGAGGGAGGTTCTCGAACTGTTGCTTGATACTTTTCACGTCGTGTCCAAGGTACATAATTTTAATTTCTGAATCTGAATTTCTCACTGAGCAAGTGATTTCCGCAAAATTGTCTCATGAAAAATCTCGTCATTGATCACTGGATGTGGGCAAGCTTTTCGGTCGTTTTAGTCTACTCTGAGTGGATATTTTTATTCAGTATCCTCAATGCAAAAATATATATTGTTCTTCATGGTTTTGAATTATAGTTCCGTTTATACTGAGCAAAGATGTTTCTCCATTGCTTTTTTATTTCTTTCTTGGTAATTGAATAGTCTGAATGCTTGACGTAAATAATGTCTGTTCATTGTAAATGTAGGTTGAAAAGCTTATAAAAGTTCTACCAAGTGCTCCTTCTGATTGGCAAAACGAGGATGCGAATTCGCTGGGAAGGAGTTCTGTGAATGATGAAAATTCCACGCAGCAAGATGGGACAACCATGAGAGAAACACAGAGCATGCTTCTGGAAAGAATAGCTAGTGAAATGAATCGGCTGAAGTTCTATATGGCTCATGCACAGGTCTCCATCATGCATTTACTTTTATTTCTTTGCTAAACTATTGTGGAAGTCGCAATTTCTTGTTCAGCTCAAAATATAGATTACATTAGGAATGCACCTCGGTTCCTTTTACAGTCCAAACTCTAATGTATCAACATCTGGACAAGTTTTCCAAGGAATAATTGAGACAATTGATAATCGTAGGAAATTTTGCTATTCAGTCCTAGCCGTTCTGGCGCGTCAAAGTTATAAAGAGAATAGCGAAAGATTGTGTTACTTATAGGATAATAATGAAAGAGGTTTGAGTATACTTCATTTAAGAGTAGTATCGGCGATCAAAACTAGTTATTCGCCTGGGGCTTTAGAAATGGCTGGGCTTGCTAGGAAAATTCATTGTTTTTGAGAAGATTGCTGACAGAAAAAATAGATACGTGGTTGCTACTGTGAAATCTCTGGTGCTCTGCGAAAACTCTATTATATTTGCTAGCCTCAGAAGACAACAGAAAGTCTTACGACTGATGCTCACTACTTTTTTCTGTTATGCCAGTACAGAACCTGCCTTTCATTGATAACATGGAGAAGAGGATTCAAAGCGTCAGTGTGTTATTGGATGCTAGCTTAGGTCATTGCTTCATTGACGGGCTAAACAACAGTGACACAAGCGTCCTTTACAACTGCCTACGTGCATACGCTGCCATTGATAACACCAAGAACGCAGAAGAAATTTTTCGTACAACGATTGTGGCTCCATTTATACATAAAATTATTGCACGTGAAACATCAGCAGATGCTGCTGGAACATCGGGAGATGAACTTGAAAACGATTACGAACAGATCAAGCAGTTTGTTGTGAAGGAGTGTAAAATTCTGCTAGAAATATCTTCAACTGGTAATTCTCTCAATTCTATGTGACCATTTGTGCTGCAGATTTCCAATGAAGTTACATTTTTCTTCGGCAAAGAAGTTTTCCTGTTAAGCATTCTTAGAAGAACTTTATTGCTAAGAAGTATCTTGTTGCTAAAACAGAGAAATCGGGTTTGCATGTCTTCAACTTCTTGGCAAATTCAATTCTGAGAGAAGTTCTTTCCGCGATTCAGAAAGTCAAACCAGGAGCATTTTCCCCTGGAAGGCCTACTGAATTCTTGAAGAATTACAAGGCAAGCTTGGATTTCTTGGCATATCTGGAAGGTAGGATAACTGATTGATATCTTTCTCTGAGCTTGATCGCATGGCTTATCTGATGCATTGTGAACTATCTGCATGTGTCTTATATAAGAAACTAATTTAACTTAACACAGGTGATGAGATTATTTGGATATTTTTCAGTTTAGTCATACCATATACTTTTTGTGAAGGTTATTGTCCGTCAAGGGCTGCTGTCACTAAGTTTAGAACTGAAGCAGTATGTATCGAATTCATGAAGCAATGGAATGTGGGAGTATACTTTTCACTGAGGTACTCGAGAAATATCATAGATGACAGTTGACTTACAGTTAGATATTTGGCTTCTCAGCTTCTCTAACTCGAGAAAATACATAATTTCAGGTTTCAGGAGATAGCTGGAGCCTTGGATTCTGCTCTCACTTCGTCTTCTCTTGTTTTCATTCAGGATTCTGATTCCAACTTAACGCTCAGACAGAGCGCTACTCTTTTGGAGAGCTTGCGATCATGCTGGAAAGAAGATGTTCTTGTTTTCTCTGCTGCTGATAAATTTCTTCGCTTGACCTTGCAGCTTATTTCGAGGTTTGTGAAAATTGACTTTTAATACTATCCACACTTGCTAGTTTTTGTTTCACTTCTCATTTTGACAAAGTGTTAATAACATGTAGATATTGCATTTGGGTGTCATCTGGGCTGCATACTAGAAAGGGTAATCCCAGCCCGAGTCCTGGATGTGATTGGGCAGTTTCAGCCACTGTTGAAGATTTTGTATATGTAAGTCACTTTCTATCTAGATTGTAATCTTAGCTCCTCTTGTTTTGGACTTTTTGTGATTTCTACGATTTTGTGTTTACTAAATCAGCTGCAGTTTGAATATATTGAATTCTGGTCATACACACCATATGGTTTGATAATTTGAATATATTGCAATATTTACACGTCTCCTTCCTTGCAGGTTATACACGATGTAAATTTTCTAGTCGCAGAAGTTTGTGGCGATTACCTTGGACATATATTACACTACATATCTTCATGCTCCAGTGAAGTTCTTGATGTGGTGAGGATGAGCATGTTACAGGGTGGTGATAAACTAAAGGAACTGCTACCTTTAGTTACCAACACAATAATTGAAGTCATTGTTGATAAATCTGTTGAGGTAAAGCCCTGAACTATAAATTAGGTGCCTCGTCTCATTTATGCACTCAAGATTTATTTTGACGGCCTTAATGAGAGCACCTGCAAGAGCAGTGTTGACTGTAATTTGATTAATAGCCGAATATGTTAGTGTTATTCTTCTCCAAGTATTATACGTATTCAAGTTTGTAATGGTGTATTATTTCTTCTCTTTTATAGTGCCTAAGGCAGGTGAAGGGAATAACGACGACATATAGGATGACTAATAAACCGCTGCCGGTTAGGCACTCACCATACGTTGTTGGCATATTGCGTCCTCTAAAGGTATTGGTTCAGCTTTGGGGTTGCGGTTTGAAGAACGTTCATGTAGTTACTTGATTTATGGATTCTGAAGAGTTGATCATTGCACATAATAGGCATTTTTGGAGGGAGACAATGCTACACATTACTTGACCCAAGAAACAAGGGACGAGTTACTGCTTCGCACAGTCACTGAAATTACCAGGCGGTATTACGAAGTAGCTGAGGAGCTTGTTAGCGTGGTAAGTATTCTGTTTTAAACTCTTAGGATTATAAATTAGTGCATTTCATTAGTGAGCTTTTATGACTAAGATTTATCATGTTATGTTACAGGCGAGGAAAACAGAGTCGTCGATTCAGAAATTTCGTCAAAATGCACAGAAACGAACAGGTGCAGCGTCAGGTGCCTCTGACCAGAATGTATCTGAAACAGACAAGATGTGTATGCAGCTATTCCTTGATACTCAGGTAACCACTCTTTCTCATGCTTCTGTTGTGTCAAAATAAAGTGTTGAGAAACAAGTGTAACATCATCGGCTGATAATATCTTATCAGGAGTATGGCCGAAACATATCTGCTTTGGGGTTAAAACCGGCAGAGATCACGGCTTATTGTTCGCTCTGGCAATGCGTTGCACCTGCGGATAGGCAAAACACGATCAGTGTTTAAGGACGGGCTCACACTGCATTTTCATACAACATTGCCGTATCATATATCTTATAATAAAAATTAGTTTCTTCGTTTTTTTTTTTCCGCTTGTGCTTGTTTATTACCAGTGAATAGAAGAAGAAGAAGAAGAAGAAGAGAGTTTTGTTAAAGAGAGAGAGAGGTGTTTTTCCGACACTACATTATGACAGAAATCTAATGAGCAGCTTTGGCCATTCAATCCTTTGTTGGACTATTTTCATCTTCCGTATGTAATAAACAAGTACCATATACTGGTCTAGCTATTTTCGTATAAACTAAACCAGAGAAATTATCACTGGTCCCTAAAGATAGTAAATTGGTGTTCTTCAGCATACTAATCTCATTTTTGGTTCTCTCGAGTTCGAGTATAATAATTGAAAAATGAAAAACGTTAAGGGACATAAAAGACTTTTTATATACGAAAAAAAATAAAATTAATTTTGAAATGAAAATGATTTGCCAGAAAAAGAGTCAAAACCCTAGAGAACGTGGACCATTTTGACATCTAACCAAATTACAAGAGAGCCCCAAACCCCCTTGTCGAACACAACGCAGACACTGTAAGCAAAAAATCCCAGAAAACAATCTATCATGGCTGAAATCTCGGCGACTTCGTTTCCTTCTTCTCCGTCATCTGCTCTCGCGTTTCGTCGCTCCCAAAATGGTCATCTCTCTGCCCCGTTTCATTTCCTTGTTATTATATTTACCAATCTTTCTAGTTCGAATATATAACAATTTTCCAGTTTGCTGACACTTACCGTTTCTATTGTCTATTATATTCCGGGAAAATGGTCTCTGAGTTATTGATCTCTGATTACGTTCCAGCAGATTGTACTCGGAATGTAGCTGAAATCTTTTGATATGTTTTCGCAGGTAGCTTAAGATGCCAGAATGTAGCTTGTCCAAGAACCATTTCCTTGTTTCAAGAGGTATGTCCAATTGGAATTGATACTTATCAAATCAAATCACGTTCCCATTATTGTATCTAACATCCTTCACGACCTCTTTCTCTAATTGCTTTTACTGAATTGCAGTTATCTGTGAAAAAAAGCCAGCTTGTTGGCATCGGCCATGTTCCTGGATCCCGCGGCTGCAAGAATCAAGGTGAAGATCAGCATTACACTGAAATTCGATCCTGTGATGAAATTTCAGGAGCATTCTGTATCCTATTTTGGTTATAACGTTCTAAACACTCTGTGGTCTTGAATGATGCACAGCTATTCGAGCTGTTCTCTCCAGTGATGAACAAACTGTCGTGGCTGCTGATTCAAACGGTGCCGGGCTTCGTGGCAAACTGAAGAAAGTCGTTCTAGCTTACAGTGGAGGCTTAGACACCTCCGTCATTGTGCCATGGCTTAAGTACGTTTTTTTCCTTTTTCTCTAGCAAGAATAATTTCTTAAGTCATCCTCTGGTTATAAAACAACTTCGTTCATGAAATTCAATCCTTCCACTACACTTACATGTAACTATTTGTCTCACAGGGAGAACTATGGCTGCGAAGTTGTGTGTTTCACCGCTGATGTTGGTCAGGTACACTACATTGATGCCATACTGTTGACTATTTTAGTTGAGGAATGAAGTTTTCTATTAGCATTCGGTTTATGTCTTCTTAACCTCTAAATGCTTTTGATATGAAGGGAATAAAAGAGTTGGACGGTTTGGAACAAAAGGCCAAGGCTAGTGGTGCTTCTCAGTTGGTCGTTAAGGATCTCACTGAGGAGTTTGTGAAAGATTACATATTCCCTTGTCTTAGAGCTGGTGCCATCTATGAACGCAAATACTTGCTTGGTACCTCCATGGCTCGACCTGTCATTGCTAAGGTAACAACAATTCGAGAGCTTTTAGAAATTTCTGTGAAGGAACCCAAAATATATCCTATTATCTCTAATACAACTTGTAAATGGTTAGGCCATGGTAGATGTAGCAGCAGAGGTTGGAGCTGATGCTGTTGCACATGGGTGTACTGGCAAAGGAAACGACCAGGCAAGTATACTTGGAATGTCTTGCTTAAGAGTCACATCGGAGAAACACACTTGTCGATTCTTACACTGCTTTTTTTTTACTGATTGATTGATCAGGTTCGGTTTGAGCTCACCTTCTTTTCGTTGAACCCTGAACTTAAAGTTGTGGCTCCATGGAGAGAATGGGAAATCATAGGCAGAGAAGACGCTATTGAGTATGCCAAGAAGCATAACGTTCCCGTCCCAGTGACAAAGAAATCTATTTACAGCCGAGACAGAAACCTCTGGCACCTTAGTCATGAGGTAAAATAAAAGTCAAATGTTGGTTTGTCACATTGCTCAGTTCCTAAAAGTGTATAGCCAACTGATATTGAACATATTTTTGTTGAAAGGGTGATTTGTTGGAAGATCCTGCAAACGAGCCGAAGAAAGACATGTACATGATGAGTGTAGATCCTGAAGATGCTCCTGATCAGCCTGAGTAAATTCCTTTTCTCTCTAAAACCTCTGTTTGCAATTTTTGATGAGTCCTTGTGTCGGTCTAATGAAGGAGCATTATACAGATACATCGAGATCGGGATAGAGTCTGGACTTCCAGTGGCACTCAACGGGAAGGCTCTTTCTCCAGCTACACTTCTCACTGAGCTTAACACAATAGGAGGCAAACACGGCATTGGCCGGATCGACATGGTTGAGAACCGTCTTGTTGGGATGAAGTCACGTGGTGTCTATGAAACCCCCGGAGGCACCATCCTCTTTGCAGCTGTACAAGAGCTAGAGTCCCTCACTCTAGACAGAGAGAGCATTCAGGTGAAAGACTCATTAGCACTGAAATACGCAGAGTTGGTCTACGCGGGAAGATGGTTTGATCCGCTTAGAGAGTCCATGGACGCTTTCATGGAGAAGATCACTGAGACAACCACAGGATCCGTTACACTGAAGCTGTACAAAGGATCTGTGTCGGTTACAGGGCGTAAGAGTCCCAACAGTCTGTATAGACAGGACATTTCTTCGTTTGAAGGGAGTGAGATCTACAACCAAGCTGATGCAGCTGGGTTTATTCGGCTTTACGGTCTTCCTATGAGAGTTAGAGCGATGCTTGAGAAAGGTATCTAGAAAAGGGTTTCGTCATGTTTACTTGGAATTGTGAGTTTGATTTGCTTGACATTAGAAGAACCATTTGTTGTGGTTAAAAAAATTGATGCGTTTTAGCTTCAACTTCTTTCGGAATAATTATGTTATGTTTCTTCTTCACTGTGTTTTGTTTTCATTTTGGAGATATTGAATAAATGTGTTTCGCTCGCCGTCACAATGTTACATTTTCACTACAATAATTTGTAAGAATTCGATATAAAACAAATTATATGAATTTCCTACTCTTATGTAAACGATTATTTGAATTAAATAATTTACTCTCCGAATATTTAGAGGAGATTTTCCTTTGTTGACAAAAAGGGAAAAAAAAGAATATTTACAGTAATGTTAAAGGTTATGCGAAACCTATATTTTTATATATACAAAAAAAATCTCATCGGACTTTAATATCCGGTTCGCTCTTCCTCCTTACTCAAGAAAACAATTTGCATTTTTTTGCGTCTCTCTCAGATCCGTCTCAAGGTTTTTCCCTGAATCGAGTGTGTAGCAGCCATGGACGGTGCGGCAGAAGGATCTCAGCAGCCTCATCTTACTCTAGCTAACAAGCTCTTCCACCTCAATCATCCCGATGTGCCAGACATCGAGAAAGTCCAGCTCAAAGCTGACGTCTTGGAATCCATCAAATCCGATGGTATAGTTGCTTGTCTTCTCTAATCAGTGAGCATGATAGTTTAAGATTGCTCGAGTATCTTCGGGATTTTCTGTTCCTGAATGTTGGGTTGGTGTTTTTGTTATTAGGTATGACTCCCTTGTACGAAACCCTAACGGCGACTTCGGTGCTGGAGCTAGATCAGACCTTGCTGGATTCTATGCTAGCTAATAACGAAGAGGAGCTCAAGAAGCTCGACGAGAAGTAAGTTCCCTTCTTCCTTTTGCTTCTATATCTAGCTTCGGTTTGTTTTCCGTAAGACGATTCTGGAAGATTTTGTTCCGTATTCAGTTTCCTAGATTCATATACCGATAGTTTCTGGCTAATAGAGGCTTGATTTCCACTGCGGGATGCAAAATTTTACAACTTACATTGCCTTACTAGTCGAATTCTCGTATTAGTGCCTTTTGATTTAGATAGATTGAGTGAAATTGTAGCATTATGATCAACTGGGTCTTGACTTGGATGTTACAGAACTGTGTGACGTTTTAGAAAACGAGTCTCTTGAATTGGATGTTACTGAGTAGCTGATGATTTTGAGGGACTGAGTTTTAGATTAGATGTAGCTTTTCAATCATAGCACATGATACGAGAATTTGGATTGAATTGTGTTTAATCCATCTTACACATTTTTTTCCTTCTCCTTTGTCTAGGATTGCGGATGCAGAAGAAAATTTGGGAGAAAGTGAAGTCCGTGAAGCTCATCTTGCTAAGGCTCTGTATTTCATCAGGATTAGTGATAAGGTATGATGTCAGCGTGTCAAAGTTAGTCACTATGCACTTCAGAGAAATTCCTTAGCCACTAAATTTTTTGCTTTGTGAATCTAGGAGAAAGCTTTGGAGCAGCTGAAACTTACAGAGGGAAAGACTGTTGCTGTTGGGCAGAAGATGGATCTAGTCTTTTACACCTTGCAGCTGGCGTTTTTCTATATGGACTTCGACTTGGTGTCCAAGAGCATTGACAAGGCGAAAAAGTAAGTGTCGATTAGGCTTTTTGGCTGCATCTTTTGTGACTAGCCTTCATGGATAGTATAACTGAAAGATATGATCTGAAACTTCTGTTTTCTCATGCCAGGTTGTTTGAAGAGGGTGGTGACTGGGAGAGGAAGAACCGGCTTAAGGTTTATGAAGGCTTGTATTGCATGTCCACCAGAAACTTTAAGAAGGCTGCCAGCTTATTTCTGGATTCTATATCAACCTTCACGACTTATGAAATCTTCCCTTACGAGACGTTTATCTTTTACACTGTCCTGACGAGCATCATTACTCTTGACCGTGTGTCTCTCAAACAGAAGGTACATGTCGATGGCTACTTCAAGCTCTCTAAATTTAGTTTTGGCACAACATTGTTCCCTTGCGAGTGTGTGAATCTATTTGAGCAAATGGTTAAAACTATTAATTTTGACAGGTTGTTGATGCACCTGAGATCTTAACCGTGCTTGGGAAGATTCCATTCCTGTCTGAGTTCCTGAACTCCTTGTACGAGTGCCAGTACAAAGCTTTTTTCTCAGCATTTGGTGAGTTTAATACAGAGACCATTTGGTGTATGCATGTTGATTGCTTTATATCTATGCGTTAATAGCTCCTCGTTTTTGGTGTAATTTCTCAGCTGGAATGGCAGAGCAGATCAAGTTTGACCGTTACTTGTACCCGCATTTCCGCTTCTACATGAGGGAAGTAAGAACCGTTGTGTACTCGCAGTTCTTGGAGTCGTACAAGAGTGTTACTGTTGAAGCGATGGCAAAGGCCTTTGGTGTTTCCGTGGATTTCATTGATCAGTAAGCACACTACTAACAAACGCTCAGCTACATTCTTCAGTATCTTTTAGTTTTAACAGCACTTTCTTTAGAAGTGTGATGAAATAACATGATCGTACAAAGCTAAAACTGACTTGATTATTGTTGTATCCAGGGAGCTGTCACGCTTCATTGCAGCTGGGAAGCTTCACTGCAAGATAGACAAGGTTGCAGGTGTTTTGGAGACTAACCGTCCAGATGCAAAGAATGCTCTTTACCAGGCAACAATCAAGCAAGGGGATTTCTTGCTTAACCGGATCCAAAAGTTGTCTCGAGTCATTGATCTCTGAGCATGTTGTCGCATGTTTCTGTTTCGCTCTTTCTTCAAACTTACAACTTGGAAACTCAAACGTTAGAAGAATCTTAAGGTCTGAGATCAATGCCTGTCGGTTCTCTTGTCCCTTTTTTTTCAACTCTAGTTGGTTTGTTTGTCAATGGTGAATTTCCCGGGAACAAAGAGCAAGTTTAATTTAATTGTTTTTGTTTTCGCCAAGTAAATTAACCTGAATGAAATGGTATTGAAAGATGGTAACAAGACTGAGTGAGAATTAACACACGCAGGAGTCAAACACTCTTCTCCTCTTGCATGTATTCCCTTTTTCGTTTCCTCTGACTTTGGATCAAAAACACTGCAGAGTCCATAGACTTTGTCATCGAGCAATCTGAATAGTATTCTCTTCAAACTATACGAATGCAGTTTGTATAACTTGGAATCATTCAGTATGTTAATCACCAAATTCCGGTCACCAACATTTCCGGCGGGAACAACAAACATATTACCCCGTAAAATCTCATTAGCAACTTTATTAGTTTAGAGTAAGGAGACTCATTTTTCTTTCCTTGAGATTTAATAAAACACTAATCAATTCTCCCCTGTGTGCGAAGCTTTACAGTCTCACTCAGCCACAATTCTTTGCTTTTATCCTCTTCTTCATTATCTCTTCTTCCCAATCACTCCTCGTTATGTCCTCAATTTTGAGATTTTGAAAATTTCGAGACCTCCTATTTCTTCGCGAGAGAAATGCATGGGATCGATTTCAAAGAGATTCAGGAAAAGCTCGCCGATGGTTTCCTCCCCTGGCAACGGTCGTTTCAGTTCTGGGCTCGTACCTCCGATATCTACACCGGATATAAGGTTTCTCTTCTCCGGTATTCCTTTCTTCTTTTCCGTCATTTCTCTTACAGTTTCTTACGATTCCTGCAGATTTGAAACTCTGTTTGCTTTTTTTTTTTGTGTGTTTCTCATAGGTATTTCAACTTCGAGTGAGCTTCGTCAAGGATGCGAAGAAGCAGGAGGAAATGTGGGAGAAGCAACATGAACTTGCTGCCCACAAAATTTACTCTATGTGCTCTGACCTTGGTGGTTTCTTCCTTAAGGTCATCTGTATATTCCAATTTTCTTAAGTTTGTTTCTTGTTTAATTGAAGTTTTGCTACTGTTACTCAAATTTGGATTTTTCTTGCTTCTTCTTTTACTGTTAGTGTTTTGCCTTTTTGTGTGGAGACTCTAATAGTCAGTGTTCCCCACTGATCTTGTTATCAAATCTTTGATTTATAGCTGAGAAAGAATGTGCATTTGCTGTTAGATTGTTCACAGTTTCTGATGATGAGTTTTTTCATTGTCTTCAATAGGCTGCACAAATTCTAGGGAAACCTGACCTGGCTCCAGCTGCGTGGGTGAGAAAACTCGTCACTTTGTGTGATCAAGCTCCGGCTACACCTTTTGATGCGGTTCGAGCTGTCCTGGAGAAAGAGTTAGGTCAAAGCATCGGTCAAGTGTTTGAAACATTTGATGATAAGCCTATTGGGTCTGCTTCCATTGCTCAGGTACTAGTTTCTTCGTAACTCAATAGTTTGAATGTAATGCCTATTCAAGCAAAGCACACATTTTCACTTTTGATTTTGCTACTGTTTAGGTTCATCGTGCAAGAGTAAAAGGTGACAAGAGGGATGTTGTTGTAAAGGTGAGAATAGATCAGGAGACAGCTGAAAAAGCTTCCTATCGTCTTTTTAAGTTTCTGAATGTGAGACGACATCATGTTTAGGTCCAACATCCTGGCGTTGAAAGACTGATGATGACAGATATACGGAACTTGCAGCTTTTTGCACTATTCATGCAGAAAACAGATGTCAAATTTGACTTGTTCTCAGTAACAAAGGAAATCGAGAAGCAGGTATTTATTCATTCTCTATGTCTTAGTAAGAATATTGCATCCCTGAGTGAGTAACTAGAAATCCTTGTGTTTCGTTTTCAAGATTGGGTATGAATTCGACTTCGAAAGAGAGGCCAATGCAATGGAAAAGATCCGACGTTTTCTCTATGATAACAACAGAAAGAGTCCTGTTCTGATTCCAAGGGTGCTCCCAAATTTGGTGACCAGGTGCTAATTCAGTAATTCTCAACACTGGTTTAGGCTTTTTCAGTTGTCCTGTTTCACTGATCAAGAGCTATGGTTTTTGTGGCAGAAACTCTTTTCATTGAACTCTTTTATTTTCTCGATTCTATTGAAAAATGAGTGCTGATCAGCGGAATACTCATGATACACACAGGAGGGTTCTAGTTATGGATTACATAAACGGAATCCCAATCTTGAGTCTTGGTGATGAAATGGCTAAAAGAGGGATAAACCCTCGTGGTAAAGTGGCAGATACAGCAAAAAAGTAAGCTCCTCCATTATCTCAGATTGTTTTTTCCAATGCCAGATTGGAACTTATCTGATGCCACGCTGGAAAATGTTTTTTTCGTATTCCCATAGTAAAATACTTAGCAGTTTGTCCCAAGCATATGGCCAAATGATACTGAAGAGTGGCTTCTTTCATGCTGATCCACATCCTGGGAATATCTTGATTTGTAAAGGTTCAGAGGCAAGTCATCTTTTCTTTGTAATTGGCTTACTGTGGTCTTTTGATAGGTTTAGTATATTTTTTTAGTGTAATCTTGTTTCGGCGTTATCAGGTTGCACTGCTGGATTATGGTCAAGTGAAGGAACTACCTGACCACCTGAGACTTGGTTACGCAAATCTAGTCATTGCCATCGCTGATAACAATGCCTCATTGGCATCACAAAGCTTTAGGTAAATCAAAACTCGTTATTACCTGTGCTGTTTTGAAGTAACTTTGTTATCATGAATGTATGTTGCTTGCTTTATATTTAGGGAACTTGGAATAGTTACATATGCAAAGTGTGAGAATGAGCAGCAAGAACTTCTTCAGTTAGCGAAAACAATGTTCGACACAAAGATGCCTCCTGGTGTATCAGTTATGCAACCTTTCTCGGAAGACTCTTCCATCAAAAAGGTTTCTGTTGAGGTAACAACAAACATCTTTTCATCAAGAAATCAAGAAAACCGCAAACAATTGTGTGCTTTTGGATGTACACTGCAAAAAAAACTGACTGTGATTGTTTGTTTGTTGTGGGTAGTCATTTCCAGAGGAACTTTTCTCTGTTCTTCGCACGGTGCTTCTGTTAAGAGGACTCAGCGTAGGGATTGGCGTTAACAATTACTCGTGTGCTCAACAATGGAAGCCTATTGCACAAGAGGCTTTGCTTGCTTCTGGAAGACTCTCAACAGGTTACGAAAATGAATTACGACTCTTCTCTAGTGTGTTCTTGCTTACCAAAAGCTCTTTAATTTTTTTAATAATGGAAGGTAACAACATTTCAGGTAGAAGAAAGCAGAAGCGTAGATTTTGTTCTCTCAGGAGCCTATTCCCAGGAGATTAAGAACACAAACACACAACAGAGTTTGATCTTTCCTTTTTTTCTTCCAAGCATTATTTTCTGAATACAATTAAGGCAGCAAGTTGTGAAAAGAATCTATACTTTATTAATGTCGGTAAAAAAAAGCTTTTTGTAAGTAAAATGAAATTACAACCAGAAAGAGAAACAATCTACGTATGAAATGAAACAATAAAATAAGAGTAAATTACAAGTATTAATCATTTTCTGTTCTTGTTCTTTCTAAAAACGATTTCCGTGTCAAGCCCAAACCCATCGATCTTCCTCACCTCAACGACCTTAGATCTCTTGAACAGTTTCACCAACGGTTTCACACTGTACAGATCGTTGGCCGAGTACTTATCCGTCTTCCCGTGAAGGGACACGTGTAACACGCAAACTCCTCCGGGCTTGAGCGTCCGTTCGATCTCCCCCACGAACTTCTCCGGGTAAAGCGCGTGATCGAACACGTTCGAGAATTCGAAATCGAATGTCTCCGCCTCGAACGGCTGCGCGTGGAAGTCACCTCTCACCACGAGAGGCGGACGCGGCACCAGATCCATCCCGACGGAGTCCATGACGCCGATCAGCCTCAGCGCAGCCACCTCCTGCCCTACTCGCGCGCCGATCGACAGCGCCTTCGATTGATTCGAGAGGAAGCCGCGCTCGCTGAGGCGTTGGAAGAAGGTTGAGAACACTCGCACTTTCCGATCCCAGTCGCGCGTTGTCCACACCTTCCGTAGCTTCGGGTTCTGAGTTTTGTTGAGCTGGTGCTGGATGTAGGCCTCGTATGAGGTGTATCCATGACGGATCCGAATCCCTTCGTCGGCGGCGACGACGGAGGAGGAGGAGAAGAGAGAGTGGCGGAGGAATGTAGACGGGAAAACGAAGAAGAAGACGATGAGAGAGAGTGATAGGAATAGAGAGAGAACGAAGGGTAATTTTGGAATTACGAATTTCATTATGAGAGCTTTCTCTCTCTCCTTGTTGTCTGAGTGCATCAACGAGTGTCATATATGGAATTTAATTGAAATAAAGGAATAAATAAAACTTGATCCAATGTTTCCGCTGTAATAACAAAATATAAAAAAGGATTTTTAAAACTGGCTCCTGAAGAACACAAACGTTTACATCCGTGAAAAGATTAGATCCCTTGTAGAATTCTCAAAGCCTAAAATTGCAAAAGAAAAAACAAACACAGGGATGTGAAAGAAACTTGTACATTCAATGAAGTCATCATTCATCACATTGTTTAAGTTTTTTTAGTTCCCACACCATTTGGTTTAACTTTTCCTCGATCTAGCCTCGGTTAGCATCTTCGGTTAGGGAAGTTACAAACGCCGGCGAGACCCAACCGTTCTTCTTAGCATGCTCAACGTAGTCACTGAACTTCTCCTTTGCATTTGGGATGTCTAAAGCCAGATCTTCAAGCGCGTCTTTGACTCTAGTGAACCCTTTGGTCATCTGGTTTGTGGTTATGAGCCCTTCACCAAAACTCTCCTGGAGAAGATCCAGCATCTTCTTGTCATTCTTCTTCTCCATCGCCATGACCAGCGCCTTCTTCACCACCTCATGGTTGAAGAAAGGCATGTTTAGCTCGTGGATGCATTTGCACGCTTCCGATACGAGCCCTGCGCTCTCGTATTCCTCCAGGAGATTCACTATCTTGTCCTTTGCGTCTTCCACTGCCCATCCGGTTCCACCTCCCCAGCAACGTAGAAGCCTCTCTCCCGCATGTCGAGCAAAGATCAGTGACCTAGCCATCTTCACGGTCTCAGTTCCGCTTGAGTTTGGTCGTAGTTTGTTAGAGATCTCTTCGAGGTTAAAAGGTGCTAAAACATCGTCGATCACAGCTCTAGCTAAGAACAGAGCAAGTTCGTTGGAAGCATCGAGGATGTCAAGAGCTGTATCTTCTGCAGATTCCAGGAGCATGACGAAACCTTCTGCAACATCTTCCGTGGTGAACATCTCGATGTGGAGAGAAGAGAGGAGCACAGACGCCATTTCTTTCTCTCGATTCTTCCTGTCCAGAGCAAGTGTTATCAGCTTCTTTAGAAATATTGGGTTGTACTCTGGCGCTCCTAAATCCTCAAGACTGCGTATGAGCTCAGGTATGTCATCGGAGTTGAAATACTCATGGATGATGGTCACTATCTCTTCCTTGAACCTCTTGAGTTTCTCGTCCTCGATCTGCTGTCTTCCACCTTCACCAGACGGATAACTAAACGAAGCATCAAGCCAGCCGCCAGAGATAGCCTTTGGCACAATCAAATCAAATTTGGCTTTGGCCGAAGGAATGTCAAGCGCAAGATCATCAAGGCTCTCCTTTAACCTAGAGAACCCCTTCACCATTTGACTAGAGTTTATCAGGTTCTCTGAAGCTGCTTCCTTCAGGAATTTCAATACAAGTGGTTCTGCTGCGGAGCTCTCCACGCCAGTAGTCAAAGCCCTCTTCACAACCTCGTGGTGAAAGAAAGACACGCCCAGCTCCCTTATGCAGCGACATGCCTCGTAAGTCTCTCCAGTCTCCACGTATTCGTTCAAAATGTCATCAATCTTCTTCTTCACTTCCTCAACAGAGGTACGTGTCGTTCCACCCCATCTTCTTTCAACTAGCTCGGCATGGTGTGCAGCTGATAGATAGCTTTTCTCTGCAGTTTGGACAACCTGGTAACCTTTGGAAGACTGTGGAAGTGCCTTGCTTGCCCTGGGAAGAAAAGCTGGAGGCAAAATGTCATCCACCACAGCACGTGCGAGGAACAAAGCGAGAACATTGACAACATCAGGTATATCCACCACAAAGTCATCAGCTGACTCAAGCAGCAGGACAAATCCATCTCTTATCTGGTTTGGGTTGATGACATCAGCATACAACGCGGAAAGCAACACCGAGGCCATCTCCTTCTCTTTGTCGTGCCTGTCCATGGCTACAGAAACGAGCCGCTTGATGAAGTAAGGATGATATTCACTCGAACCTAGCTCAATGAGGTCAGACGCTGCCACATCGACATCACCAGTGCTGAAGTATTCTTCGATAATGGACGCCACAGCTTTCTTGTAATCATCTAATGGGTCTGAAACAGTTGCACCAACAAGCTCGAATGGTTCCTAATATAAACAAGAAACAGAATGAGAGCTGATCTTGATGACATTCAAAAAGCAAAACTCGAGTACTTTGGCAACAAATTAATCAATCATGAAAATTAAAATGGTTCCTTTCATCTACTAACAAAAACAAAGTGTGTAGAGGTGCAGAAACTACCTCTCCACTGTCATAGTTTGGGTCATTGGGGTCCATTTGATAGTCTGAATCAATGTCAATAAGTTTTCCCCAAGTTCCTTTCCCACCACCACACCCATCTGAAGCAAAATGAATCGATCAGAACAAAGGAACAGCTCCAAATTCAACCAAAAACCATCCCACGAAGCATCACGGTTGAGAAACATAAGCTAAAAATCCAGAATAACTCACCCTTCTTGGAACGCACAGGCTTCCCCGCATGAGACCTTCTATGTTTCACGGCATTCGACCCACCACCACCACCAGAAGCTTTCCCAGCAGCAGATGGTTTTGCTAGCAAAGACGAGTGAGGCTTTTGTGACTGTGGATGACTCTCTGCATTCTCGGTTGCAGCTTTCATCAACTCTCTCTGCTCATCTGTTAGAAATCCCTCCATCTTTCGCAACACCTTAATCCTGTAACATGGTTAAATCAATCCTTTAGCTCAGATATCATCAACACGAATACCTATCTTATCAGGCAACAAATTCGAGCTACAGCAAGTTCTGAATCTTCCAAAATCAAAAAAGCAACGCAAACGACGTAAACGGAGATCTAAAGCGAATCCATTATCCAAAACCGCGATACATGATTTTCAACACCGGTTGTTTTCTCATTTCTACGATCAAATGCCAGAAACAAACAGAAGAGAAGTTTGAAACTCCCAAAAACTCCTAAGCACCGGTAAATGTAAATGTTCAAATAGAAAGGCGCACCAAAATCGGAATCCCGAATGTCAGAGCCCAGATCCAAAAGAAGAAGTCGAGTCAAGCTGTGTGAAACTTTTACTGGAAAATGGGAGAAATGAGAGGACGATTGTAGTAATAATGTATGCGGAATCTGCAGAAGATGATGATGAATTTGGGAAGTTTGGAAGACGAAAAAAGCTTTATACAAATGGAGGCTGCTACGGCTACGGGTTTCTCATCAAAGGTCTCATCGTAATGACTCTCGCCACGTGTTACTGTCTCAACGGTTGCGATTCCTCCTCACATGCCAAATCCACCGGACTAGGGTTATGGATAATTTCGTGTTTTTCTTTCTTTAGAAAAATACTGAAAGTAATCAAAATATCTCTCCACTCCAACATTCTTTCGCCCTTATTATTGTTTGGATAACTCCAAAATAAATAAAAAATTCAAAAATAGAAATTGAAGTAGGATACTTGAAGTGATTTGCTCAGAAACCATGCATATATGTACAATGAAACGATTAAAGTTTTATCCGCACAAATTAAAAAGTTTAAACGTATGTAAACACAAAAGCCAAATAATTAACATAATCAGTAGCTTAAGCACAGACATAAAAGGGGACAAATGATTGATTAGTATAATAATATGTTAATCTAAAATATGGTCTCGAAACACATTTTGCAACTATACAATTTAGTCCAAAACAGGTCTCAGTGAAAATGCTAAAGCTAATGGTTCCACAAAATGGGAATGTCATCAAGCTCACTTAACTAGCTGCAGTGCATGGAAGGACTCTGCCAATAAGCCTTGAGCTCTTGCTGTTCTGTGTCTCTCCCCAACCCTACAAGACATCCATCATCACAAATCCGAACACAACAAAAGGTTCAAATTCACAAAACCGAATTCTTAAGCCTAAGTAGATATATTTATTTACCTTGCCAAGTGGAGTCCTCTTCCAACACAACACATCAGCATCATCATCTTCTGGCCTGCACAAAATCAAGAAGCAGAGAGGTTACTTCAGTAATTATCCAAATCACAACACAGCTTAACACTGAAAACAAATCTATGTATCATCATATTTCACCTTTTGTCACCCGGAGGCATGTCGTGTGGAGTACACATAGCTGAATTCACATCGCCTTGATCACTGGCACTGCTCATTCTCGACGATGCATTGGCTGAAGAACGAACACTTCGAGCCCTCAAGACATTTCCTTGGCAACTTCTCAGAGAGTTTGTAACTGCGAGCTTCTCAGATGCGAAGTCAGAGTCGGTTACAGTAGTAGTCAGGTAGGACTTGTGTAGCATTCTGCGAGAACAGCTGAAGAGTCCAAAGAAAAGACTCGCTGCTGCTTTACCACTCTTTGGTTGTGGAGAACAAGAAGAGATAACAAGATTCATTCGGATCTCAACGTTGCATCCCAACACTGATTGGAACGAGTCTGCAATCATTTTCCATGATTTCTCAGCTCTTGCTACGTGTTGAGGTGTGTAGAATTCTAGTTCAGCTATTGCTACACCTGAAACTGAAATATAATGGATTTACTTATCAGAATACAAACCAAACTATAACTAACTAAAGAGTCTCTTTGGAAAAGGTAAGATACCTTTGTCAACGGTAAGTGAAGTCAACCTCCCTCGTCTCAACAAAAAGCTCTTTAGTGAATCAGAACAACACAAAGCTGTTACTGCTTTCCACATAGTTTCAACTGTTTCTTCACAGTTTTTCTCTTGACACTCCTCCGTTTCTGGTTTGAGGACATCACCAGGACGATCTGATGATGTGCTGGAGTGGTCACCGTCTAGACACAGGACCAAGGTCAGTTATATACTTACTAACAAATGAATTATTGAATAATGAAAATGCATATTGTAGGATAAATTAAGCACCTTTGCTTCTTTGGCTTCTTATAGACAATCCATTTTCATTTGCTGCGAAAGAAGATGAGTCAGTGTTGCTAAGTTGCAGAAGTGCCACAGTGAGCCAGGTTGTCTGGTTTTTGGATGCTCTCAAGTGTTGCTCAGCATCAGATAGTATCTTCAGTGCATTACTCAATTTCTGCATTTCTTCTTCAGCTGAACATATGATAAAAGAGTTAGTTAAGCAAGGTTCCATGTGAAGCCGATACTGAAAGTAATTTTTAAGGTGCTTGCTTACAGGTATGCCTTGTAAGAAACCGAAGTCTGGTTGCAGAACTACTTTCTTGAGATTTTCCAGCAATGATGTCCATAATGACATTAGCTAGCTGGGAAATAAGCTGCATTGGATCTATTTTAGATTTCATAAGCTCCCTCGCCCTTATAACCGTGTTTGAAGTATCAGAAGACAAGGCAAGATCAAGCAGATCAAGCAATTCATCATCAGACACAACCCCAATCTGCACATTAAAAGAAAGTTATCAGCTAATTTATATTACCAAGACAACTGAGTGATTACAAAATATGAAGAATCATATGCAAAACTCACAAGCTTGTAGGCCAAAGATGTTGTGATTCTTTTGCCAAGAAGACTCAACTGATCAAGCATGATCTCAGCATCCCTAAGCGAACCATCAGATTTAGAAGCAATGAAATCAACAGCACCCTGATCAAAATCAATACCTTCTTCCATACAAATCTTTGCCAGCTTACTCGATATATCCGCATCGCATACTTTAGAGAAATGATACTTCTGAGACCGTGAGAGCACGTTACGTGGCAGCTTCTCCAGCTCTGACGTGACCAGTATAAAAACCGAATGCTGAGAGAAGTTATCCAAACTGTTGAACAGAGTACCCCAAGTTTCTTGACATAACAACTGACACTCATCGATGATAAAAACCTTAAATCTAGATGAAACCGGAGGAAGCGACGCGTTCTTGATGAGAGATCTCAGGTAGCTAGACCGGTTTAGCTTAGCCGAATCAATCTCCTTCACGTCCATGCTTCTTCCAGAGAAGCATGAATTGCATTCACTACACAAGCCACATGGTCTACTATGTGCAGCCTGTGAAAGACAGTTTAAAGCAGCAGCAAAGATCTTAGACGTTGATGTTTTACCAGTCCCACGAGGACCGTGAAAGAGGTAAACAGAAGTGATCCTCCCTCTCAAAATAGTGCTCAAGAGACACTTCACTACAACTTCTTGTCCAACCAACTCATCGAAAGACTTAGGCCTAAACTTCTGACTCAGACTTCTCGACACAGTTTCATGACTCGGTGTCACCACGTTACTCTCGCCATTTCCAGAGAGTAAAGGATACTCTTCCACATCAGATGAATGGTTTGATCCTCTGTACCTCGGCGTTCTTGACCAGCAGTAAGTTATTCCGCAGCCACGGTTACATTCATTCGCATATTCAACGTCTTCATCGCCATAACTATAGTTTGTTGAGGTCATTGGACTACCTACACGGCTGCCATATTCACCAACCGAGCTACCTAACTTTGTGGCATAATGGCTTCTATATCTTCCCCCTGAAGCTGCGTTCTCACCATGACTGAGTGAAGGCACATTACAAGCTAAGTCTCTACCTTTAACCGAGAGATCACCGCAAGATCTTTCACTAGGCGACGATCTTCTACTCCTCGAGGAAGCGTCTCCTTCAACGTCTAGCAACCTGCTGCTCAGCTTGTGAAGATCACAACCGTTCTCTAGCTCCTCCATAATCGAGTATGATCCGAAAGGGATCAAACCCAGAGAACCATCATCAGCCTTACAAGCATCGTTGTTCACGAACTGCAGTGAGATCCCATTGTTGGAACCAGTTTCCCATTTGACATTTTCAAGCAGAGAAGCAAACTTGCTCATTGAGTTGGTACATGGATCTCTCAGTGACCGAACCCTTCTAAGAGCCACAAGCGTTCTTGTGATGGGCACATCTACAGAATGCCTCCTAATCTCCCCCATTTCCCCAAAATAGATCAAACTATCCTAATCTCAGACACAAGCTCTGTTTGCCAAAACTTCAAGATTCGACATCCATCATCTCTAACCTGAGACAATGAGTGTAAAATTAGTGATGTTCTGCAACATTTAAGCTACTAATCATCGGTGAAGAAGCCAATATAAAACAGGAACTAACTCCAACACCGACGAACATAAATCAAAATCAAGCAACCATTTTAGTGAGTAAAAAACATGTAGGAAGCTCTAACTAAACGATGAAATGTGGTAACACGAAAACAGATGGGGGAAATGATTAAATATCAACATTCACAAAGCTCAAAAAGCACATAAAACAGAGACCCAGATAAGCTATGAGAGAAAAAAACAAAGCTTGGAAATGATTAAAAATGCCATTTTAATAAGACACGACAAACCGAAAACCCAAAACGTCAAGATTTGGGAATACCAAGCTGTATTGAACGGAGTGGCGTACAATGCGGAGGATCCAAAACCCTAAAACCTCTGGAGAGGAGAAGAAGAAGTGGTGGCAAAGTAGTAAATAAGAGGTGATGGTGAGAGCTGAGAAGTGATAATAATAGTAATAAAAAAAGGGGTCGTTGTTTGTGTGGAGAGAGATAGAGAGAGAAGAGAAGAAGGGAGACATATGTTAGAGTAGGAGGCAGAGGTTTTTGCAGAGAAAGGTGGTGTCTTGGGACAGAGAGCCAACCAGTAAGAAAGGAGAGAGAAATGTAAAAGAAGATTTTTGGTTTAATTTTTGTGTTGATGTTCTTCGCTTCATTTAAGATTCGTTCGGCGGTTTCAGTTATGTCTCTTTGGCTTTCGTGGCGAAACATACAAAACACACTATTGCACTTCGTGTGGTCCGCTTCTCTGCCACGTCTTCTTGACTCTTCCTAGTTCCTACCTCTCTACTCACGTGTTCTTACAATTATTAATTCAGGATTCAAGTATCCAATAAATTTTTCTTTATTTCTCACCGCATCCAATGATTTATTTTGGGATTCATCATCTTGACGCATCCATGAATTTTGAGTGGGTTACTCAACAATATGGATTCAAACAAAATGTATATCTAAATGCACCCAAATGTTTAAGTAGAAACCAACATTTGTTACTTTTGACTTTCTTTCTAAGCACATTGGCATGTAGGAAAATCTATACAGTATACACAGACTTTATTCCTTGCTCATTATTCACTAGTCATTAAAATCGTTAACTAAACGCAAAGGAACTCGCTTCCAACAACGGCCAAACTTTCGGAAAACATTTGCATACACAGAATACAACAATACTTTCACTTGTCTTACACACATGTATCATTGTTAGAGATAATGGTAACAAGAACAAACATGTTAACGATAAATTTGTAGATAATATTATTTGGGAAAGTACTATCAAGAAATCACACTTTTTCTCCTTGAGGAATTCTCCCTTCGCTGCAAAATGGGATGCTATGCTACTGCTCTATAAGTAATATGTACATATTTATGTCTTTATATATTTAGTTGTGATCATGGACATCAAAATAATTCAACCAACAAACAAAAATTATGGACTAGAGGAAAATTACGTTAGCAAGTCAGATGTAAGTTTGGTAACCAATGTTTTCTTAAAATGTCGTGACCTGACTATGTTTTGGTCAAAGCAAGTGACAAATATAATACAGTAACTGTTGAATTCTCGAATGAGGCTTGGACAGTTTTTTTATAGTTACCTTTGAAAGAGAGAGGTCAAGGTCTAAAACAAAGAGCAAGGAAAAGAAATGATGAGTCGATGTCAGCTTCTTGCTAGAAGAGACTGAAGTGAGTGAACCATAATGTAGAAACTAGAAATTTATAAAACTTTTTTTTATAAAGCTCTAATATTTAACAATCAGAAAACAAAAATTTCTTCACGTTCTAAAACTTCTTTAATTAAACTTGATGGATGGTTGAATTTTGATGATCTTTTCCGCTTTATCAATTAGTGGGTTTTATTTTTACTATATGAGTTTATCGGTTGGCCCAACCGGTCCAGTCAGGGTCGGGTCTTAATTTTTAAAAAATTTGCTTACTTAACTAGTTCTGATGATTACTGGACTTAATAGTAAGTATTCTTCATTATATCAAACCTTGTGCAATGTGCACCTGCCTAGTTTATGTTTCGTTTTTTTTTTGCGATGAAAGCCCAACACGTTTAGTTTACACCCAGTATGAAGAAAAATGACCAATACGTTGACCGATTGTTTATTGAAACCAGACCTCCCGAGCCTTTAAGTTCTTCCTCGTTGAAGTTTTGATTCTAATAAAGAAAATTGTTCAAAAAGTGTATCCTAAAACGAGTGTTTTCATGCGATGTGATCCATTGGATTTTGTATGGAATGGTTTCAATGGATACAAAATGTTTTTAACATATGTATTTTGTATGTATTGTATTTTGAGTGATTGCAAATTAGAGAATAAGTAGCATCAGTGAAACAATGAATATTAATTAGAAAACACAAATATTTTTTGTATGCGTAATGCTGCATTGTATTGGCAGTTGTTGATATGAGCTGATAGAAAGAAAGAAAAAAACGGCATGCTTGTTTACAAAATCTAAATTTCTATGTATAGCTTCTATTTCAAATGACGAAAAACAACGTGCTTTTTATTTCGACCCCCTTTTAAAATTGAGACGTAAACAACGTGCTTTCTTTTTCTTCGGCTGCTCAACAGGATGACATTGGAACCCTCCTAAGTTATACGTCACCATTAAATTGGATTCAATCAAGATTCCGTCGAATACAAGGCACTGGTCCACAACGACCCACAAAAAAAAAGTAGAGAGGATAGCATGAATGTGCCACGTATTCTGTTTATGAGTGGATACCATGACATTACTTATGTTCGAATTCTCGGCGAACTTTACGGAGAAAAATAAGATTAAACAAAAAGAAAAAGGATAATGTCGCATGTAGGAGTCTGCCTACTTTGCCCTCCAAACAATAATACGTTTTGGGAGGAGGCATGTGCTGTGATTACTCAAAATCTTGATTGTCGTTATCGAATTTATCTTTCCGATCAAATCTTGTTGGTGGAGTGATAGTGAAGATTTGTTTAGCGGGCCTCACTCTCTTCCTCCTTGATTGATTCCTACTATTCCATCGAATCTTTACAAAAGTGTTAACATTTGATTTTGCGTTTTGAACAAGGGTATAAATATTGAGTATCTAAACTAAAAACAGTGATAAACATGATAATAACACTGATAAATATTCCAATTCTCTTTTTTACTTTGTGCGTGACAGACTGACAGAATAGAGAACACCGTCGGTGATTAGTTCTGTAAGCTCTTTCCACATCAGTTAAAGTCATTTCGGCCTTCAGGCAACAAAAGCTTAGTTCTGATTTTGGAGATATGAGAGTTTGTTGATTACCAGAAAAAAAAAGATATGAGAGTTTGTTTGTAGTCGTTACTAAGCTGGAGAAGGTATTTTTGTAGCCCTGGTGAAACATTTGCTTAGCATGAGTAAACCAAATTAGTCGAGTATGTTTAAGTTGTTTTTGTACCATCCGTTGTAACAAGTCTTGATGTATTTGGACACTTTTGGCGCCAATGGTTGTTTTGGTTTGATGAATTCATTGTTCATTGTTTTGGAGTATAAAACAAGGCAGTGAATAAGTGATTGAGTGTGTTTTATAGACTCTAAGATTATTAAAAACTTGTAGTACCAATTTAATGAGTTCATATTGGAGATATGCCCTATTACCTAATTCTAGTAGTATCGGTTTCGTTTGGTTTATAATAAATGGATTTTAGGTTTTGTATTTATAATTATTCATAAATTTAATAACAAAATCGTACGTGACAAAAAAGTGCTTGCTCCAATTTGCGATACTCTCCGTTTTTTGCTCAAGGTTCATTAACTGAGTTATTCATCCGAATTCACAACAAAATGTCAAAAACCATAAGAGAGTGACAGTTTTGTGAAGAACATAACATACACAACGAAAAGATCGTCATACAATCATGTAGAGGAGACAGTCACGGTCCATTTTTATTTCTTTAGACCATCATGGTTAAAAATATACGAGACATGTTCACTCGCTAACATTTAGCTATATTTTCAAGGTTTTTCTTTTTTGCATACTTTCTGAAATATTCTTAGACGTTTTACAATAAGTCTTTAACATTTCGTTTTTGTCAAAATGAAGCAGTATTTGGTATATTTACTGTATTTCCAGCGACAACATTTGAAATTGACATTGTTGCTCTTTTTCTTTTCTATTTTTATTTAAAAGTAAAGTACCCTTCTTTTCTTCTGTTTTTAAACCAACCGTATCATTTTGATAACGTTGTCCAGAGACTAGCATGCTCAACTGTCAAAACAACCAAGCTATTGAAAGGAATCCCGTAAAACCTGTAAATCACGAGGCATTACATGTCCCACTTCACTTTATCTTACATCTCTCCCCAAGCTTTTCCACATCCACCTATCATTGCAAATACCTATTTACTAGGACTTTAAGAGAACATTTTTATATCCAAATCCTCTGCCGTGATTGGTGCACTAACAAGTGGAAACGAATAAGGTGAAAAATGAAACTGTTTTTCACATCATTTTCAACAATACCAATCATGAAGAAAAATAGCTGAAATTAATTGCTCTCTACATTTTAAGATAGAAAATAGAATACTCAATATCGTCAAATAAGAGGAGTATTGTCTTCGACTTATTTATTATACATGGTTTATCAACATAGTTTTATTACTCGTTTTACAATAGTCTTTTTCATCATCTCGTTCTGCTATTTTTTGTTTGCCATTTATGTTGTTCGATACTCGATTACTAGACATGTTCTGTCGTTTATCTTCGCTTTCCTTTGCTATCTTACCTAACATGTTGCTTGCTATAATATATGGTTGGATATCTTAACTTTGTGGATAATAAAGGTGTTGCTCAGGCAACGGTTCTGATACGGACACTTTCCAATGTTTTCGAAATATATATTTCTGCAAAATATGCAACTATAGCTTTTGAGTTTTGACTCTGTACGGACACATATTTAAAACATAAGATGTAAAGCCTAATAATGAAATTGCAAAAGTATAAAAGCATGCCTTATGGTAAAAAAAAAAAAAAAAAGTATAAAAGCATGACAAAAAAAACACCTATGCAATTTTTAGGCAATCACAAAACTGGTATAAATTGAGTTTCTTATTTGATTTTGTGCAAATTTCCCCATTTGTTATCAACTATAATATGGTTACTTGGTTTGGTTCCTCATAGTTTCACCTCAAAACCATTTCCATAAATATACATTGTATTAATTCGGTAAAAAACAGAGCAAGTGGAACTTATTTGAAAAGTATAACATTTCGACCTAATTAGACTGGAGGCTTTTGTTTAATGTCAACATTTAGCTAATTAGAGGTTTTACTAAAGAAGATAAAAAAGAGTGGGACCTAAACCGAAAACTCCAATAACAAATAGAGTGGCAAAGTCCTTTTACATCTTTATATAAACCCCCAAAGTTTCCTCTTCTTCTCTATCCCACTCAAATTTTCTTTCCTCAGTCTTCGTTTCCCTCTTCTCTCACCTGAATCCGAGAGAAAGAGAGATACAGAGTGAAATCATACCAAAAAATACAGAGTGAAGAAAAAGAAAACAGAAAATGCAGACATACAAGCTCTATTTCTCCATTGTTTCTTTTCTTCTCTATGCTCCATTGCTCTTCTCTTCACCAGTTCCAGACCCTGAATCTGTTGTCGAAGAAGTTCACAAGTACGAATCTTTTCTCTTCCTTCATATTCTCACCCACATTTTACTTGAAACCCACTTCTCATTTAATTTCAGCATATTGTTCAAAAGAGAAATAAGTGAATTGCAAATGGGACCATAAAAAAGCAAACTTTTGAAAAAAAATCTGTTTTTTAATTTAAGAAAAGTCTCTAACTTTGCCTATTGTGCACTGTTGCAGGAGCATTAATGCGTCGGTCGCCGCAAGAAGGAAGTTGGGTTACCTCTCCTGTACGACCGGAAACCCAATCGACGACTGCTGGCGATGCGACCCACACTGGGAGAAAAACCGTCAACGTCTCGCCGACTGCGCCATCGGATTCGGCAAAAACGCAATCGGCGGCCGAGACGGCCGGATCTACGTGGTGACGGACTCCGGAAACGACAACCCAGTGAGCCCCAAACCCGGAACCTTGCGACACGCCGTCGTCCAAGACGAGCCGCTCTGGATCATCTTCCAGCGAGACATGACGATTAAGCTGAAAGAAGAGCTAATTATGAACTCATTCAAAACCATCGACGGCCGCGGCGCCTCCGTACACATCTCCGGCGGGCCTTGCATCACGATCCAGTACGTGACGAACATCATCATCCACGGGATCCACATCCACGACTGCAAGCAAGGCGGGAACGCTATGGTGCGGAGCTCGCCGCGACACTTTGGGTGGAGAACGATATCGGACGGTGACGGTGTCTCCATCTTCGGAGGGAGTCACGTGTGGGTCGACCATTGCTCGCTTTCGAATTGCGAAGATGGGCTTATCGATGCGATAATGGGCTCGACGGCGATTACTCTGTCTAACAATCACATGGCGCATCATGATAAGGTCATGTTGCTTGGTCACAGTGATAGTTACACTCGTGACAAGAATATGCAAATCACTATTGCGTTTAACCATTTTGGTGAAGGTCTTGTTCAACGAATGCCAAGGTAAAAAAAAAAAAAAGAATTTTGGTAATTTTGGTTTTTTTAGAGTAAAGTTAATGTGATTGTGATTTGTGACTGAATTTTTGGGGCCATTGTGTAGGTGTAGACATGGGTACTTCCATGTGGTGAACAATGACTATACACATTGGGAGATGTATGCGATTGGTGGAAGTGCTAATCCTACAATCAATAGTCAAGGGAACAGATTTAATGCGCCAAACATCAGATTTAGCAAAGAAGTGACTAAGCACGAGGATGCTCCTGAGAGCGAGTGGAAGAGCTGGAATTGGAGGTCCTCTGGGGATTTGTTGCTAAACGGTGCGTTTTTTACGCCTTCAGGTGGTGAAGCTTCTTCTAGCTATGCAAAGGCGTCGAGTCTTGGGGCTAGACCGTCTTCTCTCGTTGGACCATTGACGTTTGGTTCTGGTCCACTGAGTTGCCGTAAGGGTGCTCGTTGCTGATTGTGGTGGGCCTTTGGTGGTGGTCAAGTCACTTTATAGAAAAGGCAATTAAAGCCATTAATTAAGGGGTTAACTAATGCTATCTTTAAACCCCTTGATTTACTCTTTTTTTTTTCTTTTTTCGGAGAATACAACCTCTCGCTTGCTTGCTCTTAGGACCCTTGTAAAGATTCTCTGTTTTAAGGAATCTTGTATTAGGTTAAGTGTAGAACAAGTGCAGATGTGTTGATCTTGATATCAATATAAAGATAAATTTATGTCTTCTCTTTGTTTTTCTTATTAACGTCTGTCTATACTCTATAGTGATGATGATGAACACAAGCAGCCTTAATATGATAATAAATGGTGGAGAAGTTAGTTACAAATGCTCTCAGTTGGCAGAGCAAGTATGGCTCTTTGGTTTGGAATGTTCTGTAAAACGGGTAACTTTTGTGGGTCAAAGCTGTTGGGAGCCAGTCAATGTTTGACCAAAGCCGCGACTTTTTTCCCTCTGGCCGATGCATCGATTCTGGTTAAAATAAAAAACTTACCCTTAAAAATTGGAAAAAGAAAAAACAGGCATGAACAGAAAAGCGGAGAGTGAAATAAAAAATGGGAAAAGATTTCAAAAGGAAGAAAACTGGAGCAGTCATGTGCCACAGCAGCCCTACTTTTGATGCTCTCGTGTATTCGTGATTTCGTGTTGACTACTGTCCACTGATTGTGCGGATACATTTTAAATTTTGAAATTGTAACAACTATAATAACTAACCATTTTAAAATACACCTTTTTCTTGGCCATGTGCAACTTAACAATAATAGTGTACATTTGGAAACGAAAAGAAGATCTTATGGTTACTGGTCGCAACGAATGATGTGATGTAGTTGGTGTGATTATTGAGCGGCTGGTTCGAGTTGGTCCGTCAGTGAATATATAAACGATGCGAATATAAAGTTGCTAAGACAGATTAAAATACTTTTTTGTTTTGTTTTGTTCTAGTTATAGAAATTTAACATTGTTGTGTTCTTTTACAAAAATCATCAACACACACGCATGAAGTTAATGGGGAATAAATAAAACTCTTATCGACCGAGTAGGTTTTATGGGGTCATGGTGTCAGTTGAGCTTGTGCGGTCACGTGGGCTCGGTTAAATCAGTTGTACTTGTAAGAATCCATCTGAACTGAACTCTTATTCAAATACAAACTGAATTTGTTACCCATCAAATATGACTATTTAAAATAAAATATATGTAGGCGAATGTTAAGATGAAGCTCAGTCATTTCTTAAACCATTAAATTAATCAATGGCTTTATGCCACCCAACATAGAAAAATACAAATTTTGCATTATATGAAGTTTGAAAGTAAACAGATAATAACTAATTTTGCAGAAAGGCATTTTGATTTGTGAGTGGTGAATATGTTTATAGCTTATGAAAATTGTGTGGTTCGTTGATGTCACACAAGAGTATTTATGGAGTTGTTTGTGTCTAATGAAAATTGTGTATTTCGTTGGTGACACACTGACACACGAGAGTCTTTATGGAGTGGAGAAGTGAAGTTGTATAAACCAAGAATATCGCCAGAACTTTCCTCACAAGTTCATGGTAAATCCATTGAATATGTAATCGATGCAAGATGAGAAGCCAGTCGAATTAAAATATCAAATGGTAAATGTATAAAAGTCCATGAGTTTTGCCGCCAAATACTATAAAGTGAGTCTGCTGAAGAATTCTCTAAATTGTGAGAGTATAACCATGTGGTAACAATTTATAGACGGACCTTAGATATTAAAAGCCCATATAACCGTTAGGGTTTGTAGTCAACAATACGCAGCTACGCACTACTGTAAATACGTTTTGAAAGCACTCAAACATTCTCCTCATTTCTCGAAAACTTATGAAAAGTTTCAGACATAAATCTGTCTTAGCTCATTTCAATACCAAGTGCATCTTTTGAAACTTCGTAGTTTTGTTTTGTTACTTATCAGTTAGCACTTACCACACATTAATACCGAACCACGCTTGACGCTTCATATCAACTCGTTATGTAACTCCTTATGATATTTCACCACCGTCTTTTCAGACACGTTCTGGATAATTAACATACATGCATGATCACATCAACCAAAACACTAGACAACTCGTATAACCAAAGCTTGATAAAAGAAATTGATGTATAGAAGGTTGTGAGATGCCTTTGAACTATTAGTTACGACCAATCATCCCTTCTCTATGGTTTATGTTTAATTTCAACATAAATCCTAATAAATCCATAAGAAATGTGGTATTTTCTCGAATATCAACATCCTGGCTTGGATATAATTGTAGTGGGAATGAATAAAAATTCATCAAATACTTTGAGATATATACATATGGGCAAAGGGCAATTCAAGAGGCTTTTCATCTCGTACTTAGACATTACGACTTGCTGCCTGCATATACAACATTATCTCAGTAAGTTATATGCATATATTTTTCATAATTATTATTACTTAGACTATATATTTACAGAAGAATTTACAAAAATATTATTATTTTATCATTTTTTAAAGGAAAATTACATTGACAGTAAAATTCGAAATTCGAAAATTGAAATATTATTTTATTAATTTAGAGACTTTATACCTTGTTTCTTATTAGATTTTTGTTAGTTGCGTTTTGAAAAAAAAAATGAATGCAAAAAGACAACTCTTTTTATTTTATTTCTTAAGACCATGTCGAAAAATACATAAAAGAATATTTATTTTTCGTCAAAAATGAATAATCTCATTTGGGTATCGAACAATTTTCTCTTGCTCTCCTCTCGGCCTTCCTTATCCCTATCTCGCCCACCGTTCTAAAACCCTCCCTTCTTCTCCTCTCCTCTCCTTCACTTCTTTCTCTCACAATTCTGCAATGGCTTCTTCAATAGTCACCTCAAGCTTGAAGCCCTTAGCCATGGCGGATTCCTCCTCTTCCACCATTTTCTCTCATCCTTCAATCTCCACTATCTGTTCCTCCCGAACTCGCTCCTCCAATTTCGCCCTCCTTTCCGGACGCACGAATCTCCCGCTCTCTTTCTCCCGCTTCTCCCTCTCTCTCAAAACCAAAACCCACCTTAAAAAGTCTCCCTTTGTTTCATTCGCTGCCGAGACTTCGGGTTGGACTGATGAAGAAGGTGGGGAAGAAAGCGTCGGTGGCGCCTCTGTCGCCGTCGAGGAAAACGAGCCAGAAGTTGAGGAAAACGAGCCAGAAGCTGAGGAAAACGAGCCAATAGTTGATGAAAATGAGCCAATAGTTGATGAAAATGAGCCAGAGGTTGAGGAAAGCGAGCCAGAAGTTGATGGGGAAGGAGATGTGAGCGAAGGAGGCGACTTCCCGGAGCCACCGGAAGAAGCGAAGCTCTTCGTCGGAAATTTGTCTTACGACGTCGACAGCCAAGCCTTGGCTATGCTCTTTGAGCAAGCCGGTACAGTTGAAATCGCAGAGGTGAGTTTGGTTCTGATATTGTTGCTTATGGTCATTTTGAAAATTTTGAGCCTTTAATTGATGCCTTCATGTTCATTATCCATTGCTTAAAAGGTCATGTATGTCCTCTGCATTGCAATTTGCATCAAATGGATGAGTTAAGTGTGAAAGTTCTTGGCTTCTGAGTGTTTGGAGCGTCTTTCGTTTATGTGAAGTGGTCATGCTTGTTTATATTGAGTATATATGTATAGTTGCTGTTATAATAAGCTCACACTCTTGGATAACGTTTGTTAATCCTATCTTATTCTTTGTATTTTTCTTGTTGAAGGTGATATACAACAGGGAAACCGACCAGAGTCGTGGGTTTGGATTTGTGACGATGAGTACGGTGGAAGAAGCTGAGACTGCTGTCGAGAAGTTTAACCGTTATGTAAGTTTATATCTTTCAATCATATCTCAACTATTAGCATATGTATTGGGGTGGAATATACAGTTGTTTCTTTGATTTTGGCTCACAGTGGCATTGCTTGTTGTTCTTAAATCTTAATCCAACCAAAGTTTTAGACTTTCTGCTTCAAGTAAATATGGGTTTTCGTCTATGGACTGCTGTTTTCTGAAACTTGAATGTTTTGATTTCTCACACTTTATAATATGGACGCTTTTGGCATTTTATCGGTTGATGCATTATATAAACTGTTCACTGAGAATTTCTGTAACCTATGAGTCTCTGTCCGTGAGAACATTGCTGAGCATCTTTGTTGGTGTTTTTAATGTTTTGTCAGGATTTGAACGGACGGCTTCTGACGGTAAACAAGGCAGCACCGAGAGGATCACGGCCAGAACGAACACCTCGGGTGTACGAGCCTGCATTCAGAGTCTATGTGGGGAATCTACCATGGGATGTGGACAACAGCCGTCTCGAGCAAGTTTTCAGTGAGCACGGCAAAGTTGTGGAAGCTAGGGTGGTTTACGACCGTGAGACTGGTCGTTCACGTGGGTTCGGGTTTGTCACAATGTCTGACGAGATTGAACTCAATGATGCCATCGCTGCTCTTGATGGACAGGTACCGTCCTCTTCCTCATAGATATGGTTTAGCTAATGCAATTTACATGATTTTTCTTTGATGATCTCTCTCGACTCTCAATTGATCTTTTCTTGTTTCTGTATTTGCAGAACCTGGAGGGTAGAGCAATCAGAGTGAATGTAGCGGAGGAGCGTCCTAGGCGTGGATATTAAAGCTGAGATCTCTCTGTGTCCTCCTCTCTCTATCTCTCTCCCTTGCATTTTGTTTAGACGAGATTCTTACACTCTTTGACGATTTTTGTTTCTTTCTCTGAACTCGGAAATGCGAAAGTGAAAGCTTCCTCTAATGTATTATTTCTCTTTGATGGTCTATATCGTTTTCAGTTGAGTTTGTTTATCGTTCGCACTCCATTATGTTAATCACACAATTCTGCGACATGCCTTGTCGGTGATTTTAGATATTAGCAACTAGGAGCTTTACTCAAAAATCTCCGGAGAGTTAAAGGCTTCTATAGCATTAAAACACAAAGTGGTTGAGGCCTAAGGGAAAGAAGAGTTGAACGGTGATTAGGCCTGACTAGTGTTGTGTCTCGGCCTGTAGCCAATTACTATTAATCACTCTCACTTCAATAATCACTCCCACACTCATAAAGAACAATAGTATTGGGACCTAAATTTTGCCAAGAATCCACAATCATAATGTCTCGACTGGCCACACCCTCTAATCAACAATTCATAGTTTCAAGCACATATTTATATATATGTAACTCAACGCTAACAAATCTACTCTAATGAACTAAATCACACCTACACTTTATTAAGAGCCATCCATGAACCATACAAGACGGGAGCTACTTTTTGCATCTTTGTAATCACAAATAACATTGACAATGCGATGATCCTTTGAGCTAGGTGAATGATTGGTATGAACCAAAAGAAATAACCTGAATTCAAATTAAGTCCTCATTACTAACTCTAACAAATGTACAAGGAAAAAACCTTATGCCTGCACATTTGTAAATGGAATGCTCCAAATTATCCAAAACAAAAAATTCTCATTCTGACATATTCAGCTTGGGATAATGAAGTTTTTATCCGTTTGGGTATTTCTATCAGCGCACAACTAGTTCATTTATTTATACTCAGTGTAGCAGAATGATATATCATGTTTGTGCAGATATTGTACCAAATTATTTGGTTTGAGAATGGATGTTTGTTTATTATGGTACATTGTTGATAATTATCCAAGATTAATGTCTTGCTGCAACTGAATGACCAAGAAGAAACATAAATATTCAGTGTATTTAATCTCCATACCTCAGTACCAGTCTGGAATATGACTGTCAAGAACTCATCTCAAACAGAAAATGTCAAGTTATTAACCTGTATAAAAATGAAAGATGGCCTCTAAAATCACACTTCCTGTTTATAGTACTTACCTTCAGCATGGTGTAAAATTGGTTTTTGTGGTTTTTGTGGTAGAAGACACAAAGTTCTAGTTCTTTAAGTGTTGCTAGCAAGGAAGATTTTCTGAATGAGAAAAAAGTTAACAGAGAAAACCAGTGTAGAAAACCAATTACAGAAAATCTTTCATCAAACGGCTGGCATTATCTTTCAAGAAGTTTTTGATTAATTCACCTGACATTTCGTCTATTGGTGAATTTTTCTTGAGAACATGTATGGAGTTTGTCTCTATGTAACAAAGATTCAGGATATATAGGTATTATCTATCTGTTTCACTTTCTTTATCCAAACTTTATTTTTGTTTCATTGAAATGAACTAAACTCTTTCGATCTGAATCTAAATAACAAATAAATTTAAATACGGTGAAATTGTTTATAAGACACAATGATCCATTTTGCAATAGATGATGCATCTCTTCTGCTTTTTGTTTTTAAAAAATATCTCGTACATTTCAACAAGTCCAATTCTGGTAAATCAAACAAGATTATGTATTATGTATTAGTATAAAAATACATTTATTAAGACAATTTTGGTTTATAAATCTTGTAAACATAATTTTTTTATAGGTCATTAATGAATATTACTAATCTTATAAACATAATGTTTATTTTGGTTTAGAAATCTTATAAAATAATTATTTATTTATTTATTTTGTGACTACAAGCCTTCGGAGTTTTACTTTACTTGATTAAAAGGACCATGTTGGTTTTTCTACTTCTCCTACAATGGGCTTATAAATTCTTGTGGGTAAGAGAAGCCGAGGCAAGCAAAACTCACAAAATTAAATTATAAAATAGATTCAACCGATGACAGATTTAAGCCAAGTATAATCCTAAAGTACAAAACAGTAAGCAGAATGTCTCGATCGTGCTCGTTAAGTCGCTGTATAAAAATATGGAAATGCAATATTTGTCGGGATACAAGAAAACAAATGGTCCATATATTCATGCATGTGTAACAGGCAGGCTAACAGAGAAAAAAGCAGAAGAGAGGAAACAAAGTGTAACAAAAATGTATGAGAATAGAGCGACATTGATGATTCATTTCTCGGCAAGATCTTCTCTTGGAACTTTCTTCCAATCTCTCTTATCCCAACCTTAGCCTTAGCTTCTCGACCAGTCCTCTCCATTAATTCTCACACTTGTCTCTTTGTTTTCCACTACCTCCTTCTCTATTAATTTCTTTTGGATCCATCATCAACATTATGTGATAAAAACAAGACTACTACTATTTAATTAATACCAGGAAAACTGAAAACCAATTGTAAATGGTACTCTAGAAAGAAATATGCATGTGGTCTTTCATACTCTTAATACAATATTGTTAATCTTCTTTTTTCATGGATACACTGGACTATTTATGTAAATGTATATTTATTCAACTATTCTCGGTTATTGATTGAAATATCAATTTAGTTTTGGGTTCAAATATTAAGATTTAGAGGATACCATCTTTTGAGTTTTCTTTCTTGTCGGACTACAACTTATTTCTAATCTACCTATTGCAAAATATAAAAGATTTTAAACCAAGTGGAAATTAAAGACAAAAGACATTAGACAATGCAAAACTACAAGTTGACAAAGAAAAACGGATAGATCTAAAACTTGACGGCAAAATAAGGTTGGAGGGATGAGCTTGGTCCCCCCTCCAAACCCCATGATGCTGCCAGTAAATTCTTTTCAAGGGCAACCAACCATCCACGTGTACCCTCAAACCTCTACAACCTGTAAATTCATTAGACCAAATGTATCTTAATTTAATAGTAGCCTAAATGTTCCTCTCTCTTTTGTTTTTTTTAATCGAAAAATCAGTCTTAATTACAGTATATGATAGAAAACAAATCTAGCTACACAAACTTGTGGTTTGAGAATCTTTTTACTTGTAATGGACTCTATGATGTTATCCATGTGAATCACACATGCTCTCATGATTTATTATGTAAATTATTAGGCTAAGCACATTGCGAATGAAGATGTAAATCAAAAACCAAATTCTTTACAAGCAATCAATTATATTTCAACCCAAAAAGGGCATAGAAGAGATGTCCTTTTAAACAAAACATAAAAAATCCTCGAATAGAGGTTACTTGTGTTCTAAACGCAACGCAATACAGACAAGATCCTCATTTTCGTTCTGGATAATAATTTTTGTTTTACGTTTAATTATAAACCCTTTAATTATCATTGTAATTTACAAAAGTTTATGTTAGAAAAACAATACTAATAATCATATTTTAGGTTCAAATCGGTCATCGGCCTTGTTTCTCTCTCTCTCTAAAACAAGGAGAAGGAATGTTTCCTCGCAATCATCATTATCATCACCACCATCTTCGTCTCTGAAACTCCAGCGACTTCCTAGCTCACTTTATTCACTTACTCACTCACCAATACGATTTCGTATTTACATACAGATAGAGAGATAGAGAGAGAGCGAGAGAGTTTTCGGAGAGTGTGGTGGACTCTGCTTCAGAGATGGGTGGTGTGACTTCTTCAATGGCGGCGAAATTGGCGTTTTTTCCGCCGAATCCGCCGTCTTACAAGCTGGTCAGAGACGACACGACGGAGCTTCTGCTCATGGACCCTTTTCCCCATCGGGAAAATGTCGACATTTTGCGGCTGCCCACGCGCCGAGGCACCGAAATCGTCGCCATGTACATCAGGTACCCTATGGCCGTCACGACTCTTCTGTATTCGCACGGAAATGCTGCTGATATCGGTCAGATGTATGAGCTCTTCATCGAGCTTAGTATTCACCTCCGCGTCAATTTGATGGGGTTAGTTCCTCTTGCTGTTACTGGAGTGGATTTGAATTGCCCAGATCAGATTTTTCTTTGTAGATATAGCTCAGGATCTTGCTGAGAAACTCCTGGATTCTTAAAGTACTCTGCTTTCTGGATTTGTGCAAGTAGATTTGCAGCTTCCAGATGCATAATTTAGCGAAATCTCTGCTCTCAGTGTGTGGAAGCTGATAATCTTCTGAAAGATTAGGTTGCAGACTCATAAATCTAGGATTTTTACTGGAAATGTCTTTTTGTTTGTCTTTAGGGTATGTTCTAAATTGGGTCTTTAGCACAATCAAGGAGACAAAAGTAGTATTGAGATTGAGATGTTACAGTTTGATATTTTGGTAGATAAGCATATATTGGCTGTGTTGTTGACATCAAGGGCAAAAGTTTACATTTTTAGATTCAAGATCTGTTATTGTATCTGTTTCTCTATAGGCAAGTACTGAATAGTACCCAAAAGGTAGTTCTTTGATGGGATAGCTTTTGGCTCATGGAGTAGAACAGTGTTTTAGCTCTGACTATCTTCCGTAAGCATCTTATGATATGCGAAGCTGAGCAGACTCTAAATATGTTTTGGTGTTTACAGGTATGACTATTCAGGGTATGGCCAATCATCAGGGAAGGTGAGTAACCAGAGATCCTAAAGCTCTATTAGTCTTGATCCACACACAATAACTTGGTTAACTCCATTTTAACATAAATCTCCGTTTTTGCTGCAGCCCAGCGAACAAAATACATATGCTGATATCGAAGCTGCTTACAAATGTCTGGAAGAGAATTATGGAGCAAAGCAGGAGAACATTATCCTCTATGGTCAATCTGTTGGTAGTGGTCCAACCATCGATCTAGCTGCACGTTTGCCTCGACTAAGAGCTTCCATTCTTCACAGTCCGATTCTTTCTGGTCTTAGAGTTATGTATCCGGTTAAGCGAACTTATTGGTTTGACATATACAAGGTAAACACAGTAAATACCATTTTGACTTCTCTACGTAATGTTCTTCCTTCTTGACAGCATTTTGTTTGATCCTTTTCAGAACATTGATAAGATTCCGCTGGTGAGGTGTCCGGTCCTCGTGGTTCATGTAAGTTTCCGTTATCACACATTTAACTGATTATAAAAATGGAGTTAACCAAAGGTTTAGGCTGCACAGTTTTTCCTGCAAGATCCATTCTTTCTTGTTCTCTGATAATCTTCTGCATTAGTTTTATGGTGAAAGCTTTTCTGATTTGCAGGGAACAGCGGATGATGTGGTTGACTTCTCGCATGGGAAGCAGCTCTGGGAGCTCTGCCAAGAGAAATACGAACCGTTATGGCTCAAAGGAGGAAACCATTGCGATCTTGAACTCTTTCCCGAGTACATTGGCCATCTCAAGAAATTCGTGTGCGCTGTAGAGAAATCCGCATCGAAACGAAACAGTTCTTTCTCAAGAAGAAGCATGGAAGGGTGTGAACAACCTCCTCGGCATAGTGTAGACGCCCCGAGGAAGAGCAAGGACGGACGAGAGAAGCCGAGGAAGAGCGTAGACAGGCTGAGGTTTCAAGGGTACAGGTTGATGAGCCACATAGAGAGACCTGAGAAGCTCAAGGTTCCGTTTGAGGAAATGGAGAGGTCGAGGAGGAGTGTGGACATATACAGAGATAAGTCTCAGCCGATGGAGAGAGCACGTAAGAGCGTTGATTGGTTGGACAGAAGTCGAGCTACTGAATGATAAATGGGGGTTGATGTGAAAGATTATTGTATTTTGAGTTTCGTTCAATTTATTGGGGTGTGTCTTTGTTGTATTGTAGTTTTGTATGTCAAGTTAAGATACAACTGAAAAATAGATTTAATTTAACCAATTCCGTAACTTCTCTGACTGTTCTCCACATGACACTTTTGACTGGTTCTTGACATTGTTCTATTTGACAAGATATTCATGTCATCTTCTTCTTCTTGATATCCCTCCCTCCATCTTCTTTGTCTGTAAGAAGTATCCACAGGCTTGACTAAAGGTTATGGCGGTGGGATCTTTATGGGCTTCTCTTGGCCCATACATATTGGTCCACACGTCCTACGCTTCCTCAAATAAATTCTGTTACAAGATCGAGTACATGTGTCTTGTGGAATGGTATGTATGTTTTAGACAAAACAAGTACTTGTGTAATGATATGTATGTTATTGTTTCACAACATTGGTTCTAAAACACTTCAGTGAAGCTAAAATCGATCATCGGTCCAATAACCCGAAACTGACAAACTCTTTTTTTACTCTGCTGATGCGGAAACGCAAAGATTATCTTTAAGTTTGGTACTACCCAAATTTCAGATTTCCCGGATAAAAACAAAAAATTTGCAACTTTTCATCCTTTCTCTGTTCCGTTCGCTGAACAAGCTCAGAGCCTAAAACATGGAATCTCTATCTCTTCCCGTTCTAAATCCTCTTTTAGTTTCTGGTTCCAATCTTTACAGAAAACCGAGCTCGAGGAAGACTTGTTCGCTTAATTTCCCGATAGGAAGCACATCCATTTCCACTGTTCGTCGCTTTGTAAGTTGATTCTCCATCTCTTTATGGGTTTCAGTCGGTTCAAATTACGTTTCTCTACTCGATTTTTGTTTGATGGGAATTCGAAAGTGAAATTTTACTCTCTTGATGTTTGCTCATTTGTTTATGGAATGTTAGAGAGTAGGTGTTGTTAAGATGCAAGCTGTTGATGAAGATATTGATGTGAAGCAAATGAGAGACATGGCTGCTGCTAAAAAGCGTTGGGATGGTTTGGTATATTCACCTTTGCAAAGATTTGTTTGGCTATTTTTTTTGGAACAACTGAGTTTTTATGGTTGATGATATAGTTAAGGGAAGGAAGAGTGAAGCTTCTTACACCAAGAGAAGCTGGCTATGCTATTCAGCTTTCAAACAAACCTCTGCTCGATGTCCGCCCCTCTAGCGAACGAAACAAGGTAGTGGATTCTTGTTTTGGGTTATTATGCTGTTTCGAACTTATCAATAGATGATGATTGTGTGCCTTCACCATTGTTGTTGCAAAGAACTGATTCTTAAGTTAGTTTGAGCTCCTTGGCCATTTTGTCCAGTTTTAGCTGATTTTATTTTTCCCCATGTCATTTTGATGCCTTTTCTTCAGCAATGTTTTGTCTGAAAACAGAATACTTTTGGGTCACTATAGTGTTTCACTGAGGTGATTCTTCTTTTGTTGTTGATGTTCTGTGTTTCTCAAAAGGCATGGGTTAAAGGCTCCACCTGGATTCCAATATTCGAGAATGATGACAACTTAGACGCTGGAGCTCTTTCCAAAAAGGTCACCAGCTTTGCTATGGGTACTTCTTCACCATTGTTTTGACTCTAGTTATATTGGATCAAACTCATTATAATCCTATTATCTATATTTCTGCAAATGTATATCATCCTCTAATCCCATTTAGGATAGAGAGTAGAACTGGAATACACTCATCTTATCAAATTGTCTACGGTTTTATTTAGTTTTGATTTCAAAATGTTTCCACGTGTACAGGGGGATGGTGGAGCGGTGCACCTACGTTATCTTTCAATAAGTATGTCTGCGACTGCGAGAGTGAGCTAACCTTCTTGTATGCCTTTTGACGTACTTGTTTCCTTCTTGGTTATCTACTTTGGTTTGCAGGCTCTTCTTGTCAAAGGTTGAGGAGAAATTCCCAAAAGATGCAGAGCTGATTGTTGCTTGCCAGAAAGGATTGAGGTATTTCATATAATCAACGGGCTAGAACGACTCACTGTTGCTCACCTAGTAGAATATAGTAGCTAACCATGGTTTAGATGTAATGTAACCATAAGATAAGTGAATAATTAGATTCTCTGCCTATGGATTATATTCCGAGTGTTTTATGCTTTGGGTTTGTAAGGGGTAGTGGAAGTAGCTTCATTATCAGATGATTTCAGTTCTTGTGAAATGAAAAGTTAGTTTGTTGATAGTACAACTGTTATACAAAAGGGTTTATCTTACTGTTGGATGATCCTCATATTTCTTCTTGTCAGATCCTTAGCTGCATGTGAGCTACTATACAATGCCGGGTATCAGAATATTTTCTGGGTGCAAGGCGGTCTAGAGTCCGCTGCAGAAGAGGTTATTTACATTTGGCCTTTTTCAGTTTCGTTTAAAACTGGAAAGCCTTACTTGGATAACTAATTGATTATATTATGTAATACATCCTGAAGTAGGATCTTGTCATAGAAGGTTCTCAGCCACTGAAGCTTGCTGGGATTGGAGGTTTTTCAGAGTTCCTCGGGTAATTCTCTCTTCTGCTACTCAGATCTTCTCATTGCTTGAAAAGTAACCTGTCAATGGCCTAGCTATATCTTTCCCAGTTTTCCAAGTTAATGATTGTGTTTGCTTGTACATCAAATGCAGCATTTGACATTATGCTCACATATCACTTTTGGTTGTAGTTGGACAGATCAGCAAAGAGCTCAAGCTGCGAAAGAAGGCTGGGGTTACCGTTTAGTATATTCTGCTCGTCTGGTGAGTTTTTGTGAATTTAATAGATCTTCTCCTGTTTGCTTTTCTCAATCAATATTCCTCTTTGTTGAGTCATGAGTGGTGGTCTGATCTCATGTCATGTTTGTAGCTTGGAGTTGTTCTTGCTGCTGATGCCTTGTTCGTTGGTGCCCAGCAACTTGGTCCCTTTATTCAAAAGTTAAGAGGCCACTAGGACTGGATTTTTCTATAACCAAGCTCCAAGTGGTTTTACTTCTCTTCACAGAAAAAAAATGTAAATTTCTGTTGAAGATTGTAGTTTTGGAGGTAGAGTAGTTGAACTTGAAAAAGTGAAAAAGACAAAAAAAATCTGAAAATCCAATGGACTGTCCGGTTTTGCAAAAATTCGAAACTCGTGTAGTGTTTTAACTTTAAACCAGTTATGTCTGAAAGAAAACATGTAAGAGAGCTGAGAGTATGGATTTGGAGTATTCGTGTCAGGAGAACAAAAAGGATCTCGACCAATCTTAGAACGCGTGTCGTTTTAATACAAATATGCCGGACTTCGTGTTGTTTCTTCGTTTGGAAAGTGGAAGCATATTCTCCTATCAATTATTGCGCCAACCCAACTAAGGTTAAAATCCAGCGCGCGAGTTGTAACCAACCGTGGTTGCAATAGTACTTATACGTGTACGGTCGAGATTGTTTCTGACTTCTTCTCTTTCGCAATTTGCAATTCCTCTGGTTTAAAACTAGGGTTAGGCTACGATTCTGCTCTGTTACCCCTCAAAGCTTTCGCTATCGCCGTTTGGCTTTCTGGTGAAAAATCACTCCGATTAGAATTTTGTTTTTTTTGCTCGATTCTTCTCAATCTGAAATTATGGAGATGGAGCGCGTGCATGAATTTCCTCATACTCACATGGATCGCCGTCCCAGAAAGAGGGCGCGTCTCGGTTGGGACGTCTTGCCTCCGGCGCCTAAGGTATAGATCCGTGATTCTCAAATTCAATTTTTGTGTTTGATTCCTTTGGATCTTCAATTTCATTTAAAATTAAGAATCGGTCTGCTTTTTGTTTTTGTGTGTGTTGATTCTTCTGGATCTGCAATTTGCTTTGTATGAATCAATTGTTCATTGAATATACGAATTTTGATATGATTAGGTGAGTTTCGTGTGTGAATTAGGTGGTGTTCTATCGGTTTCAGCCAGATCTATTTAAATTTGGTCTATCCTTGAAATATTTTAGATGATAGTGTGTTAGGTTCAACTTTTTTCTGTGTTGTCTTTGTTTTTAGTATTTGTTTGTGGATAGTCTGATGCATGATTGAGATAAAATAATCTCCAGATTATTGTTTTGTTGGTAATTGACTCTACATGTCAGATTTGCCTTTCTCTTACGAATTCTCGAACTTTTAAATAGACTCGTGTTCGTTCTCTTAGTTAAACCTTGAAAAAGAGATTGTTTATAAACAATAGATAATCGATGCACCTTGAAGATAGATAGATGTATACGACTCAACATGTTGGCGTAGAAGGATAGTGGCAGGATTTCATCTGGGTGTTATGGTACATGAATATGTGTAGGCTCAGGTAGGAATGTTTTGTGGGCAAGAGATTGGAAATATATCAAGCTTTGCGCCGTCCGGAGCTCCTTCGGAGATTAGTAGCAATTCTCTTTGTGTTAAGGGTGTGGCTCGAAATGGTTCTCCCCCATGGCGTGAAGATGACAAGGATGGACATTACATGTTTGAAATGGGAGATGACTTAACTCCACGCTGTAATCCCACTTTTCCATTACCAAAAAACTGTTTTGATAATCCTGAAATCACCTAATTAAAATCTCTCTAGATTTCTCTTTCAATCAAAGTCTGGGTGTTGTGCCTGTTAAATAGAGTCTAGTAACTGGACCGTGTGTGTGTTGTTTTGGTTTCAAAATTCTGATTGCTCTATGCTCTTTTTGCTTTGCAGATAAAATATATAGCAAAATGGGTGAAGGTATGAATACATGCTTGTTGTATGGTTTGCTTATGGTTTTCATATAACCCAGTGTGGCTCTCATATCTCATTCAAATATTTTCTAAATTGTCCTTGTAGGTACTTTTGGTCAAGTGCTAGAATGTTGGGATAGGGAGAGGAAGGAAATGGTGGCAGTAAAAATTGTTCGCGGAGTGAAGAAATACCGTGAGGCCGCTATGATTGAAATTGAAATGCTGCAACATCTTGGTAAACATGACAAAGGTGGCAATCGGTAAGTATTCTCTAATGACTTTTCATCATGCATAAAAAATCTGATGGGATCAGTCTTAGTTTCCTAAGATTCTTTCTTTGCAAAGGTTAAATCAGTTTATTCTTTGCAGTTGTGTACAAATTCGGAACTGGTTTGACTATCGTAACCATATCTGTATCGTAAGTGCTTAGTCAATTTTGTGACGTCTATGAATTTCCCTCAGTTTGGGAAATAATTTGGGGTTAAAACTTTGTGGATGGATTTAAATGGATGCAACAGGTATTTGAGAAGCTTGGATCAAGTTTATACGATTTTCTTCGGAAAAACAATTATCGCTCCTTTCCCATTGATCTTGTCCGTGAGATTGGGTGGCAACTCTTGGAATGTGTAGCATGTGTGTAGTCTTTGCATTCTTTCAATCTACCCGCTCTTGCATTTTCATCTGAGTTTTGCTTGTCGTTGCATCATAAATTTTCTGAAAATTCTGCTCTATCCACTTTCTTAAGGGAATTTTTCTTCTTTTTTGGTTTGTCTGATTTTGCAGTTATGCATGACTTGCGCATGATTCATACGGACCTTAAACCAGAGAATATTCTGTTAGTCTCCTCAGACTATGTGAAAGTCCCTGAGTACAAGGTATATCTCGAATGTTCCTGTGTGTGACCTTCGTGTGGCCAACTAGTGAAGTGCTAAAGTAATTTGGTTGTGCTTCCTGCTGCAGGGCTCCCGATTACAGAGGGATGTTTGCTATAAGAGAGTTCCAAAATCAAGTGCAATAAAGGTGATTGATTTTGGTAGCACAACTTATGAGCGACAGGACCAAAACTACATTGTATCTACAAGGCATTATAGGGCACCAGAAGTCATTTTAGGTGAGTAGCTCTTGTAAAACAAATCGTTCAAATCTGTAGGTTTCTGATATTCATAAGACGAAGAACTGATGGAGAAACAATGGCTTGTATAATATTGAAGGTCTTGGCTGGAGTTACCCTTGTGACATATGGAGCATTGGATGTATAATAGTGGAGCTATGCACGGTATGTGTCTGATGTATTTGATTTAAATGAATGTTTTGGAGTTTGTTTTCTTCTTTTTAAATTAATAAGATTTGAGATTTGCAGGGGGAAGCATTGTTCCAAACACATGAAAACATGGAGCATCTAGCTATGATGGAACGTGTTCTTGGACCGTTTCCTCAACAAATGCTGAAGAAAGTCGAGTAAGTTGTATCAAGATATTCTCTGAAGTGATCGTATTTGCAGCCATTTATGGTTTGGTTGTTAAACTGTAATCTGTCTTTTTGTCGTGTGATAAAGCCGGCACGCGGAGAAGTATGTGAGAAGAGGTCGTTTGGATTGGCCAGATGGGGCAACCTCAAGAGACAGCCTGAAAGCAGTACTGAAGCTTCCGCGGCTTCAGGTTTGTCAAAGTGTTTATAATTTTGGGTTTTGATTTGTTGAAGTGATGTGTTAGATTTGTGTGTGTTTACAATGTTCCATGTGTGTGCGTTGCAGAATCTAATAATGCAACATGTGGACCATTCGGCGGGGGAGTTGATAAATATGGTGCAAGGGCTTCTTCGGTTTGATCCGACGGAGAGACTAACCGCTCGTGAAGCTCTGAGACATCCTTTTTTCACGAGGAGTCACTTGAGAAGATAACGTGTCCTCCGGATTTGACGAGACGAGTGTGTAAATAGAGAGAGATGTATGTTTGTAGTAGTAACTAGTAAAGACCAAATGTGTTGCATGACGTTGACAAACCCCACGAATTCTGATAAAAAATTACCAAATTTTTGATTTGTGACAGAATACAGAGAAACTAAGAAGACAGAAAGACCGAAATCTACGATACAAACAGGATTAAAAGACGGCTTAACTACAACAAGTTAGACACATGTTTGCACCAACCGAGAGCTTACCAATGAGGAACACCGATTCCAAACCAAAGCTTGGAAAATTGCGCTTTTGCCGCAGATCCTAAAACCTGGAATCCCCATCGTTGTTGCCGTGAGCAACCGCACACAAGGCCAGTCCTCAAAACCTCATTAGTAGCGGTACCTGCAGCTTCTCCGAGGACTAGCACAAAACAGAACCGCATCAGCGAACTACTACACCACCGACGGCACGGGAGCCTCTACGGACAGCTAGAGAAGCCGCCTCTAGCCACCAAACTCAAGCTTTGAAGCCACAAGAATAGTCTCCCACAGGGCGAGTAGAGACTGAAAAACGGAGCTGCCGCCTCTATCCAACATTGAACCACCTCGGAAGCTTTAAGCTTTAACGGAGTCATCCCCTATCAGAGCTTGAGCCAATCTACGAACCCGAGAAGCAAAAGGAACCAGCAGAAGCTGAAAGGAGCCACACGGAAGGCCAAATCTGAGCAGAGAAACCACAGTCGTCACTGTGAGATCCCACCACTGTCGACCACCGCCCAACAACAGCCGCCGGCGAGAAAGGAACGAGAGAGACGACGGAATGAGCCACTCTCCGGTACACCGGAGACCACGCCGTCGCTGCCCTGACGAGATCAAAGCAGCCGAAAACCCCACCTCCTTGAACAAATCGACGGCGGAAACTCGTCCTCAAAGCCTCCGAACCACCACACCGTTCAGATCTGACGGAAACTTCAGCCACGACCTCCCAGAGCAAAGACCAGAGCACCACATCTGAAGGAGGAGCCGAAATGCCACACTCTACCTCCACTAAGATCCCCAAACCACGAAGACGGAGGACCACCTCGCGGATCTCGATCCAAACTCACAAAACCCTCTCTGCTGAAAATCGAGCAAAACAGAGAGGAAGCCGAATCAAACGAGAAAGAAAGGGAGAAGGGGCCTCTCCCGGCGGTGGCGAGGAGCGCCGGCCGCCGGAGAGGAAGGAAAATTAAAGGTTGAAGGTGTTGGCGGCAGAGGTTTGAGAGAGAGGGAGAAAAGAGAATTAGGGCTTTCTTTTTTGAATTCTGATAATTTAATGAAACAAATGCTTGAATCACTCTTTTTTAAGTGATAGGCGATTATTTTTTCTATCTTGTTGCTCGATCGTCCAAATTCAAGGTATTAAATTTTCGACCTTCTAAGTGGGAATCAACTGTACAAGAAAGTGCTATAGTAAATGGATGATGTCATGAATGAATATTATAAGGTATTACCGTACTAAATTGGAAAAAACGTATCCACATTGAGTACGTTATATTACTAAGAAAAGGTAAAAGAGTTGGGAAATTGCAAAAGAAAACTTCAAAAGTCAAATGGTCACGAAAATCTTATGAATATAAAATATTGTTAACATTAAACTTAGCCTAATTTTATCTAATTCACCCCTTGCAGTTGATGCGTTACGCAAAGAAACTCCTCCAACATAACTGAAACGATGCCGTTTTGTTGGAAAGGAACAGCAAGTAGTTTATCATCAGAGAGAGAAACTACATGATTTGCAAGAAAATCCCCAATTTTTTTTTCAGTTACTCATATTTTGCAGAAAAAAAAAAAAAACAGAATCTCTTCTGCATATCCTCTCCGATTCCGACTCCGATTCACCTCTGTTCGTAGCTTGTCCGATCCTACGAAAATAGCGATCTCGGCAAACTATACTGCTGTAAGTCTTTGTTTACCATAATGCTGTTAATTTTCCATACGAATTTCCGTCTCCTTACACGATTCACGCCGAAATCTTAGCATTGACTCTACAATTGTTCCATTAACACTGGATAAATGTATCCTTCTCTGTAGATTAGGATGTTTCCAGAAATACTTACAATTCGCTTCTCACATATGTGAAGCTAAATTATGTGTTTGCTTAATTTTTTATCTGATGTGTACAGATTATTAATAGGTTGATGATGGGTTCTGCAGCCAGACAACCTCTCTTCTCCTTTGGTGTTATCGCTGATGTTCAATATGCTGATATTCCAGATGGACGCTCCTTCTTAGGCGTTCCTAGATATTACAGAAACAGCATCCTCGTCTTGCAAAAAGCTGTCGAAACCTGGAACAACCATGGAAACCTCAAGTTTGTTATCAACATGGGAGACATTGTTGATGGCTTTTGTCCCAAAGACCAGTCCTTGTCCGCAACTAAGAAACTAGTCAACGAATTCGAGAAATTCAATGGTCCTGTGTATCACATGATCGGCAATCACTGCCTCTACAATCTCCCACGTGAAGAGTTGCTTCCGTTACTTAACATCCCAGGTCGTGACGGCAATGCTTATTATGAGTTCTCACCGACGCCTGAGTATAGAGTTGTGGTGTTGGATGGTTATGACATCAGTGCTGTTGGATGGCCACAGGACCATCCCAAGACGATCGCTGCATTGAAGATCCTCGAAGAGAAGAATCCAAACGCGGAGAAGAACAGCCCTGAGGGGCTTGTGGATGTTGAGAGGAGATTCGTGAAGTATAACGGCGGTGTTGGGGAGGAGCAGCTGGTGTGGCTGGACAGTGTGCTTCAGGATGCGACGGAATCGAAACAGAGAGTTATCGTGTGCGGGCATGTGCCTATGAGCCCTGGCGCGGCGTCAAAAGCAGCCTTGCTGTGGAATTTCGATGAAGTGATGAGCGTTATACACAAGTATGACTGTGTTAGAGTTTGTTTGTCTGGACATGATCATAAAGGAGGTTACTTTGTTGATGCTCATGGTGTTCACCATAGGTCACTGGAAGCTGCCTTGGAATGTCCTCCAGGTACGTATTCGTTTGGATATATTGATGTGTATGAGAACAAGTTGTCTCTTGTTGGTGTTGATCGGATGCAAAGCACTGATTTTTGAGAACTCTGAGTTTTCCTAAATGATCATTTATCTCAAAATGAAGACACTAGTCACAACACAAATTCAATTTTATACGATGGTTGTTATGTGATTATTACCTCTTTTTTTTATTTTACTAAGATTGTACTATATCATCAGGCTGCATGTATCTATGTGTGTTGGCGAAAGAAATGTACTATTGATTGGACACATGTTATTTTATTAATTGCCATATGTCTTTATCAGATAATCTGTTTCGGAATTGGTTATGCATTAAAGGAAAATCTCTAGCTAAAGATATGTTTTTTTTTTGTAGTGTTTAGCTGAATTTTGGTGTACTCTGCTAAAGATATCATTTCAAGGAAACTCTGTAGCTTAGATGTCAGATCATTTGTGTTCAGGTTTTTGATCATATATTTTCCAGTGATGATTCTTCAGTGCATCTGTTAGTAAGGGTTAGAACTTGATTAGCGTTGGTGTTATTATGTTGAGTAGATCAAGTGTTGAGCAGATGCTAGATAGTGTTCTGTATTCTGCAACTGCGCAAGGGACTTGAAAGAACAAACTTCAATTCATGGTGAAAACGATGTTGGGGGTGTTAAATGGTCAAATATGTAATGATATAGTCATCTTGATTTGGATTAATGGTCAATGTGTGATGAAATGGTCTCCACAAGCCTTATGGGTTTGGTTGCAAAAAGAAATAGTTCGTTTTTAAGTAGCAATGGCGTAATACGGCTGAAGAAACATTAGATCTAAGTGATTATGGTACCAAGTTTAATATTTCTCTAGGAATAATTGAAGATGTTTTAGTGAATTATCGCTGCTTCTCTCGTGGAAAGTGACACTGGAGCTGATTTCTTTTGAGGTGATTACTTGAATATATCAACATCTTCAAAGGTTAATTTATCAAAGAAAATTCATGTATCCCTCTTAATTTGAACTTTTTATGTGTAGCAAATAATCAAATAAAATGATTTGTTTAAGTACTATGTAAGCTATACGAAAGACATGTTGTGTATTAACAGCAATAGACTATGTAAGCTATACGAAAGACATGTTGTAAGAAAAAAAATCAAGCAAAATAAGTTAAGCCACAACATGATGAAGTTCCAAATTTTCTCTCAGTCCATAATTTAGTTTAGTGGCTTAACTTATTTTGATTGATTTTTTTTTTCTTACTCATGTTATATGACAAAAAGTAATTAATGAAAGAAAATGATATAAGTATTGTAATGTATATCGGTTACCAAACTTATAAAGATTGTCTGATTTGCTAACGTAAGATTTAACATGCCAATTCAAGACGGTTCTTAGAATGTAGATCGTTTTCGAATATTGCTAAAGTCACACGAGCATAAGAGAATCCAAAACTGATTTCTCATCTCGTTGTTGTGTTTATGGATCATCATCGTACCTCAACTATTGCCAATAGAGACAAATATAGCATAAATGAAACATTACACTCTGTTTTATAATCTCTTCACAATCTTCAAAGGGTAGTCTCTCTCTCTCTCGTACGATTTGTCTCAAGCGAAGAAATGACTTTCTGACATCATTGGTTTAATAGTAGCGATCCATAATTTTCAACAATGAAAAAATAGAAAATCTAGTTATTAAATGTCCATGATCACACTATATAAAGACATAAATATACACCCAACATTTTCATCAAACCTAGTCATCATCAAGAAGCATATCCTCTTTTTGAAAGTTCAGATTCAACGATGGCCCTCCACACTCTCTTCTTTGTCTCACTTCTCATATTCTCATTAGCCGGGTCCATTCTCGTATTCACATTAATCGACTCGAGTCGTGGAGCTACCAAACTCTTTTCCGACCTCCAAAACTCCCTCGAGGTCACCGCGAAGCCCATAAGAGATGGCGTAGGTTTGTGAATTGTCTTCCCTTTTTTTTGTTAAAATTGATAAACTTGTACTTTTGATGTCCATAATCTTAATTTCCTTCTTGGCGACCAAACCCTATTCAAATATAATAAAAATCCCCTCAACCAAATAGAGTTGATCAGGCTTGGATTATATTATTCTTTGAGAACTGTGAGTACCAGTATGAAAAAATAATTTAAAGACACTTTATTTCTAATTAAGCGCATCTCTACTTTATGTTTGCTCAACTATACATCTCTAACTTGTACATAATTTATCTTTAGTTTTGGAACCTGGAAAAGATATGGTGAGAATCACATGGAAGCTAAAGTCATCGGCCAAGGTCGATGCCGATGCTGCCTTCAAGACCGTCGAAGTCAAGCTTTGTTATGCACCGATCAGCCAAGATGATAGACCGTGGCGTATGACTCACAACGAACTCTATAAGGACAAAACCTGCCCATACAAGATTGTGTCCAAGCCGTATGACAAGATCCCTCAATCACTCAACTGGACCCTCGATCTTGATATCCCCACTGGAACCTACTTCGTACGTGCTTATGCAAAGGATGCAAAAGGCCACGAAGTTGCATACGGACAGAGCACAGACGCGGAAAAGACGACCAATCTCTTTAGCGTTGAGGCCATTAGTGGTTGTCACTTGTTGCTCGACATAGCATCCATGTTCTTCAGTGTCTTCTCCGTTGTTTCTCTGTTTGTCTTCTTTGTAAAGGCGAAGAAGAATAGCCGAGTTAGAACACAGGAAGTGAGTTAAATAACTTTGGCTCTTTGTTAAGTCGAACAAAAGTGTTGACTTTCTGGTCGTTGTTGTTGTTGTTGTTGTTTTTTTTTTTCTTTTTCTTTTAACTTTCTCTTTAAATGGATGTACGTCAAGGAAACTCTTTCTTTATAACTTGCAAAATGAGTATTGTGTAGTCGTGGAGCTACTCAATGATACCAAAGATAGACTCTTTTCCGTCCTCTAAAACATACTTGAGGTCTCAACATTCTAAGAATTGTTGAGTTTTTTTCTTTCTCATTTGATCATTTATTTTCATCAATTTGTTTATATGATAAAAAAAAAGTAATCAATCAAAGAAAAGGATAGAAATATTCCAATGTATATTCCAACATTGTAGAAGTCACAGAGCATAAGAACATTCAGAACTAATTAAGCTTTTGTAGTTTTGTATGTTAGCCCTACAATGTTTTCCTTTTTGCATGTTACCAATAACCAGTAACCTTAAACTTTTACACAGTATATAAAATAATAAAACGTATAAAGATATATTACAAGTTTATGGGCCTTAACTTTAATTTAGTTTTAACAAAGGTTAATGGGCCTTATCTTTAGGAAAAGTCATTTTGTAAAACGGTGAAACTACAAGACCTCTGATCTCGGGTTGTAATTTGGTGGACGATAATTACTGTATTATTAGTGTCAGAGCATCTAGATGCACGCATCTCTGGAGGTACTTCTTGTTCGCTTTAAATGCATTTACTTTAAAGGGAACTCTCTCTAACTTGCAGAATGAGTATTGTGTAGTCGTGGAGCTACCAAAGACACCAAAGATAGACTCTTTTCCGACCTCCAAAACGACAGTCTAAGAATTCTTGATTTTTTTTTTCTTTTTCATGTTCTCATTAATTTTTGTACGATAAAAAAGTAATCAATCAGAAAAATTAATAGAAATATTTTAATGTATACTGCTTACCAATATTTTGATTAATTATTTTTAACTTATATTATATGATAAAAAGTAATTAATGACAAATGATATTAATATTTTTGATGTAAATCGGTTAGAGATTGTCTGATTTGATAACGTAAGATTTAACATGTCAATTTAAAAACGTATATAGTTTTCAAAAGTCACACAAGCATAAAAGAATTCAAAACTAATTTCTCATCATTTTGTTGTGTTTATAAATCATCATACCTTAATTATTGTCAGAGAGACAAATCTAGAATAATGAAAACATTATGTTCAATGATTTAATCTCTTCAAAATCTTTAGAGAGTAATTTCTTTATTTCTCCTCGGATCAGTTTCAAGCAAATCAATGACTTTCTCTCACATCAATTATTTCATAGTAACCATAGACAATTTTCGAGTAAAACAACGAGCGTCCATAATCACACTATATAAAGACATAAGTATACATCAAACATTTTCTCCAAACCCAGTCATGATCCAAAAAGCATATCCTCCTCTTTCAGGAAGTTCAGATTCAACAATGGCCATCCAAACTTTCCTCTTTGTCTCACTTCTCATACTCTCATTAATCGAGACGAGTCGTGGAGCTACCAAAGCTAGACTCTTACTACCCTCCAAAATTCACTCACCGCGAAGCCATAAGAGATGGCGTGGGTTTGTGAATTGGCTTTGTTATGCTAAGAAACCGTGGCACGTTAACGAACTTGGACACTTCACAATTCACATTTCCTCATCATTTTTAAATTTGACCAACATCATATGAATAGTTTTGTGTCAAAATATGCTAAGGTATGCAATTAGTGAACATTTGCAAACTCGACCTAGCAGACATTTCTAAAGGTTATATGGTAATATGTCATTTCATTCATAAATTAAAGTACAGTAAAACCTCTATAAAACAATAATGTTGGGACTTTAAAATTTTATTATCTTATAGAGTTATTATTTTATCGATAAAACAATAATTATTGTTTTATAGAAATATTCTATAAAAAATAGAAACTTAATAGAAATATATTTTTTCAGTTTTTTTATTCAAAATTTCCTTATACTTTATTATTTACGTATTTTATATTTTACTTTTCTATTTTTCTATTTGACATATTTACTTTTCTATTTTTCTATTTTATGTAATTTTCTATTTTTCTTTTACATATTTACTTTTTTTTTCTTTGTCCAACAACAAATTATTTTGTTTATAAATATAGCATTCTCTTTTTCTTTTAGCAAAGTTCTTCTTCATACACAAATCTTTTTCATTATCACCAAATTCAATAATGGCTTCTAATCATCTAAAGGGTGTTTCAAAGTCAACAATGACAGATCATATACGCAAAGAATTGTGTAAGTATAAAAAAGATCATAAAGCATGCACTCAAAAGGAGTTGCAATCATGGCTTGAAGAAAAATTTCAATTAAAAGTCTGTCAAAGTGTGATTTCAACCACACTCAAGCGATCAGCTGAGTATCTTTCTAGCAACCTAGATTTGGGAGGAAACATCAAGCGACACAAATCAGCAAAATTTCCAGAGATGGAGAAAGTTGTTTATGAGTGGTTTCTCCAATACCAAGATCGTGTGAACATGTCTGGAGAGCTTATTTTGCAAAAGGCAAAAGATACAATGAAGATTCTATACCCCCAACAAGAGTCTGAGCACCAATTTTCTCAAGGTTGGCTTGAAAAATTCAAACTACGACATGGTATCAAGTCTTTTCGTCGTTTTGGAGAAAGTGGTTCGGTTGATGTACAAGACATGGAGAAGAAATTGGAAGCAATCAGGGAAAAAATAGATAAATTCCCTATGAAAGATGTTTTCAATATGGATGAAACTGGTTTGTTTTACAGGTTACAAGCTGATCATTCTCTTGCTACGAAACAACTTGAAGGAAAAAAGCAAGACAAAGAAAGACTAACAGTTGTTATTTGCTGCAATGAGGATGGGTCTGAAAAAATTCCATTATGGATTATTGGAAAATATGCAAAGCCACGTTGTTTCAAGAATGTCAACATGAGTAGCTTGAATTGTCACTATCGTGCCAACAAAAGAGCTTGGATGACAAGTGTGATTTTTGAAGAATATATCCGCTGGTTTGATAGTAGAATGCATGGGAGGAGAGTCTTGTTTGTGGTAGATAATTGTCCAGCACATCCAAAAAATATTGAAGGATTACAGAATGTTGAGCTCTTCTTCTTGCCACCCAATATGACATCAAAAATTCAACCTTGTGATGCTGGAATAATAAGAGCTTTTAAGATGCATTATCGTAGAAGATTTTACCGTCAAGTTTTAGAAGGCTATGAGTTGGGACAATCTGATCCAAGTAAGATAAATGTTCTGGAGGCTATCAATTTTGCGGTGTCAGCTTGGACCATTAATGTTCATCAAGATACAATAGCAAATTGTTTTCGACATTGTAAAATTCGTTCAGGAGATGTCCTACCAAGGAATTTAGAAGATGAATCAGTTGACATTCGTGAACTTGAAGTTGTGATTAATAATCTTGGTTATCGGAATAGAATGGATGTCAATAGCCTACTCAGCTATCCGGGTGAGAACGATTCATGCTCAGAAGTTCAAAGTCTAGAAGAAATTGTGTCTACTGTTCTTAATGGTGAAGATGAAGTTGAAGATGATGAGGAAAGACATGTGCAAGTAGTTACACGTAAGGAAGCAATTGTGGCTTCGAGAACTCTTCACAACTTTTGGTGCATGTTGAGAACACACCACCAGAAATTGTTGATGCAATAAGAAAAATTCGAGATGAGCTCCAACGAGAATCAACTTTCAGAAAAGACAAACTACATTGGAGTCATATTTTACTAAATTGCCTTAGATATATATGCCTTAGTTTTATAATTATTGTCTTAGCTTATTGTTGGGACTATATTTTTACATAAGAGTTTCAAAAATATTATTGTCTTATCATCTTATCGCATTATGCTATTTTTTACATTGGCCCGAGTTGGGACCGGAGAAATTTATTGTCTTATAGTGTTTATTGTTTTATCGAGTATTGTTTTATAGAGGTTCTACTGTATATAGGGATTAGGGATATAAGAAACGAGTTACAAAGATGAAATAGACCACGGATTAGTTCCATTTATTAGTTCTAAAACGAAAATAGAATGTTTTCCTAGATATTGAATCTTATTGATTACCAAAGTTGCTTGTGTGTGTACATAAACATAAATAGCTAGGCCAGCTGAGGTTGAAACTCTTTTTGGTCTACGACTCTAGCAACTTTTAACAAGAAACACCGTACTATATATATAATTTGGTCCATTATTAATTGCATCATCACTAAATTTCTCACGATGTTCGGACCAAAGCTAACTAAAGATAATTAATCTCTCAATGTGTCCTAAAATGTCCGAAAATACTCGATATGTAATTATTAACTAGAAAGAAAGAGATCAAGTCCAAAAGCAGTAGTCGTTACAGAAGAGTCATACCAACAAAAAAAAAGCAATGATGATCTCTAGTGCTTCAATCATATATGTCGGAGCAAAATTAGGGTTTCTTACCAAGAGAGTTCTTGTTGTTATGCATCCAGATTTTAAGCACTTGTCTCCGAACACCAGTCTCCGCACAGAACTGCTCAACCGCCGCGTCATCGTGCTTCTGAATCCGCCACCCCAACCTCTCCGCGAAGGCTAACATCTTCTCCTTCTGCTCCGCCGTGAATTTCGTTCTAAACCTCTTAGCCGTGTTTCCCCCGCTGCTGCTCGGATTCGACGTATCTTCCTCGTCCCCTGATGCCGCTGGTGGCCTGTAAGGCTGCCCTGTCGCCGCCGGAGATGTTAGATGAAGGTATCCTGGAGGGGGCAGCTGCGGTGGGCGGTTGTAGTACGTTGTCGGAACTCTGTGGGCCCTACCGCCGCTGATCTCGGTTTCCTTGCGGTGGAAGTTGCGGTGGCAGCCACAAGCGGCACACTTGAGAGCGTCAAGCGAACCATCTTCACCGGAAGGCATGAACTCGCAGCAGCCGTCCACGGCGTGGCCACCGATGTTAACGGCATGGTTCTTTAAGCACTCTCTATACCTAATCTTCCCTCCAACGCCTTTTCTCCTTCCTCCTCCGCCGCCACCGCTAGATGTGGCTCCCTCCCCGCTCAGAGACTCGTAACCGCCGGGTGGGTTAACACCTGACATCTCCATTTCTTCTTCTTGCTCCTCAAAACTCATATTTTCTTTTTCTCTCTCTCTCTCTCTCTCTCTCTCTCTCTATTTCTTAATTCTTTAACATCGCAAGAGACATCCGTACAGTTGGATTGTAACTTAAAAACTATTCCGGAGACCAATAATTCATGAGAGTTAAAGAGTACAGAATGTGAAAAAAAATAAACTTAATTTAATCCAAATGAAAAGATGGAACAGTGAAGATAAGAAAGAGAGATGATGAGAGTGTGGTCAACAATTCTCAAGCCTGCCGCTTAATAAAAAGGAGCCTCAACTTTTTAATTTTTTGGTTTTAGCAGATTTTTCATAATATATATACTTATATAGTTTCATCAAAAATAAAAGACCCATAACACATTTCCAGAGGTTAATGAAAGTACAGTTTATACAGTAAATAAACAAAAGTTTGTTCCATTAATGTAAAGGGTAATTAAGTGGTGGGTTTGAGATTGACTAGGGATTAATAGGGGATTAGAAGGGCGCTTAATTAGGGTTTGATTTGTTCAAGGTACGTGTTGTGACTCTGGGGGACTTTAACTGCCAAAAGAGGGATCAAAGTGGAACTGTAGTGAAATCAAAAGTGCCTTTGGGAACTCACTGATCACAGCAAAATGGCAAAAGCATGAGACGTAGAGATAACGTGTCAAGAGTATAAACCCGGCCTTATATATGTATTTTTCATTATAAAAAAAATTCTTAAACTGGATCAACTCTTCAATAAGTGATATATACCGTAATATTTTTATCACAAAAATAAAATTTAACCATTCAAAATGTAGGCTAAATTTCATTATCATAACATTTATCCGTTCCAATAATTCGTGTGATTTGAAATGTAACCCTTTTTTGTTTATTTTGGATTTTGTAGGCATTGCTTATTGCTATGTATGTTGCAATGTTATATAAACATGTATCTAGGTATACTACTGTGAGCCAAAAATCTGTGGACCAACCGTTTGTAGACAGTTTTTGGACTTGTTAAGCGATTTGAGTTGTTTAAAGTTTAAACCCATCATTTCCAATGTATTTTGAAATATTACTGTTGGATAGCCTGCAACGGGACTAGAAAATAACAAAAATACAGTATTTAAACCGGTTCATTTAGGATAGCCATATATATTACAAGAAGTTATGTTTTTTGCTTTTAAGGAAATCACAATGCAACAAATTAATCTAAGTTCTTAAGCATCATTTATCCTTAAACCAGCATTCAAACGTGCACGTTTTATGTAAGGGATATTTTATTTCTGTACCCATGCATGTAAGATATATATACAGCTGGTCACCCAACTATTAATAATGTTTATGTATATATATTCACTTGTTTATACAAATTTACAAAACAATTTTATCTAATTATCTTACTTGTTCTTGTTTTCTTTAATCTTCAAAGATATTTCATGAACATGCATCAAACAAAGAAATTACAAACATGGTGATTTGAGTAAGCTGAATAGGTTTGGAAACAAATGCAAATACTCAAGATTCGAGAATAAGTGTAAGTGATACTCAAACTCAGATTCAAATAAAGATATATGGTATCAAAATAATAATTACTCCTACAGTTCTTTAACAAAATGAGACTGATTTGTGAAGAAGGAAAAAGACAAGAACAGTTATTATGTAGACGATCAAGTTGATAAAGAAGGGAGGAGCTGATTGTGGAAAAGGACAAATTACGAACGGCCCTTTGACGATGGAATAGTTCCACAAAAAGGTATGATGTGGCGTAGTCAGGAGAAAGTTGATGATGAATTTTGCAGGAACATCACGTGAATGTTTGTGTGGTTGTGTCTCACCTCATCTCTTGTCCTCATATCCATATAATATGTTGTATTTATAAGGTTTTCTCTAGAATATGAATGGTGGATCGAGCAATGCAAAATCCTCTAACTATGGTTTAGTGTTGGAAGTTAACCACTTAATCTTTCATCAATCAAACAAGCTTTAATTTCCATCTGTTTTCTATGCCCTTCTATGCTCTGCTTCTTACGGCTGCCTTTCATTAATTTAAGTTTCGCATTTCAACTATAAAAAAATAAGTATTCTAGCCGATAGTGTTAAATTGTTAGTGTTCTTGTGTTGTATTATACTATTATTATCCGAAACTAAACTCATATAATGCATACTGCTTCTAATTAAGAAGGAAGAAATGAATGGTGACAAAGACTATTTATTTGACTCTTACTTTATATTCATCAAACATATTTGTTACACATTTACTTTTCAGTGTTTTTATGTGGCCTAGAGTGTTTCCAGTCCGTGGCAATTTTACCGGTGGCCTCGTCTGTAGTTATGTCACAGTTCTCTTGTAGTAGTATCTTCTCATGACTCCGTAATCGACGTGGGAAAACTTCCTCTTTTTACACTGAGCTTTTCTTCACTCTCCTGTTTTTTCCTCTTTATCTCTTATACGTAAACTTAACGAACAAAAAAATTGTGACATCATTAATGGTATAAAGACAAAGTCCATATTCGACTACGGTATTGATGAACGTTGGTTGAACAATGATGATGCATAGGAGTGAAGAAAATTGAAGAAACGTTCGGTTGTGAATGAATGCTCGTTCTTTCAATTCAACTTCATCTCCAGACTCCACACTATTTAAATTTCAAGTGATATATGGATAAAACACTTGTGTACTTACAATGTTAGTTATGACATACGCATGCATTTATAAAGTTGAACTGGATGAAGATGTAATCCTCTTAAGGAAGATATTAAAGGTAGAATCTCTATCCAACATGCTTATCCTCACATAACTCTGGTCATCTCCGAAGTACTTACCACTTTTCGTTATAATCTTCTTCTTCTCTCTCAGAAACCTCTCACAATCCACAATCCCTTCTTCACACTTTAACCATGCAAAAGCTACCAAATATACACCAAACGAAATGAGAAAAAAAAGAGAGGTGTTGTTATCATTGTCTTTGTTTTTCTTCCAACATACCTGGTTGTGACTCAAAGACCTTGCCAAGGAAATTGCAGCGTTGAGAGGCGAAATCAGGAACGGTGAAACGTTTACTATCCTTTGATGCTTGTTTCAGTAGCTTCCACCTCTTAGACATGGCATCATAACTATGCCCAAAAAAGGATTTGGCAGTTTCACTATCACAACTGTCTGACACAACCTTTAGAACTTTGGCTGCTCGAAGCTGCGAGTCTTTTGAAACCCCAATCGTGTTGAGTTCTATGTACTCTGTCATTTTCCTCGCCGTCTCTCTATCTTTCACCAAAGCCCATCTGCCAAAATGTAACGTTTATTAAGAAACACTTCCTTGTTGTATTGTTCCCACAAATTAAGCAAACAAGATAATGTACCCAATCCGCATCCCTGCATGGCCAGTGCTCTTTGAAGCTGTGAAGAGCATTACATCATGATCAGCTTTTGAAGTTATTGGCGTATACTGCGGCCAGTAGTACGCCAAATCATGGATCAATATACCTTCACTACTACTGTTCACTACCGATTGTCTCAAGAATCCATCAGGATTGTTTGGAGATGTAACAAGCTCAATGTATGGACCTTCTTCCTTATATGTCTTTGCATCTCCCCCCCATCGATACAAACCCGATTTGAGATAGTCTGTAATCAACGGGTACGACTGAAGCCAAACCAGTTTAAACATGTTAGATACATCCACAAGGAAATCAAGAAAAGCTAGTAATTAAGCAACTCATGGCACTCACACTATAGTATGGTGAAGCTGAGACGACATTAATGGGACCAGAGTGATCGTGTGGGGAGAGAGCATAGAGAGCAGCTTGACACAACTGTGTAGAGCCAGTGCCAACAACAATGAAGCGGTCTTGCGTTACAGCGTTCCCAACAATCTGATGCACTCTTACAATCTCTTTGCCAAGCTCCGGTTCAAGAAACCAACAAAGGTTGTTGTTGTTATCTGAAAAATAGCTGAGAGATTGCCATCCAGGTATAACCATTGTTGTAGCCTCCCCTGTTTCTTGCCAGTATCTCTCATACACTGTTGGATCGCCACTGCGTATAGTAGCCACATCAATGTTAGCTATACGTTAATTATGTCTATAACGTGACAAGAATATTTAAATAATTGGTGGGTTGGGTGTTTTTTAATGGAGAACATAAAACATCACCTTCCTGTTTCTGAAACAGCAAAGAACATGGTCAAGCAGATCAACAAAGTAGTCCTTTAGATTCTCTCAAAAGACCAAGATATATTTATCTATGCATGTATGCAGAATCATGTCCACCAAAATGTGGGCCCTCTTTGCTTTTGTTTTTGTTTACATATTTTGTAAGTTTTCTTCTTTAACAATGGAATTGTAGAGAATCAAAAGAGTTTGTCTCAATTTTAAAATTTTCAAATTTTCAACCCATTGGCTATCACTAACTAAACTAAATTAATTGCGAGCATCCAAAAAAGAACATCACTGATTAATATAATCCTCCTTCCTCTAACAAAACTTCACGTACATACCAAATCCCTATCAGAACAAAAAAGTCACTCTCTTCTTTACTTTCATTCACACAAAAATGGCCCATTTCCAATTTATTTAAACACTTAAACAATTGACATTTATGACCAGCCTATAAATTCCCAAGAAAGAAATAAAATGCACCACAAAGATCATATGCAGAGATTTTTGTTTTGCTTTGTTTGAGGAGTCACAAGGAAATAAATAACAGAATCAAATATTCAAACTAGCGGCGTACGTTAAGGAACACAAGCATGCATACACAGAACCAGGACAGAATTCGCAGCAAACTATTTGCATTACATATTGTTAGAAAATATAGTCGACTAGGCAAGTCAATAAGGACGATCATCACAACCCCTCTTCTGAGAGCATGATCAACGCGTGATGCTTACCCGTTCTTAACTTGAATGATGATTATGGCATTAATTAAATCTTGGAGCTTCTTGACTTACGTGCTTAAAAGGATAATCTCAGATTCCTTGCTAATAACCAGTGACTTTCAAAGCAATTAAGTATATGGGATAACCGGATAAGGGAGAAATATGTCTAATGGATTCTAGATGATACGCAATTAATACACATTTATTAATCTGACAACACCAATAAAGAATTAACTAGGAATCAAAAATCAAACCTTACTGATAAGACAAGAACTTTATTTTTCAAATTTTGCAATCAAGAACACATAGAAGATAGAAATAAAGAATGCAAAAGTAGAAACTTACAATTTAAGATTGAGAATCCTGCCGTCGTCTTCTTCAACCTCGCTATACTTGCAAGATGCTGAAGACAACAAAGAAGATCCTGAGACCGCCGTTCTATCCAAAGAATTTCCACCTGAACTCTTAAAAATCTTTAGAATCAAGCTGAAGTTTACGGCCAATGAGAGGACCAACATATTCCTCCATGACAAAATCCTCGGAGCTTGTTCCATTTTCTCTCCAAACTAAAAGACAAAACCAGGTAAGAAAAATATCCAAGATCTTAAAGAAGAAGAGAACCGCGAGAAACAGAGTGGATAGCTGGAAAAATAACTCTTTATGGCAGGTAGCGAAAAAAGAGAATGGAAACAAGTGGGTTTTTTGTAGCTGTCCAAAGAGACACAACCTTTTATGACAAAGAAATCTGAATGTTATAGGAAATTTGAAAGAGATTAAAATAACCCTTTGAAGAATCTCAAGAGATAAAGCTGCAAGCCTTCTTCACAAGGTAATGGCAACAAAAGTTGAAAGTGCCAAAAAAATAAAGGACAAAGACAAAGTAGATCCAAAAGGTGGAAGAACAAACCCCAAATTTCTCGAGCCAATGGGTCGCTGGGAAGCTTTATATGTGAGCTGAAAAAGAAGAATGTGTAATTTTGTCGAAGCTCTTTGTTTCCATCGAGAAAAATATGGTTTTTCTTTTTTTGTTGCCTTTTGCGTGATGAGTTTCAACTTTTTTTCTGCTTGGTGATGGAAAACATTGGAAACGACAGTACATGAACTGAGTGAGACACTGAATTTATCTAGGGACTCTGTTTACTACAAGACTTGTGAATGGTTATGTGTGTCACACTTTCTAGATCTACGTCACTTCTCAGTATTCAAGTCTAATCTGACTTAAATATATCATATACTATAATTTGTTTAGTATTTGAGAGATCATTTCGTTTGTTGAAGGTTATTATTGATGATGTGTTTAGTATTTGAGAGATCATTTCACTTTTGGTTTGATTTGAATTTATATTTGAGAATTTTACTTGATGACTAAGTATTTCTATGTGAGAAATTGTAAAACGCAAAATAATGATTAAAAAATGCAACTTAAAACATTTTACTATATGGTATGCAAATAAATTCTTTATTATTTTTGGTCAGCAGAACTAATTGGCTTTTACTTCATCATTTTGTTTTTCTTTTCGATATGGTCACATTCATTTACAAATTACAGGAAAACAAATAAAAATAAGAACAAAAAAAGCTGAGTAAAACCGTGCAGCCCTGAACTTCGACGCTTTCGTCTTTCAACCAATCCGTTTGGACGTAAGCTTCACTTGGTATTCGTTTTTCTCCACAGATCCCTCGTTTTCTCCTTCATCTTCCTTCTTCGTTCCCATCAATCACCCAGGAGAACATCCGATCTGCTCCTCCTTTTGGATTCTCACGGTATCTAGGGTTTGCGAGGAGCCCCCTCGAAGGAGATATTCTAATTTTCGTTTTGGTCAGTTGTTTCTCTACATCGCTCCTCTTTATTTCGTTGATTTTGTTTTCCGGAGGAATTTCCGTGGTGTATTGAATGCGGCGAGTGACGAGTTTGTATAAATTTCGACTAAAAAGTCTGCGACCCTTGTTGAAGTGATTGGGTCCTTTTTTGTAGAGCCTGATTGACATTGGTGGATACATTTGTGTGTCTAATAGGTCGTTGATTGACGGAATACTGGCGAGATTTCTAAAATTTTGTGAACATGTGTATGTATCTTGGTTTTTAGGAATGTGGTCAATTTAGTCTGGGAAGATTTATGTAGCAATTTGATTGTTGAACATCGTCTGTTTCTGGAAATTGATGGGTGTTTGCAATTTACTTAGCTTCTTCTTTCTTTTGAGATGGTAATTTTTAGAAACTTTTGGAATTTATCGCTCCGGATTCTTCTAGCAGATGGGTAATTAGACTTTGAGTTCGTGTTGGGGAACTTGTATGGGCAGTCTAATTTCTGCAGCCATTCATTTTTCTCAACATTTCATAGTCCGAGTTCTTCTATCTCTGCATTTAGCTCAGTGGATATATGTCTACATCGAATTTGTTTGCTTTCTTGTATAAAATGGTACTCTTTGCTTCTAAGTTACACTATAGAGGGATTCTAATGGTGAATGTCAATTCCTTTTTTTTTTTTATATCAATAGTTCTTCAGAGTCAGCTTGATTTTAAGCTTGAAAAATCTAATTCTGCACGTTCCTTACAGGTTTCAAGAGGTGTTGGTGGATCCTCTAACTGCTTAATAATGACCTCTAATACCACCGGAGAGCGAAGGTTTCTGTTCTTTTCTTTATGGTTTATCTTTGTCATGAACTTTTCTATGTTTTAATTCTGGTTTGTGGCTATGTTTTTTTTGTCAAAATAGAGTGGCTTTTTATAATTTTGCCTCTTTTCGTGATCCCTGCATGATTTCTCTTAATATGAATCACTTGTTTTCAGTTTGCTGTATATTCCAGTTACTGTTAAGATACAATCACTATATGTGCCTGGGTTGTAGAAGGGAACTCTGTGTTTAGATTTCCTTTCTTTGAAAAGAGCTTGCTTACTCGTCTCGTCTAACATCATTGCTTTAACAACAAATTACATTTGCTGGATAAATTAGCAGATGGGGTACTACAAGAAGAAGTGGCATGACTATATTGGGAAAGGTTGCTGTTCCAAAACCGATTAACTTACCAAGCCAAAGGTATATGAGCGCACAATTACATTTAGTTGTAATATATATATAATCTCGTTTCCTGAACACTTCTCTACTGAATTCAAGGTTAGAGAATCAAGGCCTTGACCCGAATGTGGAAATTGTTCCAAAGTAAGTTTGTACCTATTTCAGATGCTATTTCTCATTCTTCTTCGTCCTCAAATTTGAGATAGTTCAAATTTCTTTGGACATCTATTGTAGGGGAACCCTTAGCTGGGGCAGTAAATCACCGTGGGGGCCATCATCGTTATCACCACGAACTGAAAGTGGCCCTGGTTCACCAAGCCACCTCAGTAATCGCCCTTCTTCTGGTGGAAGTGTCACTCGACCTTCTACCGCTGATAGTGACAAAGCGTATGATTCTTCTTCAATTGCGTCGAACTCCCGGCCTTCATCAGCATCTGGGGTGTTTCCATCTAATCATGCATCAGTTGCACTACAGCGTCCACATAGTGCAGACACAAGACCTGGAAGTTCCCAGCTATCCCGATTTGCTGAAGCCGCATCAGAGACTTCTGCAACATGGGCTCAACATGTACATTTCTTAACTTTAATTTAGTCTCTGCTAAGCATCAGCATTATCCTTTTTTCTAAATTTACATCTGCTGAGTTCCATGTTACTCTCCTCCTACTTAAGGTGTGATTAGTAGCAATAAATGCACAGTAACTTCTTATGTTTGTTGGACAGTGAATGGTAATAACTTTATGGATCAATTATCAGTGTCCATTCTGACTAGAATTTTAATTGCTGGATATATCAATCGTGTTTACGGTGGGAACAAGATTATAATGCTGAATTTATCAATATTAGGGCACTCATTGTTTCTCTTAAAATGGGTTGTAGTGCGTAAAGTGATTCTAGCAACTTAGTGGCACATGTTCTTCAATAAGCAAGGCTTGAATTCTGGTTGGGCAAATGGATTTATGATTATTTTGACAAACTCTATGTCTTCAATGTTTTTTTTCTTTTTAGGATAGCTGTGTATAATTTACCCAACTTTGCATTATCTACGAGAAATTTATCTTCACTCTTTGAGATTTCTCACTGTTTTGTACAGGGAGTTGCTCCAACAAAAATTGATGGGTTTTCTTTGACTTCTGGAGATTTTCCTTCCCTTGGTGCTGAAAAAGAAAGTTCTGAAAAGAGCACAAGGCCAGAAGGTATCATCTAATAACAGAAAAAATACAATCAGCATTTTCTATGCAAAGGAAGAAAAAAAAAATTGTTTCAGTTTGTACCGAGTTCTGCCTTATACTTGTCATCCTTGCCATCTAGAAAGTGATGGTAGCACAGACAGGTTAATTTTGCAAGCTGATAATTCTAAATGAGATTCGATTCTGTGGAGAAAGTTAAAACAAAGTTAAAACATCCAGGGACTAGCTTGCTATTGGTTTAACACTTTTACGATCTTAGATGGCCTCCTAATATGTGCCCCTTGAGGGTTTTAGGATAACGTTGATATAATGTGATATGAAATTTATGAAGTTGATACGTTAGACATGGCTCTAAGAAACTACAAATTTGCAGATGATGGACCTCGCACTCGTCCTGCATCGTCGTCTGGAAGATCTATGGAAGAGCGAAGTGTGGATTACATAGAAGGTTCTTATTTTGAAACCTCTTTTCCTAATGTTTTGTGGGTAAACAACAAATGTTAGCATCTCACCCAAGACTTACTTATGTTTGTAATTGTTAGGAGAGGGCCATGTTACCCTCACAGGCTTTCATGTGAATGCTTCTTACTGCTTTATTCCCTTTACATCTTTTTAGTCGATGTTCTCGTGGGCACTATATCTGACCATATCTTCTCTTTTATCTGCAGAATCTAATGTACGGATTAGAGATGCCAACGCCTGGGGAAGAGATAATCAACCATACAGTGAAGACGCACCTAGACCATGTAGAGAGGAAGGGCAATTGGACTCTCGTGGTTCACATTCTTATCCTAATGCTAATTTTCCGCATCAATATGATGCTTGGCGTGGTCCTCCTGGTCCTCCTGTAAATAATCATCAAGGTGGTGGCTGGTACAGAGGGAACCACCCATATGGTCCCCCAACGGGTCCTGGGGGTTTTCACATGGATCCTTTTCCATTTTATCCTGCGCAAGCTACACCCGTTCCCGGACAAGGGGCTGGTCCTAGAGGCAATCACGCTACTAATGGAAAGATGTTCAGACCTCCAATGCTTGACTCTTTTGTCCACCCAAGGATGCAGACTAGACCTGGGTTTTATCTTGGTCCAGTGCCATATGAAGGCTACTATGGTCCTCCTATGGGGTACAACAATGCCAGCAACAGAGACATGCCTTTTGCAGGTGGGCCTGCCGGTCCTCATGCTTATAACAAGCACTCTGGTCAAGGTGGATATGATACGCCTGGAAGCTCAGTGGCTTTGGAACAGAATGAGGCATCACATTCTCAAGAAACACAACGGCCATACAAGGTTCTCTTAAAGCCCCAAGATGGCAGGTTTAGGGAAGATGAAGCAAAGCGGGAAGAATTTATAGGAAATAGGCTCCGGAATGCAGAGAAGGCAGCTCAACAGATGCAAACTTCAAAAAACGACAGAAGAGAAAACAGCAATGAGGGAAGTGGTGAGGTACAACCAATTAAGGCAGAAAATGCTCCCCCTGGAGATCACAGTTTGATTCAGAAAATAGAGGGCTTAAATGCAAGAACTAGAACTAGTGATGGTTGGCAAAATACTTCATCTGTCGTCAATAGAGATCAGCAGGAAAGCAAAACACGTACAGTCAATTCTGGGAACTCTGTAAATAAAGTTTCAGCAAGAATGCCTCAAACTGGTCATGCAAGTGATAGTAAGAACTCATTACGCTATAAACATGGTGATCCTGCCACAAACAAAAATGCTGAGCTGGCAGCTCTTAGTGGAACTGGCATATCCAGGTCAGTTATCATTTCTCAGTAGCGTTTCCGCCGATTATGCTATGTCTTTTTGTTGGGAAGATTTTGATGTTAGTACCTACAGGAGATCTACTCAACCGACGCAAGGCAGAGCAGATCATCAGACCAAACAAAGAGTGAACAGTGAAGGCAATGCTGGTTGGCGGAAGACAACTGTTATGTCAGGCTCCTCCCATGCAACTTTAGCTGCAAACTCAGAAAGCTTTGCTGAGGTTAATGTAGGTGACTCTTTGGATACTGAATCCATCGGGAAGCCTGGGTCTGGAATATCTGCAGACCCAAACGATAACCAGGTATAAACTAGTTCGTATATTGTTACTTTTTGCGTTTCTCTTGTTTTAAGTCATCCTATTTTTTTGTGACTGATTATTTGGCATGTTCTCTTAAAGCGTACTACGATGAAAGAGTTAGCCAGGCAGCGGGCTCAACAGAGGCAGAAAGAGGAGGAAGAAAGAGCAAGAGAACAGCGGGCTAAGGCTCTTGCAAAACTAGAGGAGTTGGATAGACGTTCCCAAGTAGCTGAGCAGGGTTCAGTTAAGAACTTGGAAGCTGCATCTAATGCTTCCATCCCTGACATGCCAGAAGATCCTCAGTTTCCTTCACCTTCACTTATGGCATCAAGCTCAGATGATCTTCATGTCCGGTCATCTCTTGAGAAGAAGACCACTGTTGCTGCCTTAAAGTCCGTAGAACCTACTAGAGAATCAGGGAAAACCTCTATGCAAGACGCGATCACTTCAACAGAATATGCAAATAATGTGGGCCATGCTCAACAGGATAATCTTCCACGTGATCGTGATGGCGCTGCCTCAAAACAGCGATTGGGTTATAAGCAGAAGCAAAATGTTGAGAAAAAAATGGCAGGATCTACTGCTACTACAGAGGTTTTCGATGTTGCTCCATCTCTTGAGCTTGTTAATGAAGGTGTTCTAAGTCATAACTCAGACATGCCAGCTACGTCAGGCGTTTCAACTGAGTCAACTTTCGCCAAAAGAAAAAATAACAGGAATGGTAAGAAAAAGCACAAGGTTGAGGAGACAACAACAATGAACACGACAAGAGTTCCCGTTGGAAAAGAAACAAGATCAGTAGATGAGTCAATTGAGACTTGTAAGGCAAGAGCAGCAGAAACAAAGTTGGGGCCTGTTTCAGTTCCAAGCTTGGATATCAAAGTTTCTGGTAATTCGTCTGAACAAATCAGTTCCTTCACTAATGAAGAGTCGCAAAGCAGAGAAAAAAACAACTGGAAACCTCAACATCTGCGTAGGACTCAAAGAAACTCGGTGGTAAATAAGCCTGCAGAGAAATTTCCTGGCGGCAATGCTGTTGTTTGGGCTCCGGTACATCCACAGCATAAAGGTGATATATCCACAGGTGTAGGGAGTGAGAATACTATTCCTGAGTTTGGCACCTCTTCCAAGAGTCTGCACCAAGGGCAGCCTAGTTCTAAAAGCAAAAGAATGGAGATTGAAAGATATGTAGCAAAGCCCATAGTAAAGGAAATGACTGAGCAAATTGTCAGTAAAAATCCAATAACTGCTGCTCCAGGAAAAACAGAGAATATTTTGCAGAAAGAAAATTCTGGAGGTGAAGCTACAGGAAGTCTCCAACCTTCTGGTTCAACTGCGGGGAAATCTGGGTCTCCTTCGAAGTCAAGACATGGGAATGGTAGGCAGGGCAAGCATGGAGCATGGCACCCGCGAGGCTCTGCAGCATCTACTAAACCGTTGGAGGATGGACAATTTGTAACCTCAAATCAGCCCATCCGAGGAGGAACAGTGAACTATCACACGAGTAATCAAACCGAACAAATTGCTGCAGGCTCTGCCAAGAATCAAACCACATGTAAGGATGATGGATGGCAGGATGGCTGGTATATGACTCCTGAACCGCATTACTCTGCCGCTGAAGAAATGAAAGCGAGTGCTCCTCAAGCTGTTGCTGTTGGAAAAGATCAGGGAATGAGCATCCAGGGTAAGCAGCATGCTGCCAGAAGCAACAAGGATGGAGGAAGTAACTATGGTGACCCTAAAAAAGCATATAAGAAGGATTTCAGCAAGGCTCATATGCAGCACCCTGGCCATGGGCCAGGTCAACCAGATCTGCCTGTTGCTTCAAAAGAGAGTCGTGGCCCTGGGGATCATGTGTCGCACACAGCCGATGCCTCTAATATTAATAGGACTGGTAAGTATGGTGGTCGTGAATACACGAGGGACAAAAATTATGGATCTCAGAGAAGGGATGGTGGTGGATACGAACATCAAGGGTTTCCTTCAGAACAGAAAGTGACAGCTGATGCACCAGCTCAGTCTCAAAACCGATCCACCAGTAAGGAGGTCCATGTGGAGCAAAATCCGAATAGTATGTTCCAAAAGAACACAGGCCAGGGTCGAAGGTTTGGAAGAGGGCAGGAATCTCAAGGAGGTTGGGGTGGTTCGTCGATGCAAGAGAATATGCACCACCACCATCAGAGGGCACCTTCCAACAGAGATAGACAGAAGCCAAATCTGCATTACGAATACAAGCCTGTTGGGTCACATGCTCATGACGGAGAACAGAATCGAGAACAAGTGAAAGATAGTTCTCAGACAGAAGGTCCCAGATACAGGGAGAAGGGACAGGGTCAGCAGAGGCAGGGTGGACAAAAGGTGTACCAACAGCAAAGGGGTAGTGTTGGAAGAAACAGCGGTCACGGATTAACAGGTGAGAGAAACTAAGATTGGCATCTTTGTTATTAGGTAGTAAAAGAGCTGCGTTGCTGAGGTTTGTTGCATTTTGAGATATGGCCATTGAGGAAGCTACTTTCGCAAGGCACATAGCTTGCCAGAGGAGTAGCATCTGAGGATGTATTTGGCAGATGAACAAAGTCTTTTGCTCCAGCGGTTTTATTGTATTTCATCAGTCATTTATTTGAATGTCCATCTCAACTTTTAGCCTTTTGTATACATTTTGCTGGCAGTTGGACTGACCTGTTTCGTTTAAGCCTTTTGCTTTGTTGCTTGTTTTTCCTTTATGTTGTTCTCAGAGATGGAACCATCTGATATGACCTACTCTGATTCAAACTTTTTTGGTTTCTTAGACAGTATTTGTGTATCACAAATCTACCATCCCTGATCTTGCCCTGGCATCTCATCATTCTAAGAAAACATCACCAATTCACCACTGTTCTGGTTTGCCAATGTCTTAAAGTATCACATAGTATCATGCAGCTTAAATGTTAAACCGACAAAATTGTACGTCTGAACAAATTATATAATGCTACTGGTTTAATACTATAGCCTTACACATGTGACAATTTAGAACCACATAATATTTCCGATGAATTAATTTTTCTCAAGCGTCAAACTCACAATTCACATCGAGATATCACACTATTTTAACGTTATTTTTCATTGTGTTTTAAGATATCTAGTTATATTGGTAGAACTGAAAAATTCGGAGATATGGTTTGAATAGGAAAGCATCGTGTGTATCTTTGATTTTGGCTTTTACTTAGCGTGGTTTTGGTTGTCTTTCTGGATAAGCCAGTATCCAGAAAAGTCAGTATCTTGTTGGCTAAGTTTAAAATCATAAATAAATGGGAAGTTCATTAAATGAATTATTTAATTAATCGTGGTGCGAATATATAAAACGCGACCGTCTACATTTTTGGGTTGTTCACGATAAAAGCGGATTACGGGTACGCTTCTCTAAGGATAATCTCTTCGACTCCCCCGATTCTCTCTTTTTAAAGCCTTTTGAACACTTCTCTTGATTCACACCGTGAATTTTGGGAATTAGGGTTTCGTCTCTTCTCTTCCTCTCTTCTTTTGATTCTGTTTTAGCTGATCTGAACCTGTGTGCGATGGATTCTACTACTGCACTCGTCGTCAAGGTTAGATCCTTTATTGATTTGTGAACTTTCTCTTAATCCTCAGTTTTGCTCATGGTAGTTGTCTGTGATACTGGGATTTCGAGCCGATCGTGTCGTCTCTGTCGATTTTCGTACCTCTTTGTTGTTTTCGTCCTAGGGTTAAGAGATTTCCAGTTGCTTGCAATCGATCCTTTCGTTTTGAATTTCTGTGTCTATCTGTGGGAAGTTGCATCGTGAATTCGATTTTCTTCCTGACATACTTAGCAGCATCTGCTGGAAGCATAAACCCTAAGAGATCAAAAATAGAAATTATCATATCCAAAACCATAAGTTGATTTTTAGATTAGTTTTATTCTGGAAAAAAATGATTTTGAATCAACAAATTGTCGTCTTATACTTTGTTTAATTCATTCAACTGATCTGTTTGTGTTTATGATCATGAAGGTGAGCTACGGAGATGTCCTTAGGCGCTTCAGGGTGCCTTTCAAAGCTAATGGACAGCTTGATCTTACCATGGCTGGTCTTAGGGACAAGATCGATTCTCTGTTTAGCCTCCCTGCTGATGCTGAAGTTTCTCTGACTTACTCTGATGAAGATGGAGACGTGGTGGCCCTGGTTGATGACAATGACCTGTTTGATGTAACAAACCAGCGTCTTAAGTTCTTAAAGATCAATGTGCAGTCGAACGCTGGTGTGCCCACAAAGCCTGTTGCTCCAGAGAACGTTGAGAGTTCAACAACTGCGGGTAATCGTTTCAACGAAGACCCGGTTTCCAAAATCCAAAAGGGTATAAACGATGTCCTGAAGGCTGTACCAAGCCCGGTGCGTGATATCTCGAAGGTGTATTTGGACCTTGCAACGAAAGCTGCATGTTCTAGTCCTGTTGTTGGTGAGATGCTTGATTGCATCAACAAGCTAGGGCAGCTTTCTATTCCTCAGGAAAGTGAGGGACCTAGGCCTGGTTCCTCAGGCCCTTCCGCTGGTGATAAGAAGGATATCTCCGAGAAGAACCAGACCGGTAGAAAGTCTGTTGATGTGAACAAACCCACTGGTTCGAAGACTGCTGGACTGGGTGCTAGTTTCAACGAGTGTCCCTTCAGTGGCAGTACCGTGAATGACTCCAGTCCGATTAACCTCAACAAGCACCCTCGTCGTGGTTGTAATGCCAAAAAGAGCAGCGGTGGTGATTACTGGGCCTCGTTGGGCGTGTTCCATAAGGGTATCCGTTGTGATGGATGTGGAGTTCTTCCAATCACTGGGCCTAGATTCAAGTCTAAAGTGTAAGGAGGTCTTATACTTGTAGTTGTAGTTGTAGAAAACTATATACATCTTAGAACTTACTTTTCTTATTTGTATCTCTCGTGAATGTTTTGCAGCAAGGAAGACTATGATCTTTGCAACACCTGCTTTTCGGTGATGGGTTCTGAGGCGGAGTACACCAGGATGGATAAGCCCATATCAGTTCATCATATACAACATCCCTTTAGAGGACACTTTTCCCAAGTATTTACTCTTCTGCCATGTTTAAGATTCTTTTTTTCTTTCTTTCTTTCTATGCTCTCTTTCTGATATTAGCTATATGGAAATCTTACCTTTCTTTTTTTTTTTCATATAGTTTCCAAATCCTTGGTTTAGCCACCCTGTGCCGAGGCCACCCCATGGAGGTTCACCTTTCAGGTGTACTCGTCCTAAACTAGACAGTCGTTTTGTCCTTGATGTGAATGTACTTGATGGAGCAGTTGTTGCTCCATCTGCTCCATTCACTAAGATTTGGAAAATGAGGAACAGTGGTTCGTTGGTGTGGCCGCAAGGCACACAGATAGTTTGGATCGGTGGGGACAGATTCAGCAGCTCATTTTCAGCTGATTTACAGGTTAGAAACTAATTTCTTAGTTTTGCCACTTCTTTTCCTCAATTACTACCCTGAAGTTCTACTTTATGATCGATTATGTTGTTTGAACTACACAGTAGCTTGAGTTAGCTTCTTCTCTTCTCAAAGTGGCAATAGTTTATATATAGAATACTATTTGTTTATTGGTCTCAACATGTACATGGCAGATTCCAGCGGAGGGTGTGCCTATCAACAGTGAGCTTGACGTCAAAGTTAATTTCATTGCACCCGAGTCACCTGGTCGATACATTTCTTACTGGAGGATGGCTTCGTCTAATGGTGCCAAGTTTGGGCAACGTGTTTGGGTGTTGATCCATGTACTTCCTAGATCCTTGCTTCTTCTTTCCTTGAATATTCGTCTCTCTCTATCAAGTGTCTTTAATACCTTCTGCTCTTATTGTGTGGTTAGGTTGATGCTTCATTGAAGAATTCTGTTGTGAATGAGCTTCAGGGACTGAACTTGAATGCCTCCCCTGATGAGAATTTTGCAAGGGAATTTGCCGGGATCAATGTGAATCATGAGCCAGCTCTACCTGGTAGCTCCAGTGTTAATCCTGTGACAGTGGAAGATGCTCTAGAAGGAGAAGTTGTTGAATCACAAAAACCAGAGAAAGATGACCTGCTGGTTGGTGAAGTTAACCTCAACTCTCTTCCTTCATCGCCATCCTCGTCATTTAACATGGTCGAGTTCCCAACAATGCCTACCGCCGATGCCTTGTCTGTTGGTTCTTCATCGACGAAAGACATCCCTGTTCCTCTTCAAGAGGATATCGAGAAGAATGACGTCGAGATAACCATGCTCAAGGAGCTCGAGGAAATGGGTTTCAAGGAGATTGATTTGAACAAGGAGATATTGAGGGACAACGAGTACAACCTGGAGCAGTCGCTTGATGCCCTTTGTGGAGTTAGCGAGTGGGATCCTATCCTAGAGGAGCTTCAGGAAATGGTAAGTGTGTGCACTTTGTAATCTAAGATTATGATAAAGAGATTTGGGATGTTAAAAATTGTGATTTTGCAGGGCTTCTGTGATGATGTGACGAACAAGAGACTCCTGAAGAAGAACAATGGAAGCATTAAAGGCGTGGTGATGGATCTCCTCACTGGAGAGAAGGAGGCTTAATGGTGGTGGCTCTTTGGTTCTAAGAAGTCTTCTCTATCAAGATAAACTATGTTTTTATAAATAAAACCGGATTATGTAGTTTGGTTTCGTCTGTGCGCCACTAGCTGCGACTCACCTGGTGTTCTTTTGCTTTGTGTTTTGGATGGATGATGTTACTTTGCTATCTGAAATAAAGTATTTAAAGACTTTATGCTTCCTTCTTTATTTTTATGTCATTTCGAAGAATTACTATGCTCCATATTATCCTTTGTCGACTTACTATGCTCCATTTAGTTAAAAGAAAAGTTGACCAGTCTTTTTACAGTGTCAAAAGCAAATCAATATTGCTTGTTTAGACTCACCATTGGAGTTGACCAAAACCTCAACTGATAAAAACTTAGGCGACACTCGTATTGAATTCATTTCTTTTTCTGAATTTACAAGTTTGAAGGAGTAACATCATGAGTGTGTTTAAATCTCCTTGAAGACGAACGTCTAAACAAACTCCTAAGGCTGTTTCTATTCTTCTTCTTGTGACCATTATCCGAAGACAAGGTGTGTTCCTCTACCGTGAGTTCGCGTTCCAGTTTCTTAGAGACCGAAACAATCTCGTACGGATCCCACAACGACTGTCCGTACTCCCAATCCAAAAACGAAGGTTGATGATGATGCTTTTCCTTTGAAGTAGAAGTAGTAATGGACAAGGCCTCCATTTTGAAACGTGAAGGTTTACCTTTGACAAAAGCATGTTTTCTTTGCGCTTCAAACTCTAGAACGGTGCGTTTTGAGGTTTGTGAGTGGCTGAGCCAAGCCTGTGCCGCTGCTTTCATCAACTCTACTCTCTTCTTCTTCTCCTCTTCTTCTTGCTTCTCATCTTTAGCGTCTCGTTTCTTCCTCATCTCTCTTCTTCTTCTCCATTTTTGAGACTTTTGGGGGGCTCCAAGCTAATATTATGCAAGGTTGATTGTCAGCCTTAAGTTTCTTGTTCGAATCTACTCTCTGTCTCATCTCTTTTATTTATTTCTTCTTTTAATATTTTATTTCATGCCTTCTTTTTTCTTAGCCATTGGATTTCTAGATGACTTTTTGAGACACAAAAAGGTCAGATGACTTGTCATAACACTTCTTCTGAATAAACCATCTCCATTGTTATTAGTTTACGACCTTACAAAAATGGTTTTCATTCAGGCTGTTCAGACTTCTCCCTCTTAGCTGTCTCTATCATTGCACACAAGAAATTAATTGGATCATGACTGTTTGGATCTGCAAGTGCTGCGTGCGCTAAAAACGGAAGTTTCCTCAGTGATCTCCCACTTAAACCCTGCATCAAAAGGTTTATCCAAATTCATACTCGCTCTCAATTTTATCGTCACTGCTCTACAGTCAGTAGTTACAAGTGTATTCACAAAGTCTGACCTCGCAAGCTTGTGCAGCTTCTATCAACTGTTTACAGAACCAGGGAACTGCTTCTGTATCATTAACCTCACTCGCATTTGCCTTTTCTTTCAAACTTGAAAAGCTTGGAATAGAGAGTCCATCACAGCCCTGTACCAAGATTTTGTGGAGATTTTATAAGACACGATTGCTCCTTATTTAGTATAATTAACAGAAAAATATGGAATTAGAATCCTGTAGAGTGTAGAGTACCTGGAAACTTGATATGATCCCTTTACATATTAATTCCTCAACACAAGACCTTAATATCTCATAACGAACATGAAGAGTTGGAGGACCAACATATGCTTTTATGTCAGCTCGATCCACGAAAGCAACATCTGCAACAAGAATATTGATGACTACATTTTCACAAAACCTGAATGGAGACGCGGTTTCAGAGGGACCAAGAAATGAGAATCTAAAGCATTAACATGACTATGCGGAAGAATAAGAATAGTCATGAGGCTGTGGAAAGGATAGATCAAAATAGGCTACCAGCTTACCAATAGCAGTGGTTATGTTTGATGTTGTAAGGATTATCACATTTGGTGCTGATTTCAGTTTGTCCATTTGTGTTAGTAGTGCATTCACAACCTGCAACAAATACGCAGGGAGATTTGGTCTTCGCAAAGACTGTGTATACAAAATTTTAGAAGCTCTTTTAAATACCCGGATAGAATCTGAAGGTTCTGAGCCAGACAGTGCAGCTTTTCGAGCAGCAGCAAGACTTTCAACTTCATCTGCAGGCAGAAAAACCTCAGGCCTAACGGGAGAAACAAGCCTAAACCTATAACAAGCTATGAGAAAATCATAACTCACCGATCAAAACAAAGACTAAATTGTTATCTTCCTCCACCATCTCTTGGATTTTTTGGAAAAGCTTTGCAACCTATATTGTGGATTTAGCAAACATAGTCAGAAGAACAGAATATTCCTCCAAAGCTTTTCTTTTAAGATCACTTTCCAACTGTTGGTGAAGTGTATGATACTACTACTAGACAAGAAATAAGATTCCCAAGTCAGCCTCCTTTAATAAGACAGAAATTCACTGGCTGTGATCAGTGTGTATAGTAGATTGAGTACTGAAATTAACTGTCTGTGTGATCGATGGGTAAAGTAGATAAGGCGTTTTTCCTTGGAATATCAGGTAGCAGTTATTTGTGATTACTGAATTACGTTGAGTTGAAACAACTAAAAGGTAGCCAAAAATCTGGTTGAAGACCAAGAATCCATGATTACAAAGCAGCTTGTTGAACAACCCTACTGTCTTACATGCATTCTAAAGAGAAAAAGACAAAGAGTTAACGAGAGAAAAATTCTTACCAGCTTGCCACTTTCAGAGAACCATTTACTAAATAAAGAGTGAGCATTGACTTCAATCAATTGGCAATGAGGATATCTGATGAAGGAAACATAAATCAAAATCAATATAGAAAGATAATCCATATAAAACAGCCAACATAGATTATTCTGCCAGATAAACATTTTTTTGTCTAGAAGAGGACCTGGAGTTGCACCGAATTGAAAGCTTTTGAGCCAACGCTTTGCAAAGAGATGTTTTGCCAGTCCCTGGTGGTCCGTGCAAAAGAATAATCCTGCATACATATTCAAAGATCATAAAGGCTATATCTTTATGTTTTGAACTCGGGCACAGGAAAGGGAAATATCATATCTAAACACTTAAGAACAAAGAAAACGGCATAAAGCAAATCGAACTTGCTAAGCAACACAACTATCTAAAGTTTATCATAACAATCTCATGCTGAAGAATAGAGGCAGCAAAAAATAAGAATTGCTCAGGTAATTTTTGGTGAACAGCATGTACCACAAAACATAGCGACTTCCCTCACCTGTTCCATGAAACGAGATTTGGATTGACACCCTTCTGCGTGAACAGCAAAGCACTTGCAGCATAACGTAGTAGCCGTTGCTTAAGTCCAGATTCATAAATCAGGCTACACAACCAAAACAAAATCCATACCACTGAATGAATAGTTTCAGAATCATTACTGCTCTATAAACAAGTCAAGATAGTACTTCCAGACACACCTTTCCCATAAGCCATCAAATTCCTTTGCAGGTAGAATCCATTCATTAAAGCTAGCAGGCTGTCCATCTGAGCCCAATTCCTCACATGGTCCTTCCTCAGTTAGCTGGATTTCAAATTATAAACAAGTCATTTACAGATGTTACAAAGAGAAAACTAAATTCACTGCCTATTCAAAGTTAATCAGGTTTGCATCTACCTGAAAGGCATGGACAACTGGCTTCACTTGCCAGAACAAGAGAACATCATTATTTTTCACCCACTCCTCTAGATCAGAGGCAAAACAAACATCAATAGCATTCACAAACGCTAGAAAACGGATTGAAATCTGAAAAAAAAATGACGAACCAATACCTGTATCACAAATGCATATCCTCTGCACATTTTCAGCAAGAAACAAGTCGTTTGCAGGTATCAGAACAAGCCCATCTACATAGCTCATGCTCCTATTTTCCAGCATCCTAGAGCAAAATACTGTACAAACTATCCTCATTATCACAAAGATACACACTAAGGCATTAATAGCAAATGTATGACAAACCGTTCCACAGCTCTCTGAACGTCCTCTAGCCGAGCCGTGCTTGAGGGCTTTAAGCAGACCTCCACTGGAAACAAAACACCGAGAGGGAAAAGAGGAAGTGAGAACCTCGCTAATCAAATCCAGGAGCTAGACGAAGAACAAAAGGAAGGAGAAATGTTGTACCAGATACGAGGAATTTTTTCTCGTGGAGGCAAGGAGGAGGAGGAAGAGGCGGCGTAGGAAGAGGATCGGCGGGTGTAGCTACTGGCTCGGTTTGCTCTGGGATACTCGTTGCTTCAATGCAATTTCGGTGAGAGACTTCCATGGAAGCGTTATGAGGAATAATCGTATCCTCGACCATAGGGTTTTGCTCAGCAATCTCCATGGGAGTGCTCATGGCGTTCTCGATTGGGGAAACACGACGGCCGAGTAAGGTATTTTGAACAACACACTGCCAATTTCAATTTTCAGATTTTTTTCTCACTTCCTCCTCCGAGAATAAGCGGGATTTCAACCACATTTTTTATTTAATTTTCATGGTGTTTTTGTTTGGAAAATGAAAATTGTAGGAAAAAGCTGTAGCGAAAAATAGTACTAGTTGTAGTATTATTACCATATTCTTAATTATGCCAGAAATTAGATGATAAGGAGATATTCGAGCTATTAAAACACTCAAAAAGTAGTCTCTTTAGTATTCACTATTCAGGGAAACTAATTTTTTTAAAAATTTGATTGGCTAATAAAGTGTATTTTCCGGAAAAAAAAGAAAACAACTATTTTAAAAACTACGAAGTACAAACAACCAAAGCCTACATCTTATGTGAATAGAAGTAAGCTTTGAACAAAATCTAGTGAGGCGAAAGTTGAAGCTAAACTATTGTTTTCTTTTGTATAAGGCTCTCATCACACTGTTAATTAACATATATATTACTAGTTTTACTTAATATATATTCTTAACACTTAATTAATAAATATTGAGATTATATAAATGTAATTTTTGTTCTTGAAAAGTAGTGAGCTCAGTTTAAGTTAGAAATTTCATAAAACGATTATTTAATAATTAAATCATGTTTTAGTATGAAAATAAATCCCAAATTGATACTCTTGAAATCAAACCAATGATAGAATCCATCTTGAGGCAGAAGCTGACGAGAGAGGCATGGATTCACATTTGTCACCTTCTTCTCGCTATCTTACCAAAACTCACCGCTTAGACTAAGACGCTTATCACATTAATAACTATCTTCTCCCTTTTTCCATTTTTGTGTAGTGCTTTGCTTCAAAACCTATCTCACTCCTTTGTCTCTTTCACATCACGACATAACCCCATTAATTGACCATCATTTATTTGCTGTAACGGTTTGATGTAAACACATCAAATTACGCTTGTGATTCTTTTCCCATAATTCTCGTCCATTTTTAATTAATTTCCCAAACCTTACCTAGAATTCACATTTTATACTCTATCGTCATATACTATTGTATCGTCTTTAGTGAATAATTGGTCAAATACTATAAATCATTTCACTAATGTATGGGGCGATAATTTCAATAACTACTAACTAAACCCAGTATATAATTACGAAAAAAAGTTGAAAGAAAGTAACCAATTGGTTTATATATGTTTGTGGGCACAATTAAGCTAGCTATCGATCAGCATGAACTATGTATACGTTGCATGGAAGCGTGAATGATGATTTTTATCAGTTTGATTATGTGAATTGAATTACATACTATCACCATTTCAAGTTTTCAACGTTCATGTGCTGTAGAGAGATCTTTGAAAGTTCATTATGGAAAAGGCCGAAAATGGTTGAAATATTAATTATAATGCATATAAATATGTTAAGACGAAAAATACAACTCCGATTCATATATCATTAAAAATAAAATTAACGATTGAAAAGCTTGATCATCACTCTCATCATCAATTGATCGGTTGTTCCAAATGTCTCTTCACAACCTCCACACACGGTTCCACCACTTCCTTATTCCATATTTTTCTCTGCATCTCATCTCCACAATCACCTTCTTTGGCTGCCCTAATCGCCTCCCGAAATGACGCCGTAGCATCAACCTTTCTGATATCCCACCCGGCAGTTCTCAACTTCTTGATCTTCTTGATTTGATCCTTAGTGAGCTGAAACGTATTCTCTTTTATCGCTCTCACCGCCTTCTTATAAGCCTCCTTTCTCACATGGTCCCATTTCTCCACGTTATTGTCCCACTTGTACATTTTTAGGTAAGCATCAAACTCTTGCACCCCTATAGACTTCCATATCCCCAATGGCTCGTTCGGGGCCTCTTTGGCGCGGTGGAACTCAGCGATCTCTTCGAACATACCTGTTTTCATCATCTTGTCCAAACGTAAAGAGAGATACTCAAATAACACAGGCTGCTCCACATCTATCCAAATGAAACAGCAATCATAACGCAACTCGGAGCAGATTGATCCACTGGGAGAAAACGGATAGCTTTCACGATCAAAAGAGTTTGCAAGAAGAGCGTGAATGTAGGAGTTGGATCCACCGGCAAGGATTGGGAGCTTCTTGCGGTAAGTAATACCGGAGATGGTTTGAGCCGCCATGTTGCGGAATTCTGCGGCTGTGACTTCTCCGTCCTCCGGGTCTAGTTCACCGAGAAGGTGATGTGGCACTTCACGACGTTCTGCCATAGTCGATTGGTTCGTCGTTACCTTCAAGCCATCGTAAAACTGCATTTTGTCAGAATTGATGATCTCCGCTTTGAAACGTAAAGCAAGATCAACGGAGAGTGATGATTTTCCGGAGCCAGTTGCACCCATGACTACAACGATTTTTTCTTTAGATTTCATGTTGTAAATTCAGAAACAAAAATTATAATAGATACAAACAAACAATGTTGCTGATATCACACTTAGGTTACCCCATACACACACACACATATATATACTGAAAGATAAAACACATTCACTGTAATTAAATCTATCAAAATATATCAAAATTTTATTGCTTTAAATTTTATTTAGTACTATATCTAATTGATATTTACTTATCTAGTCACATTTTTTACTAGCAAATTGGGAACTTAACAAATTAATAAGCAAAAAAATCATAAATGAATATATATTTAAAAACTGATTACATAAATAATTATGAATAAAAATATATAGTTATTTATTAAAATATTATTATCAATACATTTTAATGGATTTTATTTTATTTTAGTTATTAAATTTTCATGTTTAGGTATTTTAACTAAATTAAGAGATTTGGTCTAGTAACATAATTTCATAAGTATTATATCTGTAGTTTTCAATTATATGTATACATTATACTCAATCATTTTTAATATTTTTTTGATTGTGTATTCAATATTCTAAAGGAAAAAATCAGAAAAATGTTCACTGCAACATAACTAATACTTTAGGTGCAATGAAATATCATGCTATAAAATTCATTCAAGAACTAAATAATTGAGCCATAAGTTACATAAATTAAGCAAAAAGTACTTTAAATTACATTAAATAAAACGGCGTAATTTAAAAAAAAAAAATTGAAACCACATCATGTAAAAAAAAAAAAAAAAAAAAAAAAAAAAAAAAAAAAAAATCTGCCATTTTACTTAGTTATTCATGTATTACATTCATTTAAAAAAGAACTTTTAAGTTTTTATACGTTCTTTCGTGATTAATTTATAATGATTATTTATAATGATTATTGTTGTGAAATCGCTAGGATGAACACAATAGGCAAAACTTTCAGAAAGTAGAGAAACAAAACAGTTGAGCGAATGTCTTTTGTTTAGCTAGGGTTTTTTTCATAAAATGTATGACTTAAATTATTTCAAAACATATATGACACATATAAATGCTCCATACAAGCACTACAAAAAATAAGGTAGATAGCATCACTTATTTAATGTCAAAAATTTAAGTGATTCTAATTAGCATCATTTATTAAAGATTGACATTAAATTTATGATTTTGCATCACTTAAAATAATTGATATCAATAATAACTTAATTAACATTAATTAAATTAAAAATGATACAAGTGAATATTGATTTACATCATTTTTTTAAAACTGACACAAATATATGTGTTTACATCATTTAAGCATTTTCTCAGTATTACTAGCATCAATAATTAATGATGTTAATTTTTACTTCAGTTATAAAAAGTGATGCAAACAAAATTTTGAGTAAACAACTATTTGTCCCACATTGCTAAACAAAGATGAAGGATAGTAGTTTGCTCTTCTATATAATAACTTCACTCATAATTTTTATTTATATATAAGTTAAATCATAAATATGTATTTACATATATTATTTATAATAATAATTACAAAAATATTAATAATTTCGAATTTAGTATTTTATTGAAAATAATACGAAATTTAAAATTTACATAATTTTTAGTGTCACTTATTTTTAATTGATATAATAATATTATCAACTAAAATATATGATATAATTAAATATATATATATATCAATTGTTATAACCGACAAATATTAACATCATTTATATTAAATGATTCAATTGTTTATTTCATTTATATTAAGTGATACAAATGTTTACCTCATTTACTATAAATGATACTATACATTAACATCATTTGCAAAAATGATGAAACTAGTTGCATCATTTGTTTTTAGCATCACAAAGTATTAGAGCATCTCTAACCCCATGCTAAATATGACATATATGCTATTTTGCCATAATTTTTGCTCCAACCCAATTGCATATGCTATTGCAAAATAGCATCATGCTATTTTTGCTTCTATATTTGGCATGAGATTATGCAATATGCTATTTTGCCATTGAACTTTTTTATTTATAAAATAGTCCTTCAATTTGTAATTACTTTTAATTTAACAGTTTAATTATATTGATTTATTTCATAGAAATATAAAAACATAACCATAATAAACTTCAAATTTTATTTTTAAAAATACTGAAATTCAAAAAACATAAAACAATAGGTTAAAATCTTTGTTTTCTATAATTTTTATGTAATATGATGTATTTTGTTTTAATATTATAATAAAAAAAAAATCTGGTTGTTTTTGCAAAAAAAGAAAAACAAATGATTCACTTTGTAAAATTTGAAGAAATCAAGTAGTTTTAACAATTAATAATAAGTTGGAAAAAAATTATAGCATGATATATGGCATGAGGGGTTGGAGAGAAACCCAATGGTATTGCTATATTTTTGCCATTTGCAATAACATATGGCATGAGGGGTTGAAGATGGTCTTAGAGTCACCACTTTCAGATTCATTTATATAAATGATGCAAATTCATTTATATCAATCAATAAATGATATAAACTAAGAAAATAAATGATACTACACACCTAATTTTTTGTAGTGAAGCAATAATTAAAAATAGGAAATACTTTTAAGTTTTAGCCATAATCAAAATGTTTTTGTTATTGTTCCCCGCAGCAACGTATTTGTCAAAAACTCAAAATGTTAGTACATTTATTATTGTTCTACGATCTTCCCACATTTCTTGTTAATCGTCGTTTTTGCTCTTGACTTTTATAACAATTTACATCGAGCACACAACTCCACCGTTTGTTTTTTTCAAAAACCCAAGTCACTATATCGGTCTAGAAATCAGACCGATATATAATTAAATCTTGTAAAATATCATACTACAAAAAAATTCTGCCAAAAACTTGACCACATTAGTTTGGGTGCAAATATTTCGGAAAACCGAATTACTAATTTATCATAACATGCATAACACAGTTTGTATATGCATGTGTATACATTCATTTATTTATTTCCATAAGAATTAAGTGTGAACAAAAAAAACCCGCCCGGTTTAACTTCAGACGCGACGGTGGAGGTTCTCGTCGTCGTCGTCAACCGCATCGGCAGCACCAGCAGCAAGATCGAGGAGTTTCTCCATCTGCACAGTCATCTCCTTAAGCGTGGTTGAAGTCGGGTCAGTGTTTTTCCCAAGCACTTGCGCCACGCGCCTCATGTTGTCAGCCGAAGCCTTGACGTCGTAGTTAGCCGTGTCCGGGGTTTTCTGGAGCTTCACACTTGCGCTCTTGAGAGCAGCCGCCACCGCCAAGTAGGCCTTGTGGCACTCTGTAAACGAAGTCTTCAAAGATGCATCTTTCTTCGCCGACTCATCTATGAAAACCGCTGTCTTCTCGGCGTGGGATACGGCAAGGGCAATTACGGCCTCAGACAATGGAAGCTGTTTGAGAGATAAAGAAAAAAAAACTGTTTATTATCATAACCATCGATCATTCCCATTTACGAGTCAAATGTAAAATTTTAACCAAAAAAGTAGTTTAGATGTTAGGGCTTCTATTCTTACAATTTGGAATGTCAATAATATTACATGTGATGGAGTTTAACATTACAAACATTTCCATTTTTCAAAAATATTTTTTTGTTGAACTCTTGTTGACAAAATGAAAAGAAAAAAGAAAAGAAGAAGATAAGTACCAGGTTAATGGGAGCAGCCGTAGGAGGATTGGTGGTCAATGTCTTAATGCAGAAAGCTTGGTCATGGGCACGATCGCAGATGGCGTCGATGTATTTCATGTGAGGAGAGGCTGAAGCTGAATTTAAGAGTAGTTGCAACGTGACTGCCGCCACGGCGAAGGTAGAGAGAACGGAGGACGTTGCCATTTCTTTGCGTCGGAAGATATTTCTTGGTTAATGATATTAAGTTGTATGTTGTTTTGGCATTTCGTTTGAGGCAGGTATATATGCACATTTAGGGCTTTATTATTTATCAGGGATGGATAAATTTAGAAAGTACTATATTGTAAGTGGTGCCAAGTATTTACTAAAAATTGCTTTTGCTAAATTTGAAGAGCTAATTATCTCGATAGTTCGTGGTTTGTACAGATTTAGTCAAATACGGAAGTCCAATTATCGTCTTGAGTTGTTTAGAAAACTGAGATATGCCGTGACAAGTGTTGAGGGAAATAGAAAACTTATCTAATCCAGTAAGGAATATTTAAAAATAAAATTTGGCCTTCATCAATATAAACTTTAAAAAAAAGACAAAAGCCAAAATCCAAAATCATCGAATTATTTTGATTCGACAAACGTTTGTGTATACATTAGAAAAACGAAGGAGGTTGCACCTTACTTTTTGTTTTACACGTTTGTGTATTTACTTTTTCTTCTGCTACCACATTGTTTAATTTTATGTAACTAATACTAAAACTCAACGACAAGGTTTCGTGGTGTAGTTGGTTATCACGTCAGTCTAACACACTGAAGGTCTCCGGTTCGAACCCGGGCGAAGCCATTTATTTACTTATAAATTATATTTTTTAGCGAAAAGTATGTAGATTTTATATTTTTATTGTAAAGAGAAAGTGATAACTTGCATTTTGGCTGAACAAAGGAAAAGCAAGTCTAAGGTAGAGAGATGTAAACAGTTTAATTTAAACGACTTAACACAATGGAACTTCACATAATATTAACAAAACAACACAATATACACTAAGAAAACGAACAGAAGATAAAAGAGGAATATACACACTACTCTACTCTTGGTATTGTATCTACTCAAGATTACATGAACTGATTCGCAAATCCCCGAAACCAAATCAGATCTTCCGACTTCTGTACCAAAAGAGACACTCCCAACTTCCCAAGTGTTTGGAACAACTAATAACACCCAATTAAGATAAACTCATCCCCTTCCTTCCTTTTCTGTTGCGTAGCTTCGGCTCTCCTTGACATTAGAATTAGCTACATCTGCTGCTATATCCCAGCTCCCACTTCTTCTTCCCCAGCTTCCATGCCTTGTTTCTGTCCTTATCGTGGCTGCTCTCTCAGCAGACCCAAGAATCGATTGGTCAACGTCCAACGTGTGATGAGGTTGATCGTCGTTGGCCTCTGCTGCATTACACCGCTGTGAGATATTCATAAGATCGTCCCCAATGTCTAGGTCATCTTCCACTTTCTGCCGCCGTGTCCCAGTATCATCCTCTGCTTCGGCTGGTTCCCTGGTGGTGCCAGGTAGAGTAACAGATCTTTGAGGTACTTCTTCGATGAAGGCTCTAAAGTTGTTCCTTGAGGGCTTAACCTTCGAGCAAAACACCTCCAGGAAATTGTTTACACAGCCACGGTCATAGACAACCATGCGGCTGCTTGGTCTGTACCGGAAATTCTCATAGGTTGTCTGTAAAAAAAGTTGCACGGTATATTAATATCAGTTGACTCACAGTTTGCATACATACAATAATAGTGCAGACTTATACCAAAAGACAGTACCGGTGATTGCAAGTAGAAATCAATAATTCTGAAACAAAAGAGAACAACTGACCTGGTTGGTACTAATGAGGTACAAGTGAAACCCTGTGAGACCTCCAACAAACCACAGGGCAATAAAGCAATATGCCATCAGCACAACCGAACAAGGTGATTCTCTCATTGCCCTCCATACAGTTCCGCGTTGATCATCCATCAGAATCTTGATGTATAAAGCCGATATTGAAAACACATAGATGCAGAGAAGTGTTGACGACGAAACAAACATAAAGAAGTACCTATAGTTTCTCTGCCAATGAGACAAGATGGCAGAAAACAGATTGAGCAATCAGCAGATAATTCAGATCTTGGCCTTTTCAGATAGGAGAACAGGAAACTTTATCTTTTTGAAAGTCTATGATTATGAATGAGCTTACCAGTCCAATGCATTGGCCCACCCATGGGCAATGATGATCGAAACGCTCGACACAGTTATTGCAAATGGAACAATGAGAGCAACGAGGGGGCCTGTAAAGCATGCATGTATCGCAATATTTCACTCTAAAAGAAACGCCATTGACTATGACTTCTTTCGTCCTCGGAATTTGAACACTTGGTGTTTGTCTACCATCGGCTGATACTGTTGTCTCATAGCGTAGCTCTTCCTCTGGTGGATGCGAATTCCGTGGAACAATACCAGGATCTCGTGCAGATGTGAAGAAGAGGAGTATCAATACCTATCGAACCAACTACTTGATTTAGCAAAGCAAAAAAATAACAAATCTGAATGCCACACACAAATGACAGAACAGGAAGACATGGTTTAACTTTAAACTTCTAAGCTAGAGGTAAGAAACAACACAATAAACATCATATATGTTACATGAATGCCATGTAGTCAATTCATATTTCAAATTCAATGTAGATGGTAACCCAAGAAATTAATATCTTTACAACAATAGAGAGATAGGGCTATCAATATCATATGAGCATCCGAGAAGACTTACATAAACAGTGAACAGAATCGCTACCACCATTATAGCATATCCCGCATTGGAGGGCGAGAACTCATGGCGAAGATGCCTTGCTACAAATACACAGAACAAAATAACTGGAACTATGATGAGTAGCACGGTAACAGGCACTGATCTAGCATCTGGACCAAATATTAACCTCCCACCAAGGATGAACTTCTGCAAAAGAACAAGGACAGAGCAAATCAACATCATATAGACCATTTGTTGGTATTACCACATTTGATGAATTCCAAAGAACATTTAATTTGAATATAAGGTTATGCCAAAATGGTAGTTATAGAGATCACAACTTCAAGGACCAAATCATTAATAAATAAGATTATGCTAACATGCAGTTCTAGTTTAAACCATCAAAACCAACACACGCAGCTTGTGAGTCCCATAACCACTAATTCTTTAATTGAAAATCCTTGTAAACCCCATCGACCCTGATGAACAAATTTTAACAATTCCTAATGATCAGAAAGCAAAATGTACTCGAAACATTCAGTTCTACAACATCAGTTTACTCAATGAGAACTAATCAGGACTTGCATAATTAAGATTAAGCTACGCCAATTACCTAATTCCAAACCATTTCCTTGGAAACAGCTGGAGAAACACCCGCAAAATCAACTAATTCAGAGAATATACAAAACGCTAAACAAAATCGAGGCTCAATCGTTCGATGAAAGAAGCCTTACATTACTTCCTTTCCAGGCTTGGAAGACCCGTTTTGTCATGGAGAGAAGAAGAATAATCGACGGAATTCAATAACTCCTCTTAGCTACCCAGCGGCGAATTCGAGGATAGCGTATACCTCTCCCCGTGTTCTATTCCATTTCAAAAGTCGCCAAACCTCCGATGTTCTCTCCGGCGAAGAAAAGGGCTTTCTTCTTCCTTCCTGTGAAAATCGGAGGAAACCTTAACAGTAGCAGAGATCGCAAGCGAAACCCAAAGTGGATTACACAATAATAAGGCTCGCGAGCGACTTCTGGCCTGACCCCCTCTTCTGCGAACCGACGACGAACGATAGCTTTTTCTTCTTTATTTTCCCTCCTTTTTCTTGCTTTTTTATGACGTCATCATGTTTACCTCCTTTTTCATAAACCACAATTAGTCAAAGGTTTCTTAACCTCGTTTTTTCTGCGCATTTTGTGTCAGATCCATTTCCTCGTGAAAATTATTTACACCCATTTCAGTTAAAGGTTTTTTTTTCTTTTCAAAATTCAAATTAGGGGTTATGGAAAACATTTAATATATTTTTAATTTTTTTGTGGGATTTTTTTTTCTTTTTTTCTAAAACATCATTTTATTTGACTGAATGGTTTTGTCTTTCACTAGTAAATCAGCCGAGATTGACCGCTAATCAAGAAGACTAATCTAGAAGATCATTGATTGGATTTTGGTCGCCATTGAGTTAGTGGCTAGTTGCCAATCAAATTAGTTTTTGACTTGTTCTAATTGAAACGATTAGACTATTTACTGATGTGACCCAAACCGACAACCAATCGTACTCTACGACAAGAAGAAAGAACCTCACGAACAAAACTTTTGAACCAGTTCGTGGAAAAAATAAAATGATGGAAGATGACGGGAAGCTAAACATGGCACCAACTTTGGCCTTTTTGATCACCTGAAACGATAGTTGGTGCGCTTTTTTATCACCTGAAAACGACCAAACTTATCGGTCTTTGGTATTTTGAATTTTTGATACTTAATCATCTCACCAAGATCAAGGCTCAATTGTGGCCACGGTTTCATCTACAAGTCTTAGTTTGTTAACCCAAACAAAAAAACATATGCTTGATGGTTCAAAATACAAAGTGTTAGTTACTCAGTAGAAGACAGAATATTTGAAATGGCGGGCCACATGTAAAACAGAATATAATACGATGCCAAAGGTAGGTATAAAATAAAGTCGTAAGCAGAGTGATGATAATTGATAAAGCTCTCTCTAGTGAATCGTAATCTAAGCAGAACCGTTCGCTTCCACCAAAGGACAAATCTCTTTCCCAACTCATTGCTGTTCATTGGTTCTTCCCAAATATCAAAATCGCATAACACAAAACACAAAAACAAATCCTCATTAAAGCCCTCTCTCTCTTTCTCTCTCTCTCTCTCCATTGTTGACTCACTCTTCCCTCGTAAACATCGCTGTCTTCCAAAGATGGCTTCCCTCTCGGGCCTCTACTCTTCTTCTCCTTCTCTCAAACCTGCCAAAACCCTCTCCGTTAAAGCATTGCCGGCGGCGCTGACCCGAGACTCCTTCTCTTTCCCACATACTCCCAAACCGTCCCACCTACCGTTGACTCTCTCCGCGTCACGCGCCGTTTCGCGCGACATTTCTCACACGACGGATGCGAAGAAAGAGCTTCTCAAGGATCCGAATGCGCTGTGGCAGCGATACCTCGATTGGCTGTACCAGCAGAAAGATCTCGGTCTGTATCTCGATGTCAGCCGCGTCGGATTCACCGACGAGTTCGTCGCCGAGATGGAGCAACGGTTTCAGGCGGCGTTCAAGGCTATGGAGGATCTGGAGAAAGGGTCAATCGCGAATCCAGATGAAGGAAGGATGGTTGGACATTACTGGCTTAGAGACTCCAAGCTCGCTCCTAAGCCGACTTTGAAGACACTGATTGAGAAGACGCTTGATTCTATCTGTAGTTTCGCCGACGATATAATCTCCGGCAAGGTCAGCATTTTCGATCCCACCTGAATTCTGGTCAATCAATCGGATTTCTGATTGTTGAAATGCAGAGTCTTGCTTAGCTCCCAATTTTGAATCTTTGTTTGCTTCTGCATTGTAGATAAAGCCACCATCTTCTCCTGAAGGTCGTTTTACTCAGATACTCTCTGTAGGCATTGGAGGCTCAGCTCTTGGACCTCAATTTGTCGCTGAGGCCTTGGCTCCTGATAATCCTCCGTTGAAGGTAATCTGATACTGCTCTAATTGCATTCAACATTACATTCCTTTACTCTTTGGCCAGTCCCTTTTATCTTTGCTTCATGAAATTATCTCTCCTGTCTGATTGAAAAGATTCTTACTTTGGCTGGTGATAGATAAGATTCATAGACAACACCGACCCTGCTGGAATCGATCATCAGATAGCACAGCTTGGGCCAGAGCTTGCCTCAACTTTAGTAATTGTCATCTCAAAGGTGTGTACTTTTTATAACTTGTGTGCATTGCCTGTTTATGTGATGGTTAGTCATGGTTTTGGCGAGTGTGACATAAGTTTCTTGTGTGTTTCCCAGAGTGGAGGTACTCCTGAAACTAGAAATGGACTGTTGGAAGTGCAGAAAGCTTTCCGTGACGCTGGTCTGAATTTCGCAAAACAGGTTTTGATCTCAGGTTTTTGTTTCCGCTAATCCATGTCTCTACGAACATGGGAAGAATGATGTATTATAATGGCAAAAGCTGGTTTTACGTGGCTTGGAATAATATTTGACAAGTGGACTTAAAAAAACTGGCTTCCCATGGATCATCACGTTAGACACTTTTTTCAGATGTATTGCATATAATTTAGCTTAAACTTCTGCCCAAACTGTAGTTGCTCAGCTGTATATTCGCGCTGTGTGCTTATGCAGGGTGTTGCAATAACACAAGAAAACTCATTGCTGGACAACACGGCGCGAATCGAAGGTTGGTTAGCTAGATTTCCTATGTACGACTGGGTGGGTGGAAGAACATCAGTCATGTCTGCAGTTGGTCTTCTTCCAGCAGCACTTCAGGTAATTTCTACATAAACTTAAACTTGGTACGATCATTCGCGGCGTTTGTGTATACCAATGCACTGTCTCATCGTTTAGGGGATCGATATTAGAGAGATGCTTTCTGGTGCTGCAATAATGGATGAGGCTACTAGGACAACTTCGGTAAGTCTTACTTGTTGCAGCTTGTGTAGGAACTTCTTCGTTAGATAGTGTGTACCATGACTCACTCTAGCCTATAAATTTATTTCTTGTTTCAGCTCAAGAATAACCCTGCGGCGCTCTTAGCAATGTGTTGGTACTGGGCTACCGATGGCATTGGTTCCAAGGTATTTTTCTTTCTCAAGTTTTTGAGAGTTTCTATGACTAGGAAGGGGATTGACCTTTTTTACTTCTTGTTCCTTTTTTTTACAGGATATGGTTATTCTTCCTTACAAGGATAGCTTATTACTATTTAGTCGGTATCTGCAGCAGCTGGTCATGGAATCACTTGGAAAGGAGTTTGATCTTGACGGTAACACTGTAAGCATTCTCTTCCTTCAATTTCTGCTGCAGTACTCTAAAATGTCCCGAGAAGTGTAAACTGGTCTTGCAATGAGTGCCACTCTTCAAATTCAGAAGATCTTAGTTACCCCTCCTTCATGAAAGAACTGAAAACAACTGTTTCCTCAACCTTGTTATTACAAATGTAATCCCATGGAGCGATGCTTTGGATTTTCAGGTTAATCAAGGGTTAACTGTATATGGAAACAAAGGGAGCACAGACCAGCACGCGTGAGTTTCCTATATTCGTATGGTTTTCCTATTGAGACAAAGCAATATTGGAGATCTTTATGCAACAGTACTTTGATATTTTGAATTTCATTTTAGCTACATTCAACAGCTGAGAGAGGGTGTGCACAATTTCTTTGCAACCTTCATAGAAGTGCTACGGGATCGACCCCCAGGTCATGATTGGGAACTTGAGCCAGGTGTCACTTGTGGAGACTACCTCTTTGGGATGCTACAGGTCTGATTTAAGAATCTCTTTTCGCACAACTTCATCAATGTTAATGTTCACTCATTTACACACAATGTATTTGGATTATCTTCCCCACACTGATGAGATGGTATGAATTTTCTGCAGGGAACAAGATCTGCCTTATATGCAAACGGTAGAGAGTCTATAAGTGTTACTATCGAGGAAGTGACACCGAGAACTGTTGGGGCTCTTATAGCTCTTTACGAAAGAGCGGTCGGATTATATGCCTTTATTGTCAACATAAATGCTTACCACCAACCAGGTAAAGATCTTCCTCCCACATCTAAAAACCTGTGTTTTGTAATTTCCCAACTGAAATTTGCTTACTGAATCTTGAAAACAGGTGTGGAAGCCGGGAAAAAGGCAGCAGCAGAGGTTCTTGCCCTGCAAAAGCGTGTATTGTCAGTTCTTAATGAAGCAAGGTAAGAATCAGACAATGACAGCTTCTGTTTTAAATCTTGACAAGAGAGACCACTTATATACTTACTAATCCTTCTTGCTTTGCCTGCAGTTGTAAAGATCCGGTAGAGCCATTGACACTGGACGAGGTAGCTGATCGTTGCCATGCTCCTGAGGAAGTAACGTCCAAAATCCTTTAAAACAAACTTTTCTTTAGTAACTTTTTTCGAATGGACGTATCAGGAGGTTTTTTTATATCTTTGAGTTTTTGCAGATCGAGATGATATACAAGATCATAGCGCACATGTCTGCAAACGACAGAGTTTTGATAGCTGAAGGAAGCTGCGGATCGCCACGGAGTGTCAAAGTATACCTAGGCGAGTGCAATGTCGATGACTTGTACGCTTAATAAAACACAAAACACTTTTCTCAAACTCCAAATAATTTCATTCTCTCTTTTTCCTTATTTACTTCTGCCATGTCTATGCTTACACCAAAAAAAGAAGAAGAAGATTGCAATAAGGGCAGGAAATGATTGTGCACTTGTTTGAAATAAAGATGATTACAGAATGTGGAAAATGTTTCTTGTTAATGAAAACATTGGAGGATTCATCAATCAATCAATCAGGCTCGTGGGAAACAATGAAGTGCATTTGTTGAGATCTCAACACTCTTCTATATGTTCTTTTGTTGCATCTCTATAAACAAACAAAAGCTTAATTTAAGCAACCCACATGTGAGTTATTAGGTAAGTCTTGCCACGGATGCTCAACAAAACCTGCTCCATGTGGTTAGATAATATCAGTGTTGCAATTCAAGCAAGTGAAATGTTTCTTATAACGGAGTCCTGTAACTTTGATCCTATGTTTCAATTTGTTTAAGAAAAACCCCGTCCAAATATGAACACTGAAACAAAAAGCTCATAAACAGTAATTCAGTGAGCGACACATATTTTGGCTTGCCACTTTGAAATTTCGAATAATATATGTTGACAAAAAAATTGGTGGACCTGCCGTAGAGAAAACAAGACACAAGTCGATTGTCCCCACCACCACCAATTTAGTAGCCTACCATAACAACAACAAATTATAACGTTACAATTCAAAACCATTTTTGTATAAATTATGCTAGATTATCGCTTTACCACGTCAACACTACCCGTTATGCACTTAAGCTCCAGCTAAACGTCACCGTTTTCGGAGGGGTCTTGCCAGCTCCATTTGCCTTTCCTCTCTACCCTTTTCCCAAATTTGAATCCTCCTCAGTTTTTTTCAAAATTAAAAAGCGAAATTAAAAGTATCAAAAATAAAAGAAATCGCAGAAATTAAAGAAAAATCATTTTGAAGTGCACAGATTTCAATCGTCTCTCTCTCTCCCTCTCTTCGGAGAAAGCTTTCTGATTAAGCTTTCGTCGTCTCCTCCACTGCAAAATCTAGCTCGATCTGTAAATTCTTGAGAAATCTCTTCTAAAACAAGAGTTGATTAGCTCAATTTTAGCAACTTTCTTCACCTCAGTCAACTCGCATTCACCATGATCTCCAGCGGAGGATTGGAATTGCCCGCTCCCAAGGTCCGTAATGTCGACGTGCCGGCCTCAGCTGCTGTACCGGTCACCAGAAACTTAGTCGCTGATACTGACGCCACTGCTTCGGCTTCCGCTTCTGAAGACGATATGAGTACAAATTCCGATGACGTCTCCCTCGATTCGTCTCCTGAGCACAGTAAAATGTCCAGTGGCGTGGGTCGTAGTTACGGAAGAAACTCGTCTTATTATACTCACTCCGAGGTTAGCTCCTCCAGAGAGACTTCCGTAGGTGCACGCGAACAGACGGAACCGAAATTTGATAGTGATACGGAGGATTATGAATCGACGGATTCAGCTACTAGCTCGCAGTTTTCCGCTGCGAATATCAAAGGCGGTCTATCTCGGCTGGAAACTCACTTACCTAAGACGGACGGTGGAGCTGCCGTTGAGAAGGTTGAACTTTTTTCATTTGTTAAATAGATGTCAATATGTCATTCGTGTTAAAATCTCCGATCCTAGAGCACTATTGCTGGATCGAAAACATTTTAGGATGATGGTTGATTTTTCCCAGTTTCGTTGGGTTGGATGACCAATAAAAATGACAGATGTTGGAAGATATGCAATCGCGTTCTTACTTCGTTCTAGAGAGTACCTATGTGAGGCAGTGATAAAAGCACTGAAATACTAGCTTTCTTATCGGTTTTGGTGTTTTTCGTTGATTGTGGTATGACAATTTGGTGTTTGTGACCACCTCGTCATAACAATGTGGAAATATAGCCAGGAGCTTTTGCTTTAACTGACGATATATAAGCTGTATGCATACCTGACAAAATTTGTTTATCTTGGTGAAACAAAGAATTTTTTTCTATATTGATCTCATAATCTAGTTCATATTGCAGGAGCTTGATGAGAAGTTTTCTGAAGAAGAAGTAAGCGACATTCCCAGTGCCCCTCCATTTTCCGGGGCAGCAGAGGAATCTGAAGAAATTAAACCAGAGACTTCAAGCGTCCAAGTTTCAGAAGTCAAAACAGGAGATTGTGTAGAAAGTAGACAGACTGGCCACTTTACTAGGTATTCTCTTGTTCCATCTTTATATAAAAGTAAATTCTCAGTTTGCTTAACCATCTTAACGTTTTGCTTCTATTTCTGTAGACCTAGTGCTGCTTCTGAGTCATCTGGGCCACCTGATCAACATCCAGCTCGGCTGCCAACTTTTCATGCAAGGTAATTTTGATTTAATTGGCTTGTTTGCTGCTTCAGAAACTGAATATCGACACATTGAAAACCCCCAGTGTTATGTTTAGTGAACAAGCTGGATTCTTCTTAATCATTCTGCCACCAATTTCTTATGTACCCGATGCAGTGCTCGCGGGCCATGGCATGCTGTTGTTTCCTATGATGCATGTGTACGGCTTTGCCTTCATGCGTGGGCAAAGGGTTGCATGGAGGCTCCCATGTTTTTGGAAAATGAATGTGCTCTTCTACGAGAAGCATTTGGGTGAGTTTACTGTAGCCTCTTTCCTAGCCTTCATATTATTCCTTAAGATCTCATAATATTATTGCTATGACTTTGAGTAGATATTTCCGTCCACATGCCTCACAAGTAATTATTAAGTAACATATGATTTTTGGGTTAATACTCAATAACAGCTTGCAGCAACTCCTTTTGCAATCGGAGGATGAGCTGCTGGCGAAGCGATCTTCACAAGCTCCACACGAGGGAGTTGCACCAAAACCCAAGAAAAACATTGGCAAAATGACGGTGCAAGGTAAACTTGAATTCCATGACACATCTGCTTCTTTGGCTGCCCCTCCTATAATCAGTTGTCATACCTAAACTTGGCTACTTTTGCAGTACGACGTGTTAAAACTGTTTTGGATGCTCCAACTGGCTGTAGTATATCATCTCTGAAGCCATCCTTGATAAAGTTCGAGAAAATCCGAGTTCGCTTTTCCAATATGTCAACACGCTTATTTTCCGGATGGCGGGCTCTAAGGAAGATCCATGTCCGTGTACCAGCCAATGGTTCTTCTCTTTCGCGTCAAAGCCTGGGATATGTACATGCCAGTACACAGTACTTAAAACAAGTTTCTGGTCTCCTGAAAACTGGTGTCACAAGTCTACGTAATAGTTCAACGTCTTATGATGTTGTACAAGGTATGTTTAACTACTTGCCTATTCGGGAAGAATTAACTTTATAGTCTTTACTTAGCATATGTTATATATCAGTATGTGTGGCAGTGTGGGCGAAGTTAGGAAGAAATTTATTTCTATGTTTCTCCAGTTCACTACTCTCTGTTTTTTTGTATTATAACTTTAATAAATATCGATTAATCCGTTTGGTTCTGTCATTCAGAAACATACTCATGTAGGTTAAGATTGAAAAGCGTAACTGAAGATGACGCCATTATGATGCAACCAGGATCCGGTGAAAGCCATGTTTTGTATGTCCTTATGTCTCCGACTCTTCTTTCCCTCTCCCAAATCCATTTTTGGTAACTTTTCATATCTATGGTGTCTGACAAATTACATGGAACCTCAACAGCTTTCCTGATAGTCATGGAGATGATCTGATTGTTGAAATCCTTGATTCGAACGGGAAGGATTTTGGGCGTGTGCTTGTCCAGCTAGCTACCTTTTCTGAAGATTCGGTAAGTCATTCTTACTTACCTTATTCATTTGTTAGTATGTTTCAAATGCTTCTAATGAAGAACGCACACAGGCTGAGAAACTTCGCTGGTGGTCTGTTTTTCGCGAACCAGAACATCAACTTGTGGGAAAACTCCAGCTCTATATTGACTATTCAGCCAGTTTTGATGATAACAGCCATTTGAAGGTGTGTTAACTACCTTTCACTCCTTACATTTGGTACTTGTGATGATCTCTCTTTTGTTTGCTTTCTGTGGGTGGATTGGCATCTCTTTGTTGTATAGTGGGAGACACTCCAATAGTCCACTCCCTTGAGCAACTTTAAAATTTCCTCTCGTGCAACAACAACCTATTTCCTTTTCAATAGTAACTAGATGGTTTTAACCAGAACGTAGAATTTTATTGTAATTGTTGACTTCACACTATTTATAACCTGCTCTATTAAAAAATGGAAGCTTTATGGTTTTCTTAGAGCTCATGCACGTATATGCAGCTCCTCTCACATGGAATTCGTTATTTTTAAGTCCATTAGTTAATACGTTGCTCAAAATTATTGAAAATCTATCCTCTGTTTATACTTTATAGCATGTGTCTCATCTTTAGATTTTGGTGTATTGATTTTCTTTCATCTTCCTTTAGTGTGGCTCTGTTGCGGAAACAGTCGCATATGACCTAGTCCTGGAAGTGGCCTTGAAAATGCAGCGGTTCCAGCAAAGAAACTTGTTGTTATATGGTTCATGGAAATGGCTTTTGGAAGAATTTGCCTCCTACTATGGGATTTCTGATGTGTACACCAAGCTCAGGTATGCCGTACTCACTCTCTTTTTACTTTCTTATCATTTGAGGAATATGCTGTAACTCCCTTTCTCTACTTGCTTGTTTTGTTGCTTTAAGATACTTGTCCTATGTAATGGATGTTGCTACTCCGACTTCCGACTGTCTCCATTTGGTGCATGACTTGTTAACACCTGTCATCATGAAGGGAAATGGCAAGAGCGCCTTGAGTCATCAAGAGGTAGATCCGCTAACTATTATTTTTTCTTTGCCGTTTTCTGTTTTCATGTGATTTTCTGAATGATGTGATTCTTGTCTCAAGTTAAGCCAAGCTTTATAAAGCCCATGTTTCAACCCTAGAGTTAGCCTGTATGCTTTGATCATAATACTTGAGTCAGAGCACTACACTAGCAATTATTATGTGTTAATCACCATTGTATTTGTAGGTGAATAACAGAGTTAGACTTCACATGATAGTATTTCCTGTTGAGTTGTTTCTTCTTATGGTAACATAATAGGCTTGTCATACACATGCTCTTCTGCTTCTGAACAACTTAAATCTCTGTTTTTTGTTTTCTTTTTGCTTTCTACAGAATCGGATCTTAAATGAAATTAAGGACCAGATGGAGCAGATTCTGAAATTGGTCTTCGAGAACTACAAATCTCTTGACGAGTCTGCATTGTCCGGAATGATGGATGTAGTCAGTTCTGCAACAGGAGTACCAGCGCCAGCACTCACTCCTGCCGTGAAATTGTATATGCTTCTGCATGATATCTTGTCTCCCGAGGATCAGACTAGTCTTTGTCATTACTTCCAGGTATAGCATACAACTTTTCAGTTGCCTTACCTTACTCTTGATTATCAATTCTTACATAAATTTAGCATCAATTCTCTTACAGGCAGCAGCAAAGAAGAGATCTAGAAGGCACATGGGTGAGGTAGATGAGTTTGTTACAAACAATAGCGAGCCCAATTTTTTGGACCCTTCTGCAATGTCGGCTGCTTACCAGAAAATGACTATGGTCTGCAAGAATGTAAAGAATGAGATTTATACTGATATTGAGATCCAAAATCAAGACATACTTCCCAGGTTAGCATGCGAGTGAATTTTTTTTTTGTTCAGTTAGTCTTGATGGAAAGAAAAATGATTTCCAAATAATTGATGTAAAACATAATTGAACGCTACTGTTGTCCAAAATAGGCAACGTCAAGTAGATCTTCAACTAAAATATTCTTTGCCTCCCAACCCTAGTCAAACTGTAGTTGATACTGTACTGGTTAGTTGGTCACAAGCTCTTGAGTTTCGAAGTAGTGGCAATGTTTTCAACCTCTTTTCCTTCCTGTAGCTTCTCTTTCAAGATATGGTTATACCTACTTAGCATTTCCCATAGTAGTGCCTTCATGTGTTATTTGTTATCTTTGAGCCACTGTATGGACTATTTTTAGATATGTGAAATGCACCTAAGGTCCCGGTAGCACTGTCTGCAGGAGTTTGATTGCTCAATGTTTGTTATATTGGTTTATGCAGCTTTCTCGATCTTCCGAACCTCTCAGCCTCTATATATAGCACTGATCTCTGCAACAGACTTCGAACATTCCTCGTTGCATGTCCTCCATCTGGCCCTTCACCAACAGTTGCAGAGCTTGTGATTGCAACTGCAGACTTTCAACGTGATCTTTCCAGCTGGAACATTAGGTAGGTCGTTTTAAATTATTTGATTTGTTGATTGTCTGTTGTTTTTAACCGAATCATATTTCATTTTACAGTCCTATCCAAGGCGGTGTTGATGCAAAAGAGTTGTTCCACCTGTATATCATGATTTGGATTCAAGATAGACGCCTTTCCTTACTAGAGTCATGCAAACTTGATAAGGTATGTATACTGAATTCTCTGTGTAGTTTCCTCTGGATTGTCTTTTTTTTTTGTTTCCTTTTCTAAATCAAAGCTGTGGAAAAGCAAAAGTATTTTTCTCAAGATGTGCAATTTCACATTAAGAACTTCCAAAAAGATGAAGCTTGAAACAAATGGAGATTTAATTTCCTTGTGAATAATGATTGATGAGAATAGCTGGATGTGGATGTTGTTCTGGAATCGTCTAACATAAGTCGATCTATACTTCTCTTGTCTCTCATTCTTGTCAGCTTGTGGCGCATTATTGAGAATCTGACTTCTATGTATCATAACAAAACCTGTCATTCAAACAGGTAAAATGGTCCGGAGTCAGGACACAACATTCAACAACCCCATTTGTTGATCAAATGTACACCAGGCTGAACGAAACTATTCAAGACTATCAAGTTATCATTTCCAGATGGCCGGAATATATCTTTGTTCTGGAGAGTGTAAGTTTTGCTGTTCCTTGATGCCTTTTGATTCCGCAATTGTGAAAATATTTTATTGTATGTTCCATTTCACGTTATAAGCTACTACAAATCTTCATAATCAGGGATTGGCGAAAATTTATTTATCTAAAGAAAATAGGAGTGAAAAAGGTTAACAAAAACTGTGTGTTTTTAGGCCATTGCTGATGTTGAAAAGGCGATTGTGGAAGCTCTGGAGAAGCAGTATGCAGATGTCCTATCACCTCTCAAAGAAAACTTGGCTCCAAAAAAGTTGAGCTTCAAGTATGTCCAAAAGCTGACCAAAAGATCTGCGATTCCATATGTAGTCCCCGATGAGGTAAGCATATTAATAACGTTCCAACATTTTTCCCCTTGTATTTTCTGTAAAAAAATATTGTATTGCTGAGAAGTTTCTTTATCTGCTCGGTGCAGCTGGGCATTCTATTAAACTCCATGAAGAGGATGCTTGATGTTCTACGGCCTAATATAGAGGCTAAATTCAAAGCATGGTCTTCATGCATTCCTGATGGTGGGAACGCAGCTCCTGGAGATCGTCTTTCTGAGGTGACAGTGATGCTCAGAGCCAAGTTTCGGAATTACCTTCAGGCTGTGGTCGTAAAACTCGTAGAAAATGTGAGTCCGTGTTTTGTACTCTTGTTGGATTTAGCATCTTTTGAGATCTTAATCCCTCTATTAAATGCTTGTGTTGTAAGTTGTAACCGGTTATTTGTTTTTTTTTTTTTTTTACAGAGCAAGCTACAGAAGACGACAATGTTGAAGAAGATTCTTCAGGACTCTAAAGAAAGTGTTGGAGAGTCGGACATCAGAAGCAAAATGCATAACCTGAAGGAGCAGCTCACCAACACAGTGAATCATCTACACTCGGTTTGCGAAGCGCATGTCTTCATCGCATTGTCCCGAGGATATTGGGATCGTATGGGACAGGTGACTATATTAATGACCTCTGCTGATCTTTTTCTTTTGGTTTTGTGGTGTTGGAAAGCTGAATTCGTCTGCTGTACATGACAGATTGTTCTAAGCTTCTTGGAGAACAGGAAAGAGAACAGAGCTTGGTACAAGGGTTCTAGAGTTGCTGTCTCAGTAAGTGCCAATAAAACTGCAGCTACTTAGATCGTATAAGTAAAAGAGTAAAAGAGTTTGCCTGATCTTACGTATTATTTGCAGATATTAGACGATACATTTGCAGCACAGATGCAACAGCTACTTGGCAACTCCTTAAGAGAGCAAGACCTAGAGCCTCCGAGATCCATCATGGAGGTTCGCTCGATTCTTTGCAAGGACACTGCAGATAATAAAGCTAAGTCTTTCTACTACTGAGCAACAAAGGGCTAACAATGCTCCCGAAGCTCAAACCTGTATTGAAGCTGATTTGCTCGTCTGCTTGAAGATGCAATGCTCCCAAACTTTGTGGAGTAAATCATCGAAACCTTAAGATAGCTTTTGGATGTATAATAAAATACGATGGTTACCACATTTTTCTTTAGCATTAAATGTCAATATATTACTAGACTGGCATTACATCCGATACGAGTTGTGGTAAAGTTAATAACACGATGAAGTAAAATACAACTCTCTTTTACTCAATGAAGGTTTCAGATATCTAAATTTAAAAGGACCAAGGAGAACTAGAAAAGCTGATAAACAAGGCTAATAAAGAATTGTATTATCCTCAGAGCTCTCTTAGAACGAAAACACCTATCTATTTTGGACCTAAACTATGTGATGTGGAGAAGATTGAGATGACAAGCTTTTGTGGGAAAATCCATTTAAATGGTTCACTGCAGATGAACATGAAAATTATAGGCTAGAAGTATGGAAAACGATGCTCAACATCGGCTTCAAATTTGGAATCGTCAAACAAAACTTTAACTAAGGCTACTCAGATTTAAACTGGAGCAGGATCTCCAATTAAAGGTGTCCTTAAACAATCTTCTTCAGGGTGATCTAGAGTTAAATTTCGTGCCAATGATGTTCCAAACTTAGGATTTAGTCTCTTTTAGCGGTTTTTCTCGTTTTTTTTAGTTTCGTTGCTATTTAGATTTCTTTTTAGAAACCTAATCACATTAAGACTTCAGACACAATCAAACTGAGATCAAACTAATTTTTAAGATTGCATGTTGAGGATATAACATCACAAACAAGACGAAGCAACAAATGGCATTTGTACAGATATAAATTAAATGATATATAACATTGCTGAGTCAAGTCTGTTGTAACTTTTGAGCACCATGTGAAGACACATTGCCGAGTCAAGCAAGTCTGTTGAAACTTTTGAGCACCATGTGAGACTTACTTGTCTTCAGTTTCAGACAAGCTTTGATATGGCCTTGCAAGACACCCAGAAAGCTTTGGATGCGATACTCAGGATCATCGGGTTTTGATATATCCTGTTGCCCAAAAGAATTGAAAAGGGCAATCAATTAGATTGGTGACAACTTACAAAACATTCAGACACACAAACAAAAAGACCGGATGTGTTTGCTCGATGTACCCTATCGCAGTTGCGCTCCATGATGCTACGTTGTAAATAACTTTACTTCCTTCCCACGCTTTCCGAAGCTTCCCCTTTCTCTTCTTCACCGAAAACATCGTGCTAAGTGCTACATCGCAATTCATAAGCAAACTCTTAATATCTGATAGAAATCAGGAGAGACATGAACAGATCAGTTGGGTTGTTTTGAGATTCTCTATAACAAACTTCTAGGCTACTTCCTATGGTTCAGGGGAAAAAAGGAAATCGTTTCTGATTGTGACACATGGAAGTTTGAGATTTACCTTTCTGAAGCTGATCAGGAGAAATATCCTACACAAAGAGAGCACTCAGAATAAGGTTTCACATGAAAAGTTGATGAGTTACAAAACGAGATTGGGCTTTTATGTACCTTAGTCTGCTTAAGGGATGATAAATAAGTAGCCATGAAACACGCAATGCCGTCTGCTATATCTTCTTCCCTAACAACCACATAATCATCTTCCGTTTCACCCATACTTCCTTCATCCCATATATCATCTTCACTAACTACATCCCAAGTGCTGCTCTCTTCTGCGATATCTTGGCGAACTGAAACTTGGGCTAATTCTATCTTTTCACGGAAGTCGTGGCATTCAACTCTCGATTTGATAAGATCATAAAACTGCACAAGAGAAGACATCACAGAGTCAATTATCCAAGTCACAGCAACCTGATCTCGAGCATAATCTAAAATTTATCCACTGGTAACCATATTAGATTGGTCCACGAACACGAAATCAAGCTATAATGTTGTTATAATTCGTATCCAAATCTAAAATTCGTCGATTTCAAGCTTACGAAAAAGAGTCCTCATCAAAAATTTCTACTGCCAATCAATCAAAGAGCATAAATGAGCTAAGCTATCAACAATCAACAATCCTACGAACCGAAGAGAGTAAGGGTACTTTATCAGCTTCAGGATCGGAAGACGAAAACTCGTCGCTGTCCGGTGAGTCGCTTTGTTCGCTGTTATCGTCTTGGAAAGTATCGCCGCCGGGACTATTCTCGGTGAGGTTTAGCAGCTCAATAGCTCTCTGGCAATCCTCGAGCAAATTCTGCAGCGTCTTCCGCTTGACACGAATACTTTCCAAATCGACGCGATTAGCTTGGGTGTCGGTATCGTGAGTCGAGCTGGAGACCTCGATTTCCATGGTTTCCCTCTGGTTGGGACGAGATTATCACGGCATGGGAATCGTAGAGATCTGGCGAATTTTATTGAAAAAGGGAAGACGATTGATTGTTGTCGTCCTCTTGCTTTTCCCTTTGTATTTGTGCGACCTATTTGTTTATTGCATTTCCATTGGAGATAGGAAAAACAAAAACAAAAAAGAGTCGTAAGTAGGAAGACAACAAGCAACTAAAAATTGCCGGAATAAGAATCTATCTATTGAAGAGAAAAAAAAAAAAGAATCTATCTTTTTAAAAAAGGAAATTGAGAGATTTAATTATTTCATAACTTTTTCTATTTACAGTATTTTTTTTTTTGACAACCATAACTTTTTAAGTACTGCAAAGTAACAAAAATCTATATTCAAGGGCCAATCATATTGAATTGCATGCAGAGATTTAAACGAGAACCCATAATTAGTACCGCATTAAACCATAAGCAAATGTAAAGCAAAAAAAAAATAAAAAAATTAACATCAAATCACCGGAAGGAAAGAAAATCATAAGAAAGCATTTGTGCTTGCTTAGCAGGATCTCGATTAATGTGTCTGCATAGCATAGTATACATGGAGTATCTCAACGCACAATGATGATGTTGAAGACTTGCATCATGTACGTTTAACGTTTACAATCGTATATGACAAGTCTATGCACATATTGTCACTTTTTTTATAACACGCGTTGTTTTTTTGTTTTTTATATGTTTTCGCGTTTTCTTTTCCTCTCTCTTGTCCTGACGTGGATTGCAAAATACACATCTTCATGTCGTATATGCAAGAAACGCGCATCAAAATTTATCTCATTATATATCTCTTTATCACTCGCAGTTGCATGAATCATCACATGATTCACATCTTGCATTGGAACTGAAGAGAACAAAAAGTTGACACGAAGGACGTATATTATTTTGCTCGCAACAAGCTGTTTCTGGATCTCTAATAATCATATATATCTAAGGTTATCCGTCTTATTGAGAGTGAAGGGTGTGGCATATGTGCATTACCCCGTTGGTGGAAATGTAATGCACTTCACTCGACTCGTTTTTTATATAGATCACTAGCAATTACATTACCATCCTTAAGGTCTAAATGGCAATGCCACTTACTTTTGCTGCGATTGCCTAAATCGCACTTGAATAGGAAATGCTTAGGGATATGGTGGTGGAAATGTTAACCACTAATTGTATCATTTCTCCTACTAATCAGGTCGCAAGGCCATTCGGGCCTATAAGTGTTGCTCGGACATCGATCCATCAAACAAGATATATGCATTACTTTAAAAATAAAATCCAAAAAAAAAAAAAAAAAAAAAATTGTATGTGCAGTACATATATAGTTGGAGCAGTATACTATATTGAAACACCCATCAATCAGAAAACAAATTTATCGAGAAGCAGACGAATGAACGAGTCCCCATGCACGCAACACCATTATGATATTAGATAAATTGTCTAAATAAAATGGGTCACGTAGCTTATAAATTATTCAAACCGAAACGATGTAAGACCAAGAAAATTATACTAATAATCAAAGCCGTCACCGTTAAGAAGAAAAGAAAAAGAGAGTGGTGGAGGATCGTGGTAAGCACGATTCAGTAATACTTAGGTCATAGGGTCAACCAATGCAAGTTGTACCAAGGTTGTCAATTATATCTCCCCTTTTTATCCAATTACAAATCATATTTATGTAAGGACCAATGAGAAAAGGGCTATTGTTGATCTATTATTCCACAACTAATGTAGTAATTGATATGAGTAGAGGCATTTTCAAAACTATAGAGTATGATAATCTCGTAATTAAGAGTGGACAATATGTGTGTAATCTTTTCAAATTCGGTATTTGTTTTTGTTGGAGAAAAAGAAGAGGTCAAAAAAAAAAAAAAATTTCCCTCCAAGAAGGGAGGGGGATGATATGAGGTGTACGTAGAATAATAACTGCTGAATAAAAAGAAAGCTTCCTCTCTTTACGCCCAAAATTTTCGCTTCACCTCTTCCTTTGTTTCCTTCCTTGAACACATCAATCAATCTCACCATTTCTCTCACCCTAACCAAAATTCCAAATCGATCATTTTTAATTTTTAATAATTGAAAGTTATTATCGATCATCTCCCAGATCAATCCAGGGTTTGTTCCTCGAATTCGTGCATCAGCAAATCCGATTGCGTTTTCCTCGGATTTGATCGGACATTCTGTTGTTTTATTCCCCAGGCTTTAGGTGCCGCATTGTAATGGAGTGAAACGAGTTATGGCTAACAAAAACGGAGAATCTTCTACACAGCCTCCTCCTCAGGTGCAGCCACCACCACCACAACAACAACAAAACGAGCAACAACCGCAGCAGCAGAATGATCATGATCAAGAGCAGGAGTCTCATGTGCGTATTCAAATTTCATCTCTGATCAAACAAAACCATATTATTCTTCTTCTTCTTCCGATGATGCTTCCCCGTCGGAATATTGATCAATATTTGTTTTTTTTTCTTCTTCCTATCACAGGGCGACACCTGTAGTTTTCCTCCTGCGCAGCAGGCTGGAAACACAGACGCGCGTTCCCGTGGTGGCAACACGGTAATTGTTTCTTACTCTTTATTCCTCTCTGAGGTTAATTCCTAATGACAGATTTAGCTGCTATTTGATCGAATCATGTAACAATAAGTTTGTGAAATGCTTTTCTAGAATTTAGATTCGATAGTTATTTTTTTTGCGTGATCATGAGCATTCATGTGCTTGTGTATTCTTATGAGCAAATTACATTTCAATCGCGAGGATCGGTACTACTTGGGTGGAATTGACTTAGGTTAAGAAATGCAAAGCCAAAAAGAGACAACCCTATGTTGTTGAATTCATCTTTGAATCTCTGTAAATTTTGTTAATGTAGACTGGATTTACTTTCTAATTTTGTAGGTATTCAAGAGTGGACCGCTATCTATATCATCAAAAGGTATGTTTCTAACATCATAGAGTGAGATACTTAGTTTAGTGTAGCCTTTTGTTTCTTTGTGGTTGCAATACTAAGATTAAAATGGTTTCTTCAGGGCTTGGGTGGACATCTTGGAAGAAAAGATGGTTTATCTTGACGCGCACTTCACTAGTTTTCTTTCGAAGTGACCCGGTAAGTATTCTCATATAGTTTTGTCATGACAGCTTGAAACTGTTATTACAGAGAGGATAGATATCTCACATTTTCTCTGCTTTATTTTACAGAGCGCAGTCCAACAGAGGGGCAGTGAGGTCAATTTAACCCTTGGGGGAATTGATCTCAACAATTCAGGCAGGTTGGCTTATTCTTTGAATCGCTTAAATCTTTTTTTTTCTTCTTATGAATAACCAAAGTAGTTATGTTCGGTGTTACTAACATCATGTAACTGTGGACTATTTTTTTTTTCTAGTGTGGTTGTTAAGGCAGATAAAAAGCTCTTGACTGTTCTCTTCCCCGATGGTCGTGATGGACGCGCCTTTACACTCAAGGTTTCTTCAAAACTTAATCATGTTATTATCATTTGCACACATTTCATCTTTGCATCTAATGATTTGGTATTTGTTTTCGCAGGCTGACACTATGGAGGATCTACAAGATTGGAAAGCTGCTCTTGAAAACGCTTTGACACAAGCACCTAGTGCTTCCCATGTTATGGGTCAAAATGGTATCTTCAGGAATGATCATGCTGAGGCCCCTGCCGGTGCTGATGAACAGAGTATGTTCCTCACCTTTTTTCAAATGGTTTAATTAATTATTCTTTAAATACTCATGTGAGAATGTCAAAGGTTTGTCCGAATGTGGACTCAGTTGGTATTGAAAGGCTCACACTAATGTGAAGATAGTTTAGATAATCCGTGACATTCCAAAGATTAGTTTTATCTTTCAAATTCATATAGACAACTAATGATGAATGTTTTTTTTTATTACAGAAGAGGAGACACCAACACAATCAACTGTTCTTGGAAGACCAGTTTTACTTGCTCTAGAAGATGTTGATGGAGCTCCTTCTTTCTTGGAAAAGGCCCTTAGATTTGTTGAAGATCATGGTATTAATTTTTAATTCAGCATTGATTTGCTGCTTTATTTTTAAGCCATATTGACCAGTAATAAGATAAAACTTCATATATCTTGCAGGAGTCAAGATAGAAGGAATCTTGAGACAAGCTGCTGATGTTGATGATGTTGAACATCGGATTACGGAATATGAGCAAGGTTTATATACGATTACACGTGATTTGTTTTCTTATTGTCTTGATATTCCTGCATTGTGAATTCATAATATTAATACGTATAGTCACTTGGCTCAGGGAGAAAGGACTTCTCTCCCACGGAAGATGCTCATGTTATTGCTGATTGTCTTAAGGTATGTCCACTTGTCACTACAATGCCTTTTCACTCTTAAAATATATCTAACTGTATCCATAAATTGTGCAGTATTTTCTCAGAGAATTGCCTTCCTCTCCGGTTCCTGCATCTTGTTGCAATGCCCTTCTTGAAGCTTGCCGTAAGTTTATCATTCTCTTTTGTTTTTTTCTTGTCTCTTAAAGTCCTTCTCTGGTGTTCTGACACATACATGATCAGGTACTGACCGTGGAAATAGAGTCAATGCTATGAGGGAAGCAATATGTGAATCATTCCCTGAACCAAATCGGCGCCTTTTGCAAAGGTTAGTCGCTTTTCTATTCACATTTTATGTAACATGCATATGGAGTAAAGAAACTTTTTGTTATTAACTGTGTGTTTTTTCTCTCCTCTTGCAAGAATCCTGATGATGATGCAGGTTGTGGCCTCTAACAAGAATGTGAACCGGATGAACACAAACGCCGTTGCAGCTTGTATGGCACCACTACTTCTTAGACCTCTTCTTGCTGGCGACTGTGAAATTGAAAATGACTTTGATGTCGGCGGTGATGGCTCTATGCAACTTCTGCAAGCAGCAGCTGCAGCAAATCATGCACAGGCTATAGTGATTACATTGTTAGAAGAATATGAAAGCATCTTTGGAGTAAGATTATTAAATTTAGTCTATGATTCAGTTCTTATTTCCAGTCACTGACTTGTAGCTACATAAATGGTCTAATGTATGCAGGAAGGTTCATTGTCACCAGGCTTGTACTCTGACTCAGACGAGAGTGGTAGTGGAACGGAAGAGGGAAGTGATGATGAAGAGTATGATGATGAGGACTATGATGGCACACAAGGATCTGATGAATACACAGATGAGGAAGAGGACCTTGAAAATGAATCTAATGGCTCATACAGTGAGAGTGCCGCTTCCGCCGACAATCATGGGGATGACATTGATCCTGATGATGACTTTAAGGCACGGTCTCATACATACAAGTTCCTTGGTTCTCATTGCATCTTACTTTGTGTTTGCAAAAGTAAAGACATTGTTGTTGTTGTTGTTGTTCATATTGCAGATAAATGATGGTTTAAGCTCTGAGTCCAAAACCCCAAAAGGAAAGAAGGAGCCTCAAGCTCCCAAGAAGCTTTTATCTGGCAACAGACGATCTTCTCTTCCACGGTGTGATAGTTCCAAAAAGGATGAGAATATACATGTTAAAGGTTCTGATAACGCAGAGGCAAAGGCTGTTGCAGAAGTCTCAAAAACTGAGGATAAAAACTCATCAACATCAGAATCTGCCAGTGAGCAACCGTCGACATTAACCAGTGCACCAGGAGGAAGTAAAAGACTCTGGGGCCGTACCGCTGTGAGTTTCTTTTTCTTCTTGATATGTTTTTTTCTTGGATCTTTAGTAAGTTTGGTCTTTTATGTGGCTAGGGGAAGAAAAACCTGTCGATGGAGTCTATTGATTTCAATGCGGAAGTGGACGAGGACGAGTAAGTAATCATCATCATCATCCCTATACAACACAGATGATTTTATAATTTATGTTTATTGGTTTATGTTCTGTAGTGCTGACATTGAAAGACTTGAGTCAACCAAAGAGGAGCTGCAAAACAGAATTACAGAGGAGGTCATGATAAGTCCATTTTGAGTATTTTATTGCATAACGAGTATGTGACCTGTAACAACATTCATTTTTTTGGTACAACAGGTTAAAAACAATTCAGTTCTACAGGCTAGTTTGGAGCGACGGAAGAAGGCTTTGTACGTCCGGCGCCAAGCTCTAGAGAAAGATGTATGTGTAAAACAACATATCTATTGGAGTTATATGAAGTTTGTTCCTTTTTTGGTTATGTGAATGTGCTTTCACCTTTTTCCTATAGGTGGAAAGACTACAAGAACAGTTGCAGCAAGAGAGAGACAAGAAATCAGCTCTGGAGGCAGGACTAAACATGTCAAAAGGGAACCAACCTATTCCAGATATAAAGGATGAAAAGGTTTCTCTTTTGTCTAGCAACTTGTTGATTGTTGTTTGGTTAAAGTTAAATAATCTAACTTGGAAGACTTCATGTTTACAGTTGAAGAAAGATCTGCAAGACGTGGCTCAGGCGGAGTCTGATATTGCCAACTTGGAACACAAGGTTGATGATCTTGAAAACAGACTTGGTGGTCAACAAGACGTAAAAACCTCGCATGGTTCTAGCAAAGATTCTCGGAGAATGCCAGAGCACAATGCAAAGATGTAAGCATTCATCACATTTTAAACTCACAACCTTTTTCTTCAGATCATGTAATAAACTCTTCTTTCAACTTTGTCACACAGGAAGGAGAAACAAAAGGATGCTGAAGCAGCCAAGGTAACAACACACTGTAAATATCTGAAGACTGCATTTTTGCTTCTGTATATATGCATGCACTACTTACTGATCGGTTACATTTTTGTGCAGGATGGGCAAGGCTCTGCAAGAGATAATGAGACAGAGAAGCAACAAGATCAACGAAGCAAACAAGAGGTGCCACGTGGAAGCTCAAAGCATGCGGGCATGTCTAAGAGGTCTGGCTCAAAGGGAGAGGTAAGTTTCCATACTGAAACAACGTTAACACAACACAACCAATACCATTGAAATTACATACAAAGGAGCTGAGTACAAACAAACAAAACAGGGAACAACAACAACAACTTCTGCACTTTCCAAACTGACAATGCGGCTCAACTTCCTCAAGGAGAGACGGAGTCAGATCGCGAACGAGCTCTTAAACATGGACAAAGGAAGAAACCCAGGCCAATCTAGTCCATCCTCGGGTCCAAACCAAAGTTCGCAAGAAACTGAAAGAGGAACAGGGTCTAACCATAACCAGAACCAGAACCAGGAATCAGACAGCGGCAGAGTCCATAGCCCACATGTTCTTGATAGAGGAAGATCCGAGAACGGAGGAGGAGACAGAGACAGAGGCAGAGGATCTGGAGGAAACCAACCCAACACTACATCGAGGACCTTTTCCAGATGATCTCACTCTTCATTAGAGCCTGCTTTAACCCCTTCTTCTTCCACAGATGTACAGCCACCATTGATTTTAACTCCAGGTCCATTTATTTATATGCTTACTCTTCTCCCCAACAACATATAACAGATTCATTCTTTTTAGTCTTTCTTTTTTTTCCTCCACTCTTCTTTCGAAGACCATATAAACTATTGTGTTCTTACTGTTCGTTGGATCTGTTGTTTTTCGTAGAGACATTCACATCAGTATAGAAACGAAAACTCAATTGTATTTATAACAACAACAATGCTTGAACAAATATTGAATTCCTCTTCCCTTTTGTGTTCGCTATTCGGAAAATGAATAAATCAATCAATATAAATAACTTAACACCTATGCTAATAGAAGTATTCTTGTCTTAGTCGTCATCATCTTCATCTTTAACAATCAAAAATCACGAAGCAGTTTCTTGACTTGCTCCAAAGTAACGAAGAGCACCACAGTGAAAGGTCCTTGCCTACAAACCGTAGGCACAAAGCCTTTATACAGAGCCATTGGTCCTTCTGCTCTAACCGTCTTCACCGCACAATCCCACGCGCCTTTGTACGGAGCCACCGCACCAGGCGCCTCCACCTTCATATTCATCACTCTCGTCTTTATCACATCCACCGGATTCGACGCAACCGCCGCCACAAGCCCCGCCGCGAAGCTCGCCACCACGTGAGTCCCGAGCCCGTCCTTCATCACTCCGCTCTCCACTATCCCCTCCTTGAACTGATCGTACGACGCAAGCTGAGCCGCCGTCACTATCATCGCTCGGTTAATCGTAAGCGCCGAGCCACGCCACAAGCTCACTACTCCTTCTTGCTTCGCCATCCTCGTGATTGCGTCTCCTACTCCGGCGTAATTGCGACGCTGCGCTAGAGGAAGCCTACCGTCCGCTTGCATACGCACCATCGCCACGTCGGCTGGGTTTCCGACCGCGGCTCCGATCCCGCCGGCGACTAGCCCCGCGGCGATTTTCCGAGTCAGATTCAGCTTCCCCGAGTCCGGATCGGTCCACTTGTTCTTAAGCACTTCGTAAAGACCCATCCTGGTGGTGGAATAGAGCGTCTGCCGGAGAAGTGTGGCGGAGACGCCGGAGAATAGCGCGGCGGCTCCTTCCGCCTTGACGATGTTGATTCCGAGTGAAATGGGACCGATTTTGGGAACCGAAGAGGTCGTCTCGAGAAAAGCTGCTGGAGAATTGTGGAAAGCGAGAGCTGGACGGAGGAGAGTGACGGTTGAGGGGACGGCGGAAGCTTCGCCGTGGAGCTGAAGACGGACCTTGATGAGATCGAGAGGGTGAGTTGAGCAACCGGCGACTACAGAGGCAATCCCACCTTCGACGAAGCTTTTGACGCCCATTGTTGTGAAATCGGATTGAAACTTGAAGAAGGAATAGAGAAAAGAAAATTGAGAGATGTGGGAAGAAGAAGAGAGGGAAACGAATGTATTTGTAGTCAAGTTTGTGACGCGGTTTTGTGTTGTGGCGCAAAGCTGTTGAATGTTGACGAAAGGCTTCTTCGTAAGTTCGTAGTAACAACAGAGAGAGTGGTCTAATCATTGAAGATTGTGTCTCTAAAATAAGCTAAACCTAAATTGTGTTGGAATTGGAGTCAACCTCGCCGGTTATTAACCTAGTCAAAGTTAAAAAGACGTGTGTTGAGTTTGAGTTAGGTCAGTTAGAGACGGCCCATTGTTGATTTATGGGCTTTTACGAGGAAGGTTACTTGGGCTTCATATCAGCTCAACAAAAAAGTAAACGTCGCCTGAGAGGTTCGAACTCTCGCGGGCAGAGCCCATGTGCTTAGCAAGCACACAACTTAACCACTCGGCCAAAGCGACTTATTGACTAAGGTTATGGGTTTATTATAATAATGATTAAATAGGCTTCCTTTCAGTTGATGAAGTTTTGCGAAAAAAAATCATCGTCGCCTGAGAGATTCGAACTCTCGCGGGGAAACCCCATGTACTTAGCAGGCACACGCCTTAACCACTCGGCCAAAGCGACTTGTTGCTTCTTAGCTTAAAAAGCATTAATTATTTTTAATATGAAATTAAATAAGGGAAATTGCAGTAGATGACAATAATATGGGGCATAATTAAGAGTTATTTACGTCTAAAGGCACTTATGAGTTATAAACTTATAACCAAGGCACTTCTCACTCCCAAGGGACTTTCGGTTGTTGGAAAGACTAAAAGACCCTCATTTTCACTTAAACTTATCCGACTTATCCACCGTTTCACTTTCTCTATTTCTGTTTTCACTTTTGACCCGTGAAAAGAGAACCGCCGATTAACGAAAACCCTAACTCCGTCACCTTCGCAAATTCTCGACCCCGTAGTTCCTGCTCTTCTCGCAAAGCCGACGAATTTCCTGATCTACGTCGTTCCCGAAGGCAGACGTTTTTTGATCTGTTCGAATTTATCCGTCGCCAAAGAGTCTTGCGTCTTATTGGAGCTGTAATGGAAGGTATTAACTTCTTCTTCCAAACGAAGCAAATTACTTAGCGCTAGTCTTTTTGAAGTGTTTGAAATGAAAGGGATTGATTTGGACTCATTGATTTGTGTTAAATCGTCGATTGTTTTGTTGTTCTCTGTTTTCAGAAGGAAGCGATGTTGCTGCGGAAGATTCCCGTCTTCCGACCCGGTTGATGAAAACCGATCACTTCCCGAACCGGCGGTTGAACTGCTATTCAAAGGCAGATACAATTGCGTTTGTGAAATATACGCTGAGAGATAGGCCGGAAGTGTTCCAGAGAATTCGAAACTCCCGCTTTGGAAAGCTTTGGGATTTTCCCGCCGTCAGATGTCCAATATCCTGCAAACTTATCCACGCTCTTTTGTGTCGCCAACTGCTGTCCAAGAAACACTATGAGATGTGGACGGTTTTTGGTGGACAACCTCTCCATTTCTCGCTTTCCGAGTTTGCAAGCATTACTGGGCTTCACTGCGGCGAATTCCCGGAAAATTATGACCCGGATTGGTATCCACCCGTTTCGAAGGGGCCTGACAGGTGGTGGCGGGAGTTTATAGGAAACGACTCCCGAACAACAATCGCCGATATTGCTACAACTCTGGAAAGTGATGAAGATATGGATGATGATCGGAAGCTGAGACTGTGTCTCATTCTCCTTGTGGATGGTGTCCTTTGCGTGAGCAGCCAGGTACACAGGCCAACGCCGAAGTACGTCTCCATGTTGTCTGATATAGACGCTTTTTTGGAGCACCCGTGGGGGAGGGAGTTGTTCCTCAAAACCATCACAGCAATGCGTCCGAGCAAGCAGATGACTGATATACACATATATTAACATACATTAGCATACATTTTCATGCATATTTCCATCCTATTGGCTCATTCTCATACATTTACATCCTCATATCTCTATTTATACATTGCATCTTCATTAGGACTTGCATTGCATATACATTGCATTTTGAGTCCATATCAGGTACTTAATGGAGCTTTGGAGTCATTTGGGAGAAGGAGTGTTGGAGACGTCAAGACCAAGAGCAACCAGGATGCGAACCAGGATGAGGAACCCGTTTGTCACCTTTCCTTGACCAAGAAGAGAGTTGACCACATCCAAGTGAAACGCAGCGTTTTGGGCTTAAATCTTGGGGAAGGAAAGAAGAAGGGTTTTAGAGAGTCTCCACTATAAAAACTTAAAAGTCCTAACTTTTTAGGCACCTTGTAATTTGTCTTTCATTTTGCCACCAAGAAATACTCTAAGTTGAGATCTAAACTTTGTAAGCTTTGGTCTTTTCTCTTAATCAAATCACGTACTTGCATATTTCATTGATTGCATCTCACTCACTTGTTTGACAACTCTTACTTCTTTGGAATCGGTTTGTTCATCAAGCATGAGTGAGTAGTCTTTAGATTGTTTTAGGTGATGTGGGTTTGAGAGCTAGAAGAGAGTTTTGAGTCTAAAGCTGGGACCTTTTGAGTCTCTCCTTCTCTTAGTATCCTTAAAGCCTTGCCATTTCTGATCATTCTGGCTCGGATCTCAAGCTCTCAACGCAACAAAAGTGCGCCTGAGAGTTGGAAAATCTAAGAAGAAGGGATCTACTTCTCTAGCCCGCGATAGCGGTTTGTTTAGAGGGTTCTTTGGCGTTGGGATCTAAGCTTAAAGCTTGCTTGTGTACAAGCTCACTGACGATAGTCAGCTCTTGAGTTTGAACCTTGCATTTGAGCTTACTCACGATAGTGATAAGCTCTTGCTTTCGTTTTCCTTAGCCTAGAGGCTCGGTTTTGTGCTTTATGTCTTAAAGTCTCTTCCTTTAGCTCGATTTCCACTCGCATTCACCTAAAGCCATCGCCTTTCATCGTTTCTTTTCAAAGTTCAAGTCTTTTAGCTCAAAGTCGATTTCTTTCCTCTTTGAATCTTGATTTGGACCGTTATTTACTGTTCTAAGTTCGTGTTTTTATTGTTTAACGTTCGGATTTCATAAAAACCAAATCTTGTTCTTGGCTTGAAGTTTCTTGCATCTTTTGAACCCAATCTTCCTGAGATTTGGATTGATACCTTAAACTATACTGCAATGATATGAGCAGAGATTTGAGGGTTTGATTCACTAAAAATCTTGTTCTCAATGACGGTGAAAGACGAAGACCCTGTTCGCACACTAGTTAAGAACTTGGGCCAACCTTCGTTTAGGCTGCTTGGTTTCCCTCTCGCTTTGCAGCTCCTTGCGTTTCAGGCCATACCGACTCTTCTCCGGTATTTACCAACAACATCCGATGATGACATCCTTCTAAACTTACCTGACGAGAATTTCCCCGACAATCCCTCCCTGTCGCATTTAGATGTCATAAACGCTGAGAACCATCCACAGGTTAGGAAGCTTCCCGTTTTGTTTACATTAAGATCAATTACCTGTCGTTTTTTGTGCAAAACTGATTTTATAGTATTATGCAGCTCGTTGTACAGCCCTTCATTCCTGTGGATCCGCCGGCTGGGTACATTGTTTGGGGTGAATGGGCTGAGCAAGAAGTGCAGGACCGTAAGGTGAATTATCTGCATGACCTCATAGCAAACAACCATCGGTTCACTAGAGCTGAATGGCCGGGTGGGGCAACTGACTACGAGCTTGTGGTCCACAGATACGTGCCCCCCAGAGTTTCTCACAAAAAACACATAAGAAACCGCAAGAAGAGCCCGCTGAGTGCCAAGGCATCTGGAAGTGGTACAAGGAAATCCGCTCGAGGTAAAGAGAAGGTGGAGGAGTGTGTCAACTCTGTCGCACCAAAAGGTTTGGCGGAGCAGAACAAGTGGCTTGTGGCACAGGTTAAAATCCTCAAGGAGCAGCAAGCGAAGCTTGAGGAGCGTACAACGAGATTGGAGCGCACTCGGTTAATAAAGAACACGGGCCTTTATAGGAAGTTGTCAACGCAGAGAAAGCTTTCTACACGCAAGAACCTAACGCAAAGGACACCGGAGCCTTCACGCACGGGGTGGGAAGAACATCCTAGCGATCATATTATCAGCCTTAAGGATGGTGAAAGGCCGGTGGAGGATTGGAAGGACACCTGTTATGATGGAAGGACAGAGGTGGGGTCACCTAATGAGCAGGTATGAGCAGGTATCTCTAAATATTATGGAAGTCGGGCATGATCACTAACTGAGCGACTTTTTGTTTTTCCTGCAGCCGAGTTTGTTTACAGCCGCTGGAGATGCAATGCAGCAGTCGCAGTTTGTAAGTTTTGTGTAATGGATGCATATATTTTGAACAACACTTTATGATGGCTTGTTTAAAAAGCATTATTGTTCTTGGGCAGTCGTCATCATTAAATCAAGATGGGGGTTTGAGAGGAGAAGCATCTACTTCGAGGGGGCAGCTATTTGGTCAACCGTTTGACGGGGAGAACGACGAACAAGATAAGGTTGTTTGGAGTGCTTTTTATACAACCGTTTTGACATTTCTGTTGATTGTGGGCTTGACTAACAGAAAACTAAACAGGTCGGTGAGGAGAAAAGAGTGGAACGTGGTGATGGTGAAATGGCAGTGGACGAAGAACCACAGAGGGAGAAGCTGCTTCCTGGTGAGGAACTCCCCACCGATGGAAATACCCGTGTGGATGGTCCAGAGTATACGCAGAAGGTTGGTGAGGATAACGTTACCGAAGACGTGTGTGGACAGGCGATTGTGGATGAGAGTGCTCATTTGGAGGGTAAGCAGCGGCGGGATGAAGAACTCCCTACAGAGGGCTATCACCGTGTGGATGAGACATCGTGTACGGAAGCGGTGGTCGAGAGCGTTGTCCAGGATAGTGGACCTATCCAGCCGTGTACGCAGGGGGAAGGAGAAGGGGATATACGTACAGGGGAAGCTGATGAGGAGTGTGGTTGATGCAGAAGTCTATGGAGGACGATGGTGACACACACCTGCGGGCACTTATTGACAATATCGTTGGTAGATCGGCGGTACCTAAATCACTGAACACGTTGGAATTTATCGCCAACGATGTAAGCATGGAGAACGTTGTGGACAGCGACAAGGTCCGTGACTCTCGCAATATGTAGCTGCAGTCCATTCTCGGTTGAGAAGTCAAATAGATGATAATGGTTTTATGTCACGTGTGCAGGGAATAAAAGAGGGGGGATCCAGTATGATGGATATATGTGAACCATCTGATGTTTCGGCGAGAGTTGAGTCGGAACAGATAACTAACTCCAAATTTAATCGAAAAAGCGATGGGGCTGGTGTAAGCGCAGTACGTAATTGTGTTTTTACTATGTACTCCAGCAGGGGACAGGCGTGGCGGAAATCGTATCTGAGCGGGAGAGTATGGGAGAGGAGGGTGTTTTTGCTTCTGCGCAGACAGATCCGAGTGTTGTGGAGGCTCCTGGGGTTCAGCCTTTGACCGTAGAGACAGGAAGTTTGTCTCATCCACGTCTCCCCGTACACGAGAAGACGGTCCATCCTTTGTCTGTTGAGACAGGAAGTAAGTCTGATCCACGGGTCCCCGTACACGAAAAGACGGTTATTTTTGGAGAAGAGCATTTGCGTGGTCAGTGTATGGTGTTCAGAAAAGAGGTGGAGACAGGTACCGCTGTGCTTCCAACGACGCCGCCAGATGCGCGATTACTCACGGTAAGGCTCTCTTTAAAAGAGGTTGGTTTAGGAGGAAGCCAAAATGGATATGGGTGTTGTGGTCGTCCATTTGGTCATGATCCTGTGTTCTGTTCATGGTTTTGTTATTGTGCAGGGTCCTCTGATTGGTGACTCCTCGCCGACATCCAAACGAGCAACGCATATAATTGTTAGTGACTTATCACCCCCCCTAAACGATCGGCGCACAGTCCTTCTGTGATGGAGAGTGAACTTGCGAGAGCCCTTGTTGCGACTCCAAAACTACCAGCCTCGTCACTTATCTACCAACCTGATGCGCAGCTGTTTGACATGTTCAAGAAAACCCTTGCTGCCAACAAAGACTTGTAATGTTTTCTGACCTTAAATAGTGTGTTACTTAGGCTTATTTAGTGTGTTATTGACTGACAAGTTTGTATTTTGCAACGCTAGCCTCCACATTTCGCAAGACAAATATGATATAGATAACTCCTTCTTTCTTGATCTCGTGGAGAAGCAGAAGTGGGAGTCCACGAAGGTCTTACTACTAAAGATTTTTGCTTGTCCATACGCAAATGCATAATTGAAGTTACTGAATACTTATTTTTCCCCGTTTTGTTGGCAGCATATAGAGGTTTTGATGACGTACCTTGGGGACAAGTACGCGGACCTACCATCGTAAGAGAATTCCTCATTTGCTTCACCGTGGCTTATAAACCACTTACAAGGGAAGTACAGGAAGTTCAAGGCCGCTATCAACAAGGGAATGATAAGGTGGGATGATTGTATCACCAAATTCGTCGTTACCCAAGGACAGACATGGCTAGAGGAGGTGCACACGGTCTATTGTCCAATGATTTGGGATAACGAGCATTGGGTGGGTTTGGCGATACATCTCGGGACGCGGTTGGTTGAGGTACTCGATCCATTGCCCTCTCTTGACAGGTACATGGCTCCGGTTGTAGAGATGCTTCCTCACATAATAAGCAGGTTTTGTCCATCGGCAACACAGAAACGCAACAACATGCCGTTCACGTATAGGCGTGTGGCCAACACTTATGAGAACCATCATTCCGGCGAATGTGGACCTGTGGCGGTGAAGTTTCTGGAAATGCATGCCTACAATGATCCACCTCCTCATTTGTCAGGGCTTACGGACGTCATGGTTGAAGATTCCCGGAAAAACTATGCGATGGAGTTGTACAGGGAAATGGTTCTCCCCATCTATTTCCCTACTTCACCACCACTGTCACCCTTGGTCAAACCTTAGCGAAGTCTTGACACTTTTGAGTATGCGAACCCTACTATTACGTTATGTTTTTGTGGGTTGCATACGATATATCTCGCCCCCTTTTCTCTTGTTGTCTTCGTACTTTGGGTTTGAAATGGGTTGCATACGTTATATAACCTTCGTTAGCTTCGATCAAATGTAATGTCACTTTATGGTTTTCGTCTAACTGAATGTGTCCATGAACCTTTTGCATGTGTTTTAATTTGTGGACAAAGTTTGTGGACAAAGTTTGTGCGAATTTGCCATGCGAAAGTGTGTTGATGGGAATGGAATCGAAAAGCATCCACGGTTGCCGTACAGGGTTTATCATCCATGGTTAACCTCCTATATGGTCACGCTTGACGGTGGACAACGGGAGAATATTAGTTAATGTAGATAGAAGTGGGCCGTGGCAAGAAAACCATAGCCATCCTGGATTTGTACACGCCTGATATTTTGTGTTGACACCTTGCTGGTATGGTGTGGACATATGAAGCAGACGTGTGACGATAGGGCTGGTAATTTGGCATCCAACAGCAGGTGTACCTAACTTGGGATAGTATGGTAACTATGAGTTCCGTCGTAGTAAGGGAGGAAACTGAGGATAGACAATCCAGTTATGGTCATGTGACAATATCCACTCAGGGACGACCATGGTGCGGTGTCCATTATTTCAAGTAAACGCTTGCTTGGTATGCATATGCTGGTACATAAATTTAATAAACCGGCAAGAAGCAAATAAAGAGTCATGGCCACATCTATGTGCTTGGTCGGATGATAAGGTTTACATGGCCAGGATAACAAAAGGGACAAAAACACAAACTAACTTGGAAATGATTCCCTTAGTAGAGGGTTTATAGATAGGGGATAAGGAACAACATTATGCTATTAGTTTAGAAAGGCAATGATAAATGCCATTAGGAGGCCTGCCACACCGCACGCCACAGCAATCTTGAACTCCGTTGCCGATTTACGCTGTAGTTTGTGCCCATAGTCCTTGATGACCTCGATCTCGTGTACAAGTTTGTCGATACGACGACGGTCCATGGAGATGTGTCAAAGTTCTGTGTTCATGACGTCAAGCTCGTCGTAGAGCTCATCGAACTGTTCCGTAATTGCTTCTTCCCACCACGTTCTCAGGTGTGGTTGGCCATCCTACAAGGGACCATTATCATCATTATCGTTTGTGGGACTGTGAACTAATTTAGATATTAACAAAAGGAAAGTGTGACTGACCATTGTGTTTCCCGTACACTCGAAGAATTTTTTCCCATCATGGATGGTGTGGAGAGCAACATCTTCACCGCAACGACATACCTTAGGAATCCCCACCCCTCGGTTACCCGGGTAGGTTCTAAGGAGACCCTGTCTAAAAATGCCCTGAGCATCCCTCGTGGAAACAGTATTGCGAGACAAGTCCATTTGGTTAGTTGTTCCTGCGAAAGAGAGAGGTATCTTTTCCAATTGACATAGAAGGTTTGTGTGACTAACAATTGAAAAATCAAGGGACTCGTTGATGTAGTTGTTTGTCTGTACATCTACTGTAGTTTGTTATCTATCTTCCTTCCTTAACTCCACTCGATCAGTTAAAGCAAAAGACAAATAGTCTGAAGGGAACGGTAGCTTACCCGTACTGGCGAAGAGATAAGAAGATCGCTAATGTTGAACCGGAAAGGAAACACCAATCTCGCTTAATGTTCAACCCAAGAATTCCCGATCGGTAGTGGAGATCTTGTTTTTACAAAAGGGTTTGTGTGCTTATAGCCGTCTAAATTGCTGTTAGAGAAAGTACCATGGCGGCGTAGGAAATAAACGAGTGCTGCTGGATAAGTATACTTCCCGTGAAGAATATGGATTGTGTACGTTCTGCCATGGATAGTCTTGACATTACAAACGGTGGCTCATAACATCCTGGCGTTTATGCGCAATTGAATAAGTTGGACTCCAAATTATTACAACACACTAGCGCGTACACATCTAGTCGTACATTAGATCCGTGTGATACGTCTGGTCATACAATTTATTTAAAACCCTGGGTCGATAGTTGGCATTCATCTCGTTATCCACCTATAGCTATGACTGTGTACGTTCGGTAATGGATATAGATGATCTTACACACACTACCTCGTACCTCCTGGCACTTATGCACATTCTCATAATTTGGGAGCGTACATCCTGACGTTTATGCGCAATTGAATAAGTTGGACTACAAATTATTATAAACCCTGGCGCGTACACATTTAGTTGTACATTAGATCTGTGTGATACGTATGTTCATACAATTTATTTAAAACCCTGGCTCGATAGTTGACATTCATCTCGTTATCCACCTATCTCTATGATTGCGTACGTTCAGCAATGGATATACATGATCTTACACACACAACCTCGTACCTCCTGGCACTTGTGCACATTCTCATAATTTGGGAGCGTACACATGTCAGTGTACACCAGATGAAGAACATTTTAGTCGTACACATGTCAATGTCCACATATCATCAAACATTTCTAGCAAGGGATAAGAGATACAAGGTTTTTCCCCACAAAAGATATTAAAACTACTGATAACTTTCCCACAAGGGATGTTGTTCCAAAAACAATAAGATTCCAGGGCAAGGGATAAGAGATACAAAGTTTTTCCCCACAAAAGATATTAAGACTAGTGATAACTTTCACAGTCACAATAAAATATTTAATTGAAAAAGCAAGGATGGAGTGCGTATAAGTGGATAACCGCAGCCTGACACTTCAAATAGGAGCTTTGCAGCTGGCTCTGTTGAACCAACTTCTAAGCATCTGGTACACTTGTTTGGGACGGTATTTTTAACTCTGGCCGCCTAAAATCATATAAGTTTGTTTGTACATGAGCAGTGAATAAGAGTGTTTTCCCTTGGAAAGTAGAATGACTTACTGGAACTTCGCCCGTGGATGGAATCCTTGTTTCTTTAGGCCTCCGAGACGGTCGGTGGGTATTAGGCGGCATCACATTTTTCTGACCCAACTCTGGTGGTAGATCATAATCAACTCCTTCTTCAGGCGGTGTAACACAATCATCGTAAGTTAGAACCCATTCTGTTGGTTTGAGAGTGTCCCCGACCATGGAAGAATAGGGGAGACCCAAACTATCCGCAGCAATCTTTGCATGTCCACATGGGATCTTGAGCTTGTCAAACATGCGGCAAGTGCATCTCTTCTCTTTCAACTGAACTTGATGCTTTTCACCAAATCGACCAACGACTTGAACGCTCCAGGAAGACACCATATTGATTTTACTACCCTTGCAAGCAGCCAGATTTGCAGTCAAGACCTTGTCCACCTCTGGCGTACAAGCACCTCTCTGTTTCTGAGATTTGATCCTCCGAGCGTTAAACCACCTGGTCATCATGTCTTGGATGAATTTCAGTAGCTCAAGTATGGGAGAATTCCGTCCACCCCTCAACGCTTTATTCAGTTGCTCAGCAGCATTACAGGTCATGAGGTTAAAGCGCTCGCCAGGAAAATGTGCTCGAGACCAATGAGCTATGCCAATCTTATGCAAATAGACTGCACAAGCTGGACTAGCTGCTCTAATGTCCGCATAAATTTTCCTAAACCCTCCTACGTGGAATTGCCAAGCAGCACTAACAACCATCTTCGCCAAACCCTTGCTCTTGTACCGTGAAGTAACATTCCGAGCCAAATGCACAATACAAGCAGCGTGATTAGCCTTGGGATAAATTCATGTCTTAGCCACTTTTATTGAAGGGCACCTGTCAGAGATGATGGTCAAGGAGGTGCTATCAGCGAAAATCCTCTCCAGCTTCTGGAAAAACCATGTCCACGAGTCGATGTTCTCGCTGTCGACGACAGCATAGGGAAGCGGAAACACCTGGAAGTTAGCGTCCTGACCACTCGCAGTTAAAAGAGTCCCCATAAATTTACCTCCAAGATGGGTTCCATCAACGACAATAACGTGCATGAGGCGCCTAAATCCTCTAATCGATGCCCCAAATGCAAGAAGCAAGTACAGAAATCGATCAACACCAAAGGCATCTTTCTCCATGATCAAATCAGTCACCGTCCCAGGATTAGCGAGCTTAAGCATATATAGGTACTCTGGCAGGCCCAAATATGAATCATCATCGGTTCCTCTAACGTAAGTGATTGCCTTTTCCCGTGCCCTATAACACTTCATGTACGAGGCCGCCACTCGTAGCTCCTCGAGAACTAATTGTTGCAAATCGGCTGCACGTGGACCTTTCACAGGATCCCCATATTTGGCCTTGAATACCGCTGCAATAACATTGCAAGAAGCTCTCTTCTTAAACATACTTTTAGTCTCTATGCAGCATGAGTGCTCGAAATTCGCCTTCTTGATCTCGTAGTACCCACAGTTCTTTACCTGAATAGCTAACACTCTCCAGTCGCAGCGTCTATCAGTACAATTCAGAACGAAGTAGTTAGCCTTAGTCGTGGTATGGCGGAAATTGAACATGTTTTTGGTGGCATAAATTGCAAGAGCTACTTGGCAATCTTTCTTATTGGAGAACACTTTCCCAACAGAAACTTCACCACCCAACTCGTCGATGTCGAGGTCCGGTATGTCGGCAGACTCATATAGGAGGTCGTCGAACATCAGAGGAATATCAAATTCCTCGTCGTCTATCTCCCCGAGAGAACGCCCATGCGTACTCTTAGCCCGTACACGGTCACCCGTACATGGGGTATGTTGTCTACAGCTACTGTCCATAGCATGCTGTCCATTAACGTTAGTGTTTGTTCCTCCAGAGCTTTGAGCAAATCCGCCGTTGTGGCTGTACACGTTTGGCTTGCTTGTTGGACGGTTGAATGTGTTAGGTGGAGTGTTTGCTTGCTCAGATCTATCTGGCGAGCTTCCTGAGCGAGAACCACCAGAAGCAGACGAAGCCCCGCTGGCGGCTTCACTCTTCCAGACGCTGCCGTCTCCCCCCGCAATTACTGTGTGGTCGAAAGCATCGTTTGTTGAACATGTGTAAACTGTAGGACCGGCATTGACCGGTGGATCTACATCCGGGCACATGAAATCAGCGGCGTCGGAGCCACCATGGACTTCGTCAACAAGCGGTTCCCAGAACTCCTCGTCGATACCAAGCGGTCTGACATCAAAGTTGTCCCATGACTCTTGCCCATTGTCCTCGTCGTCGGTGTTCAGGTCCTCTGAGTCGTACTGTATACCACTGATGTCGCTGTTTATCTCGTCCAAGTATTCTTGAACACTCTTCTCCGACGATGTGTTCAAGTTGAATAGATCTTCCATCCTGTGACTTCCGCTGCGCATAATGTTTTCCACTTTCTCCATGTGCGAGGCCATTAGGTCGTCGTCTATCTCTGGTGGAACCTTTCTTGACCCAACAGATGACCCAAACATTCCCTCGCCACATAGGTCGTCCGTGAAGCGAGCTCTTTTCGTGGTGGGCATTGGTGTCTTAAACCCATCCGAAAACACGGGACCAGCTGGCGAGGATGTAGAGATGACTCGTTTGCTAAAGTTGGCAAACAAGTTCATTGAGTGGTTGACGCGGAAATGCTTGCAGAAATATGAGATGGAAGCGCCGCTGGTTACAATCACAGGCGGTGTTGTAATGCCGGTCGCAAGCTCTGTAGTGTTGGGTGGCCAGTAGCTTAATTCCACATCTATCTCAGAGCCCCCATCGGCAAAGAATTCTCCGATAACGTTTCTCTTCAATTGATCAATACTCATCGCATCCTCGAATGCAACCACACGCGACATGCGCTGCTTGTCGATAACAAAATCTCATTTCCCGTCAGGCGAAGATCTCCATTCACCGCTTATGACCATACAATGCTCACCCATTGTACCGTTGGCTCTTATTGTAGCATAAACTAGTTCGGCAACACAAAAACCTATCTCGCAGACCAACCTATTCACTTATTTATCCTTTGAAGGTCGAAAACTTTTCCCACCAATAAAGTGACGTGGATGTCCTTATAAACGTACGATTGGGAGGCAATAAATCTGGAACTAATCGAACGGCCAACTTTGAATGACACTTTTTCCCGTAAAGTGGTTGGCTCCCTACACGCAGGGTTATAATGGCCACTATAGCTTATGACATGCCATCCACGACGTCGTGACCAGATAGACTCGGTTGATCTGTACTTGCATACTACACGCAAGGTTATAATGGCAACTATAGCTTATGACATGCCATCCACAACGTCGTGACCAGATAGACTCGGTTGATCTGTACTTGCATACCGTTTGTAGTATTCAGTTATGTGTAATGTATGTAAATAATTAAAGTTTTAGTGAATAAATAGGCCACGGGCCTTTTCATTATCCACGATCAACAATCCACTCGGATGGTTGCAGAGGTGTCCAGTGAGTGCATGTACAGGTACATGTGGTTGTCATTGTAAAAGTTCTCCGAAACGACGGTGCTCTTCGTGCGATTCTTATCAGACGAATGGAGTTACAATGAGGTTTCGGGCTAGGGTTTTAATTCACAAATGATATCGAGATAATCCCATAATTCTCACACTTTCCGGCGAATCCGCCGCTGTTTATAATAGTTAACGGCGGACTTTTGATACTGTTCCGGGATTTATAATAGTTAACGACCTCCGATTACGGCGGACTTCTGATACTCAAACATCTCCACGATGTTCAGACAGTAAAAAGATCTCCAGTAAAAAAGGGATGAGATAGTAACAAAATAAATGAAGGGTAGAGATGGGGATTGCACAACACACAGAAACACACAAAGTCACTTGGGAGCAAGAAGTGCCTTTGGCTGATATATCAATCTCATAAAGTGCCTTTGTGTGTAATTTCTCCATAATTAACTGAATAGCAATAAGAAATGTATGGCGGCTCTGCTCTGTAGAAGGATTGTTTTCTATTTTCTTCAATTTTCTCCTTTTGAAAATCGCAGCTGCTATACCTATATATTTTGTCTTCAAATCACACCTTGTTTCTTTCCAATCGCAAATCTTTGAACGACGGCGACGGCAATATTTACATCACCATCGATTCTCAATTGCACCAGATGTATTTTTTTCCGATGTCTCCTACTAAGTCATACATCTCAGATATGGATCGCAATCTCATGATATCACTCAACTAAGCATGTTGATTCGTTAATATACAAAAAACCGGTCTCCAATGAGGTTGTTAAAAGTTAAAACTTATGACAAAATAATATATAATTCTTTCCAACACAATTGATTATGATGAACAAAATAGTCATATATTTGTGGAGACATATTAGAATTGAGAGAAAGAACAATCAACGAATATGGTTTTCATAAGCTAGGGAAAAATAGTACATAACAAATAGTATAGAACTCTTTCAATGGCATTTAGTCATGAAGGACAAAATTGTCCAAAAATTCTTTTCATGGCTACTCACTTAATTTTCCATATAGCATGGCTATATTCTTAATATTGAACCCCAATATTGTTATTCACCTAATTCACCCATTAAATAATGTGGACCTAGCAAAGTTTATTTGTTGTAGAAAGAGAAAAATGGGTTTTAGTCTTTTTTGTATTGGTTGCGGTAGTCTCCTTTTGTGTAGTAGATTTTGAATTTTGGTCAGTCATGTGCGTGGACTGGCCCAGTCGTCGTTTGTCATCTCTCAAAATGGACCCCCCAACTCGTTAAATGGTTCAAACAAGGGTCGTTGCTTCTGCTTCAAAGCTTGGCCATAACTTGAGAAATTATTTAATTAGCTCCACAACACATGACCATCCCTTACTAACATACAGCGCCAATCCCATAAACATGTGCATTATATTCTAAGAAGCATCAATGTTACAATTGAATGAGTTCGCTTCAAATGAAGGAAATGTAGCATTTGTGTTATTATCACTCTTCTTTACAAATATTCACTGCCTTTTCCATGATCTCAAGAGCTGAGTGGTAATGTGGTATAACCATATTTTCGTTCAACTATAATTTTTTTTATAATCAATATGAAAAGAAAAATCATTACCGGAAATGTTTGATTTTAATAAATGACTTCCCTTGCTTGACGACAAAAAGGATAAAATAAAACAATTACTGGTTGAGGCAAAAAAAAAAAGAAAAAAGGAAAATACAGGTAATAAAGAAGCAAACGTCTTCGTTATAGAAAAGTAATATTCTGCTAATTTCTTCCTCCTTCTACCGAAGAATCTCTCCACTTTTTTCATCTTCCTTCCTTCTTCGTTCGAAACCCTAAACTAGAAAGACCAGATTTTTAACTTTTCTGGGAACTCTGAAATAGAAAACCCAACTTGGGCTCTCGAGGGTTTTGTTTATTCGCGTGATCTTGGATTTTGGTGGGTCGTCATTTGGAAGCTTACCCACCAGCGGAATCAACTGTGCCAATTTCTGCTTCCCTGCATGCCAAATCGCCGTGCTTATACTCACAGCAACCTCCTTCCCCGGCTAATACGCCGGTGAAATCTATGGTTGGTGGTCAGATTTGGAGCTCCGGGCTATTTCCAATTGTTTGTGAATCTGGTGGAGGATTAAATGCTCCTTGTTGGGGATCTAGGGATTTCCAGTCTACTAGTCCTTGCGATCTCTCTTGTTCTACCTCTGATCGCCTTCTTTGTTCGGCGGAAATGGAGGCTCGCTGCCCTGAGAAGGGAGGAGATTAGGAGACTTCTTATTCATGCGTCTGAAGAAGCTGCTAGGGCTGAGCTAGAGGCCTCTGTCGAGTTTTCTTCTGTTTTTTCTTCTGTTTCCGTCTCTAATAGCTTCCATTGTCCCGTCTGCTATATTCCTGCCACCACTCGCTGCTCTCGGTGCAAAGCCGTTCGGTATTGGTATGCAAATATCCTATCACTTTGTTGTTAACTTTTTTCGATGTACAATTCAAGTTGTGTGACCCTTTAAGCTATAATTGCACTGCATTCTCTGGCGAGGCGTGATGAATTGGAGTGATTAGAAGGGAAGAATAAGATGTAGCTGTGTAACTTTAGCTGTACTCAAAGTGCATCTGATATCTTGGAATATTTCTAGATCAGAGATGTAAAAGAAGTGACTTTGTTTTCTATGTCAACAAAATTATGGTTTATTAATTATCTTGGTAGGAAGTGTAGTGTTTGAATCATGGCAGATCTGTAGTTGACAATGTGCTGTTGAGAAACTTGTGTGAATTATATAGCTTAAGCTTTGTACTGTAGTGTCTGTTGAGTTCTCAAATTTTCTCCCTTCGCTATGTCAATTTAGTTTCCAACATATGTATCTTAGTGGTGCTTGTTACACTGGAACTTATCTCGTTTTCTTTTTCCAGTTCTGGAAAATGTCAAATCATTCATTGGCGGCAAGGTCACAAAGATGAATGTCGTCCTGCTTCCATCATATATGATACTGACGATAACGAAAGTGACTCTGATGTGAAACACAGTGAAGAAAGTGAAGAGAATACTCTTGATGAAACTTTATCGCTGCATCCGGGACCAGTCACTATACCAATCAAGGAAGCAGTGTTCTCGAATCCTGCCAGAGCTCCTGAAGATGGGAAAGGAGATATTGCAGGTAACAAAGATGACCTTATAGATAAGGAAGAAGCTGCTTCTGTTGCTGAAACATCTGGATCCTCGTTTTCTGGCTTCTCCTCCTCTCCACGGAATGAATCTAGTGATGAGATTTCCTTTTGTGATAGCTTCAGTTCATCTGATTCCGAGAAATCTGAGTCCCCACCTGATGCTCATGTTTCTGTAGAGCTAGAGGAGACCTGTTTCCGCACCATTGATGATGCTCCATCAAAACCATTGTCTCCTAAATTTGTGCATTTGGTTGAGTCTGTGGATAGTCTCGCTAATTTGCCTAAAGCAAGTCTGCATAAACCTGGGGGTGATGTTGAGCAGAACCACCAGAGCCAATCAAGTGGCTTACATTCATTAGTTACGGATAGGCATTCAGGATCCGCTGACCTGTCTCTTCTAAAGTCATCTGATTTTTGGGGTACGGCTCTTGGATCAGCAGAACGTCTAAGTAAGAATTGGGATAGTTCTAAATCTGGTGTACCTGGTAAAGCCTCTCTGCATTTTTCCTTAGGCTCCTCTAGAGATACCTCAGCTCCCAAATTTTCTGAGCATCGGAGTAGCATTTCAGAAGAAGCTCCTAGGGCTGTATTAAGGACTAGTAAGTCTTCTGATGAAGTGAATTCAAAAGAAAGAAATGCTAAGAGATATGATGAAGCTGAAATTTCATTGCCAACTTCCTCTTCTACTGATGTGCCGAGTCCTTTAGACACTACTGTTTTGTCCCCTGTGACCCTTCAGAAGTCAAAGAGCACCAGGACTGAAAGTGGCCGTATATTGGCTCCTTTGAAGGTTGGGGAAGCCCAAATTTTGGCATCGAAGGCCTCAAATACTAGGGGGCGTGCTGATGTTATGAAACATTCTCCTCTAGGTGCAAAATCTGGAAGAGTTCTTGACCATCAGAATCAGAATGGTGTTGCCATTCACCATATAAATTCTCTAAATGGAAGAAGTGGTTTAAAGGCATCAGTACTGAAAGTTGTAGACCAGTGGACTAAACCAAAGTCATTAGCTGAGAATGAGCTGGCAGGAAGACATAGTTATAAGGTAATCACTGAGTTCTAGGATGCAATCACCATTCTGAAACACTTACTTCCTACAAATCTGCACAGCTATTTGTTCTTATCAATCTGTTTGTGATATGCAGGGGCTTTTTTCATATGAATTATTTGCTAAGCTGTATACAAATAAAATCGAGGTTCAGCCTTGTGGCCTCATTAATTGTGGCAATAGGTAATCGCACTTTCCAATTTCCATATGAATGTTCTTGTTTCGCTGTTATAATCTTAGTCATGTGCTGTTATTAAAAAAAAAACTAATAATGTGTAGCTCATACTCACTGATGCAAAACTCCATCTTTTGCAGCTGCTTTGCTAATGTTGTCTTCCAATGCCTGATGTTCACTCCTCCTCTGACCACATACTTCCTCCAGCAATTCCACTCTAGAGCATGTGCGTCTCTGGTCCTGTGTTTTTTGTTTTTTTTAGTGTGATATACGCTGCTTATTTTACAAGGCTATGTTTTGTTATCATTGCTGTATCAAGCTCTTAATAGGACGTTTAATTATCAGGTTTAAACAAAGAACAGTGCTTCACCTGTGGGCTTGAGAACCTGGTCTTAAAAGCAAAAGAAGGGAAGTCTCCACTGTCCCCTCATGGGTTGCTGTCACAGCTGCAGAATATTGGAATCTTTCTTGGGAATGGCAAGCAAGAAGATGCACATGAATTCCTTAGGTGTGACATTTCTTCAATCGGGCGAACTTTGATACATACTATACAACTGGAAGAATCTTGTTTTGATTTCATTTCCTTTCCATTTTCAGGTTTGTTGTCGACACAATGCAGTCTGTGTGCATTAAGGCATCTGCATATGATATGCCGAAGACTAGGAAATTAGAAGATACAACTCTAATTGGTTTGACATTTGGGGGATACCTCCGATCAAAGGTACTATTACGTAGCACATTTCTGTTTGACCAATGATTCATTGTTTTTGAGGGAGTAGTAATGCTGGTCGTTTACTGAAACAATTATTACGTTACCAGATTAAATGCATGAAATGTCAAGAAAAATCTGAGCGGCGTGAGAAAATGATGGATCTGACGATTGAGATTGATGGGGATATTAGCACCTTGGAGGATGCTTTGCGTCGATTTACAAGGACTGAAATATTGGACGGAGAAAACAAATACAAATGTGGCAGGTTGGTCGGCATTTCTTTTTATGCGTTGAACTTTGTGTCGTCATTTGATATATCCATTTCTCTTTTCATATTTTTGTCGATGACTAGATTTCTACATATGGTTTGGAGGTGGGTAGGATACCGATTAATTTACCCTTTTATGTATTTCAATTACAATACGTAGATTCCATGGCCAGCTGATATAGCGTTCCCTAAAGCATATACATTATTTGGAGTACTATCATGGTCTCTTATTTGATTAGTTATAACCAATCAACTGCTACCTCTTAGAAAATTACATACGATTCTGGCATACTTCCAATGGTTGACGGGTGCTTACTTTATTCTTTGTGTGAGCAGGTGTAAATCTTATGAGAGAGCCAAAAAGAAACTGAAAATTACAGAGCCTCCGAATGTCCTTACAATTGCACTAAAACGATTCCAGGTAACTTATATCTTCAATGAGGACCCGGTTGGTTTTTTTCCATTGAGTTCCATCTGTGTTTTCTTGTTTGCTCACAGTGCCACTTAATTCTTGCAGTCAGGGATATTCGGGAAGCTCAATAAGTTGGTCAGGTTTCCAGAAACTCTAGATTTGTCCCCATATGTCAGCGGAGGAAGTGAAAAGTCACATGACTACAAACTCTATGGGGTTATTGTTCATTTGGATGTAATGAATGCGGCGTTTTCTGGTCACTATGTCTGCTATATTAGAAACAGTCAAAACAAGTGGTACAAGGCTGATGATAGTACGGTAAGTGGCTCATATTAGCAATGCAAAAGATTGTTGTGAAAAAGTGGCTCTGTTTAGCTTACCTTTTTACTTGCGTTTGTTATTTGTTGAATTTTCAGGTAGTAACTTCTGACGTTGAAAGGGTCTTGACAAAAGGAGCGTATATGCTGTTCTACGCAAGGTAAATGATATAATGAACCTCTCAGTATCTTTAAGATTGAGGATCATGCTCGATCTGCTTACTTATGCTTTTATATCGAATGAATTTGCTACAGGTGTTCTCCAATGCCTCCAAGATTAGTATGTACCAAAACAGAAGCACCCAATAAAAAAAGCAACGCCCCTGTACCGAAGGCTAATGGGAAAAATACCACAACCACGTCACGCTCTGTGTCTACTCCAAGTTCTGTGTGGTCTTCCAACGCTCCCGGTGGTGTTCGACCTGGCAATATGCAGTCGTTTTATTCCAGTTTCCAGAGGCTGCAGAGAATTTTAGAAGATGACTCGTCGAGTGACAGTTCTTCTCTCTTTGACAGCAACTCAGATGAATGTTCTTGTAGCACAGAGAGTACAAGCACGGACGACTTTGCTGATTTCATTTTTGGAGACCATCAAGGACGGGCTCATGGACAGTCGGAGGCTCCCTCTCCAACATCATCTTCTTCCTCGTCTTCGCCTCTCTCCACAAGGCATTCGCGGCTAGGTGACTCGACTCGTTCTTCTCCAGACACTTATGGAACTTCAAGACATCACTTGCCCTTGGGAGGAGAAAGGTAAGGGAAACGATGGTTTTTTGTCCACTGGCCCAACTAAGTCAGAGAGTAGTAACAACAAAGTAGATTACACGTAGAGGGGATGGGTCTTATTAACAACCCTGTAGGCTTGGTGAAAGTCGTTAATTGAGGATGTTGGGTATATAGTAGTGTATAGTGGGGAAGAGTGATTTTGCCCATGGAAATGTATTCGCGTAACGAAACAGAGCTTACTTTTGTTAATAAGTTGTCTTGAAATTTGATAATAACCATTAATAAAGCTAATCTCTAATCGTGCAAACAAGGTGTATAATAATAAGTGGGAAAAATTCAATTCTGCGGATTCCATGGAAAGAGATCATGTGATGTTTTCAGGGAAGAGAGAATAAAGCAAAGCACATGATGAGACGAAATAAGAAACCTTATGATGCATATCCAAATAGAAGAGACAACATTCAACACATACTGAAGTATACTCTCAACATTCTCTTAGAACTTGGAACATGTAGTATGATCCGAAAATACAAAACATGTATTAAGACGAAAAGAGAAAGTACTTGGACATACAATACAAGTGACAAACATGATCTGAAAGCATGTCATATCCGAGCCACATATGAGTTGGCCTGTGTCACATATCTCACCCAACGATATGGATTGTAACTACTTGATTTCTTTGCTATCTGCAAGTATTTGACCTGCATGCACCACATAATTCAATACAACAGATGATTGAAAAGGACGCCTGATGGTAATACGCAAGAAGAGCACCGTCTCAAGAGCCGGGGGATATACTTACCTGAAGTTTAGAAACATTGTACATTGGTATCGTGAACGTCATGCTAACTGGCCCTGCTTCCTTTGTGATATTACCTAAACGAAATTGAGAATATTATCAGTAATGCTTTGCCTTTCCCTGAGAGAACAAATAAGAAAAAACATTTATCTTGAGAGGGTCACCATGAAATTCCTGTGAAAATGTCAGCTTTGCACGCAGTGTATGTTCAGCCCCGCCAACAATCTGGAAGTGGAACACCAAAGTTAGCTAATGGAAGCGTATATAATACTATAGTACAATTTACCTAAACTAGCAAACCACGTGAGAGATTCAACGCTTGCCTTTTTCAAATTCCATTCAAGCATTTTGGTGGATTCCTTGAAATCTGTCTTCTGTCCAGCCGCACCGGCTTCTAACTCAAAACTAGCCCTGTTACAACAAACATAATCAGTTGAACCTCTCTCTTGTGTGATTCAAAATTTGGTGTTATCACCATGGCTGGAATAGACGCAAAATTCATTTTACTCCCTCTCTTCCTCATAATGCAATCAAAAAGTTATGTACCTGGAAGTATAATTTGGCAATGGCATCTGAATAGTAACCGTGTTTGCAATTATGTCTGAAGGGAACTCAGCGCGTATCTTAATAATCACTTCAGCCTAAATTATAGAAAGCAGAAATACACGACTTAAGCACTGTGATAAAGATTTATAGAGCAATAAAGAAATATATATAGTTTTCCATCTAACTCAAAAGACGCGAACGTGTGAAACTGCACCTTAAGGCGTCCAGCCTCTTCAATCAAGGTATTAACATGAAAAGGAGGCTTAAACTCCTGGGTCATACGGTAATTCATTACTGGAAATTCACCATCTGGTGGAACCTGAAATCAGAAGGCTAGTTAAAGAGCAAAGCAGCATGTTATGACAAGATGTTTTCTGAGGTAAACATTTTTGAAGCTTACAAGGGACAAAGTTCTATCTGAATCGAAGCTATCAAGACGAACAGACTCATGAAAGTTACAATCATCAAGTATCACCCCTGAACCTGACGAACTCCTATAATCTGCAACATTAGAATGAACTTATACTTCAATTGAGATGTTAACAAGAGTTAGATCTTAATACTAGATCAAACCCACTTTACGTGTATGTAATTAATAATGATGTGCCTCAAAGAGATAAAAGAATGCTACAATAATATCTAGATATTAGAAATCGGTTCTGAAAGGAAGTTTATAAGGGGAATCATGCAGCTTAGTTGAACACCCAAATGTCCCAGAAACAGACACCAAGATTTTAAAGAGTAAAACAAGCTAAAGTATGATGTAGATTCGTTTCTAAGATAATAGTGTTGAGTTAAAGGGGTGAAACGAGCAATACCATATACTGATCTTCCTCCTCTTCCTATGTTTAGGTCTTCATTAAGAGCTAAGCGAATTTCTGGGTTACCAGAAAGATAACTCTTCATTTGAATGGTGCCATCAATCTCAGAAGTCAGTATGTAACCCTGTTCAGAAATTAGAAATTATGGGAAATTTCAAGGAAGAAAACTAACATTAAGATGAAACTACGTATATTAGGACATAATCCATGGCGTTGATGAAAAAAAGTAACTACTCACGCTTGAACTAAAAGTAACACTGATTTTCTCAATGATGTCCACGAAAATTTCCTCTCTTCTCCGACCACCAGGCTCATTAGCTACAACTGATTTTGTAACTGCTGTTCCAGGCATTCTTTTGGCTCCTTGCTGTATAACATTAATTCAAGGGGTCACTCACATATACCAGGAAGAGACAAAAGAAAATCAAATCTTACTGTGAAGATGGCGGCGGGATCGATAGGTTGCAGGCGTGTAGGAGCAACCACGATTGGCTCATTGAACACATATGATTTCAAAACCTCAGTAGACGTAGTTTGAACATAACCAAAATCCTAATCAAAAGAGCAGAGAGTCAAATTTAATAAAAATCAAGAATAGGGAAACGAAAATAAAATTCGCCACTATACAGAAATATACATACTAATAATGAGATACAAATCGAGATGAGACTTACAACTACTTCATCGAGCAACTCATACACAAGCACAAAGTTTTTCCTGAACGAATCTTCATTCAAAACACCGAGATAATCCTTAATGACACGAGCGATCCTTTGGAGAAGCTCCAAAACAAGAGATGGTGACACGTTAACCCTCGTCGTGGCAACAAAGTATAGACCAACAACCTTGACATGGAAGTAGTTCACGCCATCGACATTCTACGGAAAGCACAAAAACAGAGTTAGTTGAAACCATTAGAGCTCAGAACCAAAGAGAAAGAATGCTCAACAAGAACAATTTCACTATGAGATACCAAGGGACCAGTATAGAAAAGAGAAAGATCTAATTCATTTTCATCATACACATTATGGTTAACATTTGACCAATGATTTTACTTATCAGTACGATGATACCTACAAAGATAGGTGGTGCCTCTGCATTTCCATCTTCCTTCCAGAACTTGACTTTACGGAAGAATGTCTCTGTACTGCCTTTAGGTACCTCAGCACGATCTGTAGCAAATTAAATGTTACTACAAATCCAGAAATTTCAATCGGATCTAATCGAATAGGATACACTCAAACAAACAACGTTCTTCTACTACATACAGAGAATCTGATAAAAATTTCTTCGGCAAAACGAAATTTTTTGAAGGAGTGTTTACAAACGAACTTCAGATATCTAGTGATCAGCAGGATGCCAAAAATTCAATCTTTCCCCAGCTAATTGATTAGAGCTCTATTGTTATCGTACAATCTGATTTAGAAATTCAGCTCAAGATATACGTGATCAGATAGGAAATGCTGGTAGATCAAACAGATCAATGAGCTTAGAGTAGCTTCAAAGGGGAAAGCTTACGAAACAGTGACAATTGAGCTCGACTCTGAAGAAGAAAAAAAAACAAAATAGGAAGAAGCAGAGAGGATCAGATCGGGAGAGAGAGATGAAGCTTACAGTCACGGAAGACGATGTTGTCTCCTCGCTGAGATAATACGAAGAACTGAGAGATCATCATCCCTTCCTTCGAGCTCGATTCCGATTGTTCACCGCGAGTTTTGGTTGAGTCTACTGATCGGCGATCGGTCTCGTGTGTATCTATCTGGTGGTGGTTCACGTTTTACCAGTTGCCGTAGCTCTCGTAAAGCTTCTGCACGAGTCAGAAGGTTATGTGTTCTTCGATGGGCCAATTTTACAAAATTTTGTGGCCTAAATCTTCTATTTTAATTTGGCCCAGAATCTCTCTTTTAATTTGAACCTTTAAAAAAAAAGCACATAAAATGTTGGTGTTCTCAGTTGACAAATAGAAAAATTGTTGAATTTTAAACAAACTTCTATTAAATTCTTATATCAAAGCTTTCTTATTGTTTATATTTAGCATAAACACTAGTTAAGCATAAATTATCAAACTCTTGGATCTTGGTTACGGGACTCTTTAAACGTTAAGACTTTGAATTGTTAAGTTTTGGTGCAGTAGGATATATTACAATTGGTTTGACCTCTAGAGAGCAAACAAAACCACTATTGTACGATTCAAGTAAACAATAGACTACCGATTTCGATAAAGACAATTATTATTTCAGTATCTAAGGTAAAAATAAAATTATTACTTAATAGTTTGTCTTTATGATACCAAGATTTCAGTATCTCAACAAATCTTCCAAAAATCTTCAACAGATACCTTTCAACAGATATCTCAGTAAAATTATTCCTTAATAGTTTGTCTTTATAATCTTCCAATTATTATTTATAGTTGCCTTAGATTTTTTTTTAAAATCGTGTTCATTAGTCACATCTTCAAAAATCTTTCAGAATCGAGATACTTATCCTATGAGATGGAAGAGAACAAATTGTTACAATTTTTAATTTATTTTTTCAGTAGCACTTTCGGGAAGAAAAAAATAGGGACTACTTGTCTGCGACTGGTATCACTCTAGTGTAAACAGAGATCAACGTTAGGGTGTAAATGACTGACCTATAAAGAAAAGATAATGATGGTGGGATACGAGAGATCTTATCAGGTGTCGCATCTAGAGTGGGTGAAAGATATAATCAATTGGATGAAATATCTAATAGACACAGTTTATGTGAAGAAAAAAATCATCATAACCAAAAAGGTAGATAAACAATAATATCTACTAGTACTTATGTATGTAACTACATTTCCATTAGAAGTGGTAGTTCCTCGTGTATTGTAATTTCTAATTTCTATGATTATTATTATTCATCCTAGATATATATATATAGTCACAATCAAACTTATAGTAATCACGTCATTTTTATCTGTATTTTGTTATTTTATATCGGATATCCAAACTAGTTTAGAACTACGAAAATATTGCTCCTGATAGGTTAAAAAAAGTCCAGACTAGTCCATTACCAAATACAATCAAATGAAAAGAAAACCACTATGAGCCATTAGATAATAGAAGGAGACCCTTAGATGAGAAAACACAACAAAAGGTCATTTAGTTGAGTTAGAAGTAGAAGACACTAGAAGCAGACTAATTGAACTAGAACTAGAAGTTAGGTCGTTATTATTAAAATCACAACTCGAAGTAACTGTAGCAGTCTCTTGCCTGCCAGCTCAGTCAGACCAAACATAAAGTGAGTGAGTTTATGTGTATGTATTTAATGATTTTTAAATCTGGGAAGATGACGGAAACAACAACATATATATGGCCATTAATAAGTGAATCACTGTTTAGCTAAAAAAAGCAGACTCGTCTTACCAATCTTGAACACACAAATGCAGTCACCATTTCTCTCTTTCTCTCTCACACACACATCAGGGAATAAAAAGCAAATGGAAAACTTTTTTTATCTTCTCACCAATTAATAAAGTGGGTGCTTAGATTGCAAAACCTAATCCAAAATCCTCCCACTCAAAGAAAGGTAAAAGCTGTGAATCTGGTTCTTTCTACTTAAGCAAAGCATTTGACGGATTCGTCTGCTCCTGTTCTTTATATTCCTTTTCTGGTTTTCTGGATCTGATCTCTCTCTTTTCTTTAACTATCTCTCTCTACCCACCTAGGGTTTCCATAGAATATTATATATAAACCCTCTTTAGCTAACCATCGTTCACTTGGTTTCTTTCCTTGTTTCTTGGCCTATATGTTGTTATGGGTAGACAAGTTTCAAGATCAGCAGTGAAGGAGATCGGGTAAAATGGCGAGAGAGAAGATAAGGATAAAGAAGATAGACAACATAACAGCGAGACAAGTTACTTTCTCTAAGAGAAGAAGAGGAATCTTCAAGAAAGCTGATGAACTTTCAGTTCTTTGCGATGCCGATGTTGCTCTAATCATTTTCTCTTCCACGGGAAAGCTCTTCGAGTTTTCTAGCTCAAGGTATCTCTATTTTCTTTTCATATTATCATTAGTCTTCTATTTTTTTCAATCTATGTTTGTGTTATAGAGACTATGGTTGGAGAGATATAAGATATGTAGTTAAATGCCATTTTCGGGGATTGTATTTTGTACACTATAATGTTAATTATTATTCTTGGGCTCGGAGCTCATGTACAAAATAGACTAAATTTTTAGTGCGTAACTAGATGATATACTGACGCAGGGGAAAAAGGTTCTGACTATCTAAATTATTGTATTAGCTATGTTCCCATTATTTTCCGTAATAACAAAATATAAATACGTTGAAATTTACTGAAACATAAGTATGGATTATTTTCTTTGAATTGTCAATCATAATCATATAGACAGACTCACTTTTAAGATTACTATAATCGGAAAGAGAATAGCAGAATATTTTAGTGTGGTTGTGTGAATTATGCAAGCCTATGTATAAATGGATACATAGTACTTACCACAATTAGAATGGACTTTTTTGTTGTCTTTATGAATTACAAAAGTCTTTGACACTGTCACTTGGTATGAATATGATTGGGGATTAAGTCTTAACCACTCGTTTATTTTATTTCGGGAAGCATTACCATAAATGGGAATGGAGTCATGATCTAATAAGTATTGTCTGCACATATTTTGACCTGATGCCTACTTTTGATAGAAAAGGCTTCTAGTGTATTATTTAATTAATTAATTTTAAAAATGCATACATGGACGAAGGAGAGCTTCATGTGAAAGATGGATTTTTTGTTGAAACGTGTAGAATGAGAGACATATTGGGAAGGTATAGTCTTCATGCAAGTAACATCAACAAAATGATGGATCCGCCTTCTCTTAATCTTCAGGTATTCTCAATCTCTTCTGTTTTTTATTTATCAAACCCTTCTCTATATAACATTCTCCAGACTCCAATGTTGACTTGTTATGCATGTCTGTTTATAATTTTTGGTGTCAGTCTAAATACAGAAAAAAAAAATGTAACATAACATCAATAATCTTGAATCATTTAATATTAACTAGTTCTAAATATCAAATTTACTGAAAATGTTAACTTTACATCTAACAGCTTGAGAACTGTAACCTCTCCAGACTAAGTAAGGAAGTCGACGACAAAACAAAGCAGTTACGGTATGGCTCCATTTCTATGTTATGCTGATAAACAATGTTTTCATATAGCAATAAGAGATCATTTACTTTATGTGTGATTTTTAGATCATATATTATGTGTGCATGTTTACTTCATTTCATGTTTAGGTACGTCGTGTTTTGGTGTGTCCTGGAAAACGATGTTACATTTGTGTGGAGATGTTTCGATTTATTTCTAAACCTTTTTAGAGTTCAGTAGTTTTTATATATGGTTCATTATTCTCATTTTTATTAAAATACATGTATAGCTATCAACATCTAGCATAGGTAGATAATATTTTTGTCTGGTAGACATAATGAGCTGATATCTGATTGGAAAGATTTCTGAAAGTGGTCCAAGCCAAATCTAAAAAGATCTTTGGGTAAAAATTACCACACAAACTAGTTTTTAGTATTTGTAGCTTGGGTGTCCTTAGATATTACAATTCATTAGTTTATTTTTCTCCTTTACTATATGAGATTTTTTGAATACGCAAATTCTTGTCATTGTCTGTATATGTGTATGCTTGACGTGGGTTTAAAAATCTTCTAATGAAACTGAAAATACTAACCACAAAAAAATAGTGATAACTATGATGTATTCTAACGTAGAACAGGAAACTGAGAGGAGAGGATCTTGAAGGATTGAACTTAGAAGAGTTGCGGCGGCTGGAGAAATTGCTTGAAACCGGACTTACCCGTGTGTCTGAAAAAAAGGTTTACTAATTACTACTATAAAGTATACATATATAGACTGTTAGCATGCACGTTTTCTTAACGTGGCAAGAAAATGTGACATTGTTGCTGTTGTCGATTAGGGCGAGTGTGTGATGAGCCATATTTCTTCTCTTGAGAAACGGGTTAGTACGTAAAATTCGTATTATGGTTGATATAATGATAAAGTCTATATGTAACTATGCATATTAACTAATGAGGTAAAGACACGCAGGGATCGGAGTTGGTGGACGAGAATAGGAGACTGAGGGAGAAAGTATGGCACTATGGCTCTATACAAGCTTATATAAATCACTCCGATATAAATTGTTAATAATACAATAAACTAAATCATGATCTTTGGATGATATATTAGCTAGTGACGTTGGAAAGGGGTAGAATGATGGCGTTTAGGGAGGCTGTGGAGACAGAATCGGCGACCACAAACGTGTCAAGCTACGACAGTACTGGAGTTACCCTTGAGGAGGACTTATCCGACACTTCCCTGAAGCTTGGGTATAATTACTTTTCAGCTAAAATATTTCAGAGTTTTTTACTTACGTTCTGGTTGTGTAGAGGTTGTCACTAATTTTGTGGATTTTTTGTTGGTTAGGCTTCCATCTTCGGAATGAATGGGAGGGGTGCAGCATAGTTGACTTCGATGGGATGAAAACAAATTCCGAGTCTTCCCTTTTCACTTTCTTTCCTTTGAATAAGTGTTTGACAGAAATTGAGATGAGAATTTAAGAATGGATTCTCAAATCATTGTGGAGACTGAGCAAGTTTCTGACATTGTGTTATTGTTTTTTTTCTTCTTCTTAACACTATCTTGCACCAAAGAAAGCCCCAGATTGTCTTTATTCTTTATTTTAACCCCCATATATTTGGCGTTATTCACAAATGTAGCAATGGAACTTTTTTTCAAAAAGTTGGCCTAATTATAAGTTTTCTACGTAGAGATTAATTTTGTGTTTGGTAGTTGAAATGTATATGGAAATAATGATCAACAAAGACAGGCCTAAAGTGAAATAATAACCAAAGGAATTAGATTAAACCATAACCAATTTAATTCATTTATTTCGGTTTAGTTAGTTCGGTTTTTTCGGTTATGTTTTTTTTTTCCTTCCCTAAAAAATTATACTTAGATTTTCCAACTCGGATCTCCCCTGAAAAGAGACTCAACTCAAGACGACGTCTGCCGTCTGCCTCCACCGCCCGGAAGTATCAACGGTGGCTTCGTGTCCTAAAATTTGGATCTCTAGTCTCTTCGTACGTACATCTTTGTTAAGGTTTTCTAGTTTCGTCCTTCTTCCATCATCAGATTTCGAGGAATTGGGATTTCCCTGACTTTCGGATCAAAATTATGCTCTGGATAAGAAGACACACCAACAAGTTTGCTCTTTTATTCTTTCGTCTCTGAGTTTAGAAAGATATTCGACATAATTGTCTTCATCGTTCGACTCTGTTGTGGAATCAAAGCTCCAAATGAAGCAATTTCAGAACCTTAATCAATCGCAGAGGACAGCACTCGCTGGGGCTTTCCTGCTCAGTTTCCCGATTTTCTTCCCTTCTCTCTTCCATCCTCTTGGTCGCTCCTTCCCTTCTCTCTTCTCCGTCAGTCTACTTCTCGATCTCTCACTTTTACATGTCTTTCGATTTCATATATTGAGAAGGTGAAGCTGAAGAAAATAAATGTGGCATTTTGCAGGAATGGAATTCCCCAAGGCCTAGACATTTGCGCCTACTCGAAGGCGCTCTTGATCGACAAATCGTAAGTGTGTTTTCCTCAGTTTCTTGGATAAAAACGCCTTTTTTTTTTGTTCCTTCCTCTTCACCTTTAATGTTTCGGACCAATGTGCAGTCGATCAGACAACAAGTGGAGTTATGGTCTCCGTTACCAGATCAAGGTTGGAAGCCTTGCACTGAATCTTACAGAGGGCCCCGTAAGTTTCTAAAAACAAAAGCTTTCTTCTTCTTTCATTGTTGACACAAATTCATGTGCCCCAACTTTGATTGATGAGATTTGTCACTCTTTACAGCTTTGCCAGAGAAGTTTCAAGGCTTTCTTCAAGTGTTCCTTGACGGCGGACTAAATCAACAAAGAATGGGAGTGAGTAGAATCTTATGATCGCAGAAAGACTGTTTCTAGTTTCAGTTTTTATAGAGTCTTACGGTGGTTTCTTGTATGACACTGCCAGATATGTGATGCGGTTGCTGTTGCCAAGATACTAAACGTTACGCTCGTGATCCCACGCCTTGAAGTAAATCCTGTTTGGCAAGATTCAAGGTACTCTATTGGTAGTACTAATCTACTATGGAACTTTAAATTGCTGGTTCCTTTATGAATCTTGTTGATTTATGTCTTTTGCAGTTCATTCACCGATATATTTGATGTGGACCACTTTATAAATGTCCTCAAAGACGAGTTGCGGATTGTTACAGAGCTGCCAACAGAGTATGCTTGGAGCACGCGTGATTATTACGCCACAGGTATTCGAGCTACTAGGATCAAGACTGCGCCTACTCACGCCTCAGCTGAGTGGTATGTGGAAAACGTCTTGCCTGTTATTCAGAGGTTTGTGGCTTTCTTAAACTCTTTTGGAGCTACCTGAGGAATCAGATTTTGCCTTGTCACTAATACTGATTCTCCACTTTCTTTTTTTCTTTTCTCTGCAGTTACGGCATAGCTGCTGTTGCTCCATTCTCTCACCGTTTAGCGTTTGACAATTTGCCTGAAAGTATACAGCGGTTACGCTGTAAAGTAAACTTTGAAGCGTTAAGCTTTGTTCCTCGCATTCGTGAGCTAGGGGATGCTCTTGTGCATCGGCTCAGATATCCTCCTTCTACTACTACCTCCAAGACATCAGGAGCTATGGATCCTACAGAGAGAATCAACACCATCGTGAAAGCAGGAGCTGGAAAGTTCGTCGTGCTTCATCTTCGTTTCGATAAAGTGTGTTCTTGATTTGCTTCTCAAAACATACCAGTTTCTTGGCAAGAATTTATGGTTCTGACATTTTTTTCCTTCAGGATATGGCTGCTCATTCAGGATGTGATTTTGGAGGTGGCAAAGCAGAGAGACAGGCGCTGGCGAAGTACCGTCAGGTGATTTGGCAAGGAAGGGTGTTGAATTCACAGTTCACGGACGAGGAGCTGAGAGACAAAGGTCGTTGCCCGTTGACACCGGAAGAGATTGGTTTGCTGCTCTCAGCATTAGGTTTCAGTAACAACACACGTCTCTACCTAGCTTCACACCAGGTTTACGGAGGAGAAGCGAGAATCTCGACGCTGCGCAAACTCTTCCCCGTGATGGAAAACAAGAAAAGCCTAGCCTCTCCGGAGGAGCTTGCTGATGTAGAAGGGAAAGCTTCTCTAATGGCTGCTGTAGATTACTACGTGAGCATGAAGAGTGATATCTTCATCTCTGCATCTCCAGGGAATATGCACAACGCATTGCTGGCTCATAGAGCGTACTTGAATCTCAAGACGATAAACCCAAACATGGTGCTGTTGGGGCAGGTTTTTGTGAACAGAAGCTTGGATTGGTCTGAGTTTGAAGGTGCAGTTTCGAAAGGGCACAAGAACAGGCAAGGCCAGCTTCGTTTGAGGAAGGAGAAACAGTCTATTTACACTTATCCTGCTCCTGACTGCATGTGTAATGTAGCTTAAGCTTTCTTCAGATTGTCCCCATCCTTTTTATAATCTATAGTTTTTATACACACAATCAGTAAATTAAAAAGTTGAGATCATAGCTTCTAAAGAGAATAAAGCTTTTTCTAGAAAGTGATGACAAAGACAAACCATCCAAATCAGTTCAATTTTTCTGTTCATTAGGCAAGAATGTTATACATTTATATAGAAAAAATGTGGTTGTTATGGGAAAATATATTTTGTTTTTTTTTTCCGATTTTCACATTTGACAATTATGTGGGAAGAAGAAGAAAGATAATAAAGGAAAGGAAGATTCATAAAAGTCATAAGGAAAGGACAAAGGCCCCACTTTTAGATTCAACTATTCACCACCGGTAACAATCTTCAATTTCTCTCCGTCTCTCTCGAATCCTCTCCTCTTCGATCTCTCCCGAAGCGCTCCATCATTGGAGAGAGAGAACGACGGGGAAGATCCGATCCGGTCAGCTCATAATTAGAGGAAGATGAGCTCTGCTCTGTATGCTTCCGAGCTGTTTAAGCAGCTCAAGTCAGTTCTGGGGAACTTTCTAGGCGATCAGATATCTGACGACGTCGTCCTCGCGGTTGCAGCCACGTCGTTGGGACTTGTTGTTGGTTTCGTGGTGTTGTTATGGAGGAAAACGGCGGGGGATCGGAGCGGGGAGGTGAAGCCTTTGGTGATCCCCAAGTCTCTGATGGCTAAGGACGAGGACGATGATGCGGATTTGGGGTCTGGGAAGACTAGAGTCTCTATCTTCTTTGGTACTCAGACTGGAACCGCTGAGGGATTTGCGAAGGTAGTGTCACTAAACTGATTCATTTCATGGTGATTGACTATGATTGTGGACTTTTTGAATACATTTTCGCTTTTCTATAGGCATTAGCTGAAGAAATCAAAGCGAGATATGAAAAAGCTTCAGTCAAAGTCATTGACCTGGTATGATTTGCTTACACTGTGATTCTCTTTACTACCTCGGAGACGCAAATTTTGATTTTTTTTTTTTTTTTTTTTTTTTTTTTTTTTTTGCGTTTGCCGGTAATGTGTTTAATTAGGATGACTATGCTGCCGATGACGATGAATATGAAGAGAAATTCAAGAAGGAAACTTTGGCATTCTTTTGTGTTGCTACGTAAGACATAGTTCAATCCGATTATGTTATGTTTTGATATATGCCCTTCAAGAGTTTGCTGGATTCAATTATTTTGATAACTTGTTTAGTTACGGAGATGGAGAGCCTACTGACAATGCTGCCAGGTTTTACAAATGGTTTATAGAGGTTTGTAGCCTCAATGCAACACATCAATTCAATAAATTTATTTTCCTCAGATTTGATTTGCTCTGTGTAGCTTCTTTTTTTCTGCCTCAATACTCTTTTTTTCATGCTTCTAGGGAAATGAAGCGGATATAAGGCTTCAACAGCTAGCCTATGGTGTGTTTGCTCTTGGTAATCGCCAATATGAACATTTTAATAAGGTATTGTGGTAAGAAATTGTGTCTGCTTCTAGCTTATGGAATTTCTTCCGACCTTAACTGATGGTAACATAATTGTGTGGAGCAGATCGGGATAGTTCTTGATGAAGAGCTCTGTAAGAAAGGTACATGGGTATGCTTACATATAATGCTAGATATTGGAAAGAAACCGTAGTAGATATTAGTGTGATGTCTACCTATGATGTTGAATGTTTTCTCTGTTCTGTTCTGGTAACTTGGATGCTCATTTCCTAGTCTTTTTGGTGCTTGAGGGATAACATAACTGTTGTCGTCACATTCAATGCAGGTGCAAAGCGGCTTATTGAAGTTGGTCTAGGAGATGATGATCAGAGCATTGAGGATGACTTTAATGCCTGGTTTGTTTCTGATTCTCCGTCTTACGTTTGCTCCTTTGAAAAACCTTCTCTATGGAACGGGAAGCTTCAGAGTTGGCTTGATTAATTGTGTTTTCTGTGAGGGTTGATTGACCTCTATGCTGTATTTTCTGTGGTTTGCAGGAAAGAATCACTATGGCCTGAGCTAGACAAACTCCTCAGAGACGAGGATGATACAACTGTGGTAACTCCTTATACAGCTGTGATTCCTGAATACCGGCTGGTGATTCATGATCCTACTTTTACATCTGAGAAATCATTGGACTCGAATGTTGCCAACGGAAATGCTGCTATTGATATTCATCATCCCTGCAGGTATATTAAGATGCGTGCAATAAATACTGGGACATAGTATTACATTTTTGGTTGCATTCTCAAATTTGTTTCTTATTCGAAACAGAGTTGATGTTGCTGCGCAGAGGGAGCTTCACACACCTGAATCTGATCGGTCATGTATTCATCTAGAGTTCGACATATCTGGCACTGGTATTACGTAAGTATCCAACTCTAAGCTGTAGTTATTGCCTCCTTGAAACAAGGCAGTACAGTTATCTCAACTTGCATGGATTCTTTGTTTTTCCATAGGTTTATCAGTGTGACCAGATTACCCTATAAATTCAGTATTTGATGTTTTGGTCAACAGCAGACCGTCGTGTATCATTTAAAAATTCCACCCGAGCATAAAAAATTGTGGCATTTCTTTGCAGATATGAAACCGGAGACCATGTAGGTGTATATGCTGAAAATCATGTGGAAATAGTTGAAGAAGCTGGAAAATTGCTTGGCCAGTCTCTAGATTTAGTGTTTTCCCTACATGCTGATAAAGAAGATGGCTCACCATTGGGAAGCTCGTTACCGCCTCCTTTCCCTGGCCCGTGCACACTTGGTACTGGTTTGGCAAGATACGCAGACCTTTTGACCCCTCCCCGAAAGGTTAACTTGTGTTTGTTTTTTGTACATTAGCCTCACATAGCTTTTCCCAAATATTAAACTTGGTTCTTTTTTTTGTTTCAGTCTGCGTTAGTTGCGTTGGCGGCATATGCCACTGAACCAAGTGAAGTGACAAAACTTAAATACCTGACATCACCTGAGGGAAAGGTTCTGAATCACTCACTGTTGTATCTATTTTTCTCTTGATTTTAAGCTTTCGTTAGTTAACTAACATCCTCGGGGTCTATCCTTTTTTGTTGCGATAGGATGAATATTCACAATGGATTGTTGCAAGTCAGAGAAGTCTGTTAGAGGTGATGGCTGCTTTTCCATCAGCAAAAGCCCCACTAGGTGTCTTTTTTGCTGCAATAGCTCCTCGTCTACAACCTCGTTACTACTCCATCTCATCCTCACCAAGGTGATTCATTTCGTTTTGGGATAAGGCAAAAGGAAAACTAGTCTTTTGAGCTTCTTCGTCATCCAAGATCTCTTTTAACAAAGTTTTGTTTTCCATACAGATTGGCGCCAAGTAGAGTTCATGTGACATGCGCACTAGTATACGGTCCAACTCCTACTGGTAGAATCCACAAGGGGCTGTGTTCGACGTGGATGAAGGTAATTCTTACCTTCTCTTTTTCTTTATTAGTCTCTGTCAATTTGCTGTAAAATGTTTTTATAATAATAGTTTTGAGAAACTCAGAATGCAGTTCCTTCGGAGAAAAGTAGTGAATGTAGTGGAGCTCCTATCTTTATTCGAGCATCTAATTTCAAGTTGCCATCCAACCCTTCAACTCCAATCGTCATGGTGGGACCTGGGACTGGCCTGGCACCTTTTAGAGGATTTCTCCAGGAAAGAATGGCACTGAAAGAAGACGGAGTAGATCTTGGTTCATCTTTGCTCTTCTTTGGGTGCAGAAACCGACGGATGGTGAGACTTTTTACAATCGATGCATGCACCTTCCTCATCTGCAGTGTCATCATGTTGAGCCTTCTACTATATCTATGACTTGCAGGATTATATTTACGAGGACGAACTCAATAATTTTGTTGATCATGGCGTAATATCTGAGCTCGTCGTGGCATTCTCTCGTGAGGGAGCGCAGAAGGAGTATGTTCAACATAAGATAACAGAGAAGGTAAAGCTAGCATATCCGGGGATGCATCAGCAGCTTTGGGACAAGGAATGTAAAAAAGTATCTCACATTTCTCTTTTGTATTTCATTCTTTGTTTGGGTTCAGGCAGCACAAGTTTGGAATCTAATAAAGGAAGAAGGTTATCTCTATGTATTGCGGTGATGCTAAAGGGCATGGCGAAAGATGTTCACCGGACTCTACACACCATTGTTCAGGAGCAGGTATGCATGCAGCATGAGAACATTGTGGTTTACTTTGGTGTAATCTCTTGGAAGATTGATGATACGGTCGATACTCAAACTTATTTTATCTTGCAAATTTACAGGAAGGCGTAAGTTCGTCGGAGGCAGAGGCTATAGTAAAGAAACTTCAAAACGAAGGAAGATATCTCAGAGATGTCTGGTGATTGATTGATGATGATTAATTAAGAAAATTGGGGATTCCCTGTATGTTTACTATTATAGTCAAACATGAAAGGTGTGTCTTGGTTTGAACAAAAGTGTAAAAGGGACGACAAATGGTGTCAAAAAGTTGTGTCGAACCTATTGCTCTAAGAACTTGTGGTATAGACACATCAAAAATTGGCCATTCTGAAGCAGTAACAGATTAGATATCTTTGCAATAATTTCTTTAGACAATAAATAAATTTAATGATTTACCAACTTTATTCCATTAAATGAAAAATTGATCGGTTAGCAAAGAAGAGGACATAAAGTTATGCTTTAAGCTCAGGATTTTTGTCTGAAGAGAATCACAGAGTTGGACCTTGTGTGGAATGTTAAGCTACGAAAGTCCTATCAGTTGAAAGGACCCGGGATTGAAACATGTGTAGTGTTTTACAATAAAATTCGAAAATTTAAAAACATAATAATAACTTAAATCCCGCAACGCCCATATCATTTTCTAGTTATTATGATTAAATATTTAAATTCTCATACAAATTCACTTTCATTAGTTTAATAGTTTATGTACAATTTAAAAAAACATTTCTTTAGTAATAAAACAAAACTTGTATACTGATCTATAAAAACTCTAATTTAATAATTTTACTTTTAGAATATTTGTTAATAATTACTTCATCTTATACTCTATATATACACACATTTCCATTGAAGAAGAGATATATAAACCCTAAATTCTAAATTCTATTTATCAAAAAAAAATTCTAAATTCTAAAATCTAAATCATAAACCTTATAACTAAACCTTATAAATTTTCAAAATTACACCACTTTAAAACCTTTTCAAAAATATACTTTTTAATATATATATATATATATATATATATCTATATTATTTTCGAAACCACACCACTTTGAAACCCTTTAGTATCATATAAATATGGACAATAATATAGATATGGAATACAAATATTAATTAGCATAAAAAACATAAGAAAAAATAACAAATAAGTCAAACCACAAAATAATACTAACTGAAAGTAACCTCGGAACATCAGCTCTGACAAAGTCTCTGTTTGCGATGAGAATTAAAAAAAAATACCAATTTAGATTTCAAAGTAAAAAAGCTGTCACTGAAGCTCCTTTAGAAAGAAAAAAAAACAAATGATTTTGATATGTATTGGATGATCGAATTAGGAAAAGAACAATCTGGTATAAATAATTAGGTTTGTGTAGATGACATACGACATTTTTGATATTAGCACGTTATTCAGTCATATTGCCAAGATTTTAATATAGTAGTTTATTAATTTTAGAATTGTTAGTATTAATGACCATAATTTCCCTTCTGAATTTGATTAATGCTGCCGGCTCATATTTATTTTGGAAAATTATTATGGTCAATAATATCTAACAAATCTAAAATCAACAATCTACCATATTAATATGGGGTTTGTGCAAAAAAAAAATCTCAAACTAAATTATTTTTGCAAGAAAAATCCCATCTCAAAAAAATACAAGCCAAACCACTTACCTCAAAAGTCACACATAATATAGCCTTTGTCTATATCCATGATGTGACATTATCAGAAATATTTAAAAAAAAAGTAGTTATGAAAAAAAACCTTAAACTATTTTTGTTTTACAAAAAACCTTCGTTTCAAAAAGTTGCATTTTGATTAACCTTGTGCATTTCGGGTTTTGGGACATGAATTGAGGAAACAGGATGGGAATGAGAAATTTGGGAAACCAAATATAATACCCGAAGTATTCCCTTATTATAACGGAACGAAAAATAACGGAAATGGAAAATTTGAGAATAAAAAACATAATAATTTCCGAAATCTTACTAAATCGGAAAAAAATGAAGATATTATGTCCCAAATTTCTCATTCCCGTTATTTTCTGTCCCGTTATAATAAGGGAATATTTTGGATATTATATTTGGTTTTCCAAATTTCCCATTCTCATCCCGTTTCCGTCAATTTCTGTCCCAAAACCCGAAATGCATATGGTTAATCAAAACACAGCTTTTTGAGACTTTAGAGTTTTTTTGCAAAAAAAATAGTTTGAGATTTTTTTTGCATAAATATAAATATTGGTAGGGGCTATATTACAGTTGTTTTTGAAGTGAGTAGTTTGACTTGTATTTTTTTGAGATAAAGGTTTTTTCTTGCAAAAATAATTTAGTATAAGGTTTTTTTGCACAAATCTCTATTAAAATCTTGGCTATAATATGACCGAAGAATAACATGTAATAATAGCCAAAATGTTCTATGTCTTCCGACAAACCTTATTATACCTATATTGTCAAATTCTCCAAATCATATTTATTTTTGGCTAAATCGAATCAAACACATATCAAAATAATTTGTTTTCTTTCTCTTTCTCATTTAAAGAGTTCATGTGACATTTTTTACTTTTTGGTCTAAATCAATAACTTTTAATTCTCATTGCAAACAAAGATTTCGTCGGATCCAATGTCCCGATGTTACTTTGATGTGTTATTTTTGTGGTTGGGTTTGTTTGTTTTTATAATTCTCAAGCGTTTGTGTTCCAACTTCCAAGTCTATAATATTGCATTCATACTACCTCGAAGGAAACCCTTTCCAAAACAGTTTATTCCAAGGGTTTAAATATTTGAGATTGGATTACGTATTTGGGTTTAAGAGTTTAGTTTTTTGGGTTTAGGAGTTTAGTTTTTAGGGTTTCATCTCAAAATATTTATATGAAATAAATGAAATTTGATCAAGTAAGTAGACCACAAATTTAGGATAAAATTCAATACCTTGCCAGAACACGTCCATACTTAATTTTTTCTTTGTCGGAGCGAAACACTAGACCTACGAAACACAACCTGTTCAGAGAAAAAAAGGAGAGTCAAAATAGCTAGTGCTAAAAGAAATGTTGCTAAAAGTAAATGGAATGATGGTAAAATCGGCCAGATTAAATATGTACCAGAAGTAGATTTGTCGATAAATAAAACATTGGTATCCGCTCACATCATAATCAAAAGCAACCCATTGCCATGCATAAGTTACCCATGCACATGTACTTTATGCATCTATTATACTACTATTAATTTAGGACTCAAATCTAAAAATGTATAGACCATTGACCAACATGTACGGCACTAATAGCTGGCATTCAAGTGAAATTTCTTAATCTATCTTTTTAGCTAACATTGGGTTATTCATTACGCATGATTATCATTGTAATTATAAAGACTTAACATATGCGAGCCAGCTTCATAAATTGGTATGATGTTGAAAATTAAGAATACAAGGCATAAGAACTAGAGATAATCAGCCGCTGACCTGCTGCGTTACTCATGCGTGCATATATATAAGCAATATTCAACATTATTATTAACTTCTTAGGGGTCAAGAAACTTCTTATTACCAATGAAAAGAGTATCATATTCAGCCTCCACAAACCGCATGAGCGCCAGAATAACGTCAGTAGAACACCCTGCAAAGTACAAACCTTTCTGCAACATCGTTTCTGCAAGAAGACAAAGAAATCGTTACCGAAACTTAATGGCTCTATGGATTCGTTAACTTAGCGCCTAGTATGGCTTCTATTTACTGCTACCTTGTTTTTTTTTATCTTCTTTTTGCCAAGATACCAGTTGCTGGTAAATGCAATCTTGTAATTACCAAAACTTTCATTTTCTCTAATGATATTTACAGTTTAGCAAAAAACAAAGTACAAACCTTTAATTCGTGTTATATATATACTGATATCTGTTTAAGTCTAACAAATGAAAAAGGTGCAACAAAAAATGAATGAACTTGACCTTCTGCATGTCTAATAAAAATATATATTCAAACATAGACAACAATCAACTCTTTTCAAATCAAGTGAATCAGTGGCTCTTCGTCTTCATAGGAAAAAATATTCAACTAATAAGCATGACCAAAACAATGAAACCTAAAATTAAAAACATGATCAAAAGTAGATAAAAAACGCACAAATCCCTTCTTCACCATATTCCAGTTACAGTTACATTTCTATATACTTACGGCAATCAAATGTTTACGCATGGACCACGTCTCTAACCATCTTCTGTCATGGAGAAGCTCTTTATTCGCCCACGTAACACGATCTCCATACCACCACTTCCACTAAGATAATTGTCTGTGTTTCATATTTTTATAAAATGATTAACGTGAGTTTCTGGATACAAGAAAATATAGGATGCTTGCCGATAAATATAAAGAAAGAGAAAAGCTTATATAACCGTTCGAGAAAGAAACTGATTACCTTTCACTACAAAGAACTCATCAGACAGAGGTAATGTCGGATCCATGTCCGACAGGGATCTATCGGTTTTAAACTAAAAACCACCAGATTCCAGATCCGTTCACCTACCCTAACGTCATACTAAGACCGCGGATATTAGTGGACGGTAAAATATAAGCTAGATTTTCTCTTATATAATCTATCTGAATTATAGTAAACCCTAATCTACTGAAGTTCAACAATCCAACTATAGGGGCCCACTATTTAGGCCTAAAAGGCCCATATTTTGTTATATATAGTTAAGTCTGTTCAAGTGAACCGGAAAATAAAGGTTGTTCTTCATCTCGGCGATAACCTATCGCCGGCCACCGTGTTTCGGCCAGACTAGTTTTCATAATCACCCGATCATAAATCAGAGAATGCATTTGCATATATGAACAATACACGACAAGAACTAATGAAGAAGCTAAAATGCTTACGAAAGAGAAAAAGTATTACAGATTCGATGCATTTATTTGATAACACAGACGTCTCTTTTGTACTTTTGTTCATACCGAAGACAACTTTGGCAAACCTTTCATGTTTTGACTATATTTAGCAAAAGAATGAGGGAGGACAAAGAAAATAAACAAATAAATTTCTAAATGGTCACAAAAAGACCAAGAAAAAAATTCAAAAATGCAAAGAATCCCCAATTAATTGATTAATCATCATCAATCACCAGACATCTCTGAGATATCTTCCTTCGTTTTGAAGTTTCTTTACTATAGCCTCTGCCTCCGACGAACTTACGCCTTCCTGTAAATTTGCAAGATAAAATAAGTTTGAGTATCGACCGTATCATCAATCTTCCAAGAGATTACACCAAAGTAAACCACAATGTTCTCATGCTGCATGCATACCTGCTCCTGAACAATGGTGTGTAGAGTCCGGTGAACATCTTTCGCCATGCCCTTTGCATCACCGCAAACATAGAGATAACCTTCTTCCTTTATTAGATTCCAAACTTGTGCTGCCTGAACCCAAACAAAGAATGAAATACAAAAGAGAAATGTGAGATACTTTTTTACATTCCTTGTCCCAAAGCTGCTGATGCATCCCCGGATATGCTAGCTTTACCTTCTCTGTTATCTTATGTTGAACATACTCCTTCTGCGCTCCCTCACGAGAGAATGCCACGACGAGCTCAGATATTACGCCATGATCAACAAAATTATTGAGTTCGTCCTCGTAAATATAATCCTGCAAGTCATAGATATAGTAGAAGGCTCAACATGATGACACTGCAGATGAGGAAGGTGCATGCATCGATTGTAAAAAGTCTCACCATCCGTCGGTTTCTGCACCCAAAGAAGAGCAAAGATGAACCAAGATCTACTCCGTCTTCTTTCAGTGCCATTCTTTCCTGGAGAAATCCTCTAAAAGGTGCCAGGCCAGTCCCAGGTCCCACCATGACGATTGGAGTTGAAGGGTTGGATGGCAACTTGAAATTAGATGCTCGAATAAAGATAGGAGCTCCACTACATTCACTACTTTTCTCCGAAGGAACTGCATTCTGAGTTTCTCAAAACTATTATTATAAAAACATTTTACAGCAAATTGACAGAGACTAATAAAGAAAAAGAGAAGGTAAGAATTACCTTCATCCACGTCGAACACAGCCCCTTGTGGATTCTACCAGTAGGAGTTGGACCGTATACTAGTGCGCATGTCACATGAACTCTACTTGGCGCCAATCTGTATGGAAAACAAAACTTTGTAAAGAGAGATTTTGGATGGCGAAGAAGCTCAGAAGACTAGTTTTCCTTCTGCCCAAACTGGTATCTCAAAAACGAAATAAGACCTTGGTGAGGATGAGATGGAGTAGTAACGAGGTTGTAGACGAGGAGCTATTGCAGCGAAAAAGACACCTAGTGGGGGTTTTGCTGAAGGAAAAGCAGCCATCACCTCTAAAAGACTTCTCTGACTTGCAACAATCCATTGTGAATATTCATCCTACAGCAACAAAAAAGTAAAAGAAACCGAGGATGTTAGTTAACTAACGAAAGCTTAATATCAAGAGAAAAATAGATACAACAGTGAGTGTCTGTGTGATTCAGAACCTTTCCCTCAGGTGATGTCAGGTGTTTCAGTTTCTTGGCTTCACTTGGATCAGTGGCATAGGCAGCCAAGGCAACTAACGCAGACTGAAGCCAAAAAAAACAAACAAGTTTAATATTTGAGAACAAGCAAAGATCAAAGCCACCAGAAAAAAAAAAGCTATGTGAGGCCAATTTCAAAAACACGAGTTAACCTTTCGGGGAGGGGTCATAAGGTCTGCGTATCTTGCCAAACCAGTACCAAGTGTGCACGGGCCAGGGAAAGGAGGCGGTAATGAGCTTCCCAATGGTGAGCCATCTTCTTTATCAGCATGTATGGAAAACACTAAATCTAGAGACTGGCCAAGCAATTTTCCAACTTCTTCAACTATTTCAACATGATTTTCAGCATATACACCTACATGGTCTCCTGTTTCATATCTGCAAAGAATAGCCATAATTATATACATGGAGGGGATTCTTATACAATCTTTACACAACGATGTGCTGTTGACTAAAACATCAAAATGTTGAATTATAGCAAAATCCTATGTCAACTAAGATCCCATGGAAACAAAGAGACTATGCAACTGCAAGTTGAGATAATGGTACTGCCTTGTAACTAGTCCAAGGGTAGGAGGCAATAGCTACAGCCTAGAGTTGGATACTTACGTAATACCAGTGCCAGATATGTCAAACTCGAGATGAATACATGACCGATCAGATTCTGGTGTGTGAAGCTCCTTCTGCACAGCAACATCAGCTCTGTTTGGAAATAAGAAACAAATTTTAGAATCCAACCAAAACTTCGATTCATTCTGCATCTTATGTTCATTCTTTCCTTCACTCATACATTGAGCGGAATGATGGCATTCATTCACTCATCTCTATATATTACACAGAACTTCATATACCTGCAGGGATGATGAACGTCAATAGCCGCATCTCCGTTGGCAACATTCGAGTCCACTGATTTCTCAGATGTAAAAGTAGGATCATGAATCACCAGCCGGTATTCAGGAATCACAGCTGTATAAGGAGTTACCACAGTTGTATCATCCTCGTCTCTGAGGAGTTTGTCTAGCTCAGGCCATAGCGATTCTTTCCTGCAACCACAAAAAGATAAAATAAGACAAAGTGGAGGTAAATAAAACCGTGCAGAAAACACGACTAAGCAAGCCAACTCTGAAACTTCACTTCCTATAATTATATGGTATAAAGGACTAGAGAAAGTCTTTCAAAGGAGAAAACGTAAGACAGAGTAACAGAAACAAACCAGGCATTAAAATCATCCTCAATGCTCTGATCATCATCTCCTAGACCAACTTCAATAAGCCTCTTTGCACCTGCATTGAATGTGATAGAAATTACGTTTTTCCTCATGCAAATGGGCTTCCAAGTCACCAGAAAGGAAAAGAGAAAAAATTATGTATCATCATAGGTAAACATCACACTAAGCATACTCATGTACCTTTCTTACAGAGCTCTTCATCAAGAACAATCCCGATCTGCTCCACAAAATAAATAAGTAATTAGTTATCATCATCTAAGGCCAGAAGAAATTCCATAAGCTAGTAGAAGACACATTTATTTACCAAACTACCTTATTAAAATGTTCATACTGGCGATTACCAAGAGAAAACACACCATACGATAGGTTCTGAAGCCTTATATCCTGTTCAATTTCCTGAAAACATGAAACACGGAGTATTGAGGCGACAAACCTCTGTGGAAAATAAGCCAAACAGAGCAAATCAAATAGAAGGAAAATAAAACTTTGAATTGATGTGTTGCATTGAGGCTACAAACCTCTGTAAACCATTTGTAAAATCTAGCAGCATTGTCAGTAGGCTCTCCATCTCCATAACTAAACACGATACCAAAAATAAATGAATCCAGCAAACTCTTGAAGGGCACATAGCAAAAACAAAACATAATCGGATTGAACTATGTCTTACGTAGCAACAGCAAAGAATGCCAAAGTTTCCTTCTTGAATTTCTTTTCATATTCGTCGTCATCAGCAGCATAGTCATCCTAATTAAACCCATAATCAGCAGCAAAGCAAAAAAAAATAAAATCAAACTAGTGTCTCACCAGGAAGTGAATAGAATCATACCAGGTCAATGACTTTGACTGAGGCTTTTTCATATCTCGCTTTGATTTCTTCTGCTATTGCCTAATGAAAAATGAAAAAATGATTCTGAAACGACCCATGAGAATAAAAACCAAATCTTTCAAACACTGATAACATGAATCAAATTTCACATCCAACATCTACAGATACTCGACTCTAAGTCACCACAATCATATTCATAACAATTACAGCTTTTTTAATAGCCACCGTGATATGCGTCAGTGGTGGTAACACTACCTTAGCAAATCCTTCGGCGGTTCCAGTCTGCGTACCGAAGAAGATAGAGACTTTGGTCTTCCCGGATCCCAAATCCAAATCATCGTCCTCATCCTTAGACATAAGAGACTTGGGAACCATAAAAGGCTTCACCTCCCCGCTCCGATCCGATGCAGATTTCCTCCATAGCAACACCGCGAATCCAACTGCCAGTGCCAGAGACGTGGTTGCAATCACAAGGACGACGTCGTCAGATACCACCGAATTGTCGAGGGAAATCCCAAAAACTGACTTGAGCTGCTTAGCTAAACCATACGCATCGAAAGTAGATGCCATCTTAGCAAAACTTCCCCGTCGCTATCTCTCTCCAAGACGGAGGGAGAGAGCAGAGACGGAGAGAGAGAATTTGACTATTGAGTAATTTGGTGGAAAGTTGAATCTGAGAAATGGGCTTTTCTTCTTTTCTCGAGGAGACTTCAATCTTCAAATATTTTTCTTTCTTCTCTTTTGTTGTTGACATTTTGTTTTGGCTGTTTTAAAACCTTTTCAAAAAAAAAGGGGAAAGTCACGTGACAAAAATATGAAAATATCGTGCTGGATTTGGAAGGTGCGACGACGACTCCGGAATAAAATTGACACATTTTATGTTCTTTTTTTGTTTTGTTTTTATGAATGTTAAGAAATCATTCATATCCATTATTTATTACTTTTATATGGGATAATTTGCAAATTTAATTAGTTACCTGAAACTTCTGATTTTTCTTATTTGATGAAAGTGTTTTTCTCTAAACAATCATTTAAAAAATTGTTTATTTTATCCATGTTTGCTAAAAATAACGATGACAAATTCCTAAATTTCATAAGCTTTATTCCTGGTTTAGTTATGCTAACGGGTTTTGTAATGTAAACCTTCTTTTTATACGAATGATCCATTTCTTGATAGTTCTAAATAAAGTTAATTGTAACTTTGTAAAGCTCAAGAAAATAGAAGAAATCCATATATAGTAACCTTTGGAAAGTGATTCTGTACAGCAAAAGAGACAAAGGAAAAGTAAGTAATCAAAAGCCAAAACCATTTTATTGATAGGCTTCCCCAATTATTGGACAATCATAGTCTTCACGCACGATACAATAAAGGACATCGAAAATTCAAATAAAATTAAAAAGTGCAAATAGCACTATTTTAGCTGCGCCAATAACAACAGGACGAGAAAAACAAGAAATATCTATAGTAAGTTACACAATCATATTATTCACCTCATCCTTTAGTTTTGCAAGGTCTTCTTCAGGCATCACCACACTTACCATCCTTGATAACTTTCCCTTGGGGAAGACCAAAACAACACCTTTGTCTCCAACACCTTGAATAGTGTAGTTCACGAAATCCGGCTTCGCTCCTTTGATCTCAAACTCGCACATATCTACCATATCAAGATTCACAAACGTTAAATTTGCACCGTACGTGATAAAATCGGAAAACCCTCTATCTCTCCCTATCATCTGCTTGATCACACCGTTTTCTTCTCTTTTCTCGCAAGCAATCAGTGTCGCTAGCTCGGACATACCAATCATTTCGTCATTTCTTTCCACTGCGCTTATTACCAAGTCGTCATTCCAACACGTTGAAGACTTTTTACGGTCACAGATTGTTATAACTTTCGTTTCCGTTTCGCCACGGATATTCATTAGCGACTTCCATATCAATGCATAAAGAATATCAACCTCCGAGAAAGGTTTATCTGTTAGGGCCGTGTACTTGGCCATCAAAAGGTCGATTTGGTCGAGGCTGAAGTTGAAAATAAATCTCTCCATCTTCCGTTTATTGTTAAGTAACCAATATTCACCAACGGATTCTATCTTTTTGATGGAAATAGCTTCACCACCGTCACGTTGATCATGAACATGAGTTGTCGGTTGGGGCTTTTTCGGGTACACGAGTTTGGATGGGGGAGTCGACAGTAGCTGTCCCATTGTTTTCATGAAAGTTGATGCTGAAAACACATCTCCTAATATATGGGCCCAACTCAGCCCAATGGAGAAGCCGCCACATTTGAACTGTGTTACCTGAAAAAAATACTTCCCTGTTAGACATTTACCTAAGACAAACCATCCAGATGGTGTGTAGAATTGTTCTTGGTACGTAAATGATTAAGAAACAAATCGTTGTGGAGACGGTTTCAGAAACTTTGAGTTTAATCTAGCCTGACTATGAACAAGCTAAAAAAGTTACGAATTGAATCGTTTACTTAATTAAATACTTTAACTTAAATTTTGACCCCGGTGAAAAGTACGTATGACTCTAAATAGTTATTCCCATGTGAACTCGAGATCCACAATAAATTTTACTACTTATTAATTATTCAGTGTGATTCTAAGAGATCCATAATACCTGGAGGAAAACAAGCGGAGAGAAGATGAGATCAGGATCACCAAGAACTTGGTTGTACACAAGGAACAGGTGGTCAATGGAACGGTCGTCCAAGTCGAGCCACTCCTCGACCGTGAACTCTTCGACGTTGGCTTGGACGAAGCGTATGCCACTGTCGTTGCAGCGAAGGTAAGGTATCCCTGGAGATGAAGGGTCACTGTCGGACATCCGGATGCGACCCGTGATGTGGTAATAACACTGGAGCTGGAGCAGACCAAACATGTTGTTCTTCAAGTCGGCCATGGTGAAGTCACGTGTGCCTTTGAAGAAGTAGACGGCTCGGACGCAGTGGAGCTTCATGGCTAAGTCCATAGGCGTGAGCTGTCGTGGCTTGTTCTCTCCTGTCACAAGAGCAGGCACCACCGATGAGATCTTGACATTTTTCAGTGGACTTGCCTTCATTTCTAGAGAGAGGAGAGGGAGAAAAAGAGAGATAACTGACTGATGTGTGTAGTAGTAGGTTGAGGCCAAAATGGGATGGCTTGATGGTGTTATAAGCATTTCATACGCAGCTCCAACGACTGTTTCGGTGACAATAAATGTGGGGTTTTAGTGATTAATAATTTACAGGTTAAGAGACAAGTAAGTAGCTTCCTTTTTATATATATAAACAATTTTGATCATGCAATTGTAGTTGGTTCGAGATATCTCTTTAGACAGTTGTGACATCCAATCTAACAACTAACACCCTTTATTACACATCCACCAATGTTATCAGGCCCAGTTTATTCAATTATTAAGTGTACTGCGTGTACCTCTCTTAGTTCAACATATCGATCCAAAACCATATTTGATGTGATGGCCATCAAACCAGCACTTAAACTAACCGAACCAGAGAAAGATCTGTCGGACCATACCAGAACCGAAGACAGAGGCAAATGATCCAATTTGGCCTTAAACCGGCCAAATTATGACTTTGCCTTGCTTGGGATTTTTGAAACCAAAGTGTGGCTCCTAGGAGTGTCTTCAAATGCACCAGCAAGCAAGGGATCAAGCGGATCTTTTTACACCTCAACTTTTCTTATTTGGAGCCAATTAGCTCAAATCTGGTCCAAGAGGTAGATCTCTTTAGTTTATTTGGTTTTAACAGCTTGGAGACATTCAATACCATCAAGAAAACCCCAAAACGTCACTACTTCATGCACAAGCTGTCCATATACAAAAAAAAACCTCACATTTTCCTCATTTGACCAACACTCGAGCTTTAAAGGACATATCCATCAAGCCTTTGATTGATTTCGAAGTTTTATTAATTATTTGATTTATTTTCTTTGTAAAAACGTGTGAGAGCTCTATACAAGCTCAATCATTTCATTTGAAAGGACACAATTATGAATTAAGATATGGGAGTTATCTCTTTTTAGGCTGTGCTTAATTCTCTATCATTTCATTTGTACAGGACACAATTATGAATTAAGATATGGGAGTTGTCTCTTTTTAGGCTTTGTGCTTGATTTCCAAATTTCTTAGAGTTTGTGCGGTTTCCCCTTTCTCCATCAACTACGTTAGACAAGGAAAGCCTCTCGGCCAGTTGTGCAATCTCCATCAACCAAACCATCCCTTGAACCAAAGAGTGCCCTCTTCGCCCAGTTGATTGACCCCATCCTCAATCATTATAAGATCATTTCAAGCTAGAATAAAGATAGGAGTTCCATTGGTTTAAAAGCCGAACCAAAACCATACAAATTGATCCACATTATATTTTGTTTTCTTCTTGGTTGCTATTATTCATAAATCAAGAATCCGACAACACAAACTCCAAGATGATCATCATTCTCTGTTGTGTCTCAATCGAGAAGATCAACGCCAGTCATGGAGCAATACATGTTTCAAAAGAGCCATCAGTGGGTCTTTCCGAGCATTCTGATTGTACTCCAAATGCTTGGATTTGGTGTTCTCCAAATCGGCCAAATTGTCCTTGATCAATTGCTTGGCTCATCGCACGTAGCTTCATCTAGAGAAGCAGCAAGGTACTCAGCAAGGCTCTGCTGATTACTGCTAGGTTTATGTGAAGATTCTGAGATCATAGGTTTCTTCTGTGCTATAGAACTGGGAAGCCATGCTTGACCTGTTGAGTTGCTGCTAGAGGAATCTAAGCAACTCTTCCATACTAATGGCTTAATATGCTTCCATGGATCTTCAGCCATGGAGTTGGAGTAAAATTGGTCTCCCCCTGATTCCATGGGCCTTCTTCCTCCATCTCTCCCAAAGCCACCACGTCCTCTGCTTCTGCCTCTTCCTGAATCATGATATGTGTTTCCAGACCAGTTAGAGTTTTGCCGTCCGTAATGGGAATATTGTGGAGCGGTATTGTTGTGCCTGCCTCGACCACCAAATCTATTATTCCCCATGTGTTGGCTTTCTTGAGAGGGTGGAAATGGGCGAGGTACCCATTGAGGTGGTGGTGGACCTAAATGGTGAACCGGTGGAGGCCTACAGTTGTTATTCCAAGCGGCAGGTGGTGGACCTCTGTGTGAGGGTGAAAAATGTGTCATCCCTCTTTGTTCCATATGCAGATTTTGACCTTCGTAATGAGCTGCTTGGAAACCGCCATGATTGGTATGTGCCTGATAGTCACTGCCCAACGATCCTGTTCACAGTTATAATGCAAGGATCATAACTGGATTATTGTTCATTGCAAGACAGAGAACACAAAGATAAAGGAATTTTGTAACTAATGTGATTATAATACCTGTCAATTCATAGATAGTGAAACATGAAGGGCTATATCAAATAAAGGTAGCTGAAGCTAATAGGTTATTCTTTCATTGATCTTGAATTGTGGATTACAATCAAGAACACATAGCCCTAACAGAGAACAAAATGTTGAAGTGATCACCTAAACTATCCCAAATCCATGAGGCATCCCAACAACCAGATACCAAAAAACAAACTGCTCTTGTATCTGTTCAATCCTAAACTTATACTCATCAAAGGACCAACTAACATGCTAACACAATAGTTAATCTAATGTGGAACTGTGGCTTCACACGAACATAGCCAAAGTGAAAACTAGGACTAAGTCATTGACTATAAAGGGTATTGCAGCATAAACAAGAAGTACTATGAGAAAACAAGCACCTGGAGCTGGTGGCTGAAACTGCGGTGCTGGAGAGCTGGCTTGATAACTAGGAGGTGATGAGATGTATGGTTGCTGAGGGGCAGTCTTGTTTCTTTTGAAACTAGAATAAGCAGACATCGGGTCCGTGTAGTAATCAAACCTCGGCGTTTCATATGATTCCTGCTGGTGACTGGATGTCTCTGCCAAGGGATTTGAGAGGTGAGCTGTGTTCATAGAGGTTTCAGGCCCTGTGGAGCCATCATTCTGTGCAGCAGCTTCCATGCGCATTGCTTTTAGCATTTGTTTTCTTTTCTCTGAATCTTCCATTTAGGTTTCAGAGCTAATCAACTACAAGATACAAGGAAATTTCATAAATCATCCATCAACACAGCAATCTAATGTTAAACCCTAAATTCTCAAATTATCTAAACCTTTACACGGAAACACAAATCGGAAAAACGAGAGAGATACGAACCTTAACAAAGTGCGATTTCCCACAAAAATCTCCACTTTCTCGTCGCTAATGTAGAGAGATTGAGTGAAAGAGAGAACCCTGAGTTGAAATAAACGAAGACTTCCTTCCAAAATCTGGTTCGTGATAAACTGTTAAGTTCAATTAAACCCGGTTTACTGGTATACCGGACCAAAAATTTCCGATTGAAAATCAAAAGCCCCGTTGCCAGTCTCTGACTTGCAGGACAAATCTCTCTCCCTTCGTGCTCGATCGACGCCGCGACGTGCTCCTCGCAGTGATCTGTTTCTGAATCTCTGTTGATTTCTAGATCCTGATCACGCTTTCTTTGGGCTCTTCTCGATCTAGTTGTATCCTGAATTTCTGATCAGATTTACTGGAAAAGTTGAATTCCACTCTCGTCCCTTTCTCTCATTCGTCTCCTTTTACCGGCGGAGAAAAATGCACGGCCGTCCAAGGAAGGCTTCCGAGCCAGGAGAGGATGCAGACTCCGCTGCTAAAGCTGTTAAGCTCCGGTCTCTCCAGTCTCAGTTCATGTCCAATCACCATGGCAAAATGTACCATCTTTAGTCTTACCGATTATATCAATTTTCATTTTCAGAATTTCAGTACGATTTACAGGATCCTTCTGCTGATTTGTGGATCTTCTGAGATTGTTGGTTTGTAGTTATACCAAGGTAGCTATTGAACTAAGTACGGAGCTTCTAAAGATCAATCCGGAGGCGTACACAGCGTGGAACTACCGGAAGCTCGCCGTGGAGGATAACCTTTCCCGAATCGAGTCTGACCCAGACTTGGTCAAGTCAATTCTCGATGAAGAGCTTAGTGTGGTGAGTTTTCATTGTAAATGGATCTGGAATTTGAGTCTTCCAAGTTGTATACTTCTGAATCACGCAGCCATTTACCATGAGTGTCCTGGATTGGCTTGCTGCTACAATTCAGAGATTGAAAGTTTATGTCTTTTGCTCCAAGTTTGCTCTTTTATGAAAGAAGTTGCTCACTGGTTGCTTTGCGCTCTGTTTTTAATTCAGGTAGAAAGTGCTCTGATGCAGAATTTCAAGTCCTATGGTGCTTGGCATCATCGAAAGTGGGTTTTGAGCAAAGGGCATTCCTCCATTGGGAATGAATTGAAACTTTTGGATAAATTCCAGAAGAAGGATTCCAGAAATTTTCATGCTTGGAATTATCGCAGGTGAAAATTAGGGAATCTCACACTCTTTGTAAAGCGCACTGCGCATGTAATGTTAATCAAGCTTGCATATTCACGTAGTGTTCCTTCCCAGGTTTGTTGTGGAACTCACCAACAGGTCAAAGCAGGATGAGTTGCAGTATACAGAGGATATGATCTGTAAAAATTTCAGCAACTATTCTGCTTGGCATAATCGTAGGTATGCATATCATCTGGAAACTTTGCCGGTTTATATGTTCAAATTTTTTTTTTCCAAGTTACAGAAGCATATGTGAACTAGATTGATAGTCACATGACTCAAACCAAAGTAGTTAATAGTACAAAAAAGAAGTTCACTTTTTGGAGGGATGCAATTTGCTTATGAAGTTTCCTTCAATGGAGCATTCATTTTTGGGTCACATGACTTCTTTATTATTTGGTTGATATTGCCACCACATATTTATGGGATATATCTACAGCTAAGGTTTAGCTACACCATAGCTTCTCTGTATAGCTAATAATATATTTTCTTTTTCTTGTTTGAAATTTTGCAGTGTTCTTGTGTCAAGTTTGCTTGCAAATAGAGCTGATGGGTTTATGCCAAATGAAAAGATTCCTGAGGAACTTGATTTTGTACATAATGCTATTTTTACGGAACCAGGTGACCAAAGTGGCTGGTTTTACCACCTTTGGCTTCTTGATCAAACTGTCGATGTAGAGACTCCTCTTCTCGCTTCATCATGGCCTTCACATGGTTGCAGTATCATTCTCTCTGGACCTGGGTGCTTGAATGACTCTTCTTCGAAGTTCACAACTTTTTGTTCTGAGTCGGGGTCTTTTCCACTGATTATCTACTTTGACCAAGCTGTTGGTGGAGTAAGTTCGTCTACTGTCACAATTGATTCTGAACTAAAAGGAAATGAGGACCTTGTTTGGGAACCAGTTTCGGGAAAAAACTCGCAAGTGTCTTGTGGATGGGTTACTCGTATGAAATATTTCAGTTCAGAACCTATCGTTCGCAAGGAATACAAAGTGAAGGTCAGAGTTGGGAACTCTCCAGGAATTATTTCTTCCAGAGGAGGATGTAACTTCAGCGCTCCTTGTGAGTTTTTCTTTACAGCTCATGTTCATGATGCCGCCGTCAAAGATTCGGAAGAATCCATTGTTTCATGGACAGATGAGTTTGATATTTGGGATGCGCAGTCAGAGGATTTGAACTCTTTTGTCTCCTTGGGTCGGTTAAACGCTGAGATGGATTTAAATTGGCGGCAGGAAGCTTTAGCAAAAGAGGTTGAATTATTCCGTCAATTGTCTGACAGGTATATCTTACTTATATACTTTCTTGCTTTGACGGGAAAGAAAAATTGTAGTCTTGAACTTTGTGTTCTTTTTTACCTTTCTAGCAAAATTGGAAAGCTCACACTTGCAAGGCTTTTGATGGCTTCTGAGGCTATGGCATCGGATGATACTGTTAAGGGTGCTCACTATGAAGAAATCCTCCAGTTGTATAACGATTTGATGGCGCTGGATTCTTCGCATTACCAGTACTACAAGGATATGCACAGCGTAGCTTTTCTCCACAAGGTACTTAATCTTCGTTTTAGCTGTGAATCACAGGTCGAGCTTCTGCTTTTTAAAAAAAAAATCATCGGATTTGTAATCTTTTCCCCCATTCTCATCTCCAATATAAGGCTGATTGTTTGATTTTTAATGCTATTTCCATCATGCCTACTACTCATGAAGAGAATGTTCATGCAGGTGACTTCAAGCACTGAATCCTTGTCAAGATACCTCTTTCGGTACAGGAATATGAACAATCTTGTGTGTCTACGGCTAAATAACTTATCACTATCTCGGATAGCCTCTGTCGAGAAGTTGCTGTTTGTTCAAATGTTAGACCTCAGTCACAATGAGCTTCATTCAACTGAAGGTAAGTTGCTCAAACCGTCCTGTGTTTTACATGCTTATGTCTCCGGTTCCAGTTGCTGCATCTGTGATTATGTGTGGTAGATGTGATTAAACGGTGTACGCGGGTCTTGCAGGATTGGAGGCAATGCAACTTCTCACGTGCCTAAATCTGAGTCACAACAGAATCCGGAGTTTTTCAGCGCTGGACTCTCTAAGACATGTAAAGCAGCTGAGAGTGTTGGATGTTTCACACAACCACATCGGCAAGCACTCAGTGGACACAACAAGGTACCTTTGTTCTTCACCGCTCTCTAACTCGGAGTGGACTCAGGATGAAGTTGGAAGACAGAAGCCTAGCTTGGTCACCAAATACTGGGATGCGTATTTCGTGTTACGAGATATGAGTCTGAAGCAGTTAGATGTAGCAGGCAACGTAATTGCAGGGGACGAATTCAACTCTTTTGTCCTCCAGGTTATGCCAAAACTCGTATGGCTTGATGGCCAGAAACTTAGGACTTAGATCATAGGCCAACTCTTTTACTGTATTTATAGTTCATCAAATCCCCAAGACAGTTTGGATTCTCTTGATGATCTTTGTTGTTGTGATATGTTCTGCTCAACAATCTCGTTTATTAGTTTCTGCACCCTTGTTTTTTTTTACTCTGTACTCTAATACCTTTTATTACCAAATGATCTTTAAACGAGACTTTCGATGACAAACAACTTGCAATCAACCAAATCTGATAATTTGTTTTTATTCATTGTCTCGCAAGCTCTGCTCAGAGTCGAAATTACAATAAAAACTACACAAAACAAAAAAAAAAACAAGAAGCCTTTCCATTCTTCCAGGCAAGGCCTCGTCTCACTGATTTTTCTATCTTAAAATCAAATTTCAGGAGCTAATCAACGCATCTTGCACCTATAGTGTTTCTGTTAGTACCGTAACATCTAAGCACTTAACTATATATAGATTTGGTGTGTGGTAAGATGATAATATCAAGCTGGAGTTACCCCTTTGTCTCCACCCATTTGGATCAGCTGCACTGGAGACTTTAGTAGCTTCTTCAGTGTGTCCACTATGCCACCAAAGGCTGGCCTCTGAGCCGGCTCATCTGCCCAGCAAGCTTCCATCAGAGTTACCAAAACCGGAGATGTATTGGGAGGGATTATAAGCCGCCTGTTCTGGAACGCAACCGCCCCAACCACCTGATCACCAAACGAAGACTCAAAACATATCCTTTATCTAAATCTCTTCAAAAACTAATGATATCTAAATGTGAACAAAATTTATAGTGTTGGTTACCTGAGCAGGACTGAGTCCATTCCAAGGCTGTTGCAAAGTAATCAACTCCCATAAGACTACTCCGAAGCTGTAAACGTCTGATTTCTCGTTTGTCGGCTCTCCTCTAAGAAACTCTGGAGCCATCCACTCAGGCTGTTAAAACAGACCAAAGAGAGAGAGAGAAGTTTCACATGTCAGAACATTTTTTTCTTCTACCTGCAACATATTTGCAGTAATTAAATATTTAAGAGAGCTTACTGTTCCTGCAACAGATTTTGATGGTATGAAAGTGTTTGCCTTGAATCTGGACAGTCCAAAATCGCAAACCTGAGACAGGGACAAGGTCGAGTTTAATATGTTACAGAAACAAACGTCTGGAGGCTTCATATCAATAAAGTTTTTACTATGTTTTAAGATCATTTACCTTCACTGTCCAGTTCTTATCAACTAGTAGATTTGGAGATTTCAGGTCCCAATGTACTACAGGAGGATTAAGACAGTGTAGGTAGTTGAGCCCCTTGGCCTGTTCCAATCAAACACACATATGTTACTTCATGTTTAACTCAGAAAGACATATTAAGTAATTGAAAGACCACAAACCACATCCAATGCCATACGTAGCCTCCTCCTATGATCTAGCAACTCTCCAGAAGCTGGCCTATGAATGAGACGAAATAAACTGCCCCTGTCTCAAGTAGTAAGAGAGAAACATAAGCGACTCTGGTAATGCAACTAGGCAACTTTGGTCCGAACAAGACAAAAACATTATGCGCATGGGTTTTACCTTGGCAAATATTCTGTTATTATTGATAAGCGAGGTCGCTCTGTCACAGCACCCATGAAGAGAACAACATTTGGGTGACGCACACGTTTCATTATTGCAACCTTCAATTGAAAGAGATCAGAGAACTGAGAGTTTCAGAGAGGTTTCAAAGTTATCACATGAGACTTAGCCATTCAAAAGAGATGCGTCCGCTTGCTTACATACCTCCCTGAGAAATTCTCTGAATTGGTCGTCATGGAAATCTTGAATAGACAAAATCTTGACAGCAACATCCTTCACCATAGAGAAAAAAAATCCCTATTTAGCATACTTGTGCTGAAAAATCTATTAGAAAGGAAGTGAGAGTGAACTTTTTATAACTGAAACCTACTGATCCATGCCACTCAGCACGATGAACAGTTCCAAATGATCCTGAAAAATACGCAAGGAAGATTTTGTTATTATGGTGCTACATCAGAGTAAAAAAAAAACTCATGGAAGATAAAAGACGTACCAGCACCAACACGCTCCTTGATATGCAATTCATCCCATGAGACCTCCAGCCAATCTGACGCCAAAGAAGGCTCAATAGTCAAGTATGGTGAGATGGCGTCAACAGGTGACCTCACTTTTTTATCTTTCCGAGTCTCAGCTTCAGCTATCTCTGGTTCAGATGAAACATCTGCCTTTGGATTCTTGATAACACCGTTTTCAACTGGATCTTCTAATCTAATGGTCTCCTCTTTGCAACAAGTTTCTTGTGAGGCATCACTAAGTTTTGGTATCTCAAGTGGTAGAGCACTAAGGATAGATTCGGTTGAAACCATTGAAGATGCTTTTGAGAAGCAAGTTTGATCAGCATGAGCACAACATACCGTCGCTGCAATATCAGGCAACTCAATTTCTCTGTGTACATGGCCTTGACTCCCTACAAAAACTCAATTAGGAGAATGTTCTTACAAACTTGTCTCAACTATGGACAGACAATTTGTATAAGAACTGTATTACATATTTTGCTAATACTGATCAGCTTACCTGAACGTTGAATGTTTTCAGAAAGAGCGCATGATGAAGCCTTTGACTCAGTTTTACAAGGAGATTCGCTACGCACGCAAGGCCTGCAAAAATCTTTAAGATGATGACTCATCCGAAGAGGTGAAGGAATCTGACACTGTGTTCCACCGTTGATAGACGAATCCGGATCATGCACATTTCCTGGTTCCCCGATCAGGTCAACAACATATTCCCTGTTGATCGAGAAAGCAACTACATTCAGAATTTGAAACATAAGCTCAAAACAACTAAAAATTGCAGTACTAAAAACTCCAAAGCTATAAACTATTAGTAAGCACAGATTCAAGGACATACACAAGAAGACCCCTGGAGAGTAGAGACCCATCTGCTAGTCAAACATAAAGAGTTTATAAGTGTTTTAAGTAAAAGCATGTAAAAAACTTCCTAACATACCATAACTGAAAGTGCACAAATATTTTGCTAACGATCTACTTATTTAAAACTAAAACCACTGAGCAAGCAATTGGGGTGGCTTAAGAGATTTTAACACAATCAAACCTTGAAAGCTTCCGGTCATCGTCGATCTTGACAAGGCAAGAAGACTGGTGGCTCTCTTTACAGTACCTGCAACCTCTAGCTATCCGACATGGTAAACCTATGTAATCAGCCAATTTCTGTACATATAATATGAGAAATCAAGTGAGCCTCCAATACAAATAGACAAACATTTGTAGCCTAATCCAGTCTAGCTTTCATGGCTCACCTTAAACAAGATGGCACGGTGCCGGCAAAGCCCCATGGTTAGACTACCTATAGGAAGAATGATACATTTCCGAAACTCCTTGACTCTATTGCTAACCAGCTTCCATCGTTTCTGGAGATCACCTTGCTCCATCTGAAAATTCCCCCTAAAAGCTCCATAACCTCAGCACACACACACAACTATGAAGTTAAGAAAATAATTAAAAGAGAAGAGAAAGTGTACCCCATATAGACAGCAACAAGTCTGCCAAGCTTCTCGACAAGCACCAACATGTTGTCTGAAGCACAATACAGCTCATGTGCCTTGTCCTCAAGTTCTTTAAGACGTGAGTCCTCACGTGTGTCTATCAACACCACTTCCATTGATGTATCACTCGGCTCAGTCTCCTTCAGTAACACAAGAGACGGAAGTCGTTTTCCTTCCTCCGAGTTGTTACACATCAACCAGAGATACGGATCCATCCCTAATATGCTGTAAAACCCATCTGAGATCTTGTCACCGTACGATAAACAACCACTTACCTGATAACAAAACAAAAATCACAATTCTTGACCTAATTGTCACTCATAGATTTAGTCATTTAGATCAAAATTTTAAGACTTCATACCCAGAAACGGTAAGAGACAGTGTCTGTGCTCTGTGTAGGAACAGACTCACCGCCAAGATTTGCTTGAGAGCTTAGCCTCCTCGCAAGCGTGACTTGCAAGTAATAGCCTTCTCTTGACTTCTGCGCCAAGCTTTCCTCTTTGTTTTCCTCCCTAACCTTAATCTCTTGTTCCTCCTTGGTCGTCACGGTGACACGTGTGGTGGTCGAGGTTTCCCTCACGTCAGTCGGGCTCGAGAAGGTCGAGAAATTCCCGTCCACCGTCGTCCCGGAGAAGAAGCTTCCAGCGAAGCTGCTCTCACTCGACATTCGAGGAAGCGACACCTCCCTGTCGAAGCTCCGGTCAATGTTACGCTCGTTCATGTTGATCGCTCGAGCAGAAGAAGACGACGACGCCGCGACAATGGAATCCGGCGAAGAACCAGCACGATGATGAAGCGGAGACTTATTATTATCAGCCGGCGACGAGGAAAGCAGAAACTCCCTCTCCTCGTCGGCGTCGCTGGACATAGAGAGGCGCGTGGGCCTCACGCGTCCGGTGTTAGACGACGACGACCGAGAGAGATTGGCTTTCTTCTCCGCGAGCCACTCGTAGAAAGCAGCTAGCTGCTGCTGCTGCTTCTTCTCCGACTTACGACCATCGTCGACGCCTGATGAGAGACCGCTTAAGAGATCTGAAACGGCGGAGCTCTTTGAGAGCATAGAATTGGAAGAGGAGAAGACAGTCGTCTCCTTCTCCTTGTTCTGATCTTCTCCACCATTGGATTTAAATCCGAAACTCTCCCCAAAGCTTGACGACGATTTCTTCTCGTGATCGTTTTTATGCGAAAACGATTCAAATCCACGATCGGGGAATTGCCGCGGGAAGAAGTAAGTTGTCCGGTGAGGCATTTTGATAGAAAATCAACTTTCAGAAAAAAAATTCAGATCGATCGAACAGGAAATGATACGTTTAGCCAAATCCCGTCATTGAATCCAGAACAAAAACGAAAACAGATGATCAAGAAGAGAGAAGAGAAGTTGAATTCGTCGTAGCTAGTGACTGGAGATGTATATATTATAGTTTGCTTGCGCTGTTCTCTTCTTCTTTCGATTAGATTGGAGTAGTCAATCGTCAACCACCGGGAAAAAGCCAGAAGAAACGAGCGGAGAATTATCTAAACGAATCACCGGAGAGCAAAAACTACAACACTTTGTGTGGATAAGAGAGAAGGTTTTGGACTTTGGTGGATCAACAATAAGCGTCAAAGAAGTTGAGATTGCACGAGGAAAGGAAGGAAGAAGCAAAGAAAAACAGCAAATCGGGAATAAAATATTTGAATATTTTTTTTTTATTATAGAAAAGTATAAACAGCCAATTAAAAACTCTGAAAAGCATTGAAGATGGAGGGGACGAAAAGGGAAGAAGGAGGGAGAAACTTTATGTAACGAGCTTACACGTATACTCTCCATACAATAAAATCATGACACGTGGACTATAATCCTACTCATGCATTGCCTGTTCTCATGAGCGCAGTTTTACTTCAAAAGGTTATGATGACTTTCTTTTTTTGTCATAGGTAGGGGATGACTCATCATGAGAGGAATCATTTCTTTTCTTGAGAGGAATCATTTTCTTTTTATATTTTGAAAAATAGACCAAACCGAAATACATCTGGTTTAATTTTCTGTGAAAAAACTAATCAAGAAAATCAACTATATCAAATCAAAACAAAACCATATGGATGATATTAGTTTTGTAACGTAAGAGACGTGTGATCTCATTCGCTCTTTCTCCATAAAATCTTCTTCGTCTGTATGTGAGAGTGAGTGCTTTTGAATTCTCTTTTATCTGAATCTTATGTAAAATAAAGCTTCAAATATTTTTAACACAAAAATGTACTCCGTTTTATTCTACGTTTAACATATTGCATAACATACACAATTTAATAATCATATTAATTACTGAAACGAAACTTTAAGTTGAAAAACGACACCATCCACAAAATTTAATCCTACAATAATAAACAGGTCAGTGCTGATATCACAACTCACAAGAGTGTTTATCTGTTTTGCTACCTTTTAGCCGAAGGTTGTTTGGTGAAGCCTTCAGATTCAACTCGTGACTCATACACTAATTTACATTGAACAAATTATATAGACCATTTCTTTATTAGGGGATAATTCATTGCATGGACCTCTTCTACACTGAATCAGATATACCATTAATTTATGGGTCGTATTAGATACTTTTTAATTTTTTGAACAAACTAAAGGCAACTAGTCGTCACGAGGATCGACTCACTTTAAGGGACACCTTCTCGAATAATCTTGTCATAAATTCGATCCATAAACTATTGAACTAAACATTAGTATTATAAACATTTTGTTTCGAAAAAAAAACATTGTCATACACTCATAATTAATTAACTAACATCAAACGGGTTGGACGGTTCTCTTTCTTCGATACAGTTGTGTTCTATATAGTAATGGGAAAATTATATTTGTTATGCCCATATTATTGTGGTAGTAGATAATCTAATTTTAATTAGTGGTCCCGAGCAAGGTTTTGTAAATCACCTGGTTTTGGTATATAATGCATGCATATGCACACATCTTCATCTTCTATCAAGTATTAAATATTCTTATATATAAACTAATTGAATTCAGATGGAAGAAGATGCACAATGCACTGCTCATCTTCTCGATCGCCTAGGGTCTTTTAAATTCGTAAACTTTTGAAAAGCACGTTATAAAAAATGGTATCTTTGAAAACAATCTCTTAGTGGTACTTCTGAAATAAATAAAAAATCCCAAAACAGTAGATTTTGGAAATTTTCCTATCAAAGTTTGTATATGGAGAATCTGTTTATTCGCAACATTTCTACAGCTTCAACGTTGTCCCCAAAAAGGAGTTCACTTTATAGGATTTCGATTAGCAATTGATATTTGGGAAACGTGAGTCATGGTCACACGACAATAACAACAGAAGCTTAATTTTTTTGAATAGATTAACATTGACTTATGAGGCAGTTATGAGCAAACTCTGAAGACTGAAACCATAGACATCTGAATATGATATTTGATATGAGGTTCGGTTATGGTTTCTATAATACATGTGATGGTGAGAAGATAAATTCATAGAGAGAAGACCAACTGATTCTACAAGGATCTCTACCTTCTGATTCTTATCACAGTACTTAGTGATTACCTAACAGATTAGATTCATCCCCATTAGCAAGAGAAACAAAGGCATCGTGCTCTTCAACAGTTGCAGGTCCAGAGTTCGAGTTGTTTGCATCGGCATCACTCCCATCCTCGCCCTACATTAGACCGATGATTCAAGCTCTGCCTTCAATGTGCAAACCAACCAGAAGCACAGGGAGAAGAATTAAATGAGCTTACCGGTGTTATTGCAGACATCTGTATATCTTCTGTTTTCTTGAAGAGATCCCTCAATGTACCCTACAAAGAATCGAACAATTCAAAACGTCAAACACATTCACTATGCCAGTACTTTATGACCTGATCATGGTGAAAATGGAATGAGTAGGTGTAGGTGATGCATTTATATCACTTTGTGGAGATTCATACGCACCCTGTTAACCCAAAAAAGTCCACAGGCATTGCAGAGAGTCCTGGGGCCTGTAGGGCCACGTCGCATCATTGGTGTACATTTGGAACTAATGCCGCAATGAGTACACCTACGCGTAAGAATCACATACACGTATAAGGTAAGAGCAAGAACTTTTGTACACATTAGTGGAGAACAGGAAACGCAGAAGCAGTTAAGTGGCAGAGGCAAAACGCACGATATTTCTGGATGGCCATCATCTTGCGCAGAATCTTGATCTGTGCCAGAGTTATCACCCCCATCGGCCATCTTTGCTGAGGTGAATTGACCTTTATTACGTGCCATTCTGGTAAATACTAAAAAAGGTCAGACTTTTAGAAGAGGTTGACAAAGATGAAATAGACATGTCGATTATTCCCAGTAAAAGCTAATTACTGCACTAATCACAACTCCTATGCTAACCAATGTAGGAATGTAATAGCCTTGAGCATAAACTGATAAAACTCAATAGTGAATTCGCAGATGTAGCACCTCAATCTAGAATGACAAAAACTAAATAAACGAATAAATCCCCTGACCTTAACGCCACTTCCTGGCGCACACCATATCTGACTTTCTTCTCAAAACATCTAGCATTCCTCTTCTTCCTGAACCTATCCAAGGACTGCGCCCGTTGCGGATGGCTACATCGGTTCGGGTATTCTACAACAGGCTAAGAAGAACACCAAAATGACACATGTGGAACGAATCGAAACAAACAAAAAATACACATAGAGGAAGTAACCACTGTGCAGAATTATGAACACAAAACAACAAAGTTACCATATGATTCTGCTGAGCTAGTTCCATCACCTGCGGCCCAGGAGAGAGCTCCGTAGAACCACCCAGTAGCGACAACACAGCATCAACCTACGAAAATCAATTTTCCGTAAGACTAGCTATGGATCACAGAAGTGCTCAGTATGATTATGCAATTTCTACACTTGCTTTAAACAAAGAGATGTTGAATTTCAGTGGCATCCTCAGAAGTAACAAAAGGGGCAAAGTTCGAATACCTTATCAGGGCCAACAGCATCGAAAACGTAAACCTGTCCACGGAACGAGATCGTGAGCTGATTCGCGCCTCCCGGAGTCCGGGAGCCTGGTAATTCGGAGCCGTCGGATGGGTGACCCACCAAATGAGAACCATCGGGAAGCAAATCGGAGGCAGCATAGATGGAGTCAGGATGATGAGGGATTTCGTCCATTTCGTCGTAAGGAATGTGACCGGACGGTGCGGAGGCGGAGACATGGTCTTCAGCAGCAGGAGCTGAGGCGGTACCGATCTGATTAGGGATAATCCCCGGCTGGGAATGGTGGCCAAACATCGGAAACTGCCAAAGAGGACAGCTTTCACATTGATTGAAGGATACAAAAGCAAGAAAATGGAGAATAAATCTAACCCTAAGTGCAAGAAGAAAGAGTTGACACGGAGAAGTGCTATACAGAGAGGGGAGATGGAGATGGTCGTCGGCGCGTGTGGAGGAGGGAGATTGGCCGTCGTGGAATTCACCGATGGTAAAACGGTGAGTTTTATGTGTAACTCCTAAATCGCAGCAATTCCGAGACGACGACGACCCGACGACTTCCCACTCCACTGGATTTAGTTACTGATTACATTTTGGGCCGTTCGATTATCTTTATACTCCAAAAGCCCCATTTCGGCTCACTGTTTTTTTTCTTTTTCTTTTTCTTTCTAATTCGGATTTTTTTTTTTTACCTTAATGTGGTTCAATTTTCTTATCAAAAGAAGAAAATGTATGACTAGTCGCATCAACAAAAACATTAATGCATGGTAAATAATATACATGAAAAAGGTAAAATTTGATGCAAAATATATCTTGTTATGGCAAGAGAATCCGAACATATACAACAATGGATTGAGAGAGAGTGAGAGTGTGTGAGTGTTAGGAGGTCTTGGTGTCTTGCTTAGTTGGAGTGGTGGAAATGTTGTAGAGAAGAAGACCTATAACCAGAACTACACTCCCCATCATGAAATTGGAGCTCAAGCTTGTACCTCCAGGTAGATACGGCAAGGGTTTTGACATTATGTACACCGATAATGGCACTGCAACACCAAAAGTATCTCATAAACTCATTGTGTGTTTTAAGATATTTGGTGACACTGAAAAGAGACTTTCCATGAAGAGACAGAATAATGGACCTGAGAGCATCACAGCGAGAGAGGAAACGATTGCTGAAGATATTTTAACCAGATGGAGCAACGAGATGTTGAAAGCGAGATTGGTGGCTATATAGAGCAGTGGGAGTATAGGAGCACCATCGCAGCCTGAAATGGTCAATTGATCACAAACAGATTATGCAGTGAAATAAAAACACAAGCTTGGAGGTGGAAAGAAGAGTCTCTAACCAGAAATCTTAGCTCCAATGTTGAAGAAGCAGCCGGCGCCATCTTTTAGATACGAAGGAAGGCTGGCAAATGGAATCCCTTTCAAGTTTGAGAGAAAAGGCAACAGCAGAAACACAAAAAGAGCCTGCGCAAGCACAGCTTCAGTGATCCATAACATTAAACCAAACAAAAAAAAATGTCCTCAGAAGAGAGAAGATATCTTTAGCTGCCATATCGTAGTAGATACCTGAAATCCAGATCCAAATGAATTCACCACAAATATATCCAGTGACTTTCCCTGCATTGTTGAGTTATGCTTAAGAGTTCAACAAAGTTAAGAAGGAAACGCAATTCCATGTTGATTTGATGCAGGGGATACTCATTCAGAAGGACAATGAATATGAATATGTGCCAGGTACCTCAAGACGCTTTGCAGCATCATTGAAAACAAATTCCTGCTAACAAACAAAACGCTTAACAACTTTGGTGCTGACGGGACTACAATAGAAAAAAAAAGAAAAGAAAATTTCACAACTCGCAATAGAGAGCGGCCTTTACCTTTATGATAGACGCACCAGCTTGAAAAGCAGCAGATGCTACCATTACAGCAGGCCATAGCAAACCGATTCCGGATAGCGTATGATCTGCACCAGATCCACTGTAGATGAGTTACAGTCAGCATTTTGAGAAATTGAAAGTAACACTTATCAGATCCCACACAGGCTTCTCTAGAATCAGGGCCTTCTAATTGCTATGTGGATGATGAATACTAAAAGTACAACGGCCCTTCATCTAACATAGTGAATTTGATAGAGGTGATTCTGGTTCATGACATTTTTAGAAGATAAAAGTAAAACTTTAGAAGAACAGTGAATAAGGGTACCTTGAAACAGCCACCACAACGCCCACAACAACAAGCAAGCAACCGGAAATTTGGTTAAGCAAGAACCTCCTGCCCAAAATAAGAATAGCAAAAAGCAGCTGCCACACCAAAAACGTCTGCAGAGCATTGTGGGGTTACTCAAGATTGTAAGCAGACAATTGGGTTCAAGTACTCAACACCACCCCAGTGAGAAGTAGAACTAAACCAAAATACCTGATTCAAAAGCGGAATAACTGGTCCAGGAAGCATGGCTGCAACAGAGAGTCCAATCACTTGATATGTAACCTTACGAATATGTTAAAGTTTCACATCATGTCGAGCACTAAGACTATAAAAGGGATATATACCAGCTGCAGCCATGCCAGTGGCAACTCCAAGAGCTTCGAGGAAACCGATGATAGCGAATCTCCATTTGGGAACACTCAACATTTCACGGGTCACAATGCCTAGACGGGACCTCATGTACAGAATGGTGAAGTAAATCAAGACGTAGCTGCCAAAAATCGTTTAATGAGTATCGAAATAAAGTTCATTCACTTCCAATCGTTTGTCAACTCAAAACCAAATTTGTTAAAGTTTACCCGAAAGTATTGAGCTGAGCTAAGAAGAAAGGGTACTGCTTCATGGGAACCAAAGCGAGTTTGTAGAGCACGCGATTAGCTACAGCTAAGGCTACGATGACGACGGAGTTGGCCACAATAAGTTTCCGATTAGAAGGAGCTGAAGAACGCTCCGTCAAAGCAGAGGCGGAAAATACACGTCTCATCGGAGAAGTGATTTTCCGAGTAACCGGGAAGCGGAATCTCAAATCGGATTGTCTCCCGCATATGGTCGTAGTCACCGATCGGTAGGACAACAGCCGTGCGCTACTGCAACGGAGCTGGTAAATCGCCGGCGAACGGGATTGCTTAGGGAGAGCGTAGGATGATGATGTGGGAGCATGAAGGCATCTGATTCGTGTAGCCATGAGAAGAGTATCCATTAGCGGGACTTTTCTCGGCTACTGAATGATTTACATTTTTTCAAGCGGATGAGTTTATCAGTCAGTGCCTATACGCAGCGTTTCATCTCGAGATGGGATTACACGAAACGCAGCGTTTTATGTTTGAAATGGTAGAAATCTCATACAAATCAATAACAATATTTCTACCATTTCTATGAGATTTGTAATCTCTGTTACTCTGTAATAGCAACATATACCTTGTAATTATAAGATTTATTCGAAAGCTAGGTAATGGTAGAAATAGATAGAGTGAAAATGGGGGAAAGAAGAGCTTAGAGCTGGGGTCTAGCTTGGACAACGTAGATATGGCCACCTTTGGCAACACCTTCGATGTCCTGAGGACAACCATAGAGTGTCTCAATCACATTTCCAGCTTCTGCAATCGCTGAGAAGAGACGTACTTGAAAGGCTTTGTCCACTACTAACTGCTCCCTTGAGTAATCCACCACTACTTCCTCTGCTTCATCCATTATCACACTGCACTTAACATAACCATTTCAAGACTTTGTAAGTGAAAAACCATTTCTCAAAGGAAAGACAAAGAAACAGAGAAACACAAAAAACGGACCTGTCGTAAAGTCCAGCGCCTGCGTAGCCCTCAAGGTCCTCGTTGTTCGAATCTGATCGGAATATGATTGACGGTTTAGAATACAGTCCTATCCTCTTACTTGGATAACTGATCACCTGTACAACCAAAAATTCAAACTCACTCTGTTTAACCAAAGTCTATAAATCTGTAACTGAAGTTACTTAAGAGTTAAAATGATCACAATCTGTTTTGTTTCTTACGGTTGGAGTTTTGAGGTTCGTTTTCTTGGTGATGAAGCTCATTGCTCGTCCAGGATATGCTCCAACCAAAGTCTCTCCCAAACCTTTCACAATCTGAGAGACACAACGCAAGTTCTTGATAATTGGATTTTTATACTTAAAGCACATAAACAAGAAGCAAGGTTTTTTATTTCACCTCAGTGTATATTTCTGAAGGGTCACCAGAGACAGGATTTTTTGTGTGAATGACGAAAGCATAATCGGCACATATGACTTCTTGAACCAGAACCGCCATGCATACGGCATCATGGTCAACTTTAGCTTTTCTGCAACTCACATAAGCTCTCTCGTTCCACTTTGAAGCCCACACCTATGTAGATTTGGAGATCAGGGAAGCACTTGATTCTTTTTATAAAACAAATACACAAAATGTTCCAAGAGAGTTAATACCTTTTTGATTGCCATCCACGATCGGTTCCAGCCTGATTCATCTCCATGAAACGACATTCTTTCACTTCTCAATTTGTGGATCAGCTCATTTCTCTACCAAAGAGTTCAAATACACCAAACATGTGATGCATTGAAAACATAAACAGAGTGAGGCTAAAAACAATTATATCCTCCGTTATTGTTACCAGAGCCGTTGGAGCGGTCATTTGTAAAACAGCTTCTTGAATCGCCTTAAGTTTTGTCATGTCTCCTCTGTTAAGAGAATCTTTGAGGGCAAATATCTTGCGTGCTACATCCTGAAAAACCAATGGATCCACCAAAAAAGATTTAAGAGAGTTCTTGAATGAATCTAAAACTCAAAAGAGGATTTGTATATCTTTGATCATAATGATATACATAGGTTGTTTGAATTACTTTCAGAGAGAAGAGAAAAAGATAAGGCAATATCATTTTAACTATACCTTATTGGAATCATCTGAGAGTGCAATCTCAAATGTTCCAAACGGAAGTGCGACTGAGGTAGGTATCTTGATCCATGATGGAACTCTTTCTCGTAGAAATTTGATGTTGCATGATTTTGAACCAACCTAAAGATCTCAGTGAAATGTTATTCTCAAAATGAAAACTTTTTATCTTCATGAAATCTGGTTTTTAGTACTACTAACCTTTTCATCAGTGAATTCTTTAGATGAAATCACATAGTTGCCGCAAAACTTCTTCCCCTTGGAGATCACTCCCCGTGGAACAGAAGAGATAAAAATATGACGAACAGAGACATCAGAGTTGTTGCCATCACTGCAAGTGGTTAAATTTCCGAATCAGAAAGTCAGACTAAACCACCAGTGACAACATAAAGAGTTCCATTACCTGATAACTAAACCATTAGATTTTGTATGAATAGATATTGTTCTCCCTTCCTTGGACTTCAGACTCCTGAGAACATTCTGATCGAAGCATGTAGCAAAGCATATCTGCATCAGACAAACTTAGGATGAGATCAGCAGACATTTGAGTACTCTAATAAAATGTAAAAAATCACAAGTTTATGATATATATTGAAGTAGAGAATACAACATGCCTTGCTGTTTCTTGCTCTAATGGAGACATGAGACAAGACATCAATCATACAAGGAGTCAGCACAGCAACAACACCATCAGGGATCTCCTCTTCTCCTGTGACTCTACTTGCAATGATTACTGTTGGCTTCGAGTAGACTTTATTCTGAACTGTGATTAACTCATTCACACAAACCACAAACCCATGTGCATCAGCCGAGCTAATAACCTGCCAACTGCTCAACCAGAACCGTTTTGGTTTAGGGCCAAAAGAAAACAATAATAGGTTCAGTGATCAAATTCATGGTAAAACGTAACTTACCAGCCTAAATTAGCTATTTTCCTGAGAAAAGGATCAAATCTGTTAACAAGAGTTGACAGAACAGCTCCTGGTCCTGCTCTTATAACCTCTTCAGTGAAAACATCAATCTGAAAAAGGTAACGATTACATAACATCACATGCAAATGCTTATTCTACTTTCAAACTTATTAATACATAAAGAAGAAGAAGAAGAAGAAGAAGAAGAAGAAGAAGAAGAAGCCTGAGTTTAGTTTCAAAATACCCCATGCTTGTCAACGCGTAACGATTGACCAAGATAGTTTGCACTAGGCTGTATTAATCTGAAATAGTGCTGACATCTATCAGCAAGTACTAGCTGTAAACGGTCAAGGACCGCTTTTGTTTGCAATGCCCACTGAACATCATGAGCTCTGTAAGTCTCGCTGACGCGGTACCAATCCTGAACATGAAAGAGAAGCATGGAGAATATTCATATAAGAATACTGATCAGAGTCAAGGCTTTGAAAGAGAAATGAAGCAACAGAGTATAAAATATTAGCATGCCTTTGTACAGAAGATAAGTTCTTCATTGTTAAATGTGGATAAGCAGAGATTCTCAAGCATCACGCAGATGACAAATATAATTTCCTGCTCCAAGGAGTGTAAAAGTAGATCAAAATCCATATCTCACTCTTCGTTGTAAAGACTATTAATACTTTCAAACTCAGACAGAGGAGAAAAAAACGATACCGGTGGGTTACTGAAGTTTAAAGAGAGGAGTCTCTTCTCTATTGCTGTTTTAAAAGACGACTCCAATGAAATGTCCAAAAAGAGTAGGTCTTTGGCTCTTGTACGAGGTGCTCGTAGTGCAGGGTGTAGCTCAATGCGAGCATCAACTAACTTCTTCAGAAATATACAACAAGAAGAAGAAAAAAAACAAGCATAAGGATACATGGTCCAACACTAAGCTAATATATAGAAAGAAGATGTTGCTATTAGAACCTCTATTAAGTGCTCAGCATTCTCTTCGCGAACAAGCCTCTTAACTAAATTGAGTAGATCCTACCATACAATAGAAATGGCCGATCTGTTAGGCATTTTGATTTCCTTATAATTTATATCACAGTGAAAAATGTCTATATTTAAAAGGTAGTATGAAGAAAGCGTGCCTGCAATTTTGGTGATAAACCATTTGCAGCAAAGACATGTTGACCCTGAACAAGAAAATGTAAGAATGAGGTATTAATTTATAAAAGCTATGGTTATTAATAATACATGTCCAAAAGAAAGAAAGTGAAGGTTTTAAACATGAATCAATTATACCTTAGATGGAGAAAGGAACGTATCAATAGCAGACTCAAGGTCTGCACCTGAATGAACAGCCTACAAAAGGCAGGTACAAACAGTTTCTTTCTTTAGTTAGAAACTCACTAAACAGATTCTGTCAATAGATGTGATTTTTATAGATACCTTTAATGTTTTCAAGTACATGGTAAGGTCACGGATGAGTCCTTCTTTAGCATCACTGCTGAAACGAGGCTCTGATACAATGGGCCGGTCATAACTCTTAAGCCTTTCTTTTGTGAGACCATTGGCCTTTAGTGTTTGCCAGTAAGCATCGATCCTAAAGTCAGATCTCACATAGTTTAAGAGAGCCTATGGCAGAAGAATAAGACTCTCATCAGAGATTCTGCAGGTATATAAATAATCTTGGGAAAGAAAATAGCTGATGTTTACAACAGCCAAAACTAAACTTGTCAGTTTCTTTTTTAAATAGAAGCTAATCGAAGTATCATTAGTCATTTATGTACCTCGCAAATGATCACATCATCTGCGCTGCTGTTGTTGTGCAACTTTTGGTGCCACTCTTCCATCATGCCGGATTTGCAGTGGTTATTTCTCTGACAAAACATAATAAAGACAAGAAAAACGTTAAAACAACAACATTTACAAGACTAGGAAAAGTTTTAGCACCATATACCTGAACAACAAGGATCTCGTCACGGATTCTCTGACCAACATCACCTTGACCTCCACGTCCCACAAGTGCCATAATCAGTCTCACAATTTCTCTCTTATATGGTTGCTGCACATATATTTTCTCCATCAAATTGGTGAATCTTTCTAGCGCTTCACTAATTTCCCTGCCAAAAAAATGTTCATGAAGGCATAAAAGGTCTGATCAAAAGAAGAAAAAGATACAAGAATCAGTTACAGTAGCCAAAGTACCTAGGTTTGACGTTATAGTTCTTGTTCCAGGTGAGATGTCTAGTGGCCATGAATTTCATCCACACCATTATACCAATGCATCCACCTTCTCCTTCATCCTTACAACGCTCCGTCAACTCTGTTGCTATGTTGAATCTGTGCATCAATGATCTCTCAGCCTCTTTCTCTCTCTCAGATATTTCATCAAGCAACCATT